CTATAAGAGAAATATTATCCGAAAAATAAACCGTTTACTTTCTCTTAAGATAAATTATAAAATACTAAATAGAAAAGAACTCCTAATATATAGAAAATTCGAATAGCTACTAAATAGCCTTATATAAACTTATATAATAGGTATATATATACCAGATAATTTCATTATTTATAGCTATAACTATAATTATAGTATGGTCTATTCTTTTATATATATACTTATAAATATACTTAATTATTTATATAAATATATAAACCTTAATATTAATATATAAATAGAACTTTTAAAAGAAATATAGGTTATATAAAATAACCCAGTAATTATTATAGATAACTTCCTGGCCTAGAAAGCCTAATTTGCAAACTATAAATATTTACTTATTATTCCGGTAATAGTATTCGGAATAGCTATTCTTATTAATTATAGTATAATTTATAAAAGCCTTTAGGAACCTCTTAAAGTATACTAACGGGCTATAGGCTTCTTTATAGACTATATATAGGGCCCGTATATAGTCTTTCCTATATGAACTATAGGTTATATTACCTATAACTAAGGCCAGAAGCTTATCTATAGGATCCTATAATGAATCTAGTAGTTTAGTATATATAATCTTATCTATATATTTAGGTATATTAAACTTTTCGAATACCTATAAAAATAAGAATAAGTATAAATATAAAAGCTTTTATTTCTAGTATTTAATTATATAAATATAACCCGTATATTATCCGAAAATATGGTTTTTTAGGTCTATAAAAAGCTTATAAATCTTGAATTAAAATATATAAGTAATTAGATCTAGCCGGTCTATAAGTTATAAGCTACCTAGCTCCTAGATAATCTCTAGTTATTACGGGTTTATTATAAAAGTAATAAAAAAGATAGGCTTTCCAAAATAATAAATAATAATTATTAAGTTCTAGAAAAGCTATTATATAAACTAATTCCCGCCTATAAAAGAAAAAAAGAAAATAAATTAATAGCCTAGATTAGCTAGTAAGATATCTTTATAAATTAAGGTATTTACTAAACTATTATATATATCTATATAAATCCTATTTTAATATAAATAAAGCTAATTAAGAAATATAGTTTTATAAGTAATAAAAGTATCTATAATATATTACTAAAAGAGCTAGTAAGCCTAAAAGAGAAAAGATTTCTCGTAATTACGGGTATATAAACAAAACTAATAAAAGAACTACTATTCTAAACGGAACTATTAATAGATATAACAAGTATCCTATAAGGTTATTTCATAATACTACCTATATTTACTATATAGAAAAAGAAATATATAATAAAGTAATATATATATTATATAAGTAATAACTACCTAGTAAAATTACGGACCTTAATAGCCAGGCTTATAGACTATAAGAAAAATATTATATTAACTCTCGTTTATAAACTTGTCCGGAAGAATTCTTACTAGCTCTATAGCTATAGGAAGGTTCTTATAGTAATAATCTGCCCTAGACTAGAGAATTAGGTATATTTATAGACTAAGAAAAATCCGAAAGTAACTCGTTTAGCTAGCTAATTACTTCCGGGCTATCTTATAGATCCGTATAAAGAAATTACTATAATCTATAAGTATCTTATAAAGGCTATAGAAAATAGTTTAATTAAGTTACGAGTAGTACTATAACCGGAGATTAGTTATATAGTCTGGATTATAAAAAAATAACTAGGTAAAGGCCGGAACCTGCTATAAGCCTAGCTCTAAAAGTCCCTAATAGTAAAATAGCTCCCTATAAATCTAAAAGTAATAAAGACTATAAGAAAGATTAGTACAGATATCTTTAGTATAGCTTACGAATATAAAAGCAAGTACCGAATTATATACTCTTATATTCTAATAAAAGCTACGGGCTTGCGGATTATCTCTCTTAAAAAGCACCTGTAAAAAGGGCGGCAATACCCGTAACTCGTCTAATACTATATCTTTCCTCTTATAATAGAGCTTAAATCTCTAATATATACCCGTAATTACCTCTAATCCCCAGTACCTCACCCTATAATCCTCGTACTAAATATTTATTAGGCCAAGATTATAGGCTGGCGAAAACCGAAAGAGCGAACGGAAGCCGGATAGTAAAGGAGAAGAGCTAGGAGGAGCAGGAGGATTTACTATGGCCAGAATACGGTCTCGTTCAATTTATATATTAGTCCGCCAAATACGCTTACGGGGCCGTGGGTTCTTATCCCCGTCTGTAACTGGCTATTATAGACCGCTATAGGTCTACCGGGGTGTATTAGGGTCGAGCTTAGCAAGAGTAGGCTGGCGTACCCTCTGGCTGGCCTAAAAAGAGGTTAGTTATAGGAGAAGAAGAGAGAGGAGAGAGAAACCCTATAATATAGATATGTCTTATATACTATACCATTAGGATTATAAGGAAATTGAGAGAAGGAATAATATTATATATAATTCGTATAAAAATTACGGGGAGAGGAATTTATTATAAAAGAAAGCTTACTGGCCGGATAAAAGGAGAAAAGGAGGCTAGAGCGAAGCGTGGGCTGGAAGTTTTGGTGTTCCTGCTTAGGTGAGAATGCGTAACCAGGAATTTTAACTGGTGGTCCGACCGTACGACAATGTTATATAGACTATGGTTTGGCTCCTATTTACTTCTTTTGAGGGGGTGCGGGGTTAATTAATCGCTTCAGGGGACCCTTACAGGGCTTACAGGGACTAGGATATTATTATGGGGAGATGAAACTAAGACCTACAGGGCCTATTAGTAGTCTTCATTAATATATTATGAAATATGCCGCTGTCTCCGTAAAGTGACGCCGATACAAACAATGATCATGTCTTATCTCGACCACCCAGCAGCCCACGCATCAGCCCTGCTTCTCTTGCAATACCTGCGGATCTTGAATATAAAATAATGATCCTCGAACTTGTGAAAAATCCTTCCCCTTGGTAATCTTACAATATGCTCCCTTTTCTCACAATTCTGCTTTTAAGTTTTGACGACGTGGCCGATGAAAGCTTGTCCCCGCAGAAGACGTTATTAACACTTAAGTAGAAAATCGTACGGGATCCCTCGATTATAGAAATGACAATCCCTAAGTCGAGCGAATTTTGGAACTGGAGCGCGATTTTCATGTCCAAATCTAGGAGACTCGATAGATATAGAACGAGAGACCGTCTAGCGAGCACCTGATCGCAAACATGCCCGGAAAAAGCAAGATAATCAGATTTAATATTAACACAAGGCAAAAACTTCATCTCGCCACTGGGCGTCCAATTCTGCATCTGTAATCCATCCCCACTTTTCAAACTACATTGAGCAGTCTACTTGGTGGTGAGAGTCCTAACATATGAAGCTGTCTCTGAATGTACATCACTTACTCGAACCGCAAACTCTTGAGCAGAATGACGAGAGGGAAAACCTTGTATTCTTGAAAAGCGAGCGGTGGATCAGTTTTCCATGGTGTTTCTTCTTATTATTGGGGAATGAACCTAATCACTCCTCGCATCAGGGGATAATATTTCAATGCAGCACCCTCTACAACAGCGCTCTCGACTCTCCTCACAACATCCGCATCAGCCCCTATCAAAGCGTCCCACTTCAAGGCCTCCCACCCATCATGTCCCCCTCCCTCCCTCCAGCACGTCCTCCGCCCACACCATCTCCATCGCGCTCCTGACCCGGTTCACACAGTTCCATCCCTTTTCCTGTTTCACCGGCGCATCCCTCATGATCTCAAACAATCGCTCCTTCTCGATAATATCACCAATGTACGTCTGAGAGAAGTTTCGGCATGCCGCGAGCAGAGACGTGGATCTCCTCGTAAATCCAATGCATTTGATTTGGATTAATGTAGTAGTCTCGTGCGTGGAAGCGGGTTGCGATTAGTTGAAGGCTATTATTGCTGCTAGGGATGGCAAGAAGAGCCCAGTGGTAACGATCTGACGCTTGGGAGCCGGGGACTACGCCATCACCGATGTAGAGAGCTAGGTACAACTGGACTTTTGAGGACTAGAAATCCGTCATGCAATTGAGCATCAGCGTCAGGTATGCGGTGGGAAGATAATGTAGTGTGTAGCTTGCAAAGACATATCACGCTTTTGATTTACAAAGAACATATATGGACTTGGGGATTGAATTATTATCAATCAAAAGAGAAGGTGGGGTGACCTTTGGTTTGATTACTGATGGATGCTGACCGAGCTATGGGATTGCCCGAGATTATAGCTCTTAGCATGTGGAATGTCTCGGGTCACGGGACCTAGGAGTTCTTAGAAGTTGTTCGTGTACTGATATTCTCTCCCCTTTTAACCCAGTTATCTTTGGTGTTAGGTTTTAGAGTCATAAAAATTGGCAATATATACTACGGATTAGTTCCCCCCTTTAAGGATTTCCCACAAAATATTCACACCAAATTCTCAGTTGAAGTCAATTCACTTTTATTGCCTAATTTCCAGCCTTCACTGTGTCTACTAATAATCAGACTTTAAGTCAACATTAAGTTGTTCCTAAATGTGTGTATCCAATAATTCTCAATCTCCGATTAAGTCATAACATCGAATGTTTGATGTGTTCTCAGTGTCATTGAAATCTCTTTAGTCACCACTCCTATTCTTGTGATTGAAGGAGTTGTTCTGAAAAGAACATGAAATACTTACCTAGAATTCTGTTTACTGTACAGTACTCTAGTTCCCTCTCCGACTTTGCTAAAAGACCAAGATTTAAAGTCGTACGCTTTTCTCACTTGCGGCACCCATGTCTTATTCTTGGCTGCAGGAAATTCTTCACATATGTTTAATCGCGATGACTTCCTCGCAACGGTATATTGCATTTGGCTGCTAAATGAGTGTCATAAAGTCAAAGCATAGGCCTCTGGGGAAACCTGAAATCAGACTGAATTCGCCAAGAACCTGTTAACTCAAACAATCAGATGAAATCGAAGAGACAGCGGAAATTTGTCACGCCTTGAGTTCCCAGCCAGGGGAGCCGAAGTCCGCATCACATCCAGCTCCTCGTTCATGGGCCACTGTCCCCAGCGTAGGTCATCAGGATGGTATCGCTCTCTGCTACGGCAGTGCTGAGCGTTGTGGGAGGGTTCTCCACCAAATTCAAGAGGGTTGCACCGCTCAAGTTTTTCGCGACATTCTTGGCTGTCCCAGCCTGGCAATCGTAGAAGAACTCAGCTCCGTAATCCGGGAATGGTGCCTCGCTACCACCCAGTGACGGGTTTTCCATAATCCATTCAGCACAATTGCCAACCAGCTTTGTGGTGCCAGGTGCCGTTGGCTGGGCAGATACATATTGGCCGGTACTGGTGTTGCTCAAAAACACATATCCCTTTGTTGCACCCGCACCGTCTGGAGCACACACAAGGCAGTGCACGCTGTCACCTGGCTTGACTGAGAAGTCGGAGAAGTCGGTCCAGGAATACGGATACCACTCGAACCAGCCAAAAGCTGTCTGGGATTGAATTGTGCCGCCAGAGACGATGCACTCCGAGCCAGTCCCGCCCTGCAGAACGTCGGCGCTACCCCAACCATCGACTCAGAAGAAGTTAGCGTTGAAAGACAGAAGATAGGTGAATATGCCAGAGCAACCAGTGTATGTATAAGTTTCAAATAACATCTTACTCCAGTGAGAGCTTCATATCGTGAACATAATTAAGAGAATGGGGATTGTCCAGGAATTTCGTAAAGAACGAAAATGGAACAAAGAAGCGCTTACTCCCAACCCATGAAACGCACAAGTAAGTGCCATCCTTCCAGCCGCCAGTAGCCAGCTTGGCAGAATCCGGAGGATAAGCATTGGGGACAGTCCAAGAGCCGGAGACCGTCACATAGGAATCACCAGCCCCAAGGCTCATGTCAACCGCTCCAGACCAGTTGGTGCTGGTTGAATTAGCAGAGGGTCCAGCCTGATCTACGACAGGCTTCAAGCCCCGGAAAAGCGCATCACGGGGCGTAGTTATGAGGCTGTATTTGGTTGGAACGAAGGTGAGGGGGCGACTCATGACGGACGTCCACTTGGCGTAGAGGCCTGGCTGTTTCTCTGGGTCTGGACGACGGGGTAAGCCAGCGGCGATGAGCTCATCATTCGTAGCCTTGAGGGGCTCGAAACCAACAGGAGGAGCTGGAAGAGACTTGAGTTGCGGCAAGTGCTTTTCTGTCAAGCTCAAGCGATCACTCCAGTTCATTGCTGGAGCGGTAGGGGTTGGAAGGGGCTTTTGAGCCATGGTGCTGGAGGAAGATGGGTACGTGTTGAAGACTTTGAGTGATGTGGACTTGGGACAAGATAATATTATTTTGATCTTTTCCGAATTGAATATGAGAAGCGGCAAGCTGCTGATGGGTAGCATGGGCTCATTGATTTATAGGGGTTTGTTCAGTTTACGCCCGAGACACAAGGCGTTATTTCTGCCTAGTTGCATGAAGGGCTGACCAACTCCGGCATACTGCACAATTCAATCCTTCAAGCCTTCCAGGCAGCACCCTTTCCAAGTTTTTTTACTAGATTCTTCCAAGTAATTTGTACAACCTAGCATTTCTATGAATTTAATTGGGCTAATTGAGCGTCTAAGGATACAATCGGCTTTACCTACGTTGCCTAACTCGAACTTGAAGTCCCCGATTGAAGGACAGTGGAAGGCAGTGGAGTGCTGATGGTAAGACTCGTAACGACAATCACAGCTTATGGTTACACGACAGAAGCTCTCGCCTGACTGAGCATGCAGACTTTGATTCATTTTCCCTAAGGCGACCTATGGCGACTTGAGCTGAACCACACGTTTCAGAATGCTGCGATGGCTAAGAATGTCGTTAGCTGAAAACGTCATTCGAGCTGAATTCATTTTCCATAAAGCGGCCTATGGCGACTTGGGCTGAACTGCCCGTTTCGGAATGGTGCGATGGCTAAGAATGTCGTTAGCTGAAAACTGAATACGAGCTTCTGGTTCGTTAGAGAATTCGGCATAACTCTCAGCCTTCAAGTTGGTGGGTGTCAAACTCCAGCACTCCGCCACCTCCAAAACGACGATATTACGAGACATGAAATTTTCGGGCGGTCATTGTGCCGCGAAGAAGGAAAGGAGACTTGACGCCCAGGCAGTTCAAGAGTCCAGCCCTCGACCAAACTCCGAAAGTGATAGCAGAAGCGCTACGAGGGTTGGGAATTGCTCAACAAATAAATGGAAATGTGCAGCCCATAGCAAAACCTTAACCAAAGAAAAGATAAACTAGCAACCAACATAGCCACCACTTAGACGCACTCCACGCCCAACTTCCATCTATTCCCTCATCAAGGACCACAAACATTCAAAGCTCTCGTAAAAGAAGAAACTCAAATTCTCCAATGGAGGGTAAATTCTTGATTGTCAAATGACTTCGCTAGCGGAGACTCGGCTCTGTTCATTTGCTTGCCAGACGAGGCCGGAGCCGACGAGATTTTTGAGCCTCGAATCGTAGAGACTGCCGTCCATGACTTTAGTGCTCCAGACCCAATGAGTAAGAAGTAATACAGCAACTTCTAAATACTAGGCCCGATAGATGAGAAACTTGAGATGGTTCAGATAAAGACCCACAAGTTGGAGCATTTATGAACATTTCATAGAGGCGAGGAGAAGACATGTTTTTGGAGGTTGTTTTGCGAACTTCCCTGACACGGCATCCTTGATAAGATAATTTTTTGGCCGAATTTGATTCCCTGACGAGAAAGATGACAAAGGAGAGTGAAGAGAAGAGAGAAGCCGGTTCTCGCTTGAGCCCCTGATCAGCCGAGAAGCCCAATTCGGACTAACATGCACCACCAGACTTAAGCATACTGGGACATAGCTTGTGGCTTGTGACAAGTTTTCTTCGTGACCTGTAGGCCCGAAAGCCGCAGTCAGAATAATTAACCCCAGTAAATTTCATTTTGTGCTTCCCGCTTGATCTGAAATGTCACTTGAGCAGTAAAATGCCACCCGAAAACACAATTGTCTGAAACATTACGATATGCACTCGAGGCACTCCGAATTTTGTTCCCCTGACGCGTGGACACCCAAATTTTCAACTACCATTGTCATGAAGTAAGCGCTAGTAATGACTGGTTCATTGTATTGAAGATAGTTCCTGTTAGTCGGCAACGACTTCTCCATCTTTGGCAAGGTTTAGCGGGACGTCAGAACGGCGCACGGAACGAGTGCTTCGCCGTTCGGAATTTTAAACTATTGGTTTCAGTACGATCAATGCGATTCAGGGAGAGTCCGTGAAGTCCGTGACGCGTTGCAATTTTTAATAGAAGGGTTGACCATCAGAACCGGTAGTACGGCGCGGATCTTCTCTTGTACTTCCCGAGTATACAAAGATACCAGGCATCCTCAAACAAAATTTGATGTCCATATCCATCTATAATCAATACTTCTGCAAATTTTGTCGTTTTGTTCCTAGCAACACTTCAGCTGCATCAACAACGATCTTGGGGACTCTCCGAAACATAAATCCTCACTCCGGCTTCAATTGACGACATATATACTGTTGCAGTAATCCCTCTTGCGGTCGGGGGTCTCGTTTCCTTCGTCGGCTTTCCAAATCTTCTCAACACCGCCGTGAATAGGAAGGACTTCAGCTTGCCAAATTGACAATGCAACTGCTGTCAAATTCCGAGACCGGTGCGGAACCGCGTTAACGGCCCGTGTCGAATTTTGGTAGACGATCACGAAACATCATGGCGGACTCAGAACTTAGGGATCTCGTGGTGGGCAATATTCGTTCTACCCTTCCAGGCAGCTGAAGTGTTCATCTGTTCTCAGAATACTTAACCAGGATCGAATCGAGAGTTGACCTCCAATCGATGTGCGGAAGTATCCCTTCCTCCGAACAACTTTCGAAGATTTGGATGCTCAACATGTCTCGTCGGCATCGTCTGGGGACTCAACCTCTTCATGTTTCTACCTGGAGCTGAAGAACTTGGTTGAGAGAAGTGAAGTGGAAACCCTCTGGAGTCAAACTTTGAAGAGGCGTCGTTCATGGAAACACGACTTCGACTTTGTCGTCATATAGCTACTGTGACAAATTCTAGCATTGGATATCAGAACATGGTGTTCGTATACATAGAAACTCTACCGCAATTTGTATTCGAATTTGATCACTTCGCTCCAAAGCCACCCCCTCTTACTCCTCCGAATTGGGTTTATTGGCGGGAATGGGTCACAGTAGCGGGGTAGATGATACTCCACCGCAGAACTATCATTATCTTCCCCTATGTGTGCGTGCTTCTTTTGAACCACACGTAAAACCAGGCGGTTACAAGAAGAGCCTAGCGGTTCCGGATCGGTGAGTTGATTAAATATTGGGGTCCTGAAGCCCTGTCTTAACGTTGGCGCTACATCTCACTTTATTTTCGAAAGCATCAGTTTATCCGGTTCTTACTTCCTTATCGATTTACACAATCGTATCATTAGTCCGCACCATGGAATCCCGACCCAAAAAGGTCCTTTTCTTCACCAGTACTGAAGCCAGGCGAATGTTGTCCTCGCTATAGCGCAGACGCTGATCCATCTGGGCTGCTCGGTACACATTGCCTCCTTCTCACCGATGGCTTCACAAGTCGGAGGCTCACCAGGGCAGCCTTCCATCGACTCCATAGCGAATCGATGCAAGAGGTTGCGCACCACCATTTCACATAAAGTAAGCCAGAGAGCAAAACGAGGCTAAACACTAAAAGCAAAAACATGCGCAGTAGGACAGGAGCGGTGTTCGATTGTAAAAGCATCAATTGATTGTCCGGAAGGAAGGTTGCTTGTCTACAACTATGGAGAAGGCCAGCCCTCTTTGTGTTCCCGCCAAGTCACATGATGATGGATATGCCCTTTATTATGTGACCACACTAACCAACCCCTCCCCCACCAAAACAACAAGATTTTTAATGGAATACGGCTTGCCGTACCTACAGTAATTTCAGATGATCTTGCGAGATTTTGAGATTCGAGGAAATGTCAGCCTTCACGTGACCAGGTCGATTCCCTGCTCCTTGTTGGATGGTCTCGGTTCCAGGATCGTGCGGAAGAACTCGATTAGGGCAAATCAAGCGTATTGCCAACTGTACAGAATAAACTACGAGGGACATTAAGGCCACATAAGGGACCACAATTGAGACGTGCCTGAAATGGTGAAGGGTTCTGCAATCAGTGCCTCAGGCCGCAAGGCATCAATACTCCACCCCTGCTGGTTCTGCCTTGCACTTGCTGACATACTCCGTACATTTTTGAGCACGTCCCACGCCACGATCGTCAACCTCAATCTCAATCTCAATCACAGGCGGATTACACCACCATACACACCACCATGGAGGCCTCTCATCTAAGTAGTCCTGCTATTCCTGCTACTAAATCCTCACCCTTTCTTTCCCTCCCTGCTGTTCTTCTCCGTGCTGGTCTTGTTTCCGACGCTGAGATTGATCTCAATGGAGGCCGAGAAATTCACTACCACTGGGGTCCCCAACGCCCCTTCCAAGTCTCTCATGACCTACTGTTAATGTGCCGCACCTTCTATACCAACATCCATCCCATTATATATTCCACAAATGTGTATTACATCCGGTACCGCGATAAAAAAAAAACTGGAACGACTCCGGATCCTGAGTCCAGATACCATCCTCGACCTTCTGTTCAACACTCAGTAGAGCCTTGATATAGAAGAAGCGAGGAAGGAATTGTGCGAAGAGTAGAGCGATTGAAAGCGAAGTAGAACTTGTTACGGCGAGGAAGATGGCATTAGATCTAACCTCACAAATCCTTATCTTCCCAATAAATATCATATCCCCTTCTCTGCTCCACGCCCTCTCCTATCCTATCAGCAGCCGTAATATACACACTCTCCCCTCCCACTCTTTGCCCATCCATCCCCATTTCTCACAACCCTCCGCCCCGCAGACTAGGTATAAAACTTCATTTCATGCAGCAAACTCCCGGCCCATGTATGCAAAAAAAAAAAAACACAACGAAAGAAAGTGCTCACGGAGCAATACTATATCTTCCCCCACTGGAACTTGGTATCTCTACCCCCAACACAAAGAAAAACATTCAGAGAAAAATATAGAATATGTACAGCCCCCTTTTCCCACTCCCAATTCCCCTTCCATTCCCCTCTTTCTCTCCATCCTATCATAAAAAGCTCCACAGGTTCGCACTTCGACCCAAGATCGCCCTCCTCGTCACACTCCCATTCAAACCCCACTGCGTCCCATTCCCGAGATTAATCGTGAACGTCAACAGATCCACCGTATTGCCAGCCCCAATGGACACATTCCTCGCCACCTTGTTGCTCAGATCATTGAGCGAGAAAGCATGCTGTAGCTGGCTCTGCGCCGTGACCGCGTTGTCGATGTCTTCTTGCTGGAGCACGAACAGGACGGCTACGCGCGCGAAGTCGAGCACTTGTTGGGTGACGGTGAAGTCTTCATTGGGTATGATGCTTGCTGTAGGTGAAGCTGAGGTGGAGGAGGCGGTGGTTGATGCATATGATGATTGGGATGGGCTGCGTCGGACTTTCTCACCTGAGGTGGATGTTGTGGCAGAGGTGGCAAGGGCCGTGTCGGCAGCGGATCCTACTCGTTGCGAATTGCCGTCAAATGTCACAAGTGCGTTTTCGCTGGCGCAGGTGAGGTTTGCGGCATTGAAGCGGGCAAGGATCACGCTTTCGAAGAGCGGGATAGAGAAATTCGCTTGTGCGCCTGAGATGAGACGGACTATGGCCTTCCCGAGCGTGACGTTTGAGTAAGTTCCTGAGGGGAAGGTGGTGGTTGTGCAGCCGGTGAGGTTTGCTACTGTGCACGTTGGGCCTGTGAAGCCATTGATGCAAATGCAAGAACATGATCCATTGTCCAATATTGAAGTTCCGCCATTTTGGCACGCGGTGGCGGTGGTAGAAGAGCAGGTTGAAAGGGCGGATGCGGTTGTTGACGAGGTCTTGGGTTTGTGGAGTACCAGCAGTTCGAGAGGTACGACGACTGCTGCGGCGATAATAATTAGAAGAATTAGGAGGACAAGGAGGAAAGCCCAGACAGGGAGACCGCAGCAGCGACGGCGTTTGGGTGGTTGTTGGCGGGGAGGGGAACCCGGATTGAGGGTGTCGTCGTCGTAAGGGGAAGGCCAAGCCGAGTTTGGACGGTTTGGTGTGCCATCACGTGGAGTTCCTAAGCCAGGTGGTGGGAAGGCGGACAGCATGCCAGAGAGACCGGATTGACGTTTCCCATTGGGAGATCCTATAAACGTTAGAACGGATGCGGGTAAATGGAGAAGGAAAACAAACCCTCCAGCTCTTTCTCTTTCTCCAGCTGGCTCTCCGTTGGGAAATCTCCAAAATCGTTCAGGTCATTAAGTCGACTTGCTGGTCTCTTCCCTCTGTCCATCATAGCTGCTAATCTCGTAGCTCTCCGAATCAGATCCGGTAAACTTGTCAAGCTCCCTCTTGCCTCTGCATCTCGCACAGCATCCATATCCAACCGTGGGGGCCGTCGAACAGCTGATAAACGACTGAAACCTGGACTTGGGGTTCTGCTTGGCGTTACTGACGGCGCCAACCCACTTGCAGCATTGTATACTCCAAGCATGGCATCGGCACTCGGGTTAGAAGTGGTTGTGTTCTTCGGCGCAGGTTCATCCGTTGTAATTGCTCTGGCTACTTGGGGTATGGATTCCTCCGAATTTGTAGACGATTTGTCTATCAACCCCGTGCCACCGGCAAGCGGCGAGTCCGGATCCCCAATCATCGGCCAAACCGTCTCCCTCTGTCCTTCTCTCGTCCTCGAAGCTGTCACTCCCGAGGCTGGTACCCCACTCACTGGCGGCAACACACCCATCCTCTCTAATTTTAACGGCTGCTGTGGTATTGGAGATGGCCGTGCAGAGTCAGAACTTTTTGTTGTAATCATAGAAGGCTTCGCGCGTTTTCCAAGACTTGCACTTCGGATCAATCCTCTGTCATCATCATCATTATTCGATTCTCTCGACTCCCGACCTTCTTCAATAGGCTCATTTCTCCACTGCCTCGCATCCCTCGAGTCCCGATAATCATCCTCATACTCGTCGTCATCTTCAAATCGAAATCCGGGCGAATCTGATCCCCAACTTGTCGGTATTGCTGCACTCGATGCATATGATTCGTGTGATGGTTGTGTTCGTGGGCTCTCTTCCGGAATTGGCGAAACATACGATGCTTGCGAATAATAGGACGAATTTCCTCTCCTTGAAGTTGGCGGGGGACCAAGGTTAGCACTCCTTCGAGGTGGTCCAGACCCTGGTGGTCCGGGCATTACAGGCGGTGGCATCGGTACAGGAAAGTCAGGTATTGTTCCTACGGATGAGATCGTTGAAGGTCTCGACGACATAGACATTACGGGAGATGTGACCTCGTCTTCTGGTAAATTTCCTCTCTGCGCGTTATGGGATTTGTACTGAAAAGTTGGAGTGTGGTCCTGCAATCGCGAAGCATCCAGCATTGACGGGACATGACTTGGACGAGGTGGTCGTTGTGGCGCCGCACCTCGACCAGCAGGGGGTTGGTATTGTTGCTCTGGAGTTCCTTCAATTGTCGCCGCAAGTGGCCATTGCGGTACCTGCGTTGGACGAGATATCGCAACCCCGATCGGTCCTTGCCCATTTCTCGAACCAGCCAGCGCGGGTGGCATCTGAGGTCGTGATCGATTCGCTTGCGGCATCGCTCTGGGCTGTACATAAGGATTTTGTCGTGGAGGTGAGGGTATTTCTGGTGGTAAGCCCCCCTCCACCCTCTCTCTAGCTCGCCTCACCGAGCCCCCTCCAGCTTCGCTGGATGGCGCATGCCATTGCTGATTCATTGGGACAAGATCGTTAGAGTTTTCGATAATGGGTTGCAAGTCCCACGGGATATAAGGGGTTCCGAGAAACCGCCGTTGTGACCAGTCCGACTGCTCGGAGCCTTTGCCTTACAGCGTTTGCATATGCATGAAGCCGTCAGACAAGGGATCACTATATGCGCGCTGCCGTAGATGGGTTTCTTCGTATTCCACCTGACAGAGAACACTCGACCAGTAGAATGTCGTTGGTATATTGGTTCGTATCGTTGGACAAATCGAATTGGAAATTCCCGGTAAATTGGCTGAAGTGGTCGAACTTCGATGTAAGAAAGGTACTCTGCCAAAGAGCGTGTGACGATCGCTAGGATCCGAAATGAATAGACAAAGCTTGGGTCTATATGAAGCAAGTTAAATCAAATAAGTTGTCGCAATTAAGGTGGCGATGTGTAAGAATCGAATCGGAACGGTGTGTATCGCATGGACTCGGCCGTCGAAAGAATGTACCAGTGTGACCAAACTCCCCCCAACTCAACAAAGCCTGCACGAATCTAATCAGCAGATGAACGCAACCTCATCCAGTGTGTGCGATTGAGGAGGATAGGAAGAAAGGAGAGGAGAAGCAAGTCAAAGGCCAGCCCGTGATAGGGAGAGGGCCTGTCATTCGAAACCGCGACCCTCATAGCACCAGTGAGTGGTCAATTGGAAATCAAGTTGAATGGGCCTTCGTTCCTCGACCCTCGGGAGCATGGACCGACAGCGAGCACCTCCTGAGCAGCCAAACGTGCGGATAAAGAAAGAGGAGATGGTCCTACAGTTGGTGTTTCGAAAACCGACGGAAACCCTTCATGCGACGACCGCACCTGTTTGTCCCCCACCGTTTTCTCACTTCCCAAATCCACGCAGAGTATGTGTTGCACGACCGTTCGACGGCTGGCAGGCTACAAACGTGGTCGGTCTATTTTTCCGCGCGTCCACGCTGCACTCGTTCGTCTCGTGGGAAGCTCGTCTCCAAAGGCGCAGCGTGGGGACAGCTCTCGAAGCCGTGGGCGAGGGGATCGGTTTGTTGTTTCAGACGAGCCACTTTATCACAACGGGATACTTACAGAGCCTCGCTCATGGGCGATCAAGCAACGATGAAGCGCAGGCTTGGGGCTGTGGATGGACGAAGGTTGGTCGATTCGATGCTGGCCGTCGTCTGCAGCCGTGAGAAAAGAATGGAATGAAGCTGTCGTGTGCAGACACAAGAGGAGGACGGAGTATCAGACTAGAGATGCAGCGCGAGGTCAATCGCAGTAAAGAGATGATGAGCTGGATCCTCTGGCCGACTGGGCGCTCCTCCTGGCTGGTTCACGACTTCGTGTTCCCAGATGCCGGGAACCCTGGAGGTTTTCCACTGGGCCGTGGCCAGGATTTTCGCACGGGACGCCGCAAGCTGGCCCAGATTTGGACCTCACACATTGTGGCAGCCAGCAACGAGGGCTCAAGCAGAAACACGCCAGCAGCGTGGTTGCTGGGGGGGGGGTCGAAGAGCCAGCCGCAGGGGCCGTGAGGTGGCCAGGAACAGGGTGAGGAGAAGACGAGGTGGGGGAGGGGGTTGGATGTTTTTCCGCAGCATCGTGCTTTTTTAGAGCGGCAGCCATAGACCTGTCGTCGTAATCGTAGTGGAGAAGCAGCGAATCTGATAGGTCGCTTATGTCAGCTTTGGCTGCCGCTTTCACGCCAACCTTTTGTTGTCCGCAGATGGTCGGGCAGGGCGGTGGCGGTGCTCATGCTCGCTTGCACCAGTGAAGCGTGAACTTTGTTTTCAGCTAACCACAGCACAACACAATAAATACTCCGTACAACGCACGCTGCTGGACTCCAAGAATAGATCTTCCAACTCTTCACCATTCTCGAGCATCACGTCATTGCATCTTCCCCATCATCATCCTCATCATCATCATCTCCGCCATCGGCCAGCAAATCTCGATCCCATGTCAGCCTCTGTGGCCAGTGTTTCAGGTTGATTCGCTTCATGCCGATGCCGCGGCCCCCAGGGTCTGAGATGCAGGGACGTGGGCCAGCAATAGAAACCGCTCACACTGCAGATGCAGGCCACCAAAGAATGAATGCTGTGCGCACATTTGAGAATGCCTAAAACGAGAACATGGGATCCAAACCCCACGCGCAAAACCCGTCAAGCACCGCTCTGAAGTTCGAGAATAAAGATGGAGATGCCTGAGGAGGAACAGTCTCATCTGATGTCTCGATCTGACACATGACCGCCAAGATTCTGCAGTGAACTCAAATCAATTCTCCGAGTCTTGCCCATTCCTGGTTCCTTTGCTTTTTCGTCCCTTCGGTCTCTCCACAATGTCCTGCCTCATTTCGCCTCACTAGCCAGCCACCTGTGCCACAGCACAATATATTGGACTGACGACAAGCCGTCACACAATTTCAAATCCTCAGCTAAGCCTGCGGGCCGATACAGTCAGGATTCTTGTTTTCTGGCTGGTGCGAATTTTCACATTAAAAGATATCGGGCCGCACTCTTCTTAATATATCTACAATACACATCCCCGCTCCTTCGAGAAGTCCGGAAGACGGAAGACGGACTTTTGGATACAAATTCTTCCGCGAGTTACTTTTTATATTAAAAGAACTAGGATTCCCTCATGTCAGGTTGCAGACGGCCAGGTTGACTCTGCTAGCCATCTCGCAAGGAACGTGTCACGAGGCGGCTTCCTTTCTTCCTTCTTCCTCCTTCCCTCCCTTCCTTCCTCATTTTGTTTTGAGTTTGCAAATTTGGTCGCAGACAGGGCTTTCCTGGATCTCTGTTGGATTGGTCATGATTTGATATCTCGATCGATTATTCAAGAGGCCAAATTATTGTTGATGTGTTACGGCCCCGTTGGACCCTTGACGACAGCAGGCTTTCTTGACATGCAGTACTCCCCCATCCATGCAGCCATCTTGGAAACTTACAAATCAAAGCCCAAGCTGCTCTACACTGTAGGCTTTCCTACGCATTTCTTGTCGGCGCTCTTGTCTCAGCACGCTTCGCTTCAACACTTCTTCCGAGCTCCTGTCTCTCCATGCTCAGCTACTTCTCATACGGTACAGTCTTCATTTTCGGCTGCCCTGATCTCTGTACAAGACTTTCAAGTCGAAGGAAGACTCTTCTGCCCCGAAGGAGCCCGTTTCCCTTCCCATTGGCCTCTTTCAAGTCAACTCTTGATTACCTTTCCCGCCTTCCATCTCCCCTTTGAGCGCAAAATCGAATTTACATCTACTATTACGTAGTGGAGAAATCTCCTGACGTACGATTATGTGTAGGTCAGGTTATAGATGTTCACTACCGCTCATGTTTTTTCCTGTTCTCACACCTCCGGCGCCCCAGCCTTCGCTTTCTCAGCACTCTTCCACCCCATCCCCCAACAACTAACAAAAGCCGCAGCCGCCGCCCCAACAGTAAGATAGAACACATCATCGACAGCCTTGCTATAACTCAAAATAACCCCTAGCAACGCCGCCTTGGGAACCGCATCCCGGAACCCGCTCGCTCCAGCCACAGAAACTTTCTCAGGATTCACCAGCGGCGCAAGACGATGTAAATTATCCGTCAGCGAGTTCGAGAACACAGTCTGCGCGAGCGAAGGAATATCGCAGGCTCGGAGCTTTGGCTGAAGACGACGGCTGCGACGCCGATGGAGACAAGGTCGGGCTTCCGATGATTCTAGACCGCGACCAGTGGCTAGAGGTGTGTAAGCCGAGGGTTGGGTTTGAAAGAAGGACGAAAGAAGAGAGGAGCTGCCATCTGGAAGCCGCAGCCTCGTCCGATACCTGCGATGACTTGGTAGAAGATCAATTGTACAGTGGAAGATGTAGGCGTGGGTGTGGCGAGGAGGCCCGTTCCGATGGAATGGCGATGGCCCACGGGAGGTAGTAACCCCAGTGGCCCAATGTGCGCCATCAGCATCCGTGGTTAGCAGTACAACGTCTAGAATGTATTCACACCTCGGATGCCAGAGACCACGGCAAAAAAGATGTTACTGAGGATAGACGGTGGGATGGACACGCCGCTCATGGTCGGCGATTTCCGCGCACGGCTTGGAAATATATCGCCTTGTAGAAGCTCGTGGCCATCATATTGGCGGCCAGGAAGAAATATGTCGGGCAGCTTGACCAGACGACTCGCTGGCTGAGCATCGAGAGCGGAAGCATGACTGCATCACCTTATCGATATTCCCAGAACAGAAACGCAACGAGTTTGCCTGCAGATCCACAGAACAGTCCAATGACGTTCGCGTTGCTCTATTTGTATGTTGTGCCGCCCTATTCGATGGCGAGGAGGAACATGATCGCCGTCGAGGCGAAGATTGTGAAGCCGAGGATGTCGAGGGAGCGGAGGATCGACGGAAGCCGGTTTTGATTTCGCTTTGGATGAAGCAGAGGAACGAGAATGACTAGTCCTCCTACAGGCAAGTCGATATAGAAGCCTGTAGTATGTTAGCTAATTTTCATAGTTCCGCAGATTTGGTATGGGTAAAGGGACGACCAACACCATCGCCAGCTCGCACATTGAGTTAATGCACCCTGAATTAGCGGCCCGATTACAACACCCATTTGGCAGCCTGAATTCAGATGGCCAGTACTAGGTATCTCGAGTGGTAGGAGAGGAGACTTATAGCCCAGCATAACCCCAGATGAGCGGCACTTTTTTCATTAGGAATAAAGGCTGGGAGAATCATCAGTCCCCCATCATCATGCCGGATCCGCCCAACCCAGCAACAGCTCGACCAATGGTCAGCATCTCCAAGGACACAGCTGCACCTCACATTAAAGAGCAAAGCTCAAACACCACTGAGAGGATTATGAAGGTGTACTAAGTAGAAGTCAACAAGGGGGCAGACTAGGGTTTTCCTAATTAAAACCCTGACCTTTGAATCGAATTGATTGTAGAATTCACCCGGCAATAGTTGCAATATACACCTACGAGATTAATTATTAGTATTCCATATATTCAATGTTGGTGGTTGCCTATCTAGCTAGTTATTAATATAGCAGGCAGTCCCATGCCAGCCGATGTCTGTAAGGGAAAGGATTACGACTAGAGAGGTGAGCTCTGGACTTAGTTTCGCAACAATTGAGGTGTCCAAGAACATGAGAAAGGTAGCCACAGTGCATGCACCCATTACAACAATGAGCCTGTAATCCTATATCCAGTGACGTATTCCCATTCCTCCTCCGCAGGGGTTCTTGTTGAGTCTTTCAGGGAAGTATCTTTTCCATGGTCCAGGTTTCCATTGTCTGCTTCTGACTTGTGGACGTTCTGATGCTTTGACACGTGGTTCTCGTGCTTTCCCATGCTTGCTGGCCCGGCGCTATGGCAGTAATAGGCTAATGGCCGCCTGGCGGAATCGAAACCGAAGAAGCGAGCGATGGACTTTTCGACGACGTCGGCACTGGATCTCAGCAAATGAAGAAAATTGGGTAGATTGAAGCGACATAGAAAAGTCCAGGAGACTGTCCTAAAATACAACCGCCAGATTCATGGTGCCAGTGCTGTGCCTTTGATGGGAGTTGCTCCGTTCCCGATTGAGGTTGTTCATTGACAGGACCGGAAACGGAGCATAACCTTTCCTCAAAACCACTCTGTTCGACGCAACGACACTTCGCACCGGGTTTCCTAACACCATCGTGTATCGTATAAACTACACATCAATCTCCCGTCATCGTACTGACTTGTGGGTCCGATGCCACCATAATGTCCGCCATCCATGCATCGTCCAGGAATTGAAAGAAATCCATCAAATCGTCCGCCCCAAGCATCGCCCCGTTGGCGACGGAGTATATCTCAAGCGAGTTCATTTTGATTTTACATGGGAAGGACTAGGTCAGACGAACTTTTGGAAATAGCTGCGCTTCCAGTGTTAAGTTATCTAATAATCTGACCACCACAATCTCGAGTTGCAGCTGTTTGCAAAGGACGGAAGTTGAATAAATATCTCCGAGAAACACAATCAATGCTCTGCGCCTCCAACGTTCATCATGCCGATACTCTCTTCGCAAACTAAGTAGTCTTGCTCTTGCGAGCGGCCTGGCTTGCTTACATGACAGTTTGTAAATATAGAGGACTATCTAGCGTACTTTTTGAGTGCCTCGTACAACTCCAACATATCTTGACGCGTAATACCACGAACCCCAGTACCAAAAGTAAGACCGACATCCTTCAGATTGAGATAAAATAATGGGTGAGCTTGGATTGAACTTTTAAGATGTATAAATATTGCCTTGCTAAAAGCAGCAGCATAGCTAGAGTTCCCTAGTCAACACTTAAAAGTACCGATGTAAAGTTTTCCTCATCTGAAATTGCATCGAAGGGATTTGAGAACTCACTCGGCAAATTGCTTGGCTAACTCTTCATGCTCTGGTACCTGAGAGAAAACCGTGGAATAAAAGTATACAACCACAGCCCTGTGTTGACACTCTCGAGTGACGTAGATGTTATATTCGCTAGGGCTGCATGGTGTGCAACGAGTTAGTCCAGGGTTCTACCACACAAGAGCTTGTGCCTATGGGGACTTGAAAAGAGAGGAGAGATTAACTCATTGAATATGGGCACTTCAGGGCGAGGTTGAGTAGGCGCTATTCCATCCCACGTTCGAATAATGCTGTCAAGTCTCGCCGATCGAATTTCAGATTCCTGTTCCTGTTCCAGTTTCAAAGGAGAGTCGGCGGTAGTGGATGCTCTCGCTTTGTCTCGGTATACCTCTGCCGTAAGATTGTCTCCCTGGGCTGCTGCAATCGCTGATAAAAGGGTAAAACAGTTCGTTTCTAGCCACACAGTCTCCCCTAAAAGCTTTCGCCTCATTGACCGTGCTTTCCGACAGCACTTGTGAGCATCCTCCAGCTTTTTTCTCTCGAAACAGATCTCAGCAAAGAGATAAACCGACAGAATGCGCCGTAGCGTGGTATTCTTAGGTTCATTGGATGCAGGTCGGGCTGTTCTCAATTCAAGTGTTTCTACATCCGCTTCATCGAATCTCTTCTGATGGAACGCACAGATAGCGATTTGAAATTGAGCTGCTTCCAGATCAATCCCCTTGAGACGGACTTTGTCCAAGGGGAGCGTTTTCGAAGAGTCAATTGCACGGCGTATATATAGCTCAGCATTTGCCCAGTCACCCTTTTCGTAGTTGGCAAAGCCTCTCTTCAAGAATTCTTGCAGAATCTCATAGTCAAGGTCATCGTCCTCATCGGAGTCTTCGTCGAAGGATGGGCTATCACCACCAATAGTAGATGTTGAGTCAGACCGACCTGTGTTGGCCCCCATGGGTGCAGAGGAGACCCAGTTTTGGACAAATTCATGATGTTCCGGTTCCGTCCGAGGCCTAGACCACTGGCCTCCCGAATGCATTGCAAGATTGCTTTGCAAGTCTTGCTCGAGGAGATCTAGGTGGTGAAGCATCACGGTGATAGTAGAGCTATCGTCAGAGCCTTCCTCGCTTTGCTCTATAGTAGATCTGGCCTGGTCGAGAACATCTTTTGCGGAGAAAACTAGATTTGTCAGACTGGGTGGTCGCTTAGGCACAGAAATTGTGCCGGAGCTCTGAGGATCCTCTTGCGGCTTGTCTGAAGTCTTCGACAGTGATAACTGCATAATCATGTCTGTGAGTATCTCGAATCTTGGCACAAGATCATCTATCACTATATGTGGAGCGATTGAAGTGAGATGGCTAATATTTCATTAGTGAGCTTGCCAAGATAATTGTACGAGTATATTGAAGTGACTCGACTCGACTCACACGTTGATTGCTTGCAGAGCGAGTCTAGAACATCAGTCAGTAAGCCTTTTGTGTATTCCCCTTTTCTTGGGAGTAGAGTGTCTCGAAATCTGGGATCGAAGAACGTATGAACTCTATTATCCTTACTGAAGCGCCGCGTTCTGGCTCTGAATTTGGGACCGCAAGGTTTTGATTTCATCTTCCTTCCAGTTGAGTTTGAAAGCCCGGAGCATTTGCGCAGCTACATTTGACCCAGTTTTCTTGACGCTTTGTAGAGTCTTGTGCATGCTGTCAAGAACAACACGACAATCACCTAGCGACGCATCCACCGACCGCCAGAGGTCATGGTTACGCTGAGTCTGCTTTGGTGTCTCGATGTCTGCGGTTCTCAAACTGCTGCTGATGGCATCGATAGTACGACTGAGACCAGTAACCTCGTCATACAAGGACCGGACATTTTGATCAATGTTTCTCGTTGCTTGGACGAAACTGAAGAGGGTTGTCGATAGTGCGAGGGCAGCACGGCTTGCGCCCGAAACGGAGGTCAGAATAGATATAGGCTCCATATAGCTTAGAGACGTAGTCTATCCGAACGCGCAAAACCTCGCTGATTGATGTGGAAATTGTTTGTTGTTCGTTGATAACGACAAGGCTCGAGATACTGTCAACCTAGTGTGTAGGGGCGAGGCTGCCGGTGATCATTGATTCTAAAAATAGAAGCAGCCTCGTGGAAGAACGCGACACAAATCAAACTCAGAATTCACATACATTTTTACCTCCTTGAAGCCTTGGACATCACGAAGAACCCACAAAGTGCTGCTCTCCAACACCGAATGCTCTCCCTTCCTATTCCCATGACAATCCGTAACCCCGCTCTGTAAATCTGCAGAATGTCGAACCCAGAGGCGGCCCCTCTGAACCACGCAGATGTCGAAGCCGCCGAACCTCCTCAAAGAGATCCCCAGTCGAATCCCTCTAATGACGAACTACATGACCTCCTAGAAATGGATACTTGGAGGAGGAGAAAGGCTCCGCTGCACATATTGATACTATATGGTCTGCCTTTGTCGCCTCAATTGGAGGATTGGGCTCGGGGTTATAGGGATACACGATCACTCTTACTGCACCTTTGGATGACTACCAAAAGGGGCAGAATAGAGAATCATACGAGAAGGTCTTCGTGGGGATAAAAAGGGTTGTAATTCTAGTATATATCAACCATTCATGACAATCGAGGTTTAGATTGCCATCAACATCTTCTGGAGCGCCTTCAATTTATACCTCGCATGAAAGGCTGGCAAGAATACCCATGACTACTAAATACATTCTACGATTTGTTTAAGGGTGTTTCACTCGTCGAATTGGAGTGACTAATATGATGCGGATGCTGCTGGACCATGTTGCTTGCGATGGATCTGGGGACAAGGAGATGGAGAAAAAATGCGACACTGCTCTTCTGACGATATTTATTGTGGAAATGATAGGTATTAGCTTGAGGTTCCTTGTTATGTAAGCCTTATCCTTCATTGAAGTGTGAGAGTATGTTGCTAACTTGCGGTGATAGTCTTTTCCTTCATATACTGCTGGTTGGAAGGTGCTGTTTTTATATACAACGCAAAGAAGGCCTTTCAAGCTTGGGGAATGCAACCTTGATGAGGAGGAGGTGTTGGTGGCTTTGATGAAGAGGGGAAGGCGGCTTGAAGAAGCGGCTGAAGCCAGGAGATCAACAACTGATAGCCTAACACCTGTACCAACTCAATCAACCACTGCTGGTATTGATCACGATAAGGAGCGGACACAATAGGTTAAAGAGAAACTTATTGATATGGAGGCGACGGATGATGAGGGCACCCATCCCTCCTAGACTACAAAGTTTAGTACCACACAGCTACGGCCATTGCCACGCTCTTCTCTCCTGTTGAAAATCCATGCGGCATCCGACCTGCCACTGGGAGGTACTGCACACCATGAGCCTTATTCCTCTTCGATCTGATCACTTTCTTTTGCCCTGCCTAATCTTTCCTTTCTCCGAGTCCTAGAAAAACCACAGAGAGCTCTCGACAACTTAGGAGTCAGGACAAAGTGCCGTTGACACTAGCATCTCTTTTGTCTCTTGTCTGATTCGTACAGCTCTACTGCCCATCGTTGAAGTGTACTCAATGTTCCACGTATTCTTTCTCCGGTGAAAAATGTTGGTGCTGGCGGACTCATTAGAGAAGAAGAATCCAAGTCGCCTACCTCCTTGGCGAATAATATACATGTGTGGATCATTCTCGTTCAATCAGCGTTTTATTTCTGAATCTTCGAAGGGATTTCCGACGACGAATAGATCGAAACCAAGAGGGGGAGAGAAGCTGGGTAAGCTGATGTATCACGCTTTGGCAAGTGTATCGCCTCTTACTGATATCCGCCTTGTTGAAAATCAATCCAAGGTTATTGGTAGCAAATAACATTTGCGGTCACTTTGCATAAGCCACTCTTCCACCTTGCGATTGTGGTCAATGGTCATCTGGCTGCCCTTTACGATATTTGGAAGGACGCTGATGCATCGTTCTGGTAGCTGGGTCAGACTCTGAACGAGTGTGCTGTACCAATGAGACAGTCAGCAATACTAACAATTTCCTCGAACCCAACAAGTCAGGGGCAGCCCTCAAAAGGCTTTGCCATGCTCATGCCTTCGTCAGTAAGACTTCTGAGATCCCTGGACGTGGCAAAATTCTGAACAAGGCTCCACCTATTAGAGCCCAAAAGTCATACAGATCTCTTGCTGAATCTCTAGTAAGCCAAAGGCTCCCGCAGTCTTTTCAAACTTCTTTTTGATTCGCTTTAATCGGTCGAATTTGGGCTAATCGGACTCTAAACTTTACAAATTCAGTTGTCGAATTCCGAATAGAATTTGGGATTTATCCTCAGACAGAAGACGAATTTCAGATCAAATCGAACTTCATCAAAATGTGCACAAATTCGATTCAAATTTCAATCGAAGCCTTCATTTTAGGGGGTTGTGCCTGCCACAGAATCCCAGCCACTAAGCGTTAAGTTGTTGGTCAGGTCACGGTATGGCCGGCCTGATTCGATACGGATGCGAGATCATCGTGCTGTTGCCACACCGCCCACGTGAAAGACCACCTGCGTCACAATGCATGGGGCAAAGACTGTCAATGGTGTTAATCAGGAATTTGTGTTTACTTCGGACTGGGATACCCGGGCTTAAACTTCCGACGTTCTACTTATCCTTCGGGGCAGAGCCTCAGGGGCTCGGCACCGGCTCGCTTAATCTCGGGTCCCCCCTTTTCGTGGAACGCTAAGAGCTTGCGCTAGTTAATTCTTAAGGACAACAAAAGCTAACTTTATCTTAGAATATATAATCATCATGATTTATGAAATTGGGAATTCTTAAAAGGAGTTTAGAGATAACAAAATCTGGATTATGGGGTTGGAGAGTAGCGTAATGTGACCTTGGTAAAAAGAATGCAGCCTTCTAATTCGATAATTGTTCAGATCAAAGCATATCAAGACCAAAATAAATGTAGCTGATTCTCTCATTACTAATTATCAACGTCTGACACTCGTGGTGTAGATCCGCCTTCGGAATAATCCGGAATTCCCAGGTTTGCATGGGCCCTACCGCACCTAGAAGGTGCCTTCTTTCTTTCGAGCGCTCTCATAGGCTACTGGACACGATCGCACTCGATACTCCCAATTGGTCCAGTGGTAGGTAGACACTGGATTTTCGGGATTGGACTCTAATACGCCCCAACGTCGTTGTGCAGGCGATTCGCAATCACCGAATCGCATTCATGTCTGCCACCTTTCCACCATTTTCCTCTTATCTCCAAATTCTACCACCAGCAGAAGTTCTGACTCCTCCGTCCTCGTTCTGTAAAGATTGCACAGAAACCTTGTCTTGTTCTTCAGTTTATTCCACGCTGTATCATCCCCTTCGTGAACAAGTCGTATGCAATCACCGCCGCGCACAAACAAGAGCGTAAAGGTGAGCCTATCGAATGAATCCCGAGGTTTTCCAGTCGCTTCCGAAACGAAAGAGAAGAACTCATTGACAGTTGAGTTGCGGAAATGTGCTGAAGGGAGTGGGTCGTCCTCATCGAAGCTGCCGTCTGCCTTTTCAAGAATAAGTGCTGGTGGTGGGTTCGTGGGTAATGCTTGGTGCTGTTCTGCTGGGAGTGAAGGGCTTGCTTGCAGTATCCTCAAGCCAGGTGAAAGTGCAGCAGTACTGCGAGTATCGAAGCTTGGTACTGGGGCAGCTCCTGATGGGGTAGTAGCAGGTCTGCTGACTCTTTGAAAGGGATTACTAGGTACAACTGGGCTGGTTGGGGTCATTGAGCGAATATCCTTGGGTATTGACTGCATCCTTGGTGGAGCTTGGGCTGGCTGTTGCGGCTCTGGCTCGATATCGGAAGACAAGCACTCCTATGGGCAAGTGTCAGTCGAGGTATCCATTCCTCAATAGGACAAATAACTCACCCGCGCAACCTCAATGATCTCCGTGGTAACTGAATCTTCTCGGAGAGCGTCGGCAACTGAAGTGACGGAAGGAAGAGCAGTAGTTTGATTAGGCGGTGGAGCTGTTGTAGCTTGAGTTCCTGTTGGCATCGTACTCATTCTGCGTTTCTTCTGTTGCTGCTGGTTCGGAGCGTCGCCCTCGTTGGTGGTGTTTAATTTTCTGCGAGCTCCTGCAGTCTGGAAATTTGTAAGCAAAGCACACCGAAATAATGGTATGAGGGTAATGTTCATACCGTGGTAGTGGAAGATGGTTGTCGCGCTGTAGACATTAACTTGGCGGTTGGGTTCCTAAAGCTAGAACCTTGATCGGGAGGTAGGTTGTCAATACTATAGATGTCGCGACTATTGATTGTCGCTACTGGCTTGGTGACATTTTCCTTCGGACCGTATTGGCTATGTCGGTTCACCCAAACATCTCTGAACCACTCAATTTTTTGTGGAGTACCGTCTACTATCTTCAGTAAACCCTTCTTTAGCATATCTCCCGCCAAGACTGCCATTCGATCCAGAGTCCTTTGTTTTAATATATTCCACTGTTTGCCCTCGAATTCTTCAATGTCGGTTCCTTTCTTGAGGGATTTGATGAGAGGAATGATCTTTACGTCCGGAGCCTCTGGTTTGTAGATATTGTGTTCATGCATATATGTTCTGACTCGAATATCAGCCGCCACTGGCCACCGCGCTCCGGTCTACTCATTCGTCAGCGAGAGTTGCGAGATATTTGAAGTCTTTAGGTTTTGCTTTACCTTCGACAGCCACTGTGCGGTGAATTCCGCAATAACTGGCTTGTCGTCGTTGCGAGGATCAAGTGAGAGGACCTCACTGACGCAATTGTCATAGATTTGTTCCCTAGTACGAGTCAGATATATGTGTATATAGAGAGCGTTGTATCCTGTCTAGTCCAACTGTGGACTGCATTTATGCTATCCTCTGACTCGGGCGAAACACGCTATACGTACTCATCTTTGTCGAAAACAGGTTCGACAACTACTCCAGATTTCTTCGCAGGCCGTCGTCGAGTTCCAGATGGTGCAATCGGAGTGGCGTCGACAATCTTCAGTGACTCTGGGCTAAGATCACGCGTGGCTCGGTCAGGCTGGTATTTATTATCAGTTGAGCTCCTCATAAGAACTAGCTATGCTCTAACTCACGGAGAGTGTGGGTGTTGCAGATGGCATTTTCTTCTTTTCCTTCTTGAGTTTGTATCGGTATTGGTGGTATGTTTGAAGAGCAAAGATGTGTGTAAGAGACCCTAAGATTCTTTGGAAGTTAGCTGCAAGGGTTGACCTGTTCAGAGATGAAGACCTACTTTGCGCGATCTGACGGCCAAGTAGGCCAAGAATTGTTAAGAGTTGATGGCCAGAGGATTGCTCCTCGATTTTCTTCCTGGCAGAAGGCAAGTGCGAAGTGCTGGGACTCTGGGGAATCTGCACCTCCGTACGGAAGATCGTTACCTTTTTCGAGGAACTTTTTTCGGAAGTCTGTGATAGCAGCTGTGAAAGTCTTCAGATCTCTGCCTTGGAAATCTTCCGAGAACCCGAGCTCAGAACATAGGGTATTAATGTTCTTCGTCTGTATCTTGGACATTGGACTTACGAAAGATTTATAGGTGTTTGAACGAAGGATGAACGGCCCCTCTATTGCGACTGTGAAAGCGGGGGCTGTGCTCTTTTTAAATCATGCACCGACAGGGACTCTAAATCATCCCTGTCGAGAACAGCCAGAAAACAATACGGCATGCCCTATTCGCTTTTCTCCTGCTAGGGGCACATGGGTCAAGTGACCCAAGTTGTGTGCGGGGGTACGGCCCATAAATATTACGATGTCACTACAAGGGTCTGAACGCACACGCGATTTCAACACTCATAACTTTTCCTATACAAAACCAAAAGCCTCTGTTTAAACACTTAAATGGCCCCTAGGAGGAGGAGTACTGTTTGTGTGCTTTGACGGTGCGTTGTGGCTGTCATATAAGGTGGTAAAGTTGAAATCCCAGCGTGTGGCGTCGTAATACCTATGGGCTGTCCTGCGTAAGGAAGTAATGGATGCCTGCCTGTAATTGGACAATCCGAGATCAAAGAGACCGACGTCACTAAACCGGCACACGGCTTGGAACAGTTCTAAGTCTGCTCCGAGGTGGTTCTATGAGGTTCCGGATCGTCGAGAAAGCCCTTTGCCACGACAAGGCAGATTCCGTACGCTGTGCAGGAGGTGAATCACCTAAATTTGTGCGCCTACGCAATGCATTGCACAATTATAGGAATCAAGTTAGTAATCCCATCAAATGGGATGTTTCAAAAAATGTTGGTTCAAGGATTCATAACACCTTCCCTATATGGCACACCGAATCGGTGAGCTCTGATTGATCGAGGGCTTGTTCGCGGCGCTTAGAGGACCCGAGAGTCTGGATTGTGTGTTCCACTGCATAAAACTAGTCTCGAAAGGGCTCGTTACCCAGTTTCTCTCAAGGAGTTTTGTCCTCTTTAAGAGAGATCAGTCAAAAGTAAAGTCAAACTAAAAATTATGGAATGCTGCTTTATCGGAAGAGAACCCCGTTCCCCGTCCCGCTCTGTTACGAGTATTTTCCCGCGGCTGAACTTCTATCCCGGTCTTGGTCATGTGTTACAACGCTTTGGCCATTAGTAAGTTTGTATGTTATTGTTACTATCCCCCCCCTTGAATACTTACAGTGGGTCCTTTAGTAACGCCACCCTGAAACCTCGTTTATAACCCCCAACTAGGAAATATCAGGTGCTCTCCAGAATCGCTATTGGCCATACACCCTTGAGTTGGTCAGTGCAGGAGTGGTGTTATCCCAGGACCCACTATAAGTATTCAAGGCGGGGGATAGTAGGCAGAGTGATCCATTGAAACCCGTTGATCGGGATGTGCAGAGCGTGACGGCGCGTTCTCCTCCCGTATTTACGACGGATCTGGGCCATGTGTACCCAGAACCCGGGAATTGGACAGCACTGCGCTTCCTTGGAACTTAGTGGTTGGAGCCTGATATCTGGCTAGGAGTTGGATCAGTTCCGGTCGCTGAAGGTGAAAGCCCCTGGGAGCGCTGAGACCTCAGAAACCTTGTGTTCCCACGTCAAGGACGTGGCGAGACGGGACGAATTTCTTACAAGCATTATCCCGAACACGGAACCAATCACACTTGATTGAGATCACAAATAGTATTTGATCACGGTTGAGTTCTTTGTTCATCATATTGGATGTTTCAATGTCCCAAGTCGTCAGCGCTGCAAGGCTGGCTCAAGGAATCCGCCAAATTTTAAGACAATTGAGCATAAGTTTTCAAATAATATAGGTATCAATACTAGAGGGGACATGAAAAAAATCGATGCTACCAGTCATCCTCCTCTACCTCATCCAAGTTCGTCGTATCTCCGCACTCGACCCAGAGCTCAAATCGGGTCATCCTCTTCGTCGCATTTCTAGTCTTCAGAAATTTACCCTTCACCCTCTCCTTAACTTCTTCCCAATACTGATCGCCCACAAACTTGCTGATGGTGAATGATTCTCTCTCGCCCCAATTGTATGTGAAAGTAAGGCATGTGAGAGACCTGTCGGATTTACCAGCTCTGGCGGCCACAATATTAAAGAACTCAGATATATTGCAAGCCCGGAATGTCTCACGGGGAAGTGGGTCTTCATGATCCAGCCCTCCTCTAGCGCTTGGGAGAATGTAGTTGAGTATCGGCTTGTGTGGCTCGCCCTGTCGTGTCACTTGGGTTGATTTGACCATAGTAGTATCGGCATTGAATGGAAGACTCAGAAAGGATCCAGAGAGAGCGTAAGGCGAAGTGCGTTTCTCCAATAACGGGTGCGTATCCAGGCTTTCTTCTAGTGTGGTCCTGCTGCGAGCAGATTGGTTGTCGGGCTGAGGTGAGGGAAGAAATGGCTTCGTAATTAAGTGTCTTCTGGTGGACGATGAGGACTGGCATGTAGCGTTGTTATCTGGTTCATCCTCCTCTTGCACTGCATTCACGCTTCTCTGTGGTCCGGCTGCGACTGGTGTAAGCATAGACGCTTCACTCACACGTCTGGGCTCTCTGTTCGCTTCTGCTTCAAGTGATATGTTCTCACGACGGCGGTGTCCTTTCCCGAAGCTATGATCCTCTTCGCTGGTGTTGTGAGGGCGGCTAGATGGGTCATAGAAGCCCTTGACTCTCGTACGCTTGGCAACTGAGCCAGTTGATGCATTTTGGGGTGGCAGGTCGTGAATAAGCTCCGTACAAACACAATCCTACAAGACTATCAATATCTGCGCATGAATAAGATGAAGAATCTGGACCAATGAAAGAGATTGAGAGTGAAATCACACTTTGTTGCCATCAGGGCCAGTCTCAGATCCACTCAACAGATTCCTTAGTGGATCGATCGCTCCGTTGAGATCCCCGGGGGAACCCAAATTGATCCACTGCTGGCGACGCGCTCTCCATGCAGCCTCAAACTGCGCAGTCTTTCTAACCAAACCACCCTTCGTTACCAGAAACCCATGTCCGTGCCAGATACCCGCCCGGTAGGTAATCTGTCGACAGCATCGTCTTTGAACTTGAAAAATCCCTCCCTCCCTATCTCCAACGTCGAGATGGCGTCCCAGGTTCTCTGCGAATAGCATGACGGCATCGAGGTTCCCTTTTCGTGTGGAATATAAGTTGTGTTCATGGAGATATCGGAACGCGAAACGCTTGGCATCTTTGGGCCATTTTTGGGACTGAAACGGAGAACATCGGGTTAGATTTGGGTTCCTACTTGTTGAGGGAACTTACATCAAAGACCCAAACTCGGGAAGTATCATCTTCGCTCCCATCGAGCGGGTAAGCGAAATCTAGATGGAGGTCTATGTCTACAAGCACTCTCTCACGAGGACTAGAAGACGATTATTGATGTTAGCTTGGGAAAATTATAATATCAAGATGACATGGACTAACATAGCGTCTTTTTCTTCATGATTTGAGTCCACTGACGTAGTGGGACTGGAAGATGACTCAACAGCTTCGAAGTGTTGGCCGTCGCTTCCGTCTGGAATGCTGTCTTCGTTTTCCTCTAGGGTCCTCTTCGTGCTGGTTAGCGATGCACAATAAATCGGAGTAGTGCAATACCTTTCGCCGCAGGGATTCAACATAATTCGCATTCCGTCGATAGGTAAATTCTTGAGTGCACATTAACTTCGCGAGGTTCTCTATCAATCTAATGTTCAAGTTAGCATCGATAGGGAAATCTGCCGGGATGAATACTTCTGGTTGTCGCGTGGGTACGTTGGCCAACTCAATGCTTCTGCCTCCTCAGAGTAGTCGAATAGATGAGAGTTTTCGGTGAGAAAGTTCGAAGCACACTGCTGCGCTTCCTCAGACTGATATTCCAAAGGAAAAATATCTATTTTTGGAGTAGCGTCCAAGAATTTCTTGCGGAAAATGGAAACTTTGCTACTTAGGGAATACGTCGACCGAGGTCTGCTTTTGCGATCCGAAGCATATCCCAAGCCTTTGCAAATGTCGCCAACCTTGCCATGCTTTGGATCGTAAAGATTGAATAGCGTAGAATTGGACATTGCAATAGGTGGACTCCGCGATGTTGATGAATTCTATTAGAATGGGTTAACAATACAGGATTATCAGTATCAAGATAGATGTAGGCAGTACCCGCTCAGACGTTGAGAACCAGTAATAATCGTTAAGCAGCGCCTCTCGATGACCCAGTTGAGTGTGCCATTACTACCCAGACATATCTCGTATTTCGGTTAGCTTCTCACTTCTGGCACGCCACACAAGACGCAGTGTAACAATCGAAGAAATTGCGAACGGCGCTCAATGCCGCTCTATCCTTGGAAAGCAGAGGCATTCGAAGCGAGGGACCCAACCCCGTGGGCTCGTCGCGGGCATCAATGAGTAAGCCGCCAGGAGGCTCCCCACTAAGTTGTCCGCAGGGAGCCAACCCGCCATTTCCCTAACGACCCATCTCTGCCCTGACACGAACAATATGTACGAAGATTCATGTCCTTCAAAACTGAAGTGCAGCATCCGAAGCGAATAAACCGGTTGTATTCTTGACCAACTGATATTAACTACGGCCGTAGGTTGCAAACAAAACGTCGTCCCACACCTTTGGCATCGTCCACCGCAGTTCGGCTCGGTTGGGTCGGCCCTGCTGTGCTACCAACACGCCTGGAATCTTAGACAAGATACGGGAAGGGGAAAAGATCCAGACATCCCCTGGCAAAATCTCTGCAGGTATGATTCCTTTGCCGTGGCGAGTGACGAGGAATTCATTGCCCCCAAGCAATATATTATGACACCTTGGTCCACCCCTCGCGGGAGCAGCCCTACTTCCAACTTTTAACAGGCACGGTCTTTCTCCTTGACAAAAACGGTCCGGCGATCTTCGAACATGACAGCAATTGGCCATAGCGTGTAAACACGGTTCGTGGTTTCAGCCATTGCTAGGTGCTAAGGTGAGGAGAATAACTCAATGCCACCCTTGTCTCCTGGTTTCAGCCGCATTTGTTGAGTTGATACAGCAGCCACACAATCCAGCTCGTTAAAGTAGAGAATAGTTTTAGGAAAACCGGTGTGGGCGAACCCTGCTGCCGGTTGAAATGATTAGCCTTTAAAAGTCATTAGTAAGACATAGTCATTTACGTGATCAGCCTGGCCTAGCATGGCCCCCAAACCCAATTCTTCCCTATTTTGAACATGAAAACAGACGCGTGCGTGTTCCTTGCTCATGTACCCCGCAACGACGGAATTTACGGTGCTAGTACAGGTAAAGTAGACCGTATTCCAAGCACGAAAAGCTCATGGCAGCGTCCTACTTTGAGAGCTTACCCTACCCCTGAGTCAAGGTACGCCATGTGAAGGATAATTAAGCCCAAGGAGCCTGTTAAAACGTCAGGCGTATCAACTCTTGCATTTTTCTTAAACAATTTTGCAAGTTTCAGCACAAGCTTTCGGAGAAATGGATTGTACCCAAGCTTCCTCGTTCTTCGTTCGAACTCGAGGATCTCACCTGAATTATGTGAGAAATCCTCAAAACTAATTCATAATATTATAATCGTTCGAAATTCCCGGAGTTAAAGGAAATGACTGAAAGCTCGATGCGGTAAGCAACTTGCAAGTATTGCCAGAAGGTAAATACGCAACGAAATCTGGCTGCCAAGGAGAGGCACATAAATAACTTAGAAATTGTGAGCAATTTTATTCTACTAAATGGGCCACAATGAGAAGAATGAAATTTGAAGCTGTCTACGACTTCGTGAGGCGCGTTGCTCGAATCGCAGATATCGTTTGCCCCTGTTCGCTTGCTTTGGTGTGGAGTCATGTGACACGTAACACAAGCTAAATCTGAAAGCACTATTGCTCAAGCATATAAGTCTGTACGGCCTCCAGCAAGACTGTCTTTGCAAGTCTTGAACAAGTTGCTCGGTTTCGCTCCACCGTCCTAAGAACTAGAGATCCACCTAGTGTCGTGCGGGTACTGCAATCGTTATCTCATCTCAACCCGGTCTCGTTCCACCTCTTCGCACTGTTCCTTCATCGCTAGAAGCACCGTCCATCAACTTCGCATTTGACCTGATATTATATGCCCAATTAAAAGGCTATCGACTGAGCTGCTGGACATTACAATTGGACAATTAGGCTATGCAGACTTGGCACTGCGTATTCAATGCAGCAAGCAGCTTCATGGTCGTATCGAGCCCGTCCCATGTGCCTTTAAACCGTCCTCAACAAAGCAATGCTCTGGGCCTGCAAGCATGGCGGTCTCTCAGCGATCTGTCTTGCCAGTTCCTATGGCGCCGATGTCAGCATTGTGGACGTGCCTGAAAAGTTTGATTTCTTGCTTTACCCGGTCAAGTCTACCCTGTGACCCAAATATTAACACTTCACTTGGGAGCCAGAAACCGCCATGTCGATATCTTTGCGCTATGGTTGGAGCCTGGTGCCCAAATCGAAGAGAGTGTGGAGTGGACGGCTATCAGCCCAAGAATCATGCGACGTCTCTCGGCCAACACACTCCTCATTGGTCGCCTCCTCAAAGCAGGGTTCGGTTCACAATTAAATGAACGTCCCGGCCTTGGCATCTTCTTGGCATCGGCCGTCCAGTCTGGAGCCTCTACAAATGTCGTAAGACAGCTATTGGATAACGGTACGGACGCTAGACAGCTGTTCGTCTGAGGCCCAAACCTTCGCCACGCTTTGACCGCAGCGATCGGGCCAACTCAGCGTCCTTATTTGACTTTTTTATTTGAGAGGGGAGCCGACATCCACAGAGAGGATATGGCAGAAGTACGCTAACCTATCAAGCCAATGCACATCCCGGTATTCGCTGCAGCGCGTACAATGGCACAGCATGACCTCGAGATGATGCTGCAATGTCGTAAGCTGGGGGTCGATATCAACCATCGATATCATCATCTGACGGTCTGATAGACGGTTGGTACAATCGGATTACAGCAATTACCCCGCTAATACACCACTTATCGTTTACCTCGACTCGATCGATTCGTGGAAATATCCCCTGGCCCTTCGCCTCTTGAGCTTCTTTTCCACAAGTAGGGCATGGGAAAGTTGGTTGAGCCAGAGTTCTTGGCAGCAATCAGCTTTCTCGTCGAGAATGGAGCGACAAAGTTTCACACCAGACGGATTCTAACTAAATACGACAGCCAATTTCGTCGCAGCGGCATTTCGATTACCATAACCGATGCGATTGTACAAGCTTGGAAACGTTTGTGGATTTACTCCTCAGATATTGAGAAGAGCCTATCATGATTGGCGAGTTATTGAGGTATTTCATTCGCTAGAAGAGAGAACTCGGACGCGTGGAACAGTGCACAGTGGATTGCCTCCTCAAAGTTGGTACCAATCTCAATCCTGTATCCCAACCTCACGGCGCTACAATTTTGCAAAACTTGGCTTATGCTGCAATGTACGAAGCTTTGGGCTTGTGCACAGATTCCCGTCTTCCCGTCTAATAGGTTCGCAAAGGCCCTTGAATTCGTTCTCTCCCATTCAGGCTACACCTTCTGGCCATAGCCTCCCTCGCGATATCAACTGGGGTACGACCCTCCACGGCGATAGTGGGTCAGCGCCTCTGCCAAAGGGAAAAGAGAAGACTAAAAGTATAAGTCCAGGCGGAGTATGCATGGAGCTCGAGCCTAGTTGTAGCGTTCAGCCGCACCACTGCCACCTACCGAGTTGTTCTTCAAACCCTTGTTCACACCGCCCAATAACAGAACACACTGGCATCACTTGATTTGATAGAGTACCACAGTCCAACAATAGGTGTATCTACTTTCACGAGTTCTAGGAAATTGAAGGGAGGTAATAGATGTAAGTTTGACCATTGAAAGTAGAGGAGGAATGAAAGAACTTTATCGCTCGGCCGCGCCCCTCTCGGTTTACTAGGCGGTACATCTTTCTTGGCGCAAAGTGCGGCTCCGAGCTCTTTGAAGGTAGGAAAAGGCCCAAAACGGCCTTCGAATCTCTAGCTAGCTGCTGACGGGGATCTGACGCTGTGAATTAGTTGGAGGGACCTTTCAGCGGTGTAGCCAGACGGCTAGATACGGGCCGTTTTGGCAGGAGGCTAGGCTAGTTGATTTTCCAAGCCATTGAATTCATGCAAGAAGGAGTCATGCAGGAGGAGGCAGTAGATAGGTGTTTCAACCCGAGATCTTCCGTCTACCCAACTCTTGAAAGTGCAGCACAGAATCCCACAGCCCATGACGTGGACGCATTTCGGCCACATTCGCCCCTATCAATACCCCAGACTTTCAGGGCGGCAGCAGGACGATCGGAATGTGGAGAGCGAGTCGCTGTGGAGGACAGGGTCGAGTCGCTTCTAATAGGGGGGCGAACCCCTGATGGAGCTTGGGCCAGTGAGAGATAGGCGTTTTTTTACCTTAGCGAGAGCGGCAGTCGACGACTCTGGCATGTGTCAAATCCCGCACACAACAACCACCTCGAACATCCTTCACTTCCCATCCACACAACCACGCACGATGCGAGGATGGTGCTCACCTTGGAGCAAGGGGCTGTCCCGGGTAAACGGCCGTATTCACCGCCCCGTCAATTCACTGGCCCGCGTCCAGCGCACCTTGCGCCCGGTACTTAGCCCTACCTCAGCCTCAGGCCGGCGACCAAATTCCTCAATATCTTCCTCCTCAACACCACCATTGCGACAATCGCCGCGTACTGTCTCTAAAATGGCTCCCCATACTCGACAATTCCGAAATGGCAGCACTGCCGTGGCAGTCGACGGGATGCCCAGCTTTGCCTTTGCGTTCGAGTGAGTATCCTCCTGCCAATGGCCCGAATGTGCCGGAGCTGACCTCTTTGCGCCCGCAGTATCGACGGTGTGCTTCTGCGATCCTCAGCCCCGCTACCCGGCGCGTCGACCGCGCTCGAATACCTGCACAACAACAGCATACCATTCATTCTACTGACCAATGGAGGTGGGAAGCACGAGAGCACCAGAGTTGCTGAATTGAGCAAGAAGCTAGGCGTCCCTCTCACGGAGGAGAATTTCGTTCAGTCCCACACACCGTTCAAGCAGCTTGTTGAGGGCTCCGAGACGGTTGAGAGCTTGAAGGATAAGACCATCTTGGTCACTGGCGGAGATGGAGAGAAATGCAGGAAGGTTGCTGAGATGTAGGCTCTATTCCTTCCCCATGTGGAAAGCATGAGCTAATTCACTCTAAAGGTACGGATTCACAAACGTGGTTACTCCAACCGATATCATGATGGCATACCCAAGTATCTGGCCCTTCAGTCTTGCAGTCGATTTCACTGCAGTTCAAGGACACCGCCCTCTGCCAACCAATGTCGACCACATGAATCCCTCCAAGTCCCTCAAGATCGACGCCATATTCGTCTTCAATGACCCCCGCGATTGGGCCCTCGATTTGCAAATCATTCTCGATCTCCTGCTCTCCAAGGGCGGGGTCCTAGGGACGGTCTCCGAGAAGAACGGAGATCCATCTCTCCCAAACAACGGCTGGCAACAAGACGGTCAACCAAAGCTTTTCTTCTCCAACCCCGACCTCTTCTGGGCTACCAGCCATCACATGCCTCGTCTTGGTCAGGGCGGATTCCAAGCTTCGTTGAGAGGTATCTGGGACGAGACAACTGGTGGTGCAGTTCTGGAACGAACCGTCATCGGAAAACCCTACCCCGAAACATACAAATATGCCGAGCGTGTTCTCAATAAGCATCGTGCGCAAATGCTTGGCGGAAATGGTGAGGTCAAGAAGAAAGTCAGTCGGCTGGAGAGGGTCTTCATGGTTGGAGATAATCCTGAGAGTGATATTCGCGGTGCGAATGAGTTCGAGAGTCCGCATGGCACGGAGTGGACGAGTGTGCTGGTTAAGACGGGCGTTTATCACGACGGCAGACACCCGAAGTATGCGCCAAAAGTGATTGTTAACGATGTTTTGGAGGCGGTTAAGTGGGCGTTGAGAGAGGAGGGCTGGAATGGCGTTGTTGACTGAAAGGAGTCCGTCTAGAACCTTAAGCTGGTGTCTTTTAGTGGAAATTTTGGGTTGGTGCTGGATAGAGCTCGTCGAGTTTGGCGTTGGAGGGAAGATTCATGAGAAATGCATAGAAGCGAAAAGAGATACCATAGATGACAAAAAAATGAAAAATTTCAAGACGATCCCATGGTCAAGTGAAGCTCAAGGGACAGTTGTTGCGAGAGAAAGCTACTAAATCTGTTTCTCCACCGGAATGTTCATCCTTCCTAGTCTTTCTCTCCCATGGCCTGTGCCGCCTTTACTCAGGCTCGGCTCAGGCCTGCTCACCCAATTCCGCGATGCGGCGTAGTCAAGACCTATCCTATACAGAAATGATCAACTTTTAACGAAGGCTCGAAAATCATTTAGTCGAATGCAGGTTTCTTCTGTTGCTCCTTTGCAGACTGATCTAGAAGTTCATGGCCTGTGTTTCGTCCTTCTATCCTCTGTATAGATGTGAAGGTAAGGCTGAATCGCTTGTTTTGAAGGACCTTGTTAACCATAGATCGGTCTATAAGCATAGCCCTTGTATGAGCTCAAACACATGCTTGTTTCTAAATTGTCCTCCTGCTATAACTAGTGACTTTACACAATTTTGATTGTGACATCCTCTGCGTTATTGAAATCCAGTTTCGACATGAGCCTAACTACACTTACACGTTGGTACTACTTGGGTGTATTGCTATTTGGTTGAAGTAGCAATCCAGTAACCCACGGAAGTACATGCTCAGCAATGAGAATTGGAAGGACCATTAGGCCATCTTGTGATCTGTCTACATCACTATCAACGTGAACCTCCCGCTCATAAAATACCCTTCCATTTGGAACTTGTGTTTCTGTAATGTGGCTAAGGGACTTGTCACATGCATGCAAGCGAATATGGACACAAAAATGGATCCTAGTCGGATCCAAAATAGGACTTGCGTATAGATAAATAAGGAAAGAGTAACCTGGCATTAACGGAGCCAAAGTAAACCCCTACAGGTTGTGGCACGGCTTCCTGACGCAATTTCAGACTTAATTGCGCGTGCTCGGGCCGTGCTCTGGAATGCTCACCCACGGCTCCAGTTAAAAAAGCAGCAGTTCAGGTCCAAAGACGGAAATGGAAACTCTCATGTCGACATTGCGACGTGGGAAGTCTTGTTTCTTGAGCCTTTTCATATTCTTTCAAAACTTGATGTTTCGGCTTCACACCTAGACATTTGATCTTCGTTCAGGAACGTCCGAACAATCTGACATTTCTTTATGCACTTGAAACAACACCGTTCTTTGCCCATCAAGAGGTTTCGCAATGATACTCATCATCATTCTGAATCTCGATTATCGAATCTTCTCCAAACCTTCGCATCAAGTCTATATATCTCTATTACCTCCCCACTACAATTCCCTTCAACGCTTTCATACCAAACCATACACACACCACCAAGAACAAACAAGACATCATGGCAAACACCACTCCTCTCCTAGATCACTACGCCATCCTGAACATGGCCCGTCCCGCGTCGCCAGAAACCCTCTTCCTCGCCTTCCAGTTTGAGATGCTGAGCCTGGGTGCGCTTCCCGTCGAGGATGTCGCTGCTCGCTTCGATCAGGTAAGTACAGAGCATGCCTCTCTCCATTCCGACACTTCGAAGATGGAGGTGGAGGCAGTTTTTTGACAGGGCGAGATTGAAATTCAGGTGTTCGATGCGTACGAGACGTTGAAAGATGCGACGAAGAGAGAGGAGTTTCATCGTCTTTGGGATATTGAGGAGAAGAGGAAGGAGGGGGAGGAAGCGGCTAGGAGACGGGAAGAGAGGGAGAGGAGACGGAGGGGAGGAGGCCGCGGAGGACGGGCAAGTCGATTTATCGAGATACTTGATGATTGACAGAGTTTTTCTTTGATTTGGATTGTGCTCGAGCTTAAATTGTCCCAGAGTCGTGGAGACCAGCCAAACTTCCGGGTATCTTTTCGGCTAGTTCAGCAAATGGCTTCCAGGAATGGAGTACTGTACATTGTTTCTATTTTTCATCTTCCCTTTTCGTATCAAGTTACATTTTGTCGAAATTTTGTTACTGTCCTCTCTCAACTGAACCCTCGTTCTTCAGGAATTAGTTGCGTCTATCAGTATGAAGCGCATGGGTTCTTCTCGCAAGTAGCGTGCCAAATGAGGGAGTAGTAATGAGGATGCTTTATCTAAAAGACTGTCTGGAGTATCTAGTACTTATGCCTGTTAAACTTCCTGGCTTTCTATTACTGCTTTGCATGTTTTCCTGGGCTTTTCTTTGCTTCCTCTGCTCTCTGTAGCCTGTAGGCCAAGCACCCAAGGACCAAGGCTGCCAATGGTATTGCGATTCCTCATCCCAGAGCAATCTTGTCTGTCCGACTCAGCCTATTATTCTTATTCGACGGTGTACTGGTTGGTGCAGTCTTGGCATTTGTAGCAGAAGAAGTATCGGCAGGCATCGAGGGAGATGTGGGGCTAGGTGAGGAAGAAGGCTGTGACGAGGCTCTAAAAATGACAAGTATTAATCTGTATCCAATGTATCATGCGTGGAAACACAGTTCTGAATATCCGTTGCTCTTACAGACATAAAAATCGGCAACAATATAGCCGTCGAGTGAGAGCGGGAAGCACTCGCTGTAACGGTCACGTACACCGTCTTTGTAGCTACCGCGCCTCCACTAGTAGTCGTGCTCGCCGGCACGATCGCAGACGTCGCGAGATATCCCTTCTCGGTACAGTAATCCTGATACAGGTCGACGGCGCTCAAAAGTTTGATGTTCGGGTCTACCGTGGTAGGCAGTGACAGATATCTTTCGATGTAATGGGATGTGTATTATGGAGCATTGGGATGTGGTGCGAGTTAGATCGGAGAATCATGTGAATCCGATCGCGCTGTGGCAGAGGTGGAGATTGGAGCAGAGAGCGAGGGAGAGGTCAGTGAAAATGGACGGGGGAAAGGTATCGATCGAGGTGAATCACGTGATCTGGGCATTATTGTTGGCGGCTCAGAAATCTTCCCCGCTCAAGGTTATTATTATGAATTAAGCTTCAAATTTTGTAGCATTTCTGTGGTAAAGTGTCAGGGATTCAAGGTGGCACATATGAGAGAGGTTTGGTTGAGTGGGAGGTCTTCGATACCGCTAAAATTGCAGTGCAAGACGGGTAACGTTGAAGTTGGGGGGACGTTTGCAAGTGGGGGGACTTCCCCCCCTGTCTTGCCCGCATGGGTGCTTGTGGTGCAGAATACCTCACCAAAAATCCACACTTTCAAGATTTAATGGAAGCACCGGATTCTGTCAGGATATCTTGAAACTCATACTTCGAAAACAAATTTCCATTTCCTTCTTAATATCTTAGATGAATAATCTTTTATCCTATTACCTATCTCGAATATTAAGTATATTTATGATTCGCACAATTCTTGGTGGCGGACCCGTGCGTCGATTCCTTCAACCACTGGTGGATCATCGCACCTTTCAACACCTCGAATCGCTTCTAATGCTACAGCTGTGGCAGGTTCTCGGGCGCTCTGGTCATGAAATTCCAGAGGTGACTGAAGAAGTTGTGGCGCAATAAGCCGAATCAGGTATTGATGAGGAAAGGGGTTCCAGGCTGCAGAGCACTAAAAGCTTAGCGACTGCAAGTCCATGCTCAAACATCTCCGTTTCACCAACATCGACGCCAATGCCACTCTCGAACAGACCGTCACTGTTGAGACGGAGGGCCATAGGATCTTCCGGGTATACACGCTCCACCTGGGAACTTCTCTGTCACTATGGCATCACGCTTCCTAGCAGCAGCGTGTCACGTTTCGTCAATCACACTGTCAGCTGCGAAGACCACTGAAAAATGCATCTCCTTCATCAACCAAGCAGCCAAGAACTCCGCTGACCTCGTCGTCTTCCCGGAATCGTATATCCCAGCCTTCCCAGTCTGGAGCGCAATCCAAGCACCGACTCAGAACCATGTCTTCTTCGAGCGGATGGCAAAGGAATCTATCTACATTGACGGCGAGGAAATGCACGCGATTCGCGACACCGCGAAGCAGACTGGAACTGTGGTCAGCGTTGGAATATCAGAGAAAGTTCGGTACAGCACCGCGACAATGTTCAATTCCAACATCATCATCAGCTCGGATGGAGAGATTCTCGTTCATCACAGGAAGCTGATGCCGACGTTTTTCGAGAAGTTGACATGGTCACCTGGTGACGGACACGGTCTTCGCGTTGCCAATACGCGCTTTGGGAAGATCGGAGCTTTGATATGTGGCGAGAATACGAATCCTCTTGCGAGATATGCACTCATGGCTCAGGGAGAGCAAGTACATATATCTACTTGGCCTGCTGTTTGGCCAACTGTTGTCCCAAGCGGCAATCACGGAAGCAGGCCGCGCTACGACAATGTAGCTGCGAACAAAACGCGAGCAGCAGCGCATTGCTTCGAGAACAAATGTTTCGGGATTTTGTGTGCAGGCCATCTCGATGAGGCCGCCCTCGAAGTCATGTCTTCTCTGACAGAGAAGCCGGGGTACATGCACCACGGCCTCACACAAGCACCCCACGCAGTCACATGTTTCCTGGATCCAACAGGTGCTGCGCTGCCTGGCCATATCATTGATCCAGAATCTGGGGAAAGGACGGAGAAAAAGGATCTGTGTGTGGAAGAAGGCATTTTATATGCCGAACTGGACCTGGAGAAGTGCGTGGAAGGGAAGCAATATCATGATGTTGTGGGTGGGTATCAGAGGCTGGATGTTTTCAACCTGAAGATCGATAGGACGAGACGGAAACCGGCGACATTTGCCAGGAAGTTGACGACTGGATTTTGAACAGGGCGGATTCCGTTCGAAAGTTAATCATTTCAGGCTTTCTCGTTGCATTCTGCACACAGGTGTTCAGCCATGCAACTTTCCTCATATCGCATGTTTCTGGTTTTGGCTTAGTGGCAGGATGAAGTACTAGTAAGATAACCCCGCTCCCAAGTGGCATCGCGTTTTCATCTATCCTTCCCTCACTCAAGATGCACCTCCAACAAAGAAAAGATCTTGACCACCTCTGCAACTTTGCAGCAAGATCTCATGGCGAAGAGCGCAAAGCATGCTTGGGCCTTGCTCCCAAAGGATTCTTCATCCGACATCCGCCTACCCCGCACCACTTAACCTCCTTCATCACACCAGACGAACAACTCTTTCAGACAATCCACATGGGAGCTGCAATCATTGACACAAATCATTACTCAATTACGGTCGATGGTCTCGTCAGACGTCCGTTCACTCTCTCGTTAGCACAACTCAAGGAGTTCCCCTCCACCACGATCACAGCATTCCATGAATGCTATGGAAGTCCCCTTAAACCGCCAACAGAGAATGCATGGCGAATCGGAAACGTGGAATGGACCGGAGTTCCTCTGCAAATACTGCTAGATATTGCTCAACCGCATCCGGATGCTCGGTTCATCTGGTCCGACGGCCTGGACTTCGGGGAGTTTGCCGGTGTCACAGCAGATCGATATCAGAAAGATCTTCCAATCGCAAAAGCTCTGTCTCCAGAAGTCTTGGTGGCATATGAGATGAACGGAGAACCTCTCAGCCGGAACAGAGGAGGCCCCGTCAGATTGGTTGTACCAGGTTGGTTTGGTACCAACATGACGAAATGGCTTTGTCGACTTTCATTGCAAGGACATCGAGCCCAAGGCCCCTTCACGACAAGGTTCTACAACGAAGAAGATCCAAATGAGTCAGATGGGCGTGTGCGACCGGTATGGATGGTTGAACCCAATTCGATGATTGTCAGTCCAGCGTCTGGCGCTCAGTTGAAGAGTTCATTGGTCGAAGTGCAGGGTTGGGCATGGAGTGACGATGGAATTAAAACAGTCGAAATCAGAGTAGATGACAACCAGAACTGGGTTGAGGCTGATGTAGAAACTCGTCATGACTTCAGTTGGCAAAAGTTTAGCATGTCGGTTGCACTGCTACCAGGCATCCATCAACTGATTGCGCGGGCAACTTCTTCTTCTGGGATTGAACAACCAATCTCAGGACGGCGAAGCCACGTGCATACTATGGGTTTCGAAGTTTTGGGTTAATCGACTCCGCCACGTCAGATATCTCCGCCCGGCCTCCGTGCTCCGGGCTTCGCGGCATACTTGGGGACATATTGGAGCCGCAGAACGAGCGGGCAAAATCGGTCGCGCGAAGTCGAATCACAACTCATTTCTAGATCACGGCGAACTTAGATCGACTTCGTGGTCCAGTGATCTTAAGTTACCCTCCAGTCGGGCGTTGGGTACAACAATGCAGACAATTAAATGATGTTGTGAATCTAAGGCTTTGGGCTCCGTCCAGCTCAGAGCTGCCACGTTGAGGGCTGATGCAGTGGTAGGTACTTCCCCTCAACAGCGCGCATAAACACAAATTGAGGCGACAAGTGAGCTTTTAATATCTTCCCGAGGAGGTTCTCATTTGGTGTTTGTGCTGGTCTCGCATGTGGGTGTCGTGCAATCAGAGGTCCCAATTGTTTTAGTGGCATGCAAGGCTGCTGCGCAGCTGTACCAGCCCTGCAGTCGACGAGGTCGAACGTGGGGTCAGACTTACTGCATGATCTGTTCAATCGTGTCATTCATTATATCGGAGCTCTCCCCCATCCGTAAGCGTCAGTTCTCGATTGTCGTTTTTGGAAATCTTCTTTAGTCAAGTTTCGATGTTCTTTCTCTAAGTCGCGAACCTATCTTCACTTCCACCATGGCGGCCCCCGGCTGCAACTTCTCCGGCCACCAAGATATGTACGGACTGGGCATCCGTATTGGATTCTACTGTCTTTGGTTTGGAACAGTTCTCGCGTCTTGGGTTGCACGAGGAGAATTTCGTCTCATGAAACTTACCTACTTCTTTTTCGTCGGTGCCATATTCCTCGCCGTCATCTTTCAAACCACGAAGAACACTCTTCTACCCGTAGAAACATATATTGTTCTACTCCTGGCTTTCGGGGGTTACTTGAATGTCGTACCGCTTTACCTCTGGAAGGGGTTCACTTGGTGTGAGCCGAGAATGGACCCCAGCAGATATCCGCGAGCGAGCACAGGCAGAATCTTCCAGCTGATGAATTTCACACTCATGATTGCGTTATCTGTATTTCAGTTATGGTTCTGGATTCGTCGAGTCAATGCTGCTGCTTCCGATGGCTGCGTTGAGTTTGGCTTCTTCTTTGCGCAGCTTCAGCTCAACGGAAAGGGATTCGTGGTCGCAAACATTTTGTTCCACTTCTCTTTATTGTTCACCTGTATTGGGGTTGTGGGCTTTATTCTTGCGAAACAATATGGACTTTATGAGGGTAGGAGGCACAAAAGGATCGGGTAAGTGGCTCAAACCATTCTGCGGATTCAAAGCTGATCCCAACCAAGCAAACGTCAGAAATACTCCCTCCAACGACTCCAAGCAATATCCGATACCATCGTCGCCAGCGTACTCGTAACAGCGATCGAACTCCTCATCCGCTGGAACGGCATACAAGGTGTTAACTCGGTCTCCACTTCCGGGCAGACAATACCAATGATAGTCGGTATTGGTCTGGTAGCGAGAGTTCTATACATCGGCATATCGGGAGATGTAGACAATTATGATGACGATTGGAGTTCGAGTGGCTATGGAAGCTATTATTCCGGGTCGAAGAGCTCGGGGCCCAGATCGGAGGATGGCGGAGGACCGGCTCCTGCTGCTTGGCCGGCTCCTGCTCCTCCACCTATGGCACCTGCTTATGGTGGGGGTTATCCAAGGCCGCCACCTGGGGGTCCTCCTCCTCCTCCTCCCCCGCCACCTCCTGGTAAGTGACCTTTTTGCTGACTCTCTCACGTACCCACGTACCCAAATCCTAGGAGATAATTTCGGCTGATTATCACCTCCTCCGCTGCACCTGCTAACTTGTTATTACAGGACACTAGAGAAGCAGGTGAAGCTCACCCAAGTGAATGCCAACTTGACTTTACGATGATGTTTGAAACCATTTTGTTTCTTCAGTCGAAAATGCCTCGGCTGAGTCCGATCCTCTCTCTAATTGAAGCTATCAATATCAGATGGAATGCCTGAAACAACCTCAGGTAGATCTGAAGTCTACCACCTCGCAGTATTACACTGAATGTAGTCCTTGGGCTAAAAGTTTTATTGGGGAAAAAAATATAACGTTCTTCTTTGTTCCTTCGCTCCAGCCAAGCTGGCATTTCTCCCACGCTCGTTTTTCTTGCGCGTCGTCAGCTCAGCTTCTTTCAACAACTTCATCAATCTTGTAGCATAGACGTAAGTTCTCTTCTACCAGGTAAAGCAATTCGGCTTTCATACCGAGGTATCGGGCCCGTACACCAAGCCTTCAGGGGTTCCTGGTTGCAGGTCCCAGGAAAGGTCCCCCTGTCAAGCGAACGACAACCCTACCCCCCGAAATTTAGATGAGGCAGTTTAGATATCCTGCTTTAATTAATTTGAGATCCAGACAAGGCACCCGACAGGTATGCGAAAATGGGCTAGCACAGGCTCCGGAATCGTGGGGTCAACTGTGCTTTTTAACTTTTCTTCCTGTTCTTGATCTGTTCTCTTTCCTCATGGCAGTCGCGTGAGAGTTCTGCAGCTTTCACCAGGCCTCAAACCAGAGCCAGCAAGTCCATGGCTCCGAATCACGGCTCTTGGACTTCAAGATGAAGTTCTTTCCACCCCTCCTCACACTCCTCACACCCGCGCTCTCAATCGCCCCGCCACCAGACTTCGATCCCTCGCATCCCCTCCCCGCAGTCGCGCAACATCACTTCTATTCTCAATCCCTCTTCAATTCACAAGATGTACCCCGATTAGTGATGTACGTGCAAACATTCACGACAAAAGACAATAAACCTCTCTCCCTCCTACCTTTGCTGGAACAGCATACCAGAGTCACACACATTATTCTTGCTTCGGTGCATTTACATGAGACTCCTGGCGAGATAAGATTGAATGATGACCCGTTCGATGCGAGGAAATTCGAGGAGGTGTGGAAGGAGGTTAAGATTTTGCAGGGTGCGGGAATAAAAGTGTCGATTCTGCTTGGTGGGGCGGCAGCCGGGACCTACAAGAATCTGAACGGGACTGACGACGAGGTTCGTTCCCGACACTCATCTCCCCCAAGCCAGGCAAAACCAATGATAGGCTAACGACAGTATGGCAGTTTTACGCATACTACCACCCCCTACTAAACCTCATCAAGTCCTACAACCTCGACGGCCTAGATATTGACATCGAAGAACCCGTCTCGCTCTCCGTGCCCCTGCGCCTCCTCAACGCCTTATACCGGGACCTCGGCCCCTCCTTCCTGCTAACCATGTCGCCCATTGCCTCCGCGCTCCTCACCCCTTCCATCTCCACCTTCTCTTCCTCCTCCGAAGACACCGAAATCAACCTCTCAGGCTTCTCTTACTTCACCCTCGACTCCCTAGCCACGGTCCCGGGCTCAGATACAAGATTAATAAAATGGTTCAACGCCATGTTCTACGGGCACTTCCCTAAGGGACCCCCGCATTACGAAGATGTGATTGAGGCGGGCTGGGTGCCGGAGAGGGTTGTTATGGGGGTGCTGGATTACGCGAATGACGGGCAGCCGAATGCGTTTTTGACGATTGAGAGGTTGAGGGAGGTGGTCGGCATGTTGAAGGATAAGTACGCGGGGATGGGAGGGTTTGGAGGTATTGCAGGGTGGGAATACTTTGATGCGGGGGCGAGTGATGGGAATAGTGAGGATGGGATGAGGGTCGAGAATTGGGAGTGGGTGAGACGGGTGGGTGAGGTGCTGTTTGGGGGGTTTGGAATGAAGAGTGAGTTATAGGCGGCCGTATCAAGTGTTTAATTATGAGCCCGCCTTTGATTGTGTTTTGAAGGAGGCTTAAATCTTGTCTCCTTTTTCAGCGGCTCGCGTGAGCAAGTGGGGAGGGAGCCAAGCTCACCGTTTCCTCGTTGGGCGAGCCCGCGGCGCGTCAGCGTGTGACCTACACTTTCCGGAACGAGTTTAGGTGCATAAGCATTACAATGCATTACAATATGCAGCCTCAAGTACCATTGAAGCATGACTAAATTCGGGGAACATATAACTCCAGTCACCACCGCTTTCCACGGGCAAATTTCGTCCACTCCATTCGCAGCCCCAACTCTCGTCACAATGTCGGAACCAACACTGGCAATCTTCGCTCCGTTCCTCCGCACTAAGCGCCTTACCATGGTTCTATTGAACTTAGAAAGGGATGTTCAAGTACTAGCCGAAACAATGAACGTCTTCTTGAGCGGAAAGGATGGTTTCGAATGGACTGTTGAGCGCGCAAGACGCCTCATGACGAATTTGACTCTGAGCCCTACCAATTCCCTTGGGCTCAAAGCTCCAGGACCTGCGGTAAGCTTTTGTTAATACACATTTGCAAGCGAATCTAATACGATAACGCAGTTCTACATGCTTCATTTGGACTCAGAAACTGGGCCAGTGGTTGGGTTCGTTGGACTAAATGAGAGAAATCCAGACGTACCACCTGTATGTAACTAATATTCCCGCCCCAAGTCCTATACCACCCAAATTGTAAGGATCACTCATCATAGAGCAAGTTAACTCCTACACAACAGGACGTCGGTTTCGTGCTCAAACCAGAATACCAGAATCAAGGATACGGAACCGAAGCCGCCACAGCGTTTCTAGATTATTTCGTGCGCGATTTTGGACTCAAGAACATCTGCGCAATAGTTTCGGGCGATAATGAGCGAAGCGTAAAATTAATTCGTAAGCTGGGGTTTGAGAGAGGTGGCGATGCGGTGTTGGAGCCGTGGGGGGCGCTTGATGTTTATGTATTGCCGGGGATGAAGCATTTTAGTAAGGAGACTACGAAACTTAGTAGATGGGGTGTTGATAAGTAGAGTTTACTTATGGAGAAGAGGATTTCGAATGATTATGGATGAGAGTGCTGGTGGAACTCGAATTCTCCCCCTTTCCGGTCCCGCTTAAGACCTCCTTGTCTGAGAAGCCATGGACTTTACATTGAACCCGCGCCTCGAGCCATCGAGTATATTGTTCTAAGACAGCATAAGAAATTAAAACCTTTCTTTTCTGCGAAATGACTTTTAAGGATAATTATGCGGAATTTGTTGTGTCCAAAGACAACGTTGCACTTTTATATGGGCAGCCTATGCATCGTATATTCTTCCTAACATATGCCGCACATTTTTCACATTTCTGAGGTACAAGAATTAGATTCGGAAAAGATTAAGGATAGGAGAGATCCAAAAGAAATCGACATAATGGGTGGCAAGGCAATGTCGTATGATTGGCTGCATCTCCTCCGCAAACTAGCCTTGTCTGCAAACAGATACGCAGATGGACACGGCAGCCTGAAATGTAACTTCGCGAGCGAGGCTCACAGCCTTGGATCAGATTTGTCGTTTTAGATTACCTTCCACTTTTTGCACCGTCAACTTGCATCACTGCACCGCAACATCGAAAATCTGCTGGTTCTGGACTTGTGCTGCCTTGGTTTACTTAAGGGGAAGAACTATACAACTGCCAGAGGATTAGGCACAAGCATGGCTCAAGTGTTCTCAGGAGCCGAGACAAATGCTACAAGCAAATTTTTTCTCGACGCTATTGAATCCCAATCTTTCGCCGACTACCTCGAGGACGATGACACCGACGCAGAAAATGAAGCTCTTCCACCTTCACGGCGCTGGGCATAGTACTGCAGACTCCCGCACTGCCCGGACTATAATTCAACATGGAGTTGCAAGTCCAGTTTCTCCTGCATTTGTACGAGACACTGGTTCATCGAGAGCATCTGCCACTGAGACAGGCAAGGCACGGCGCCGATTGGTATTATGCTATTTTAACCAACAACGAAACTACTTAATCTTAATATAATATAAGAAATAATAAAGGTGAGACATAAGTAGCTCTTATATAAAAGATAGAGACTTAAAACTCGTTTAGTAAGTCCCTCTTTTATTACAATTATATATAGAAAACAACTACTCTACTATTATTTAGTTGATATTGCCGCTTCTAGCTTTAGAGTCTTAATAAGATATCTAAACTATTATTATCTCTTTATAGAATACTTCGTATATTATTTTCGGTCGCCAGATTAAAATAACATTGCGGTTTATAGTACTATCTTCTATTAGGGAAGATCGTTTCTGTTACTCTGCGTCTGTGAGGTCAATTCTACCTATATCGTCTCTATAGTCGATGCTCTTATAGACGCCTTAAACCCTTGCCCTTGTATATACTACTACTCTCCCTTTCTTATACTATTAAATTTGTAATCTATAACAAATCTTAGCCTTATTTACTAAAGTCTAATAATGGGTAATACCTAACGCTATTCTTATTTTAATTAGCTAGACCCCCTTCTCCACCCCCTCCCCTTTTAACCCAGAGGTAATTCGAATTATTAATTCCCTAGGGAAAAGGGTCTTGAATGTGACACGCACATATAAGATAACGTGCCAACGTTGTCAAGGCGGTCATGGCAAGCCCGAGGATCTGCCGGGAGTAGTGGCTTGCTGGCTCCTTTCAGGTAGTTCAATGCACTCTGCTCATGAGTCGATTGATACCGAACAAAATACTGCAGAAACTTGAGGTTTGGACCTCTATTTTCTGAGGGGTTTCGTTTTGCGCTAGTCGGATCATCGCTTTTTATTAATTCCGTCTTTGCATCACCTTGCTGGTCTGCCGTCTAGCCTTCCATCGACTCCGTCCGCATTCCTTTCAAGTCGCAGCCGGACCGCCCTATCGTAGCCCATCCTTGATGCCACCTGCAAAGCGGTTCCGATGGGAGAATACCCACTTGCATTATACGCCGCGAAAAGCTGGCACCAGCAGTATCACGATGGAGACACAGGCACGCATCGAATCGAGCGTCAAGCAATCCGGTGTTCCGAAGTACTGGAGGTGAGAGAAATGAGGCAGTTAGTATTGGAATGCCGACACTGCGTGCCGTAGGTGGTGCCGAAGTAGGGGAAAAGTAAAACGACCCCCCCCGCCCCCCCAAAGGCCTTTCCCCCCCCCGCCGCGGGTATAAAATAGGAGTATTAATAGATGTTAGAGTTTTAATAATGTCTAAATAATTACTTGTATAAGTTTATATATAAGAGCTCTAGTTTTGGGGTATGGGATAAGTGAGGCGATTATTGCGCACGAGGCAAAAGTTCCAGGTGCTTAGTCGCTAAATTTTCAGGCTCTCTTAAGATCGACACCCCTAATTAATACCCCCCCAATTGACACCCCCCAATTGACACCCTTAATTAATACCTGGGGAGGTATCGTTTTATATTTTCCCGTTCTACTAGAGGTTAAGAGGAAATACGCATTACTATAAGCCTATAAGACCCTAATTTTTTTTGGGGCTAATTGCGATATAACTAAATTTGTCTGGAAATAATAATAATGAGCCATTAGAGCAGAGAATGCGATACGCGCGGCCTGCGAAGACTCAGCACCTCCTCGTGGTGCAGGCCGTCAACCTGAATCTCTTAGGAGTTCAGGGCTAAGACTGAGTCACGAGCAAACGCAGGGAGAATTTCCTTTACTGCCCGATCCGGTTTCACGCAAGCCAGCGGTATAGCGCCTCTACGGGAGCTCAAACTTCTACTCGACGAGACTCACGATTACGATATCGACTCCGATTCTTCCTCTCTCGCTCTATCTACTATATACTTGGGGGAGATATATCTACGGGAACGGCGAGGGAAATCGAGGTGGATACCGTGGCCTTTCCGACTCTCTCAACTCACTCTCGGACTAGCTATACGGTGGAGGAATCCTCCTGCAGAGGCAGGCCCGAGGACTCGGTATTTCCACGGATATAAGGGGGGGTACAGGGTATTGAGAGGATAGGGGGAGGGCTCGGGCTTGGATATTTGGGTCGTGGGAGGACTTGGGTAGGAGGAGAAATGGTCTGGTGGCCACCCCACCTGTCCGGGGAGGTCACAGTTACAAGGCAGTTTGGTTATGCACAGAGAGTAGCCATAGGCCATGTAATAGCAAGAAATGCTTTCTAAGGCAAGGGCACTGTAATACCGCGGGATTAGGGACCCGGGGCTATTTAGGAGGGAGTCTTTTTGCCCCTTGGTGGTTTTTGGCTCTGTTTTAAATAGGACTTTGAGTTCTGAGGAACGTCCTTAGCTTAGCACGTCCTCATACCCTTCGGGAGGTCTCTCGGACGTAAATTAATACTACTACTACTACTACTACTACTACTAATGCGATACGCGCATTAAGGTGCCAATATACATTGATTGCATACATTAGTGTATACAAAGTAATGTATACGGGCACCTGCTACCGCTTACTAATTTCGGTTAGTGTGGCCCCCATCGACACCCCTAATCGACACCCGGGGGGGGGGTCGTTTTTGTTGAAAATCAGGGGCTGTGCGCTCTGTATGGCCCACTTTTAAGTGGAGTCGTAATTTCCAGAGTTTTAAGGAAGCTGAGCTTCCATAGAAAAACACAATAATCAAGCTTCATTTCAACAGTTTTACTTTTTCCCTGTTCCACCTCGAAGTGGAACGAATTCGCCAATCTAATATCTAAGCCTTCGGCTCTCTGCAGACTCATGCTCGTCAAGTAAGCTCGTCTTCTCGGTATATGCCTGCATTGGTCTTATTGTTGCATTACTCTTGTTTTGATTCAGAATTTCACTTCACCTAAATTGATGAGACTTCATAAATGCAACATTTTGCATCAATAAAGAGACGACCCCCCAATCCGGTCGGTTACAGGGTCCATGTGATGAGTGAGTTAATGAGAATTTTGTTCTTGGTATCGGAATTCTGAAACCCCATTAACAGTCTTTGTCATGTATTTTACAGAGAGTGCTGATTTCTAGTTATAGAAAACATGGGAATGGAGTCCGAGAGCGGTGTAAGGGCACTGAGTCATAGGAGGGTCGCTAGTGTGGGTGATATTTGGCGTATTTGGGCCTCCCGAGCCCCTGAAGGCTCGCTTAGGTTTCCGATTGTTGAGTAAAAATAGGGGCCGGGAACCTGAGGGGCTTTACATTGAAGTTTTCAAATTCTCAAGAAATAGGAGGTGGTCGCATTTTGGTTCGGGACTCCTTAGTATCAGGTGTCAATATTGGCTATTTGCTGATTTAGTGAGTGAGTACTCATTTCTCGCAAAATGCTTTTTCACTCTAGTGGGGAAATTTGACTGAGTTTGTCGATGATGTTCCTGCCGTTGGCTCGGGGCTTATCTGCAACTTAATACCGTTTTCACTTGAATAAAGAATTGGCTCAGAAGAGCGAGAGCGCAAAAAGAGGGATGAGTCTGGTACATTCGCCAGCCTTGCCATCTTCTGCATCTTCTTAGAAGAGTCACGTGTCACTGCACTCAGCCACCACCATCGAATTGCCCTCCTCCCAAAAACGGCAGCAGGCATCCACCCTCCTTTCACAACCTACTTGGGAATTCCTGCGCAACGTGGAATCCGAATCGATTGCCCGTAGAGAATCCTCTTAGACAACGAACACAGACAAGCTCATGGGCTTGAAACCTTTGATGAGTTGAAGGTGGTCGCCAGCCGCTTGATGCCCGACCGAAGCCCCAGCCTCGTGGAAGCATGGATCCCATCACGGCCATCGGCTTCGCAGCAAATATCCTGTCATTCATCGACTATAGCGCAAAGGTCATCAGCGCATCGATCGACATCTATGGGTCTGCTTCCGGTAACACCCAAGACAGTCGTAACTCCGATGTGATCGCGACGGAGATGAGGCGGTTTGCCGCCAAGCTTCAGCCTCCCAGCCTTGCTCAACTATCTGGAGAAGAAAAGGCTTTGTGCAACCTCGCGACAGAATGCGAGGCCTTGGCGAAGAGAATACTGGATCTTCTGGAGAAACTCAAGCCTAAAAATCGGAAGTCGAAAAGCTCCAGCCTGGTTGCAGGCCTGAAGACCAAGCTCTACGAGGGCGAACGACGGAAGTTGGAAGAGCAGCTGAGCAGCTGCCGTGATCAGTTAGACTTGCAACTGAATTATCTGACAAGGTGAGTTGTTTCTTTGCTTCAAGCTGCAATATGTTGACGCTTCACTTCAGTTCAAAGACGCAAGCCAGGCTCAATGCTCTGGTTACATTAGCGAAGGACGATTCCGCGAAAATCAGGCATCTACAAGATCAATTGGAGCACTTAGGTCAAGGGCTCTCTATCGAGTCCCTCACTCCAAACGCTCGAAATCAACTGCGATTGCTTTTGGGGTTATCAGAGCGTGCTTGCGACGTGATTGCTCAACATCGCATTCTCGAAAGCTTAGCCTTTGAAGGAATGTATGGGCGGTATGAAGATGTGGATGAGGCGCATTTTGAGACACTTCGGTGGATTTATGGCGATGATCTTTATACTAATGAAGAAGACGAAGATAGCGCCGACGACGAAGCTGGCGACATTGATGAAGATGAGTACGAAGACGAAGAAAAAACTTCAGCGAGAGAATTGTTGCTCAATTGGATATCATCAGGAGCCGGAATCTTCCACATTTCCGGAAAATTAGGATCTGGAAAGTCAACGTTGATGAAATATCTCTCTGACCATAATTGCACTGGCGAGCTGCTTGGACAATGGGCTGGTAGTCAGTGTGGGAAATGAGTAGAGTAGAGTAGAGTAGTGGGCTCTACTCATATTCTACTCAACTATATTTCTTACTACTCATACTCTACTCAATACTCAACTCAACTACTCTAGAGTATTTTTAGAGTAGTTGAGTAGTGGGCACGTGATCCGTATACGTGATGCGCTAGCCTAATTTAGTAAGGCCCCGGGATGGCCCGAGCCTAGCGCTATTGTACTGCCCAATCAGTAGTAGTAAGGCTTGGTAAGTGAGGTAGAACCTTTACGATACTACTAGAACCATATGACTCATATATTATATTATATTACTAATATAAGAGCTATAAATCAGAAATTAAAGGACTAGAACCTTCGAAATATAGTAGTTCTTTATAAGTAGGGGAATAATAAAGAAGCCTATAGAATATTAGAATTTTCTATAAGAATATATGGTTTTCCTCAAATTCTTGCTTTTTTTAAAATTATAATTCCTTATATATCTTTAACTATTACTCTTATAATAATACTTTATACTATAAATATCTTTATATATACTCTATATACTCGAAAATATCTCAGTAATCCTCAATTAAGCTTAATATAAGTCAAAACCACCCTGATTTTATATTAAGGTCCCTCGATAAAAAACCTCTTCTTTTTAAAAAAGGATATCTAAAAAAGACTTTAAATCCAATTCAAGAGAACCCAGAGGAGACTTGTATATATACTATTAGGTGCCTAGTATAAGGCTGTTCGTAAGTTAATAATCTTAAAGTTTAGTATTTTTATATTAACTAATATTTTAGAAAAATATAGCTAAATCAATAAATATATAGTCAAACGAGTAATTATTTAGCTTACTTTCGAAACTCATATAAGTTTATTAATCTTAATACTCTTTCTAATAGTAGGAATAATAGTAAGTTAATTAATATTATTTAAAGAATTATATACTAATTAGATATTAGGTAAAAATGAAGCTTCTTCTTCTCAGGTCTCTCAACTAACTATAAATAGTCTTTTTAATAGATAATTAGGCCAAAGAGAAGATAGCTTTACTATTAGTCACTTTAAGAGATTATTATTAAGCTTTATTATTAGTAATAATATCTCTTTTCGAGCAGTTACTATTCCGAGCTTTAAAGCACTTTTAAAATATTTAAATTAGTAAGTATTTATATTATTATTATTATTACTACTATATAAACTAATATTTTATAGTTAAATACCACCTTTATATAAGAAAATACTAAAGGACGAGCTTAATTTGAGCTATATAGAAAAGAGTTTAAATATTAAAAAAGAATTACAAGAGAATATTAATTCTCAAGGAACTTTCTCTATTATTTTAAATACTTGGACAGTTATAAATCAAAAGGCCATCCTTGGAATTACTATATAAGTTTATATATTCTTATAATATTAAGTAAAGCTTATACTAATATATTATTAGATATTTTATAAATAAGGATTTTAAATTAAAATCTTATTTATTAGCTATAAAAGACTTAAACGATATATACTCTGGTATTTATATACTTTCTGTTTTATTAAATATTTTAAAACAATATAATATTAAGTATAATATTACTAGGTAAGTAATAAAATTATATTTCTATAATATAATTACTAATATATTTTATTTAGTATTACTCGAGATAATACTAGCTTAAATAATACCTTATTAAAGGCTTTTATAAAGTATTATAATAAGGAAGGTATTAAATTTCAAGGAGATATTTCTTATATAGCTTATATATTAAATTTAGTAGTTTAAGATATTTTAAAAGCTCTTATTAAAAACGATTATAATATTTCTTATTCTACTGATTTATACGAGTAAGAAATAGAAGAACTTAAAGATAGAAAAGAAGAAGAAGGAAAACAAGTAATAAGTAAGTTTCTTATATATTTTATAAGAGATTTATTAATAAATTATAGATTTATCGATTTGGAAAAAGGTTAGAAAGACTATTATAGGTCTTAAATATAACCAAGAAAACCGATAATTATTAGAAGCTCAGATTAAAGCTTTTAATATAGAAAATACTCGATTCCCTCAATTTGGTAAATAATTAATAATCTAATTATTAATTAATACTAATTATTTATAGATCAAAAAATATAATAGTTTTCAACTTATTATATATTAAAGAACTTTTTATATATATATAAAGCTATTGAGGTTATTATTAATAGCTCTAATTTGAAGGCTTTTAAAAATAAAAGTTTAGTTTTAACTAATATTGAAATTATTTATTTAAATAATATTTTAAATATAATTTCAATATTTATTAAAGCTACTACTAAGTTATAAGCCGAGAACTATTCTACTATATATTATATTATACCCGAGGTATATAAAATATATAATAAACTAGAAAATTTCAAAAAGGAATTTAAAATAAATCTTTTTTTAAATTCTTCTTATATTATTAATAATAGTATACCAATATTTAATAGAATAAAGCATTTATAGATACTATTAATAAGGGTATAGCTAAGCTTCGAAAATATTATCCTAAAACGGGCGTTTTAGATAATAAAAGTAAAGCTTTATATTTAGCTCTTATTTTCGATCCTCGAATTAAATAAAAAGGATTAACTAGTATTGGCTTATCTAGTAGTATATCTTTGAATATATATAATAGATTAAAGACTGATTATAACATATAAGTAATTCCTTTAATTAACTTTTAATAAATTAATAAATTACTAATTTTATTTAGATATAAATATAATTATAATCTATCTCAAGCTAGATCCGATTTCTCGAATATTAATATGGCTGATTCCGATAAAGACGAAGATAATATATATATTACTAATAAATCTTCTAATATAGAAGATGAATTAGTAATTTATTTAGAAGAAAAGAAAGAAGATAGAAAAGTAAATATATTTTATTTAAATTTTATTAAATAACTATCTGATATTCTCTTAATCTCTTTTTATGAATTAGTACTAATATATATATAGACTAAGCCCTTAGACTACTGGAAGTCTAATACTGCTAGATTCCCTGTTTTAGCTCTAATAGCTAGGAAATATCTAGGAATTCCGGCTTCCTCGGCTGCTAGTAAGAGATTCTTCTCTCAAGGTGCTCTTATTATATCTAAATTATATAATAGACTTAATAAGAGTACTTTTGAGATTATATCTTATCTAAAAAGCTGGGGATTATTTAAAGACGAATTAGAAGAAGTAAAAAGAGAAGAAAAGAATAATTCTAAAGAAGGAAATCTGTTTTTTATTCAGGAAAAGTAGTATTTAAGTAGCCTTATATAAGTACTAGTTTAGATTATATAGTACTACTATATAAGTACCTTCTTTTATTTATTAATAATTAAATAAACATTAATTTACTAAGTCACGTGACTTGCACGTGACTACTCTAGAGTTACTCTAGAGTTACTCTAGAGTAGTACTCTACTCTACTCTACTCAAGTACAATATTACGCTACTCAAACTCTACTCTACTCTACTCAAGACTACTCTAGAGTAGCTTGAGTAGAGTAGAGTAGTTTTTGCCCACACTGCTGGTAGTTCTCTCCGTTATTTCATATTCATTGTGCCACGGACTAACTATTATAATAAGGCGAACGTCAACTAGTCTTTGCTCGTTTCTTCTTCTGGAAGCCGGGGTCAAAGATGCAGAAATCACTTACCGGCCTCATCAGGTCTCTACTACACGATGTTTTAAAAGCATGTCCTCATCTCATACGGGAAGTTCTTCCAGATTATTGGGATCGAGTCAAGTCTACGCCTCGGCAGGTGCAATTTAAGCTACCATTATCAAACAAGGATATTCGGGAGGCATTTTCACGATTAATATCAGATCCGAAGTTATACAACAACAATTGCTTTTGCTTCTTCATCGACGGACTTGACGAATATGAGGGGACGCACCAAGAAGATCCAAAGAGCCTAGTTGACTTGCTCGGCAGCTGGACAAATCTTGCACCAACAACCGTCAAAATATGTGTTTCCAGCAGAGAGTACAACGTATTTATGAACGCCTTCTCGAATGAGCAACGCATCAGCCTTCAGAACTTGACCAGATCGGATATGTCGCGCTACGTTCTTGATAAGTTCCGTCACATGGATCGGAAAGAAGACCAGACGGATCTCACGAAAGCTATCGTGGAGAACTCTCAAGGGATCTTTCTCTGGGTTACGCTTGTGGTCAAGAGAATTCGCGAACAAATGGAAAACGGCGTCGATCTCAATACTTTGCACAGTGAGATTGATTGTCTTCCCCGAGAGCTAAATGATCTATTTGAATACATTCTCAACTCTCTAGTCGATTCAGACCTTAAAGCTGCATATCAGACATTCTCTATGGTCCTTGAGCTAAAACAGCATAAAAAGCTTCTCACACTATTGTCCTACTCATTCCTGAACGACTTCACACGGGAGCCCGTGTTGTGTCCACGAGAAGATTCCCAATATCCCACGTTGACCCAGGAAGAGAGAGCTTTGAGAATCGAGTCTGCACGCAAGCGATTGAACGGGTGCTGTGGAGGCCTCTTGGAAACCCGACAAGATCCCGCAGAGGATACATCGGAAGGCATCGTAATCACACACCGATCAATCTCCGAGTTTCTGTCTAGTGGGATACAAAGAGACCGAATGCAGCATCATCTCACCGGCTTTAACTCAGTCGATGCTATCTCTCGACTCACACTTGCAGAACTTTGCTCGAGAGAGCCCGGAAATATCAAAAATTCGAGTTATTTTGACAAATTGGCTTTGGCATTGGTGAATTTACGTTCCATGGCCAAGCTTGATGGACGTCCGTATTCTTTTCTTGTATCACTAGCATTGGCATGGCAGCGCCACCAAGGTCAAGGCAATTATGACTCTGTAGGCAGGTACGTTTTAGCTACCGCGGGTAGTAGGAGTACCTTTATAGATATCATACCGGCTTCAGGCGTACCAGGAGGATGCGAACAGTGGCAAACACTTCGACATCCAATATACGCAGCAGCGCTCGTTGGCGGCTATAACTATGTCATTTGGGAGTTGGGCCGGAATCCAGATGCTATCCATCTTTTCACTCCCCGCCGTCTGCTCAATTGTATCCTTGCCGGCCCCGTAAACCATCCGGAACAAGGTATACATGATGTAATCGATTGTTTACATAGCAATCATGGAATGCAACCCGAAACCACTTCGAACTTGATTTCTACCTATCTCTATCCAGCTTCCTTTGATCCAAAGGCAGCAATTGGTATACGGTTTGGCGATGAAAATACCGAGGTCTCGCTCTGGCACCATATTCTGCTGAGATGTTGCAGACTCTGGCTTTACAGATATAAAGAACTCGTGGTTTTGGGCGAGATTATAGAGAAATTCCTTGAGTATGGGGCAGATCCGTACTTTTACATATCTGTTACCAATCCTCCCCAATACGATAGTATAAAGTTAGTTGTACGAGTCAATGGAGTGATTCAAGAACAAAACCTTTTTTCTTGGTACTACGGAGGCGAGGACAGTGCTAAATTTGGATGCGAGAACATGTCTCTTGTAGACTTGGTTGAGGGGTGGGGCTTCGAGAACAAGACACGAGTTCTTGAGCTCATCAAGAAGAACACGTTGATGCTGGAAGATGCCAACGATCAAACCAAAGGCACGATTCTCCCAGATAAGGAAGAGACTGGCGAGAAACCATTGGCGACTGTGGGAATGGACGATTCAGCAACTCTGGACGACGTCAGGGCATTACCTTCCGAGTCTATCTCTGACGGAAGTGAGATTTGCATAGATACAGACCCAGGAGGCGATCGCCTGACAGGCGTTTGGGGTTCTGGAAGCCTAAATCTGTTTGGTCTTAGTGCTGCCGTCTCGATTGGTATTTTGGTAGTTGGTGAGCGCCATATCTCGACTCGAGAATTTTTGATATTTCAAGCTAATTTTACCTAGGCATTCTTATTGCCCTGTTGATGCAGTGGCCGTTTGGTTGATTCTCTCTTACGCACCCGTGTTTGGCTAAGCTATTGGGCAATCATCCTGGACAGGTCGGAGGACGGCTTGACTTAGGCTTGCCATTGTTAGTGCATGATTAGGGCGTCTCTAAAGGTCATGACTCTTTCCCAGTTATCTGTGCAGCTCTGTGGCTTCAGAACCAATCGGGTTAGTGTCGATGTCTTTTATTAGTTGCAAGAATGAAGTCAGTCTCCGGCAGCGGGAGATTTACGCTATGGGAGGAGTATACATGAATTCTGACTTGACCATCGCTGCCACGAGTGCTGTGGGCGTCTAAGATGGCTTCCTGAGACCCATTCCACCTGATCCGAGTTTCTGGTTACCAAGTTTCAACAACACTGGGGCAAGGTTAAGATCAGTGGATACGCACAACTACAACCAGGAGAGAGAGCCACTTGAAGCCAGAAGGTGAGCTTTGAAAAAGTCGCTGCTTTCTCCGCGCGTGCTGTCCTTTGGAGAACGAGAGCTTTCTTGGCGATGTCAGACGGCGGCCGTTGAGATGCAGAGAAAAGGGCATAGAATCTGCAAAAGGCTGCTATCTGGAGTGTTCAGTGTTGCGCTCGGCGGCAAGTCGATGATCGAGATGAGACAAGCTCTGGCCTGGGAAGCGATCGTTGAGGATTACAGCGGTAGAGAGCTTTTAATTCCTGAAGATCGATTGCCCACCATTGCGGGTATAGCAAGTGAGTTGGAGAAGCTATGGGACGAAATATATCTCGCTCGTTTGTGGAGAAAGTATTTGGTGAAGTATCTAGCATGGGAGCGTGTGAGGATATCCTGAGACGAAGAACCTAGCCCCCACATGACCTTGGGCCTCGACCGGAAGCGGCTTCGCTTTTCATCAGAAGATTGTGACGTTTTCAGCCGAGATACTGGATTGCTAAGCACAGCCAGTGGACGAAAGAGCAAGTTTCGGTCAAGTAAAATCTGGAACACTGGTTCTCCGAGCTTCGGGCCATGGAGGCTTCCAAGGAAAATGGCCATCTAGCTTCTGCCGTCAAGTTTATGGCCATAGCAGCAGATCCATCAGTGATTCTGCTAATATTCACTACACCTTTTTAGGAAAGATTTTGGAGCTGGGCTGCGTTGGCCTCATATTAGAAAACAAACCGGATGGGAAGTTCGTGAGAGCTGGCATCTGGTCGGGCCGCCAAGTGGATGTGCAGGTTTGGTCTAGAAATACGATTCAGAAAGCAATATTTGAAATAATTTAATTATAATTCGGAACAACAGTAACCTCTTCCAAACGATTTATTAGAGCTGGGGTCTGAATTGAAGCGCCACTTTGGCTGAAACCAGTGTGTCAAAAAATAATCAAGGCTAATTAATTAGAATTAATTAGAATTAATTATAATTAAGTATGATTTGATTAGCTTGATTTTTATTATAATTAATTATAATTAATTATAATCATCACGTGATAATACAAAAGTATACTTTCTTAGGCATTTCTAAAAAAAAATTATTAAATAACTAATAGCTATATTAATAAAATATAAATAAAATTTATAAAGCATATATAAGAGTATAAAATTAGTCTAAATCTAAAATAACAAACTAGTTTTTGTTATGTGGTACCAGTCACGTGGTGCTATTGCACGTAACTTAGTATGTGGCCAGTGCTTCCTTAGCCTGGCAGATAGCCTTTAGCTCAATTCAAGCTCTTTACTACTACTGTAACACTGGAAATCAAGGAGGTTCTAGCGCCTTTGGCTTCGCTTACTAATTAGCGCTAGGCCTGGTTTAGTAAAGAGCGCCTTTAGTAATACCGAATATGGCTGGCCCAGACCTTATTTTAGCCTCATCTCGGCTTCCGAAGCTCCAGAGTCATGTGCGTAATCACGTGATAAATCTAATTAATTATCTTTGATTATCTTTGATTATAATTAAGTATGATTTGATTAGCTTGATTTTGACTTGATTTGATTTGAGTAGGGGGGTCTAATCAAATCAAACCTAATCATTTGACACACTGGCTGAAACAATAGCTGGAATTCAGAACAAGCTCATTAGAACGACTAGTGCTGCAGAAAGCAAGACGGAAGTCATTTCCAGGATTGAGGGAATTATGGTGCATGGATTAGTAATCTCATTTGCAGGTTCAGGAGACACTGGCTTCCCACTGTCTTTTCAAGGCTATCGCCTCACTTCGAACCCCCTCAGCACCTCCCGCCTTCTCCAGCCATTTCAAAGCTTCATCCATCTGCCCAACAGCCTTGCAGATGATAGCCATATTGATCATGCTCAAGCCGAATCCTTCGGCAGCAGCAACTTGAAACCATTCCCTAGCCATGCCATAATCATCTAATGAAGTCGGTTTTCTTTCTTGCGTGTTCAATTTTTCAAGTTCAAGAGCGCCAAGATTATGCCACGCTTCCACCACTCCTGAAGATGCCGCTTTAAGCAAGTAGACTTGTTGATTTGACGAGCGATGCTCTTGTAGCTGCGCGAGATAGAAGTATGCTGAGGGGTCGTCAAGTTCAAGTGCAGCTTTCTCGAAAGCAGCCTTCGCTCCGTTCCTATCGTTCCGTTGAGACAAAATTCGGCCTTCGCTCACAAGTGCTTCACCAGCACCATCAAAATCCAATCCACCAGTTGGTTCTCGGGTCGCTCTTCTGAACCAATCCAGGGCTTCATTCTCCCGTCTTTCGGCCATGAGGACTTTGCCCAACAATGTCATGGCTTGAGGATCATTGTCCTTCTTGGCTAGGGTGCCAAGTCGTTCAAGAGGAGCACGGTACTCATACAAAGTGCCAACACGCAGTGCTTCCGATATAATATCAAACGTCGCTGCTTTTTCTCCGAGCCTCGACGCCGCGAGCATGACGCTCTTAGCAAGGGCTTTCTGGCCTCCACTATGACATCTCTTAAGGATTCCAGCAAGAAGCGCCATTGTCGAGGGCAATATATCGTGTTCTAGAATTCTGTAAGAACTCGGAATTGGAAGTCAAAATGAGACCGCACCATCGCATAATCTTTGCTTCCACCCCGCATTGGATTTCCCAGCCAGGGCTTGGTATTCACGCAAGAATTCAAGAGCTTGATCCGGCTCTACAGCAAGGGCCCCTGATTTCCTAGCGGCATTGAGGAGGGCAATTGGCGGGAGAGACTCTTCGTATTCATACGTCCGCTTTATCCGTAACCCTCCAGCAGGTGGGTTCGTAGCTCTGACTTTCGGGGATCTCTTGGGAGCTGGTCGTGCTCTAATAAATGGTGTGGCATGAAAGTCTCTCGGTCGTAGGAGTAGACATCCCTTTTCAATCAATGGTCTAGCACCTCTGACGGTGGACATGTCTGTGGAAGGGGGCCTTGGCTGTTCCGGCTGCAGACAATGTTGAGGCTGAAGGGACTGTATAAAGGCCCCAATGGCCCGGTAGAACCCAGATATCCAGCACCCAAGAGTTACTGCGTAAGCAATGGCAGATTCTCGATGATTTTTCAACAGAATTATTGAAAAATTAGTTGTTGAAAGTGATGAAGTCTGATGTGAAGTTCAGAAGAAGCTCAAACGAGAAGGCGGTGAGAGCCCCACTCAGAAATTCTGCCGACAATTTTTAATTATCAGAAATTCAAACAACACTCCCACAATTTCACGAGCAACAATGAATTGACCCACCAAATCTCTCGTCGGAAGAAAGCATTCAAGAACTCAATGTTCTCAAGGCTTTACAAATCCGCCAGAGCCATATTCACAGATCCAGCAACAACCAAGAACGAGCAACTAACCCCGATTGTCGAGCCACTTCAAGACGAGACGATGGTTACAACCCGACAGAAGAACACGCAGGCACCTGCGGGAGATGAAATTGAGGAGGAGGACTCAATAAATGTTTACGTGTCGAGGAGCAGCAGCAAGAGACAGAGGAAGAGAACCAAGGGGACGTCTTCAAGCGACGAGGACGCGGCAGAATATGTGCCACCAAGCTCAAGAAAGAGGAAGCGGCTGCCAGTGCGTGCGAAGGATGTGGTCGAGAGCCCAGATCCTGGGAAGACTCGACCTGTTGTAGAAATTCCTGTCAGGGAGATATCCCCAGAACCAGATTATAACGACATTGTTGCGGCTGAGGAAGAAGACGACAACACAAAGTTGCAGGATGAAGAGCATGATACGGTAGCTGCAGAGCCTCTCGAAAGCTCAAAACATCGTCGGTTTGGAAGCCAACCATCGGAGGACGAATTATTTTCTACAGCTCGAGAAGTGGCGAACGATGAGGGCAACGCCAAGACTGTCGAAGATTTCCAGGTGATCGAAGATAGCGAAGATAGTGATGACGATGCTCCAGAGGTTGTTGGTATTCAGGAGGCTGCGGAGAGCGTCAGAACCAAGGATAGAGAGGCTGCTAGGGTTGTAAAAGAGTGAGCCTACCCCTCGGCCCCTATTCCCTGGCCACAGTTACTGACTTCCTCTTAGCCAATTATCTGCTTCACGAAAGAAGAGGAAAGAGAAAGACGACGCGCTAAAGAAACAAGCTGCATCGAGCAGAAAGCGGAAGTTGGAAGATGATATCACAGATGACACGGAGAAAGCAAAGCGCTCCGCCAAAGAAGAGAAACCCATATCGACGAAGGCAGACCAGGGTCCGGATGAGGACGAGATCCGCGGTGTTGCTGAAAACACCGAGATCCTAAAAGATACATTCAAAGCATTACCCCTTTCAAGAAAACGGGCACTTCCCGACTTGTTACCAGCCGAATACCTAGAAGATACAGAACCTCAAGACCTGCTGCCATTCGACCAATTTCCAACCAAGAAGGCGAAGAAGACGAAATTCCACCTTACTGCAGAGAAAGAGCCAAAAGATCGACGGGTAGGATCGACGACATATCGTATAACAAAGGCCAGCAGCACGAATCTAGCACCAAAATCAATTTCTCAAGCTCGAAACACAAAGGAATCATGGCTTCAAGGTCGGTCTGGAAAGAAAGGCGGCATGAATCGGCCGTCTTTCGCCAAGGGATTCTCCAAGAAGTGAGATTGTCTAGGGGACATGGTGATTGGTAAAGGCTGATTGCAGACCCAATGTTTTCTTCGGTCAACTAGATTTGACGAACAGATACCCCAATAAAGAAGCCCTTCTCTGCTAGCTATTATTGTTTGTCCGATATTGAGAGTAATATCACATTTGTTGGATTATGTGAGCACAAGTTTCCTTCAAGTATACGAGACCTGTTGCATCGAATTGATGGAAGTCTTTGCCAGCTAGCGGAAGTCTACGTGCAGCTGTACAGTGTGCAAATATGGTCGCTGGACGAGAATTGGAGCTCGCTGCTAGATACCAAGTGCTAGGGTGCCATTTTTATTTTGCCGTGCTGTGTCTAGATGTGATGTTTGTGTGTCCACGGAAAGAGGCCAGCGCTGGCATTTTTCGTGTATCACTCCGAGCTGCTCCGTCACATGGCCCTTATACGGCCAATGTACTGCATCCTTTCTGTGAGGTGAATCGAGTACGGCTTTGAAGATTTCGTAAAGTGTTCTTGGCGTAATTGTTTCCTCGGTGTCAAGGGACGCTGGCTCTTGAACCTCACCGTCTTCGTCGGTGAGCGTTCTCGAAATTGATCCATTGGCAGATTTCATTTTGACCGGGTTTGTGTCCTTCCCGCCAGTGCCCCACGGAAGTCAGATTAGAGCAAGCCTGTGTAGATGCTTGGGGACGTGGTCGTCTAGAGTTGACTGCGGACATTCGGCCACATGATCACAGAGCAGGCGGGCCACGGTTTCAGCATCGTCCTTTGCCTCACTTTAACAAGAGATGGAAGCTGAAATGACGAGAGAGCGGCAGAATGCTTTGTATTCATATGGATCTTCAAATCATCCACATAGCTAAAAACCAAAGCCTGATCTGGCGCTAAATTCGATGGCCCCGATTTCGGGTTACAACAGTCGCATACCCAGCCAGAAACTCCCTGCTGACCGAGCATGTGTTTGAGAAGCTCTTTTCTCGTATTGTCAAACAGTCCGCCCTATTAAACTCAAAGTTCAAAACATGTTATCTAATAACGAAATTTGAAGTGCCTGTTGAAGTTCTTCCAGATTTGTCCCCATTGGTGTGTAACGATTCTGAGTTCGTAAGCTCAGCGCAATCGCCACAGATAGAGAACTCTCGTCTTCGTCCATGTCCATGCTGCCACTAGGTTGTGGATCCCGGTTCTCATCAACATCATGTTGCGTCTCATATCCATCTCCTTGTGCCTCATTTGGAATTGGAGAGCCTTCCAATTCTATGGCAGGCGGTGTTGGGAAGATGCGGAGGCCACTTTCGGGGGTGGTCAGATCTGCTACACCTGGGACTCGATGGAGTCTTCGAAGGGATTGCAGGGGATTCCTCGGTGTGAATAGCGGCCATAATCTCGATGACGATTGAGCTGGTGAGGCACGGGGTAAGTCGGCCCGACGCTCCAACCAGTCTCCTGCATCAATTCTTAAATCGACCGATGCTGCGTCCGACTCTTCATCTCCAGGACTGGAATCGAAGAGAGACGGAGGCCGATCTTCAGCGGGCACTATCACTTCCCTTGGTATTACAGTGCGCGCAGTCGGAATTCGATGGTGATTAAATCCAACCGTAGGGCTGGTAGAGTTCACATCCGGAGATGTGCCTATCAACGTTAATTCATGCGCAGGCGATTCCCTCGGTTTTACTGACCTCTTTGAAGTGTATCCAGTACCAGATTCCTTGGGAATCCACTTATTGGGATAATATCTTCCCTCTCCGTGTAGTCCCACAGCGCGAGCGAAATCGTTATTGCTCCGTGCTTTGCTGACACGTTCACCTCGATGACTCCCATATCGAAATGAGCGTGAGTGCACATTTTCTCGATGACAAGTGGGTCGATAATGGTCTCCACTGGGCGTTGATATTGCTCCTGAACATTGAAGTAGGGCTGAAAGATTTCGTGCCGTTGGTGAAGTCTCAGAAATGATCCAAGGTGACGGAGTTCCGCAGTTCCGTTTGGGAATCTGCAGATAATTTTCCCTGCAGTGGTAAGTTAAACTGCAATGATAACTTCCACGGATTCATTCACTGACCTTCGCATACGTAACCGCTCCCATATTTCCTTTGGCCTATCCTCTCAAAATAGAAGGACGATGCTACTAGCCGATGTGCGATTCTAGATATCTTTTTCCGATATAGCTCGTTATCCTGGAGGTTCTCCCTCACTGTATATTCTAAAGACTCCAAATTTCTTTTGTCATCAAGTCGTGGTGGTGGATAGCCTAGCTTTGGGTTGATTCGCTGATATCGTCGAAGTTCGGATTCCTCCCGAGATGATAGAGTATCATTTTTGAAGTTGATCCATATTTGCTCAGAGTTCAGAATGTTGTCGACTCGGTTGACCATGATATTCAGATTTTGAACAAATTCGGCATTCTTGAACCACTCTCCGATACCTAGTTTTCTTTGCCTAGGACTAGGTGTCACGATTATGTCGGATATGATCTCAGCTCTTCGAGATCTTCTGTCATACGGCTCGGCAGAACCGTTCGTCTCCGCTCCGTTGTGGCCTGTGCCAATTGATAGCAGAATATCCGGTTTGCAATCTTGAACATCTGGCCAGAGAAGCTTACTCTCATGATAAGCAACCCTGACTGGGTTGTTGTGATACAAAGCTCCGTCGAGGTATCCTGCCTTGGTATCCTGCTTGACAAACGGCTTGAAGTAACTAGGCGCAGCACAGGTCGCACGCAGTCTATCTGGGAGTATCAGTTCTCATTCGATACTCCTTGGTTGGTGACCTGTGGTGGACTTACGCTTCCCAAAGTTTAAGTTCCTGCTTTGGATTATCAGGCCTGACCATACTGTAGCTAGCTATATATTTTTTTAACTTCCATCCCGACATTCATTCTAGGGCCTTACCTTGAGTTTCCATCCCTCGATTATAATTGGTGAGTATGACTGGCTTTTCCCCGGTGTCAGTTGTCGCAGTTACCGCTACTCGGGTAAAGTAACTATTCGATTCATCGTGGGCTCCGCCAAATAGAAACTCATCTTTGAAAACCTCCTGCAGAGCCTGCTCAAAGGGCCGAGTTCTATATCTATGTCCGAATCTCATCCCTGGCAAACGTGAGGTGAAAGCCTTGTCAGTTAGTCGACGGAAGTGCTTGATACAAGTCTCGACCCGCCAGTTCTCTACCCCAAGGCCGACAGCGATAATTCCGCCTGTGCTATACACAATATAAATATCGACCAGACGGAACCGTCATTGGGGTGGCTTACCTTGTGCCGACGATGAGGTCAAAAAATGCTTGAATGGGAATGTGGCCTCCTAAGTATAATTCAATCTCCCGTAACACTTCCAGTTCAACAATCCCTCGAATACCGCCACTGCTTATATTAGCTTCAAGATGGCAACTTCGGAGATTGAACAAGCCCATCGAGAGAAAGAATCCTCACGCCTGCTAGGTCAGGCTTGAATTTGAGATACCATGGCTCTGTGAACCTGATGTTGCGGGGGTGAAGGGGACAACGGTCCATACGAATGAAGGTCTTGTCTTTTTGCTGTGTGCCTCCTTTTTTCATGTCTAGCTCACTATATGTCCTCACACAAGGCGTGCAAAGCACGTGCCCACAGGGAAGAGGGTGCTCAGGCATTTCCCTCAAGCAGCAGAAACATGCAGAATGGCTTACAAATCGTGGAGAACCCTTGAGGAGGCGATAGAAATCTTCAATATTGCTGCGGTGCGCTTCAGAGACTAGATCTCTTTCCGAAGTTGAAGGTTGTGCTCCAATCTCCTCCACTAGCCTATTTTGGAACTTGAAAATGTTCGCCAGTATATGGCTACGCCAAGTTAAAACATAGGATTCAAAGGAGAAGGTGGATTCGTATTCGCCTGACCCAATGATTCTCCCATGCTCGTTTTGGTGGCCCTTCTTGTGACCTTCGAGGACGTTTACGCAATGTCCGGAGCGGCTGTGGAATTGACAGGGCCAAAATAGCTTGCAAAAGTCTCTCAAAGCATCGTCGCAGTATTTCCGGTAGTTCCTTCTGAATAAGTCTTTTGCAGGACCTCCGGGGCAGATACAAATAAGCTGCTAGTCTGATGAGTTATGAATGGAGTTCTTAAAGCTTACCTTTAAGGCCGTGTCGAGCACAATCAAGAATGATGCAAGACGCAATCATGACACTCAACTTCTTAAAAATTCTCGGTCCATCACTTGTCTCCTGAATTTCTTGGGCAGCTACAGCAAGTTTCAAGATATTGCCCCCGAAGTCTCGTGGTATTGGACTATTATTGAATGCAATCTCCAAGAAATTGAACGGGGTATCCAAATTCTGAGAAAAATGATCAAAAGCAGCTTGCAGGTACTGGTTAAGCTCGTCCGAGGTAGCTAGCATCCGAGATACCCTTTTAGCATCATAAGACTGCTTGCAAGCTGAGTCGATTTCCCGGTGTAGTTTCTGGACTTGCTCCTCAACCAACATGTAGCGGCCTTTCCTTGGGATGCATACAACGCGAATGGAGGGATAGTAGCATCCGAGCAGATCTCTCATAGTTTCGACAGACTTTCCATGACTGTTCCAGTATTCAGAATATTCCCTATAGCTGACGTCGCGACCAACCGCTCCAGCAACAGTATCCATCAGATTTTCAGTTGGAAAATCGACATCCCATTTCCTCGGGTCAACTCCCGGATCTGTTGCATTAAGAGCAATTATGGCGTGCGGGAGTACAGGCTGGTTGGTGGACTTTTCCACAACAGCATGCGCCCAGCTCAGCAACTTGCTTAGAACAGTCGATTCAAACGTTCTGAGGCCAGTATCAATAAAACCAGTAAAGAACGTGGGGAAGAGTCAAATACTTTGGATTCTGCAGGACAAAGACTACCGCGTCGGAGAAAGTGTAAAGAAGCCTGGGGTATAACTCTGTGACGCCGTACTGCCGTTTCTGTTTTGCTGGGGAATCAGCCCAAGCAATGGGTCGCTCTTGTCCTCGGGAAATTCTCCACCGTTTCTTCAGACGATTCATCTCTTGGCTGTGGTCATCTCTTCTGCGAACTATCCCACCCTCTGCTTCTTGGCGACGAGCACCGATTGGAATGTTTTCGCCACCTTCAAGACCCTCGCAATCTGCATAGAGAGTCGGGAATGTAGTAAAATATGTGGACGGATCCGCATACAGGTGTACGTCTCCAGAGGTCGGAACACTGTCATTTGTCGACGATCCAACTATTGGACATTGGAACAATCTTCTCTTCTCTGGATCATCTATGCCATAGCTTTGCCGCTCGATTAGCATTTTGACCAGCGTACTCTTTCCCGCGCCAGTTTGACCGATGAAAGATACGAGGCGCGGAAAGCGGGTCCTGTGTTCTCTTGAAGCGCTGTTTGCAATAAGCGTTGAATATCGTCCATAGTCCTGGAATATCGGGCGGCCAGTAGCATCACGCACGATGCCAAACCAGGTAGTATCCTCGTCCTCAAGATGCATTCTCTCCTGTATTCCAGGGTCTGAAGGAGGGTTAAATGTGGCCTTAAGCCGTGATACGACCTCAGAATCAGCCTTCTCATGTGGCAAGCCGTCCGGTCCAAGCTTGCCAGGCTTGTGAGCTCGTTCTTTTGCCCAGCAATTGGAGCAGAAATGCCCATCGCAATTCACGCAGAAGAACACTCGGATGTTGTGGACCTCACAGCCTTCACATGGTGGGTCCGAGAGGCCGGTATCGAAAGTTTTCTCTGAAAGAGGAGCCTGGTGATTGTCTGCGTTACGAGGTTCATATCCAAGGAAGTGCCAAGAAGGCGGGTTCTCCATCTCGTTCAAGACAGTCCGAAATGCTCAGCAGTAGTCGGGAGTAAATCAATAAATTAATCCACACGGCGAACAGCCCAGGTCAGAATTCATGCAGAAGAATTCCTCTACAATCTTTTTATGAGGAGAACTTTGGTGTCACCAGGTGAGGTGAGGCTGAGGCTGGAGAACTCGTGGGGTGATGCTTATTTTTGGCTTCGATCATCGACGCCTATAATTACTTTTCTTCAAGCGAGATAAGTAGCACTTATCGTGCGGGGTCGTTCAGGCCAATAATTGCGGAAAATCGAGTGCAATTACCCAATCTGGTAACAAAACTAGGCCTATGATAATGGTAGTACTGGCTGCGTACAATTGTTTCCCCGTGCCAGTTCCGTTTTAGAGTCTGGACGTGAGCAGCGGCCGCTTTACCTGAGCTAAAGAGCAAGAGTATACCTAAGCTGAGCCTGGTTAAAGCCTGCGCACGCCCCGAGTCAGGCGGGGCGGGTGTTTACTTTCACTGCCGGGACTTCAGCTGAGATTATCTACGGAGTAAGGGTAGCGTGGGTGGGGTTTCCCTTTTCATCACCGGAGAGTTCAGCTGAGGTCTTCAAAGGGCTAGCTAACCAATAGGCTACTGTGCTAGAGCTTAGCGTCATGCAGCGAGCCGTCAGCTATTTGTTGTGACTAATAAAGTACTTGGACCGAGATCGTGGCTTCCTTTGTGTCTTGGGCGGAATATCATGGCGGAACACAGCCATACGTTCATCCTCCTTTCCTGGACAGAGACTTGACCTCAACAAATCAACTGAGTCGAATTAGTTTTCTGAGACCTATGTACTCGTATACTTTGGAGTGGCTCTCTTGGCCTTTGAAATTGGTTTTCAGCCTTCTCTTCACATGCTGTGCGAATGTTTACTTAAAATCAACAGAGATAAGGCACTCAGAAATTTATACTTCAGAACTCTTCGCGGCTACACAAATTCGCAATTAGCCTCTCTTGATGGCGGAAGATCTCAGGGTAAGATTGAATGATACTCGAACCTTTAATATAAAAGATCTGGGGGGGAGGCCTTTTGTGCGACTTGCCATTCAAAGTCTGTGGTTGATGAGACATCCACAAAATGGTAATATAAAAGATCTGGAAGAACTAATATCTGGCCCTAATATCGAAAACATATCCCGAACTTTTACAAGAACCTTCAATAACTTTGCCTTTTAATTAGCGTAGGCGTGGGGCCACCTCGTAGCGACAGACTGGGTAGTTCCTATACCACATGTCCACTCTGTCCTGAGTCTTGACTTGACGCTTCGGTATTCGAAGCTGAAAAATTCAAAACACCGAAGCATTTGCAAGTGGTTAAGTACACCGCCAGCAGTTGCTTATCTTGCATATGTTGCTCAACACTGCGACAGCATTTTTAACAATAGTGCTGGGAATCTTGAGAGGTGTAAAATGGACGCCATCTTTCATCATCGATGCCCATTCACGCTTGGATGGATGACCAAAGAGCGAGCAGTGATCCACCTCCAAATCTACATTGAACATTTCAAAGAATGTTCGTGGAACGCAATTAAACCTAGAAGTCCTTGCCTCAGCTTTTCAACCAAGAATACTCTCGGAATCAATATTATATGGAGCAGATCAGAGGCTGGCTTGCCAAATGCCTTATGGAACACCCAGGGTGCCTGCCGCCGGAAATATGAAGGCTGCCACAAAGAGTTCTTAACGTTTGGTGCTAGATTCGTGAGAAAGATCCGATCTTGCGACAAAACTTAGGCGTCAAAGACTACTTACTACCTTTGTCTTAGCCATTATTGTGGAAGACTGCAATCTCTCAGGATGACCAAAATTTACAGTTAGCGTATAGTACAATGGGTATTCCAAGACAAAACATACTAAAAACTTTTTGCAACATTTTCAGGGCTGTAGAAATGCTTAAAGTTCGTTATGTCCGGATCGATTCATTGTATATTATGCAAGATGATCCACAAGATTGGACAGTACAGGCAGCTAAGATGTCATGAGATTTGTGGAAAATCCTACACCACTATATCAGCTTCTAGTGCTGCAGATCCGAATCAAGGACTGTAGAGACTCTTTCATGTACCGAAGTCGGAAATTTGCGTTTATAGACAATATTACCATCCTGTAGCGACGATATATGTTTCAGACAATTAGTCTAACATTGTCAGTTTGAGGACTCTGGTTAGTGCCCATCCATACCTGGGGGCGTAATGATGATGGCTTGGGTCTACTGAAAAGAGAATCAACACTCTATGAAGGTTTGGAGTTGCTGCTGCTCGATCGATTATGGGTATTCCAGGAGCAATTACTTGTGCCCCATACAATCCAATCCGTCCATAGAGAGATGGTTTGGGAATGCTTCGATACCTTTGGCATTATTGTACACCAGCCGAACACTCTCGTATTGTCACGCGGTATATGGGCAAATCGTTGACAAAAGAGTAGGATCGTTTGCCAGCACAGTCTAGTATCACAAAGCGAGCGCAAAAGTCCTTAATAGCCGATATGTTGCCGGTCCATGAGCCGATGATATGGCAGGTGGGCTCTGCTGGGCTGTGGACCAGGTATTGGCTTTTGGCCCTGGGCCAAGATGTGTAAGGCCAACAAGTTACAGCGCTTGAGCGCGTTCTCAGGGGCTTTTGCCTACTAAAACCCTGCAGCTTTACGGAGATTCTGGCATAAAGTCTGGCATAAAGTAAGGAGAATAGGGTTTGAAGCCAAGAGGCCTGTAAAAGATCAATCACTGGGGCCGCTTAACTTTAGGCGCACGCTACCTAGCTGGCAGGGCCCCCGTCCTCCCCGGGCTCGGACCCAATCGATCCACCCCACCTAACGGCCCGCCCCCGCCCCTTGCAGGTCCATCCAGCTCGTCCTCAGTCCCTACCAACCCTTCCTCGTCCTCGCTCACCGAGGTGCACAAAGCCCGCAAGCGTAAGCGCAATTGCGAACCACAGCGAGCGTAATATTGATAATATGGTCATCAACAAGATGAGCCTTGATTGTCTTCAGCGCCGTAGAGACAGCCGCAGAGTCATTGGCTTGTGCGCTGATGGAGTTGTTAACGAGCCTGCTGACAAAAGTCCGTGTTTTTAGCGATGTTTTCAAGCGTCACAAAACCAAAGTCGCCCACTTCACTTCACAGTTTCTTCGCAACTACAGATTAAAACCTCATATAATTTAAGGGCACACAATGAAAAAGGCTAGATTGAGTTTAGAAGGCCTTTAAACCTAATTCTGAATATAAAATGAAAGCGTCCAAAATAGTTATGAGGCTCGTTTCTTAGCGAAAGGCCCTAAAAACACGAAGTTTTCTCTGTAGGCTCGTAAGGACGATGCCCATTGCGTTGACCTTCGGGGCAACGTGGCCGATGTGTTGTGACAGCATGGTCAATTTCGCGTCAAGGCCAAGGCCGACTATAATTAAGGTTCTCGTTAGTTCAAACCTCTATAATTGATAGTCAGGTATGGCAGCTGCGTCCATTTTGAAGGGTAGAGTTTATGTAGCCTTCCTGGAAGTGGACACGTGACAGATATTACTTGGAAGCAGGTATTATTTTTGGTGAAGAGAGAGAGAGTTAACGCTGCTCATAATAGGCTTTCCTCACGAAATATAACGATCGATTTTTCTGGGTATATAATATGTGGCGCAGGAATCTTGGAATTTTGGAATCGTATCACGTGAGTAGAGCGCTATATGGCACTTATGGTTACCAAAACACTAACCACACCCGTGTAGTCTCTTCAGTAACCACCATTAAAAAAAATTGCGGCGAGGGAGACTTGCTCACTGCCTCTCTAAGGATTATTCGCCGTATCTCGCCTGCCGCTTCAGCCTCTGTCTTCGTCGAAACTCACCTCACTCTCCAAATTACAATAGCTGATAAGGGGTTTCGATAAGAGTTCCTAGATGCTGCTCTCTTGGTGTTCAATGCACAAGATATCGAATTTGGCCTGGTTATGCACCGGCCCTTGACGTCATGTGTGTAAGGTATAAAACGATCAGGAGCCGCTGGTAAATATAATTATAGCCAGATCCAAGAGCAAAACTCACAGGAGCCGTAGAATTTTAGAGAAAAGTCCCGGGATATTACAGGTCCTGAGAGAGCATAGTTCCTATGAGAAATTTCTTGGGAACCGTGCTCCCCTAAGCGATTTTTCACCGGACCCGTGGTCTCCCAAGACATTTCTCCCAGTTTGACCAACCAGAGTAGTATACAAAGGAAGGGGGTTCTGCTCTGGGGCAGAGAATCTTCTTGGCAGTACATTCAAGGGTGGTGCCAGTTTTGCAGGCGACTATAGCTATCAGAAATATCTCGAACCATCCAGTGCGTTTGTTGCGCGCAGCATATTCGACTGCGGCTAAGACCTCGAAGCCAGAAACTCTTTTCAACTAGTCTTTGATATTGAGAGTGAAGTTCGTCCCAGCCTCATGGGACACAACAATATACGCTAGCGGCTAACTTAGTTAAAACAACTTCGTACCAATAGAAGATGGAATCTGGCTTTCACATCTTGGGAACCAATTACCAAAATCATCAAAGTATCTATTCGCTAATACGAGGACGCACGCCCTCGAGCTATCTCTGATCTGGCCAGTTCCCTATCTTTGAGGTAACGAATTTATATAAACGAGAAGATTTCCCCAGAAAATTATTCCAGGGACCAGAGCATCGGCACTATACGTATCTCAGGTCGGACTCTCAAATTCTGGCGCCTCTTTAGCCCAAGGAGTTTTATAAATATAACTTCATCAGAACAAAATAGTTAATTAATAAGTTATTTTCGCTATTTCCTCTCGATCCGCTTGCGCAACATACATAACTCTACCCGAAGTATTCTGATATTGAATGTAACACTTTATAGCTGTTGTAGCTATTAATCGTTTTTGCCAAGTCGGACTCCCGATGATTTGTCCTGATGGCCCAATGGTCCTCCATTATCATCACGTTTGCCGATTGTTATATGAAGTAATATTTCCTATCTCTTAGTTACCGTTGGGCACTCTTGCAATCCGTCTTTACATTTCCATTCAAGCACGGAGCTTTTCACATCCAACTCCACTCTGTCAAGAGTGAAGATGGCGCCATCTTTTGGAAGTAAGATCGTCCTGATCATAGGTGCAGAAAGGGGTATTGGCCGAGGAGCAAGTATCAAGCTCGCAAAATTAGGTGCTACATTAGCGTTGACAGACATCAATGAAGCTTCTCTCGACAAGACATGTAATTTATGTACAAGTACGAATCACCACTACACTTCAGCCTTTGATGTTGGATCAACAGAGAAGTGCAACGAATATGTCTCAGTCATTATATCAAAATATAACGGCATCGACCACATCTTCAACTGTATTGGTATAAACGGTGTTTACCAATCAACAGTTGACGTCACAGATGCACATTGGGATAAGATGTTCAACACAAACGCCAAAGGCTTCTTAAACATCACACGCGCCTGTATACCTTATCTCAAGTCTGGTGCCCCTCTCGAAAACCCCATATCCGCGTTTGGAATCTCCCCCGTTGCCAGTTTTGCTGCCTACTGCGCTACAAATGCTGCGGTTATTGGATTCTCAATGAACATGGCGCTTGAGCTGGGCCCGAGGGGGATCAGGACTAATATCATTGTTTCCAAAGCTATGAGAGCACCGACGAATGTGCAGGTCATTGCGGGTTAGGAGGGGCTGCAGAAGCCGAGCGAGGCGATTTCGTTGTAGATAGGGGAGCCGAGGATATTACGGATGTGGTGGCATTCTTGTTCAGTGATGAATCGAGGTATATGAATGGGAGTGCGGTTAAATTACAGGCGGCTTTTTGTGAAAATAACATAAAGGGATTAGACCCAGCATTCTGAAGTTCGGGTGCAGGTTGTGGGGGGGGTGATCACGTGAACTCGACTCTCAGTTCCGTTCCATCATGCCGCATACGTCAAATTTGAGAAAGATCAGGACATAAAGATCATGCGAATTCTTGGCACAAAGACTTCTTGATAAGTCAACCCTGTTCTGTGGGTGAATGAGAATGATTTTGTTTTGGCGTTTCTCTGTCACGTGATACCCATGCAGTACTCAACTGAGAAAACCCTTCACCATCACTGCAACCTTTGGCATAATTTCCAAGGAACTAACTCTACCGAGTCACCACAGCAAGTTCCATTAGTCATGGGGAAGATGGATTATTACTCAACTATTGAGTGAGTCTTCGCAACTTTGCAACTGGTATCTTGATGGGCAGGGAGATCTTGGCATGTCCCAGAAAAATACAAGCGCATTCGGGAATTACCAACAAGAAGCTTTGAAGACTTTGTGTTAGGAGCGAAGTCAACGTAGTACATATGACGCCCTTGCGGAGGTTGGTGGCTTTCACGTTGCCGACTAACGGTCTAGCCAGTGGTTCCTGGAATGTTGCACATCGCGTCCGTTACACGAAAACCTTTGGTGGCGTGTCCAGTGGACAGGCGTGTTTCAGTCCCGCTCTGATAGGTCAAATCGTGGGAGCGATGGTGTGAGTTGCTCCTCCGAGCCTGGGGAATGAATCCGTAGAATGGCCAGGAGCATTTCATTTACATATCGGTCTTCCCTATGCAGTGAAGGTCTTTCAGGGGATTTCACCACCACTTCCCTTCTCGTTGCCGGTGGTTGGTAGATGCATGAATAATTCTGTGATGGCGGAAAGTCGCGCGAACGCGGGTAGGGGGCACAGAATAGGATCTCTCCCGATGGTTCCTCTCCCTATCGGGCTCTGGCTGGTCCCAGCAGCCGGTCTCCAATAATCCAACTTTGCCCTGTCATTATAGTTAAATTTCGTATAACTGGGATTCGTTTAGAGGACCACGTTAGCTAGCACCGTAATGTAAACACTTAGGCTCATCCGGGTGGTATTCGTCGAGTCAGAATGCTTTCAAGTAGGTAGAATTTCGTGAGTAGCTTATTAGGGGAGAGAAGGAGGACGTGGAAGCGAGAAGATACATTGTCATCGAGAGTGGGGATTTTGAAAACCGTTGATGGCGAAGTCTGTGCTGCATTGAATTCGCGCCATCCCGCCAGGCCTTACCCCTGAACTCCAGTCAAATGGGGAAATAATTCATAGGTTTTGAAACATTTGGGAAGAGGAGGATCTTAGTGCCATCCGACCTTATTTAGGGTGTCCCACTGACAGTGGTCCAGCCTGAATGCCCTAAAAGCGGGACGGAGAAGGACTAATAACTTGGGCCTTTTCTGCACCTCATCACCCACACCTCCTCTTGTCATCATCTTTTTGTTCGGAGCCATCACTTCAGGAAAAGCTGATGCACCAGAAGTTAAGGCCGGTGGATGAGAATCAAGCCACAGAACATGGAATCGAGGTCTTCTTGGGCTTCTGGCGTGCCACGTCGCATCTCATATCCTCCGCTGCCCCCATCCGGCATTGCAGAACGCATTCAGCATCGAGACAGACAAACAAAAGACAATCGACAGGAAGTAGCCTTCTTCATTTTCGCAGTTGCTACCCTGACCTGCAGATACCTGCACAATTCACGGACTTGCAGACGCTCTTTCGTCGAGAAGAGGAGTCCCAACCTTCGAGAGGGACTACCGAAGCACTCGAGATTCACCCACCTGAACGCGCCCCAAAAGACTTCTCGGGGCTCTCGCCCTCATTGCTGATGAGTTTTTAGCATCTGCGAGCGTTTGCAAACTTCGAATCCCGCCCAGCTTCAACTTTGCGTATGCCTTTCTGCCTCAACCATTTCTTCCCTATTACACGCGACCAGCCTCTAGTGGCACACAGCTCAGACCGTGTGAGGTACTTTCCGGCTACTTGCAGGTCTGCAGATGTTGGTTTTCTGCATACCCCGCTTCATTGATATCGAACCCCCTATTAAGTATGAAGAGATGCTCTCGACAAATCCTCACCGCGAATACACAATGAAGTTCCAGACCGTATATATGTGCCTTCCACAACCTCCAAAGGATTTCGATATCTCCATTTGACATCGGGTTCGTGCTTTATTTTTTCTTTTGGATATCTTCACAGGTGACAGAGATAAGGAGCCAACATCTTTCAATCAGCATAGGTTTCACACCAATAACACAGTGCCAATCCTCCCACTCAGATTGGCTTCAGAATAACAGCGATATCGTCACAGCTCTTCCCGGCCATCGGAAAAATTTCGCAATGGACTTTCTTCCCGGAGGGCAACCTTCACCTCGAATTGTCTGCAGGTACCGAAAATGCAAGGCTTCGTTCAGTCGAAAGACCGATGCACGCAGACATGAGAGACAAGTCCACCAATCCGCTAAGATCTTCTGCAAATTCGCAGGTTGCAGATTTAGGGGCACTGTCCGAGCTGAAGTGATGAGGAGACACTTGAAGTCCAAGCATCTTTTTGAAGGTAAATCTTCCGATCAAGACTGCGCTATCTCTCAAGACTTGCCCGCTGACCCTGCTCAAGTTGAGAGTACTTTCCAACTAGACAACGATAACCTCGAGGGTGGCTTGCCCAAAGTCAAGATACCACGCGAATTTCCTTTCCCCGAACATAAAATCGATTCCTTCTCCAACTGGAGTTCACGTCTTCTCCCAATAGTCTCAAACCCCCGCGAAACCCGTGAAGTCGAACAATTACTCGAAACATATACTGGTATTGGGGATGAGCTACTCTCGGGGAATTCCATTCCTCTAAGTGGATTAGAGGAGATAGATGTGGAGCCAACCAATTTCGAACATGGGACAGACAACCAACAGACGGTCGATCAATATCATATTGGTGAAATCCAACCTACTGAAATCATTGCATCCAGTAGCCATTATGCCCCCTGCCAGAATAGATATCCAGGTTCGGACGAACAACACCCTGGATGGCAGAATTAGGAATCTGGGATCAAAACACCTGTAATCTGGGTAGCTGGAACACCATGATCGATGATCCTACAATTTGTTGAAGGAATCCACTTCCGTTTTTTTCCAAGCAGTTCAGTCTGCAGGATGCCTCGATCAGAGTGCGAATAATGATAAGATATTGGAGAGATATATGCAATGGTTCACCAAATCTAGTTGCTGGATTGTGTCAAGTGCGAGAGACACGATCTCTTGGTTCGTCCATACGAAAAGGAATTGCTGAAATATAGTTGAGGACAAATAATTGAGTTGGCATTTCTTGCTTTTGCCGCTGGAGCAGAGAGAGTGTAGCAACGTCTCAGCATATGCTCGATCATATGCCATTTCCTTGCACCTTGATTGCACTAATGTTGGTAAAACACTCTACCAAACTACGAAGCCCGGGATGTTACTCGTAGGCAGTATTGTTGCCGTGCTCTCTTAAAAAGGGGTGCCGGGATTATAAGCGAGCCTCCACTTCACATCCGACCATACTTCCCACAGGCTCGAGTGCAGGGCTCAAGCGATGCAAACAAAGAGAGCATTGATTCGATATGAGAATTGACTCTTCAATGAATCTGAATCTGAATCCGCTTTCACTCCTTTTTGCGTTAACTTTCTTAGAGTGCTGTTTGAAATGAATTGATCGTAAGTTCTAGACCTTTTACAATGCTTTTGATTTCTTTATTGAAATATCTGAGTATTGTCGAAGTCTTACGCCTAGATGTCAGTCCTCCCCCTCTGAAAGTTCATTGGATTATGCCCATAAGTCACGTGATCGACCACGTGATATATCCGAATTATCTCAGCCAGATCTACTCCGCTGATCTCTCCTACACTGAAAATAATGCAGATTTCTCGCCATGTCATTAATTACCGGGGCTTGCTTTTTATGCCAAAAATCTTTTCCTGAGATTTGGAATACATTGCAAGAATCTCTCCCAACATAGCTGTAGCTGCACCTAGGATTCCAGGAATCACCGTGAGTCAACCCATTGTTCGAGCCTGCATTGTCACGAACATATGAAGCTGCAGATCAAGGACATGTTCGGCGGATACCGAATTTCACGGCCTGACGCCGAGTAGGGTATAACCGATGGTCAAAAGGTCGGTTGCGAACCAATTCCGGGGAGGCACAACGCCGGCTCCGCCCATCTATCACCCTCAGGGAGTTTGGCACGGGACAGCTAGCCGCCAGTCTGCGTCTCTGGTAATTTTGGGGAGCATGCCTGGGGAATTGCCCTGCATTGCTGCAAAACGCAAGCCTGACCGGTCAACGCACCTTCACCGCCATCCTACAGCCGACCTCCCCAGATGAAAGTATACTGGAACAAGGTGCATCGATCTTTCCTGAGCACGGGGTAGACCTAATCTGTTACCGGGGAGAATGCCTGGCTGCCACGTTGTACTTGCTTCCGCCCCATGTTGTTTCTGTCAGGCGTACATGCCTCCTAGGGTTCTCCATTATCCAGAAGGATCAGCTCCCATGGTTAAACAAACCATCGATGATGCTGCAAACTCCGTAAGGGCGATGACTTATTCGATCTATGAAACAGTCTTCACGATTGACCAATGATGAAGGATCATGAGGCGTAGAGCGACTTGACCGATGACCGATGGGTTGTGTATCCTTTTGTGGTCTAGACCTTACTATTTTTTATGTGACTGGAGCTGCCTTGAGGTACGGGGTTAGCCTAGTTCGAGGCTAACAGGGGATTTCGTTACGCTCCTGGGGATGTTTATCTGAAGTAACTCTCTGCAAGGCGTCGAACACCAAACTTGAGCTCTTGGTATGATTACGGAACGACATGGGGGCCACTGAAATGGCAGCGAAGCAACTCTCCTGCGCTGTTGAGCACTGCGACCTCAATTTTAGCAGTCAGCGAGAACTTCACCGCCATGAAGGAGAACCCCACGGCGAGCTGAGGTGCCGTCTACGGGCTTGCTGTGGAAGTCCTGGAGCCACTTCTGCGGACGCATTCGAGTCGCACAACGTAAAGGAGCAAGTACAGAATGGTATGAACTTCATAAACTTACTCACACCCTCCTGCTGATCAGTTGAATCAGTCGTGTTCAACGCGAGGCCCGAAGTACAAGCCCCTGTGTCGGCGGAAGGCCAGGCAGAAGTTGTTATCGTTGATCGAGGTAAGCCATCGTGAGAGTCTCCAAAATGACCATCAATGGTTTTCCAGATTTAAACTTTTTAAGAGAATTTCACCAAACGCCGCTACACATTCACAATGCTAGATCTCTTATTGTCTCGCTCGCTGACCGTCTCTCTACCAGATTCTCGACAATCCCTCAAGGCCTTTCTACCATTCAACAACAGCTCAGAAACGCAGCCAACTGCACCAGCCCTAGGGAGGCAGATCGTATCCATACCGCATAACCAATACTCTCCAGAACCATCAGTCACAGAACCACCACACATATTCAGTTACACGCCTTTACCTGAGCACCAGGAGGGTTGCGTCCCCAGAATCTTCGAAGAAACTTGATTTAGAAGAGCTTATGGAACATCGTCCGTCAGGAGGGCTTTAGTGAACGTTGCAATGTCTTGTCTCATAATCATGGAAGGCAGAGTGATCGTTGAGAAGGACGTGGCAGTAGAATGCTGGATGGGTGAAATTTACGTTACGAGTACTGGGCTCGTTCTTGAAAATTGGCTCTTTGGCGGCGAGCTTGGTTTTCCTACCAAGGCCGGGGGGGGGGGGGGGGCTTGAAATATTTGGCTCTTGTGCGGTGATTTTTGAATAGCACACGGGCTGGTTTAATATAGTTGATGTTCATTACGAGGACTCTGCGGATGCACATTCGCATTCCTTGTCATCCGTCTTCGTGAAACTTGTATTACTTGCTATGCTAATAATTGAACTTGACCAAGTACGTCATGCTCTGGAGAAGTTCTTCTTTATAGCGTGAGCCTTTCAGGAAGCAGAATGTACAGGATATCCCTATCGGAACCCTGAAGTTGGTGATGACAAGGTAGCAAGAACTGAGATAAACTCTGACGCCCCGAGGACTTTGGAAAGAGTGCACATGTCTCTGTATTACCAGGGCACGGATCGACCTGTCCGGGGCTGCGTGGTCTGTGCAGCTCTGAGCAGCGGCGAGCTGCTGCCCCAAGCCAACCATGAGACCCTGGGTAGACCGATGGGAATGCAAGGCCAAAGTAAAATATCCCCACCTAACGGCAAGCCTCCCATTTGAAACGGAGGCGCGGGCTCCGGAAGAGACGGGAAACAAACCCCGGTAGATCCAGCAGTGCAAGACCGGTATGAAGATCGGAAGACCCTATCTCTGTCGTAGACATGGATATCGAGAATCAATTAATTTATGAGGACCTATTAAAATTGAAACCGCATGGCCACATAAGTGCTTAAGGGCTGGCCCCGTTAAGCGAGAAGCCCCCCCTTTTTTCCCAGCCAGCCAAATCATTTGAGCATGGGGTTGCGCCCGAGAGACGTGGAGGTTTTGTAAAATATGACAGAAGTCGTAAATGAAGTAGTTGCACGCTCGGATAGTCTCCAGAGAGGATGCATTCATCCGGGTGATTTGAAATCGTCCGCGAAGTGACTCGTGAGGTGACTAGCTGAGCAGCCGTGTCAACTGTTCGCCTCGTTCCGGAACAATGCGTTAAAAAGAAATCCTGCCAGGTATGGTCAGTTTGGTCACTGTTTTCCATGGAGAACGAGACGCATGCTGCCTAAAACAAGGTCAATTTTCGAGATCGCCTGATGGCGGCGCAGGCGCGAGGGCCTACGATGCCCATGCGCGAACCAATACACCACTTCAACGGCAATCGGCCACCGAAAGCCAAAAGCAACTTCCTGTCTTAGTCTGGTAGGGTGGCCGGCTGTCATGCATGAAGGAGAATAGTCAGGCTGAACTGTCCAGTGTGCGTTCCGAATGCTTTGGGGATTGAGAGAGAAACGGGTAGAGAAATATGGAAACGAAATTGCAAAGGACGATAACACGCGGTCTCTTAAGTCACGGGAGTTTTCTAAATGTTCTCAAAGTAATTCCTCAAAGTTGGGGGAGATTTGAAGGAAGTTTTAGGGCTTGAGTGGGAGGAGTGATGGGGGGTAACACACATGCGACCAAGAAATGGCCACCCTCCCTCGCCAGTTCAAGCCAACCAACCCTTGACAAACGCCTGCAATGTATGTTTCATGCCCTAATGAAATATTTGTGTGCAACACAACAATCAATTGAAAAATGCCAAATTCAAGAAAGGCGGCAGCTGGGTCGCGCCGGTTGAAATGAACTCCGTTTCCCTAACCGCTAGCTTCAAATCAGGAGTAAAACGCTTGAATGAAACGGATAACCCCACCGGATGAGCTGGCAAGGCGCCCTCAACAAAAAAAGGGGGAGGGCCGGGTAGTCTATGCATACGCCCCTTTCATAACGATGAGCCTGTTCGCCCGGCATATGCAAACCATAAACTTTCACATTACACCCTCCTCCGAACTGGAAAGCACCTTCTCCTCTGCAAACCGGTTTCCTCTCTGCTACCATAGTCTCTGCTTTGCGTCCACCAGGCTTGAAAGACCTACTTCCTCGGCTCGAGCGAAGGAAACGTCTGCGCGCACTTCTCAAATAGGATCCCGTGAAAATTCAACGGCACAAGCAAGGACCCAGAATGTTGATTTAAAGAAACACGATATCGAGAGGGAAGATTGACGTATGGTTTACTGTACGTGCCTAATACCTGCGAGAATGATCTTGGATACACAGCATCTTAATGGCGTATGCTCAAGAACTGTGACCACTTTGGAGAGAACACTCCATAATGTGCAGAGAAGAACTAACTCTCAATATGCAGAGACCAAATCAGCCTCGAAGAGCTCAACAGACGAAAGAAAAATACCACAGAATCATGTGCCAACTTCACGACCGCCACGAGCATATGCCGCCGCTGGCGACCTCAACACGACTTACTCGATTCAATTTCTCGATCATAAGTTACCGATATGAGCATAAGGGGCTGATGCTGCAGATACAAAGATTCCAAGAGGTCTGCGTAGACCTACTTGTGTGTTGAACGAAATCCGCGGGTTCCACAGCATATGGATCACAGCCAACGTCTGTGAGTGGCAAGTCTCGTCCGAGGTCGTTGGCTAGCACGGAGACAAGCGTCAACGTCCACGCAACAGAATTGCGACAAGAACTCCTGCAATACCAGCGCACATAGAACACACTATCCAAGGGCTTGAATTTTAGGACAATCTGGTAGCTAGAGGTCTTAGGAAACGGTGCTGTCAGGAATCTACCTGCAGACCAAGGGGCTAGGAGTTCAAGCCTCTGCTGATATTTGAGCAAAGAGATCGGCCTTGCCGGTTTCTTCTTCGCGGCATGAAGCCCAACTGGACACCTCAAGGGCCCTTTAATTTTTCTTATTTGGTCTTGTCTATAATAACTCGCAGGATAAACTTGGAGTACTGGAAGGTGTATCGCAAAAGATAACAGGAACAACCAAGTGGGACATCCTCTTTGTGTGTCTTGAGATTGTTCGATGCGCCTGAAGGAGAAGTGCCTACTTGAGATTCAGTCAACACACATTACAAAAGCTCTTCATACCTCGGACTTGCTTAGAAGAAATAGTTTCAGGGGGTCAAGTGCTGTGAATGTCGTCTCAAGGTCTTGCGCGGAAAGCGAGACAGGATACTTCAACAGCTTGTCAGAAACTCCAACAACTCCATTTTTTGCTGAGAAAGGTAACATGAACAGGTACTGTTTCTATTTTCTTCCTGTTCTTTCGCATTGTGGTTTGCGTTATTGCGGTTGATTGACTAAGGGGATGTACTTCAACCAGCAAGTTTCCTTCCCTCCTTGACCGAGAAATGTTGCAACTGAACACACTCAATACCAAGATTGGCACAAGACCAATCACGCATCTCTGCAATACCACAGAAGTGGTGTTCCAGATGCAAGTCGGAGGCACAGTGCGCTTAGCATTTCAACTTCCCCTCCCCCCCTTCTTTGATAGACACGGCAAAGTTGGGCACCGCAGAACCAGAGCGCCCAAAATCAACTCTGCTTTAGTGTCAAGTTTTGTTCTCGAGTGGTCTCCTCGGTATATCCGTTGTGAACAGCTTTTGTTATCACGTGAAGGGTCGAAGCAAGTCTAGACTTAAAGTTGGGTCATGCCTGCCTTTGATCAAATGAATACATGCAACGGAACTCCGGGGACCTTACTGAACATATGCAAGGCACTCCGTACATTGCTTCCCGCTCTTCACAATATTATCTATCTAATTCGTCAAACTCACTTATCGCTTGGCGAAGGATTTTCAACCCAGCCAATGTGGGGCGGAGCGAACCACGCCTCCTTTCCCCCCTAAGGCTACAGGTCTGCCGGATGATTTTACCGAAGCTTTTACCGACGCTACCTTTGAGTAGTAAGAGTCTCCGGGTCTCCCGTCCTAGGATGCCCAATCATTGAGGATGGTGTGCCGCGTGAAAGAGAAGCTACTTTCTCACTCCAGCGGGCCGGTCCAGAGAAGCCTCTTACACTCGACCCACCAATTGCTCGAAATGTTCACCAGACCAACGTACAAACTAGCTGGGTTTTCACGGTTTCCTGAATCAGGATGAAGAATGTTAATTTGCGAAGTGTTCCTTTCGCATGATCCCCCTCGTGCAGTCAAGACCTGGAGATTGTCCGTGAGGCGGCACGATCTTTCACCATGTGTCTGAACGCGCAGCTTTGTGGCGCAATGCATACACAAGGATCCTCGCCTTATAGCACAGACGAGTGTCGTGAGTTTCTGGCCAGATCAAGAAATGTACCGTGGTTTCTTGATCTGGTCACCTGCAGCTGTCCCTAGACCAGTGGTCTGGATCGATTCCGCAACATTCATTACTACCAGTAGCATGCCAGATACTGCCAGACAAGGTAGTTGTCTCAAACACTAGCTTTGAGAGGCTTGGGATCAAAGATATTACATAGAACGCAATTCAGCTTACTGTGTTACCTGCAGGGATGCTGATTGGTTGGAGTCATCAGCTCGCTAAAAAGAAGACTCGTCCCCCCCTTTTCATGACTTCGTCACAGATTATTCGAGCTTCACACATTTCAGCTTCTATTTGAAGCGTGGCAGTAACCCACGCACGCAAGGCACAGTCAGTATCATGTGAGATGCTGCTCTCTTGGGAATCCCACTGTGGCGGTCCACTCTCGGTAACGTGCCGTGCTGCTGTCAGCATGGCTGTCATCCGCCCTCGGTTTCGCACTGTCGGGACCAGCCGATCAATGCACAGAATGTTCTTGCTGCCTGGCTCGCGAAACGCCAAATCGTTTGATTTCCAAGTGCAAGGGAGCCTTACATTCCTCTCCCGCGTTGCGTCAGTGAGTAAAACGGGCTTTTTTGAGGGGACTTTTATGGGGTGCCGGGTGCAGACCGCACGGACACATGCTGGCCGAACTTTGAACCGCTGCACCTCACTGAAGCAATGAGGAGTATGATTCGAGTTTTTTACGACGTGACAATCGTTGTTGGTGAGCCTTACGTATAGGGCCGGGGACTTCCTATCCAGTGAAGTGGAGGTTGTTGCGTCAGCCGATTTGTAATACTGCACGGTCGTTGTTGGAATTTATGTCAATGCATAAGAGCTTCGATGCCAAATGAATGAGAGACTACCTCATCCCGTGGCCTGCGCCTTGTGGAAAACTCAAGAGGAGTAAAAGAGAGCTGTTGTCTCTAGAGGCACCGAGGACTGAGTTATTCCATATGGAGCTTTGACGTGGGGTACATTTACGTTCCTCTCAGGGAAATGAATATGTATCCTCGAATTGTATTTGCTCTATTTGGTTATTGCTCGATTCAGCTGGAACAAAAGAGGAGATTCAAGCGAATCACGCCAGAAGATTATGAGCCGAGCGGACGACTTTGATATTCATCACCCTTTGGACATCGTATAAGGCCAGTGATTACCCCTACCTCTCTTGTCCCGCTGCTTACACGGCGGAGCCAATCTGCTTACACCACTCGTAGCTGGGAGTCAACTCTACAGCCCTATAAGATACGAATAGCGGGTGGTGACATGGATTTGGGTTCCCGGGATATGGGTTTTTGTGCGCTGGGTCGCAGGAAGAGGCTTCAGGACTCCTTCAGATCTTCGGTCTGAATTTGTCAGAGCGTCAGTGCGGCCCGAAGCGCTCCTATGATATAAGGTCATTTTTGCAAGTTGGTCCCCCTTTTCAGGCTGTTGGGGAAAACGGCCCCACGATGTTCCATTCCTATTGCGGCACTGTTCCCTCTTTTCAAGCTTTCCCGTCCACGTTTATGAGGGCGGGCAGCTCTTTACATCAACATTCAGGAATCTGAGATGCGTAGCTTCCTCAATTTCCCCAGGACTTGCGCTCGCGTTACTGCCGTTTCTACTGATTAGGTGAGAGTGCGACTAGACCGAATCGAGCGATATGCGTATTACATGAAGTCTTACTACCAGACTGCGATTCCATCGCTTGGGCAGCCTCGCAGAAAATAGTTTCTTCCTTCTGTGAAATCCTTTCCGTCCTTCATGTGGCACACCTTATCAAAGGTATTAACATACTCGACTCGCCCGCTCCTAATAAAATTCGCAAGAATCTCCCAACCTCGACATGAAACCATCAACACAAAATGTCTTCTTCACATCATTCGAAAAGAACATCGCACTCTAGTACTAGCAGAAGCAAAGTAGAGTGCGAGGTCCAAGGATGCAACAAGACCTTCGGTCGCAAAACGGAGCTGAAGCGGCATATGCAGGAACAACACACACCTAGGAAAACTTGCCCGATAACAAAATGCAACCATAGGGTCAAGAGGACTAAGCTTCTCATCGGCCATCTGGAGAAGAAGCATGGGATTCGATATGAAGGTAAGTTCACCGGTCTTGAAACATCGCACCAGTAGTTTAAGGAGACCAACACAATACAGAAGCAGTGCGCCAAGCCCAAGCGGTTGAAGCTTCGTATACTGACTACGACTATGGGGACGATTCATATAGTCAAGGCAAGCTATTAAGCTCCAACGACTTTCATGAACTACGAATCAACGTTGCTAACCAGGTACAAGATGTCTCTCGAGCTGCAAGTCCAGAACCAAGCATGACAGAATACCAACCTCCACCGCAACCCCAACCGTCGTATAGCCAAGCTGGTTACACAACAGATACGACGGCAACAACACAGCCCACCTATCACCAAGACCAGTACTACCAACAACCTCCGACACCATGGCAAGGACACGACTTGCCCTATGGCACGACTTCAGGTTTCCAGCACCTATCGATAGATTCGACTTCGGGCCCAGCTCCGCCAGATCCTTGGCAATACGATTCGTATGCGTATGGAGCTGAAGATCCGTTCGTCTTTACTGGGTGGAATCAAAACCAACCGGGCCCCGGGACCCCACACGGGGATTCTTGATTCGCAAGAGTGAAGTTTTACTTTACTTCAGGGGAAGAAGGGGGGGGGGGCTTGCCAGCTGGACTTACCACATCGCAGAAGTTCGCGATTGTAGCACAACGCGCAAAGTATGTTCCCTGTACTCAAAAATGTTTGCACATCATTAACCCACAGTAAAGAAATTGATTATACCCTCACATAGAACTCAATTCCAGTCTTTGCATGGGTGGCTCCAAATGAGAGGTCGGAGATGGGCAGGGGGAACATCGCCTTCGCCATCCACTCTGGGAAATCGCTTCGGGACGACATTCTCAGTGTACCAAACAACCTGGAACATTCGTTAGATGTGCAACAAACTTCCACATCCAAAATTCACTCCCACCTCAACAACGCAATGCCCCAAAACTGTGGGAACATTAAGCAGGCATACAACAAAACTTCAACTAGAGGGTTCCCTCGAACATTTTCACTTAGGACATCACATAACAAGGGGAGAAGATCAGGGAGGCCAATCACTCGACTGATAGTACCATTATATCAAGATCAGTAGATCAAACATCACCAACCCAACCCGGGACTAGCACACTGGCTCAAGAAACAGATATAAATTGATTATGCATTTGCATTTATGTCTACCTATCCCATCCCATCCCATCCATCAATAGTAAGGGAGGTGAAGTAGAGTAATGTACAAGTTTTCGTTTCCATCCTCTTCCCTCGCTTTTTCAATCAAGAAGCCACCTCTCTGCCCATAATGCAGCAACGAACAATGTATCAACGACGGATTTATTTTGTGTGGCTGTTCTTTTCCCTCAACCGTAAGATATCTCTCTCCCAAACAAATTTTTTCCACATAAAGCAAGCTCTCACAAAAGAGGGGGGCGTGGAGAGGGGAGAGATGACATAAGACCGAGATTGAGGCTGTGTTTGTTAGTGGGGGATAATGTAAGGCTTGTCACACTCACGCCCACCTCGCCCCCTCCCTCTCAGCCTCCAGCCTCGCAATCCTCTCCTCCTCCCCATCAACCACAGCCCCGCTCCTTCGTCCCTTCTTCCTTCCCTTCGAATTCCTCCCCTCATCGCCATCATCTCTGCTCCTCTTCCTGCCACCACCACCCATACTCCCAGCCAGCCCCGCGATCCTTTGCGCCTCTTTCAGTAATCTTTCACGATTACGGGCTTCGCGCTCAATTTCGTGCGGGTCTTTGTCTTTGGGTGCTGATGCTGCTGGGGCGGAGACAGATAACTGGGAGGATTTCGAGGTGTCTTTTTCGTGATCGTGAGTGCGGGAGCGAGAAGGCTCGTGGCGTGAGGAACGAGAGGAGTCGTGGTGTTTGTTGCCACTAGATCTGTCTTTCTCCTTCTCTCGTTCTTTGTCACGATAAAGTCTGGACGTGGAAGCTGACACACGGTCTTGACGGGGCCCAGCGGGTATGTTGACAGGGAGCTCTTCGATAGTGTGCTTGCGTCTGCTGGAGCCTTTGATTTCGATGCCGTTTGCGCTGTTTGAGATGACCGAAGGTCTGCGCGAGGAGTCGGCTTCTTCGATGGGAGTCTTGAGGGGTTCCTTTTCCTTGTCGGATATCTTGGGTCGTTCTCGCTCGGAGGCTTCCTCAGAATGGTGGCGGGAGTGGCGGTGTCTGTGCTCGCGATCGCGATCCTTCTCTCGGTCTCGTTCACGGTCTCGGTCTCGGCTTCGTGATCTGTCGTCGTGGCGGGAGCGGTGGGAACGGTGTTTGGTCGATGAGGATTTGCGTTCTCTGCTGCTCTCGCGGTCTCGTTCGCGATACTTATCTCTGTCTCGGCGGCTTCGGTGACTTGAGCGTTTAGACTCCGAGGGCGAAGCAGAGCGAGATCGTTCCTCGTCTACAATATCTCTCTTGTCTTCTTCGATTTCGTCCACAGGGCGATCATCAATGGGTTCTTCCTCTTCACGGCGACGGCGTCGTTCTCGTCGACGTTCTCTGCGTCGTTCAGTTTCCTTCTCATCTTCGGAGGCGGACACCGAGCGATGCCTATGTCTGCGGTGATGTCTCTCTCTACTTCTGCTTCTGCTTCTCTTTCTCTCTCTTGATTTGGATCGAGACCGCTCTCCCTCTCGTTCTCGTGAGGGTGATCTGCTTCTCTCACAATCTTTATCATCCTTTTCAAAAGTCTCAGGGACGACACTTGCACTCGCACTCTGGCTGGTGGGTCTCGAACTAGGTCGACCAGCCATCGAGTATCCTCGCCCACGTAGGTTAGCAAGACTTGTATTGGGCAATCCCTCACGCATAGCCTTAGGACCGGTTGGTGCATTGATGGGAATATCAACAGGCTTCACAACGGGAGGTTGCATAGCAACAGAGCTGCCACCTCGTCCATGGTAACCTTGGGAATATCCTCCTCGGGACTGACCATATCCAAGGTTGTATGCAGCGTTGTTATCACCTTGATACGGGGCATCAGCAATATCGTCAAGGGTTTGGATTGGCATTGGCGCATTGATCTCTTCTGTAGCTGCAGGAGCTTCCTCGGGAACGGCAGCTGAGGGGGCTTCAGCTTCATGGCCGTCTTCAGCAGTAGTAGTTCCTGGTTCCTGGACCGCATTCTCATCTTCAGTGGGTTTCGATGGAGAATCTTCTTTGGTTGCAGACCTCTGACGTATCTCTCTACCGAATTCATCGACATTTCCTGACGCCTCGGGGGCCACATCCGCCTTTGGACCAGTTGGAATGTTACTATTCGACTGCTGACCTGAGCCATGCTGCGGGTACTGTTGTGAGAAAGCTTCATTGGGACCATTGGCACCATGCCCATAGCCGCCGCCACGACCATATCCGCCTCTACCTCCTCGACCCCGACCTCGGTATCCGTAGCTGTTTTGGTAGTCATTGTACTGATTTGGGCGTCCATAATTACCTTGATTATATCCTGCAGAGTGAGAGGCGTATCCAGAGTTATTTGCTCCATAATCACCGTGACCCATGCTGGCTGCATTTGGATGATTGAAATTATCTGGTCCGACATTCCATGATTGTTGTCCGTTCCATCCATTATTGAAGCCTGTGCCAACACCGCCATCGAAGCCTCCCATGCCCATCCCCATGTTCATGCCGTTCATGCCACCTCCAAATCCACCGTTCATAAACATGTTCTGCATCATCATCGGATCCATGCTCATTCCTGGCATTCCTTTTGCCTGTTAGCGAGGCACATTACGAGTCGAGTTCAAGTTTAGCTTACCCATCATGGGGAAGTTTCCAAAGTTTCCGGCTCCCATGCCATTCTGCATAGCCATCATCATTTGCATTTGGTTCATATCGCCTCCGAAACCCATGGCCGGAAATCCACCTGCAGCAGCACTCGTGTCGAATCCGAATCCAGCACCAAATCCAGTTGTCTGAGATACGCCCTGCCCTGTTTGGCCATTCATATCTGCCTGCGCATCACCTCCCTCCCCAGCGTCAGCTGCGCCGTCTACTTTATTGATCAGATCGTTTTCGGCGATAGGTTCCTGACCTGGTGTTATCTCCTAATCACTGGTTAGATGCAATGTTTAATTCCAGAGAACGGACAACTGACTTCGATGGATTGCTGAGGGATATCTTGCTCAGCTTGTGTAACTTGTTCCGCGTTAGGAAGAGTCTCGTCAGCAGGTCCCACTGAGGGCTCTGCTTCAGTTTTGACTTCAGCCGAGACGGGTTGCTTGATGGGTGTCTCTTCGATGACAGCAGTCTGCTCTACCAGAGTCGGCTCATGCAAGACTAGAGTATCGGGAGGTGTATTCTTTTCCTCCTTCAGACGAATAGCTTCGCGCTTCTTCTCCTCGGTTCGGAGGAAGACTTTGATGGTGGTTCGTAATGACTTATTTGCTTTGCAGTCTTCAGCTGCAACGGGAGTATGTTCGCAGACGGGACACGACGAAGGGAGAGTCGACTGGCCTACTTCGTTGTTAGAGATGAGAAGATGTAGGTCGCCGGGGTTCTCACAAGTCTCACAGATCGCCTGCTCGCAGCACGGGAGTCGGAAGGCGTTGATGGCCAATCTGCTGCAGATGGCGCATCGAAGCTTAATGGGGATCTCATCTTGCGACAGAGAGCTGCAGTATATTAGCAAAGCTCCATCGGCACAAAAATGCAAAGGCGACTGACTTGATGAGCTCGAGCTGAGCGGGCGTTGTCGAAGGTGTCGCCATGATGACAGAGCTTACGAGGCCGAAAGAAGGAAGAAGAGGTTATCGCAGCGCCTTTATTTCATCGCCAAGGAATCAGAAGGAATGTACAGGCTCATTCGCCCAAATCATGAGGCGCAGGGTATGTCATGAGGATTCACGTCGTAGTTGTGATCGAGTGTGCCGGATTTTGCGATTATTTGGACTTCGGGCTGGAAATCTCCGAGAGGCTTGGCGCCAACACGTGACAATGGGCAATTTTAAAGCAAACCCAGGACTTTCTTTATTCCGGGCTGAGCTTATTTACGATTGATTGTGAATCTTGTGAGAAACTTATGCCTCTTCTCAATATTGGTAATGTGTAGCTCCTTGCTGTTAAGATGTGCTAGAAAGCAGCATTAGGTGCTTGGTATCAGATCGACTCGGCTAAAAGAATTTAGGAACAAGTCATGTCATCATCTCAACAGAATATCTATCCATCTTCTTCTCGTTCAATGACATTACATCGCAATTGAACAGTCCCAATTGGGCTTTATATGCAGGAAACATGATACTGGGTCAGGTGTCTTGGCTTGATTGCTTCGTCTTTCTTGTATTTTTAGCGCCACAGCTGATCATTCATGTCGGCTTCTTCCCAACACTCTTTTGTGGGCTGAGAGCTTTGCCATTCTTGCGTATGTTTGATACGTTTTCACTTTTAAACGATTCGATGCCCCGCCCCCGCGCTACAACACCGTTCTCTCGAAATACGGAAGCTGATTCTTTCCAGTTTTGAGATTACCCCTGACATTCGTTTACGAACGCCTGCTTCTGAGCCGAGAATACGGCTCTCCTTTTGTCCAACAAGCATCATGGTTTGAGGATATCGTGATTCGATGTGTGCGATATGCTTTTGCATACATTCCTGCAAATATTGGGCGAGTCTTCTTCTCAAAATGGGTAGCGTTGCCATTTTTGAGATTTCGGATGCTGAGACATGGATACATTCGGTCCCCGATTCATTGGCACGAGGTGAACGAGGTATACCCTTCAATCCCTACTCAAACAAAATCCAAGAGTTGACAAAATACAGAGTGGCTTCAAAGGCATTTGGCTCATCAAGGACCAACACAACCATCCCGATATTGTGATCTACTACTCCCATGGTAACGCATGACCAAACCCAGCTCTGACCTCGCTAACTCAATCCTAGGCGGCGGCTTTTCAATGGGCTCTTCTTATTTCTACCTAGAATTCTTCCTCGCTCTCCTTTCCTGTCTCTCCTTAAACTTCAACAACCCCGCTATCCTCTCACTTGAATACAGCCTCGTCCCCGACGCCTCCCACCCAACACAACTCCACCAAGCCATTGCCGGCTACAGATACCTGCAGTCTCTCGCCTCTCCATCCAAAATCGTAGTGAGCGGTGACTCAGCCGGAGCCTCCTTGATCCTCTCCCTCCTTCTCTACCTCGGGAACAACAGATCCAGAATCTCCAACGGTGGGCTGGCTCCAGAGCTTTTCCTTCCGGGGATGGCAGTCCTGATCAGCCCCTGGGTAACTCTCATCTCGCCCAAGGACAAAAACACGGCAAGCGACTACCTCGATGCAGATAACCTCCACCAATACGCAAAGCAGTACGCTGGCACCAAGATCTCAGTCCATGATCCGCTGATCTCGCCTGGGAAATGCAAGGATATTTCGTGGTGGCGAGAAGCGGCTCCAGACCACGGCTTCTTCATTGCGTACGGAGCTGAGGAAGTCTTTGCGCCAGAAATCAGAGATCTGATTGACTTATTGGAGAAAGCTAACGTGAGAGTCGAATCTCAGGAAGTGAAAGGCGGAATCCATGCTTGGCCTGTTGCGTCGCTGTTCCTGTGCTCCACGAGGGAGAAGAGGACGAATGGCCTGAGAGAGATCATGAAGCAGATTAGTGACAAAATTGGAACCTAGATTTCGGTAATTGATAGTTGAGTCAATTATCTATTCGCTATTACTCTGTATGTGCAAGATTCTTTTCCGGCTATGTTGCTCCTTCCCCCCTACGTTGTACGAACACTTTAAAGAACAATGCAAATTCTGCAACACTTCAACCCTACAAGGCAGATTCCTCCTCAAATCCAACAAACAAGGCCTAAGACATCGGAGTCAGCATATTTCTTCTGGTATCATTACAGTAGAATGTTTCAGGAGCTCTTGGACATTGAGAGCAGAATGTCCTAAACGCTGTTGGACATTGCTACAAGGGGTATTGATACTTCAGGAAGCTGGGACTTACCCCTCACAATTTAGCCTTAGCAATGCAATCCCTTGTCAAGAATGGCCGAATGCTCTCCTCCCAGGCCTTCTTGAAACACCATCGTTCTTCGCAGCCTCGGCATTGATGGGCAGATGTCTGATCCAATCCAAGAGCCGGGTATAGATATCACCATCTCGACATCCAAGGACGCTCGCCAAACCAGCATCCGAGAAGGACCACGTATCTGCCAGTGCAATCACATCCGGAAGCAAGACCGCTAGCAAGACGTCGATCTGCTGACGCGTGTCGCTGAGGTGGGCGTTGGCGTTGGCGATGTAGCCGTATTCGAGGAAGGAGGATTCAAATGCAGAGAGAGGGTCTGCAGTAATAGTCAAACCGAATAGGGAGATGAGTGTGCAGAGGATTGTCTTGATGACGGGCGACGTGGAAGCTGGAACCTGGGAGTCGCTTCAGCTGATTAACAGGCTCACCCAGGATGAACTCTTCAATGTGTGCTCTCGCCGCGACGCGAAGCTGCAGGGCATGCATATTCTCCGAACGTCGCAGCCCGAAAGTCAAAAATGACACCCAACGCATCATGTGCAAGTAAATCCTCGCCTTCGGAATAGCACACCTCCTCGTCCTCGACAACATTTCATACTTACCCGTATACTCTACGACGCGTAAGAAGGCTGTATTGTGACGGACCAGCTCTTCTTTGCTGGAGAGGTTTTTAGAAACAGCCGATTGTACAGCATAGGATGATACACGACCTTCTATTGATGGCTCCAGCCATCTTCTAAGCTTCTTCGACTTAAAGCTTGCACGTGCTCGTGCATCCTCCATCATTTTGGTTTGGAGGTTCGGCGTCATCTTGGGTTGAACAATGGGTGTCGTTATTGCTCCTGTTGATGGAGGACAATGAAGTTCTCTCTAATACGAAATTCACAGAGAGACTTTTTCCCTGCCTAATCGACCGGCCCTCCGCCAATTGGGACATGGTCACAAGGGGAGTCCGTAGTCAAATACGGTAAAGATTTGAGATCAGAAACAGAACAACCCGTTAACTAGGTGACCCCGTGCTGGACAAAAAGGCAGCACCTATTTTCAAGTCCCAGATCACACACAGATGGACATTTTAGACTCGGAGTTGGTAGGAATTTGACATTTCAATTTCTAAGACACTTGAAAACGCAAGCTTTGAAATGCACTATAATTCGAGGCACATTCATTGAGGAAGTGCTGAAATAGCTCACTTTGACTTAGGACATTGAAAAGCTCGTGTTACTCTTCTTGTCCATTGCTAATTGACTCATCATGTTGGACACATTTTAGCATGGTTATTCCCACTCTGGTTTTCCATGGGATGGTCCAAATAGACCTCGGGGTCTCATTATTAAAGCTTTTGGATTAAGAACGAGGGCATATCGTTTGTTGTGAATACAGATTCTAGTGATAGGCGCGACTCTAAATTAGGATTTCCACATTAACTGAACTCGACTTCGACTCTATAAATGGCATTGTCTCGAATTCGGCAAATCTCTATGAAGGTGGTAAACCAATTTGGAGACAGTTTACCATGTTGCGATACTCTGCACCACATCGTTGAATTTTGAGGATGCAACTTCCACGATCGCCCACACACACTTCAAAGCATCACCCGACTCTGCACAGTCAACTCAAAAACATCCGCCCAATATTATATTCATGAACCCACTGCTAATCTACAAATCAAGTCATTTGTTGAAGATATTTGCTGGCAGTATCAAGTACTCACTTCTCTATGGGGTACGCGAAGAAAAGACACGTTCGTATTTTTCAACGACAGCGGGCACGAAGAGAAGGTTAGGGTAGGCGGTAGCTGATGTTGAAATTATATCGAGCGTTCGATAACTGGATCTATTCGTGAAGTTCCGTGCAATTGCAAGATCCCAAATCTGCCTTTCTATGGGGCTTCTTGTCAATTGAGATGATCTGGCGCTTACTTCCTCTTTCGGAAAGTTGAATAGGGGGAGGAACCACTGCGCTCGCCAGGCAGAAACCCACAGTCAGGCATCAACGAACCAGTTGGAGCCCAACCGCAATCACACTTCACATCCTCTTCACGTCGCGACTTCCATCTTCGCATCACTCTTGCACTTGAGGCTGAGTGCACTGCGGCACGCCACGTCAGCGTACTTTTGACTTCGCCTTGTCAGCCTTTGTTGGGCATCAGGTGGCATTGCCGTGGCAGTGTCGAAGAAACCGATCTCCTCCAGTGAGTGTATTTCGGATTCGCAAGCGGAGAAGAAATCTCTCTTGATGGCGAAGATGAGATGAGTCTCCTCCCATGCCAACGGGCAAATATGTCTCCGAGAAAACTGGGGCGAAGCTGAGGCGAATTCGTCACGTGTTTCGGAGATATGACAACGACTAGCCGGTGGCTTCTTACTCTTCAATCCTGATCAGATCATCGTCAAATGAGAGGGATAGACGCCCATTCCAAGTTCGTATGAGGCCGATTTTGGTCACGGTTTCGCAAGCGCACATTCGACCCTCTCTCGGCGATTAACCTTGGTTGATTGTTATTCCGACTTCATCATGGCGTTGTGGATTTTGCTTCTAAAGGCGATATTATATATGACTGCTCTGCTCCTTTCTGGGCTGAATCCTTCAACTGTCAAAGTATCCGATCTTTCTACAACAATCCTCCCAACTCAAAAGTCCAACCAGATCACCATGCCTCTTCTCCCCCTTTTCATCTAGCCATTCAGGACCCTGAACCTGCCGCCACCAAATTCTTTCGAATCACAAACAGTGATCATTACCGGCTCCAATACAGGCATTGGTTTAGAAACAGCAAGGCACATTGTCTCTCTCGGAGCCTCAAAAGTCATTCTTGGCGTGCGCACTCTATGCAAGGGCTTTCAGCGAAGCAAATATCGAATCCTCCACAGGCTAAATAGGGGATGTCGAAAGGCGGGAGCTAGATCTCGAAAGTTTTGCCAGCGTGAAGTCCTTCGCTTCCCAGGCTGAAAGTCTCAATTGGCTAGATATCGCGATTATGAATGCCGGTCTAGCGAGCCTGCAATGGAACCTGACTGCCGACGGCTGGGAACGCCAAATACAGGTCAATGTCCTCTCGACCACGTTGCTGAGAACATCCTTGCAGAGCTCAACAATAAGGACACTTAGAAAAAATTAACTGCCCAGTTGGCCCTACTGAGAGATAGAACGTTAGCAAACTCCTCGACTTGTATGTCGCAATCGAACTTGCAAGCCTCACCACTTCATTTAAAGTCAATGTCGTGGCACCGGAGTTCTGCAAATCGGGTCTGTTGACGAGAGAACCCGGCGCGCCATGGGTATTGACCGCACACTGAGCTCTTACAGGCCGGGCAATCCCAGAGGGAAGCGAAAGGCTTGTGGGCGCAGCAGTGTGGGGCCTATAAGTTTATGGGAAATATTTGGATCCATTAGAAAATTACGAGGTTTGTCACTAGCAGTTCTTCTTCGCATAACTGAGGATAAGTTGATAACTGACTGATTCCTACAAGCCCGGGGCACTGGTTACTTCCGAGGAAGGCACGATGGTAAGGAAGAAGTTTGGAGTGAAATATTGGGGGTTCTCGTCAAACATGCACCATAAATTTCCCAAATGGCGCCTGGGGGACTTTGATTTGTTCTGCTTGTATGTTTGGCTTGAATTGTTTTAACTCTCAAGCTGCTGTGCCTCGTCCCATGTCTCTCGCCCTACTTCATTGAACAAGGTTCACACCTTGCATAAATTACCAAGCATATCCTGCTTACATACATACGTATTAATTTTCGGTTTGAATTCGTGCAGCCCAATCGGTTCCACACTCGGCGAAGGAGTCGGGGCACTGCACGCCTCATAGAGAAAGTCGGGCGCATCATCAGGGGTCTGCGGATGATCCAAATAGCCTGCCTCCAGCTGCTTGAGTCAAGCGTTGGCAATTTTTGGGTACTCAGCGTTACATTTTCAAAGTTGCAACGAATTCCAGTTGCCCGAGACAAACCGTGCGTGAAGGAGATTAATACTTAAAGGCTTTTGTCACCTCCACTCACCTTCTTCTTCTTATCAACGTTCGACCACAATGCTCAATTGTTTTTTGGAACTGCGAAGCGAGCCAGCTAAGACGGTGTCTCGTCCTCGACTTCCAGAAACGAACTATTCCTTGCTACCCTGCGTTTCGCAATAAAGTTCAAGCCGTGTGCTAAATTCGTTTATCGACCATTCAGAGGTCGTTACAGCGGCTGGTGTGGAGGGCAACTGCTTGTGTTCAGGGGTTGCAGAAACACCACCAGGCCGAAAGCTGCTAGACCGGTTTTCGTTGCACAATAGGGGGAAAAGGCGAGAAAAGGCTCGTGAAAATCGGCCAAGGGCCGACACGCTAAACCCCTTTGCGCCGGGCTGCTGCGCAGCAGGAGAGAGATCGTCGATCAGTCGACTCTGTGGCTCTCTCGGCTTGACTGCTCAATCTGCAGCAAACGGAAGATTTCAGTCATTTTCCATTGTGATGATAGACAAGACAGTCATAAGCATGGCGTTGGGGTGTGAAACCCCTGCAATTCCACAAACATCTTTAACGGGTTTCGTTTCTATATCTGCATTTTAGACTACTGCGAGTTCAGGTAGCATCAAAACGGCATATACGGGAATGAAGTCAGGCCGCCACGTCGATCCACTCATAATCCCCCTCCGCAAACGGTTTGGCCTCGGTGTCTCGTCCCCGAAGTTCTAAATCTCCACCACGTACTGAGATCCCATGCTAGGGCAGATGCCTCGTCGCATGTAGAGTTGTCTGGCGTCCTACCCACACCTATTTCCTTACCAAAACAACGGTCCTTGTCACCGCCAGATGATTACTGGGCACTTCACATCCGGATTCAATCCGGAAACAGCCAACAAGACGGCCTGACAGCGAGGCAACTACAGCCCTGGGGCAAGGCGACCAAAACCGACCTTCACCGCCTTTCTCTTCGGTGAGTTTTCTCTATCTAAGCCCCCTAGCGAACTGAGGCTCAGCGGGCTTCTCAGGGCGAACCCCAAGCACGCAAGCCTCACCCTTTTGCGCGCAGTCAACACTGCCAAATGTGCATCCTTATACGTAGTAAGTTAGCCTTGGCGGTGTTATGGTTCGGCAGGGCGGCAGCGACGACCCAAAGCGTTACCGCTCATGAAAGGACAATTGTATCTGAGAATTCTTGTCAATCCAATTAACAGGCGCCGCGCATGATCCCGACCTCTTGGATCCGCGCATGCGGCGCTTCTTGTTGGTGGTACAGGACACTCGGTGCTGGCAAGGAGACGGCTTTAGCTATTCGACTATCAATATTCGACACAAGAATGACTTGGGCACCAATATCACACACCGGTCAACCATAATCGGCATTGATCCCAATGGCATACTTAACGGTCTGTGCGGGGAAAGGCATACGTGGAGCCTACGATGAAAGACTATATGTACAACCGTTTTCTTCCACATTCGGCTCTTTAGTATCACAACATCCGTCCTTCTCCTACCTTCCACCTCGCCATGGCCTACCAATTCAACACTGTATTTCGTGTTCCGTGCGAAATTGATGGTTGTGACACCGATTTCGCGCGCTTGGCAGATATGCAGCGTCATGTCAAAGAGCATCATGGTAGCCCATTGCTCTGTCCTGAAGCCGGCTGCAGCTGGCGTGGGGCAAAGCGTAAGGGAAGACTGGAGAATCATCTCCACAAAGCACACGCAGATATTCACAAGGGTGAGCTCCTCAGTGGCGCTCTGCAATCCTCCCTAATATTATCCAGGGGTTGAGCTTATCGTTCCCGATGATTTCGGGACAACGTCCCCGGAGCCATCTCCGTATGTTCTTGCAGAGGTCACACAGGTTTCCCAGCCTGAAGCTCAGGTGACAGGTCAGTAGATAAGCCCTCCTTCGTGGGATTCAGAATTGGAAGACCTTTTCTGATTAAGTCTAGGGTACGTCGGATTCAATGCCGATTCGAGCGATCCACGAACATCTGCTCTTCAAACCGACTCCAGCTTCTCTGTGACACAAGACACCTCAGTAGTCTTACCTGAAAGTCAGGGTGAGGGCAGCGGAATCTTCCCAACCCCATGGAATGCACCTCCTCAAGACGAACGAACTTTCGACCAAAGCCTCAGCGACTATCAGCTTCCACCGGTCCTTCCGGCCGATGCGTCTACAGCAAATTTGCATCCCCCTCTCATCTATCCCTACTCGGAAAATCAGTATGCAGGGGCCATTAACGAACAAGAAACTCCTAGCCATGTGCCACAAGCCCCAGGGAACGGACATAATCAGAATGAAAGGGGCTCTTATTCCTAATGAGAGTCTCCCCAGCAACTGCACCATAATTTATCAACACAATTTCAGAGGCCGCTGTTATTGAACTCTGGATGTTTCAATGTCGCAGCTTAAGGCTGTGATGACAAGAATCCTCTCGAGGCGCAGATTCAACATCGCGCATTTTGGATCAAAATATAGTGCAGAGCTCAGCAAAACAGAATCAAGATAGCTCTCCTTTATAGATTCCACCGTATATGGATAGAAATAACCCCTCTCTTCTTAGCGTTCCTGAACCATTCTCTAGTGAAAGTTATTATACAACCCATTCTCAACAGTTTGAGGGTTCTTGCGAAAGACCTAGAGGACTTGGCCTCTCACGCAGCCCGAATCGACACCCTACACGGGTAGTTCTGTGCCGGATGCGCTGCTCCCTGCTCAATCTGATATGCTCTTTCTCCCCTATATGTCTTCGGTCCCTTCCTCGGATTCAACCCATCCCATTCATCATACGCATCCTTGAATTCGAATTCTCTTGCAAGGTGGGCCAACACCAGCTTGATTTCCGTCATTACCATCCCTTCGGCAATGCAATTTCTGGGCCCGTGTTCAAAGGGTCGCCATGCATTCTTCACGGGATACAGCTCGTGTCCGGGTTCTACCAGCCAGCGCTCGGGGAGGAATTCGTCGGGGCGGACCCAGTATTTGGCGGAGCGTTGCATGCGGTTGTGCAGTACCCACACCATTGCGCCGTCCGTTGGGCAGATATTGCCTTGGTCGTCGGTGAGGTCGACGTTCTGGTTTCCTTGACGCATCGCGCTTGCAGGAGGGAACAACCGCAACGTTTCCTTGATCACTCCAGTGGTATATGGGAGAGAGTTGATAAGGTGCGGTCGCAAGATGAGCAGGGATGAGACAGCAGAAACATCAGTCCCAAATACAGAGTCGTGCTCAGCACGTATCCTTGCAAGTGCATCCGGGTTCTTCGACAGAAGGTGGAAACAGTAACAAATAGTGCTGCTTGTCGAATCATGGCCCACGAAAACAAACAGTCGGATCTGCCTGATTGCAAAAGTTCGAAAGTCTGGATCAAGCTTCTCTGGTACGGTTTTGGCGTCCTTTGGGAGGTAGGCATGCAGCACGAGATCGATGACTGCTTTGCTTCCGACGGTCTCGGGAACGTTTTTGTAGTCTTCATACCGCTCGTCCAGGAGTTTGCCGATGTATTGGTTCATTTTGCGCCCATTTGACCATTCCATGTACATTCGAGCGAAGTTGAGAAATCCAAGTGGGTTCACCTCGGCGCCGGCTTGGTGCCATCGGATTTGAGATATCATGCAGTCAGCGAGCGTGTTGTATCCTTTTTGAGCTCCCAATTTAGTGTTTCTAGTTTCATCAGTTTAAATTAGATTGGTTTGGGGAAGAGTGGTGAGTCCAACAGAAGAGTTTTCCCAATCATGTCCATCACGAATCGCAGGGTCACGAGATCTAAATAAAACATTTCACCATTCCCAGCTAGGCCTCTCAAGGTTTCTGCGTATGTTTTCACTTCTTCGATCATTCCTGCAAGATGGGAGTTAAAGTGTTCGTTGTTGAACCCTTTGGTAAACACAGCACGCCACGGCCTCCATTCGGGCTCGCTCATGTCAAACATATTCAATCCACCAGCGATAGGTTTGAAAAAACGACGGAGGATATCTGGCCTCGATGTTGCAATGTTGTAGTTGGTTACCATAGTCGCTGTAGCCATGGGCGGCGAGAAAACCCCCAGGATTACCCCACTCAGTGGCCAGAGATCTAGATAGAAGGCACCTTCTTTCTGGAAATGTTCTCGATGGATATCTCCAAAGACATAGGTATAATGGCAGTCCTTTGGCACCTTATCGAGCATGGTTTTGAGGTACAGCAAGTGACCAAAGAGAAAACTGTGGCCAGGGGCTACGGGCTGCATGTTGTCAGACGAGAGTCCAGCAGTTAGCGAGGGGGGCTGCATACAGCACCACTTTTCTGCATTCGGATGAAGAGCATTCTTGCAGAATAGAGTCTCCTGTAAAAAGACACAAGGAGGGTGAAGCCCACCAGGAGAACGGCGGCTAGAATTGGCTGCATGGTGGGCGGCAGTTCATAAGCTCTTTTCAAGTGACGGATGCAAAAGATATAAAGAAAAGAGTGTGCAGAAGTTGCCTCTCTATCTCTATGGAGGACTGCTGACGTTGAATCACGGGTTGAGTATCTAGATGCACCAGACTTCAGGGGATGTTTCTGAGGAAATATTTATGCGAGGCTGACAGCAATGCCGGCGGCCCGCTTTTTAGCCGCTTTTGCGCATCCCAGACACTTAACCGAGTACGCAATCTCCATGGTGATTGGTTCCTCGTAGAGCCCTCCAATAACACGAGGCACTTTGACGGAGGACCCCTGTACTTTAGCGTCCATGTTCCACAGGATTATTGGGTTGTTCAGAACGACTTGGCAATAGGGTTTGAATTTGGAAACTTCAATTTTGCCTGGGCCGAGCAATGTAGGGGCTATTATGAAGTGCCTCACAAAGGTTAATAATGTTGAGGTTCTATTCTTTTGATTCTTCGAACTTCTGGAATTGTGTAGACCTCCCTCCGCGTCCTTTTAGCCAATTCCCTATCTCTTTTACCTGAGCTTTTTCCGGCTTCATGTACTGTCTTTCCATCTCTCACAGTTACCACAAATTCTTCCTGTCTGAGCCCTTGGAGGAATTTCATTCAAGGAGTATGGAGAGTAAACCTAACTCCCACCCCAACGTGACCGAATTCCCATAAACAAAAGTTGAATTGGTATTTACTCATGTGCAATCTTTTATTGAGCATGAAGGTAGAGAATTACGTGCAATACAAGTGTTCTCCTGCAATCTTCCCAAAGAATTGAACTTTAAGATGTCAACGATTGCCTCCTTTGTAAGGCAAATCCGCCTTTCTGTCGAAGCGTTGCCTTAATAGTGACACGCACTAGTTGCTTGTAGATATTACCAGTACAGTGGAGGCAAATGTGGCGTCATAAAATTTGTCTACTTCCCAAAAAGCAAGTTTACAATTGTAAGACGTGTGTTATTTTAATTCCCCTGCGGTTTCTGGACCTTGCTTTTCTGACTTCCTACAACCTCAGTCAGACTGCGCAGCTCTTTGATCGCGGCAATCCTCAATACCGGCTAACCTGCTTCTTCATTGTAGTCGACTTCTTGCGGTCTAAACACCACTAACCATTGACCAACCAACCATTAACCGACCAACCACCAACCAACCAACTAAGCACTAACTAACCAACCCGTCGTTAATTAAAAAGATGTCTTCCTCCACTAGGTACTTTTCGCAGTAATAACGGTCACAAACAATGAAGCATTGATAGTCACTCCTCAATTTTTTAGGCGAAGGCTATCATTTCCCCTCACCTCAATGCAAGGAAACCGCCGACACGGCACTAGAACAGAAGTCCATCACGCACATTACGACACTATTCACCGAGCTGAAGCTGAAGCTGATAGACAACCTGGATGGCGTAAGCTCCACTTGTCCCCGAGTTGCCCGCAAGCTATACTGTAATTTTCACCGCGAGAAGCTTCATGGAGGTAGTTTATTTGTCTGCGGGCGGCAGCAAATACACCAAGAGAGGCACCACATTGGCCAACTACCTTGTTAAATGGGTTCCTCGAGGTATCACTATTACCACTATAAGGCCGCAAGTATGTCATCAAGAAGACCTGGAGCAAGCTGGTTAAACAATGGATGGTAGAGGGGGAACTGCAAGCTCTATAGGAGGCGAAATACTGGCACGACGGTCTTGGGGAGGACGATTATGAGTCGATCGTTGAGGATTGCATGAGTGTCCTGCCAGTAAATGGATTCAAGTGCTAGGACCGCCCAGATGTAGAGGAATTCATCGATGAGGAGCTTCTTGAAAAGGCTAATAGTTGGGAGAGAGCTTGTAATTCGTTTGATCTATATACAGCAAGAATAAGATGATGACAATGAGTAAGACGAAATATTATGTTGCTGAGTTGCCTCAATTGACAAGGCGGGTTAGTTGTAAATATTTACTAGCACAAGCGAAAGCAATAGGTAGCCTTAAATTGTATATTGAGTTGCATGTTATTTATCCACCTTCCTATTCCTTGACATTCCACTTCCCACAACCTCATTCCGACAACCCAACTCTTCCACTGCATCATCGTCCGGAGTCAAACACCATTGCTATACGAGTCCTTTACAACCGGCTTCATAGCGATCGGACCAACTCCAACTCGGTGCCACTGACTTCCACCCACCAATACCGCAATACTACCACAAAGGAGCTTCCTACAACGGAGGAGCTTCCGTAACCAAGGCTTCTGCAAAAAAATCACTAACTCTTCGTGCCAAGAACAACGGCTGGCCGTCCACTTCCTTCCGACGTTGGGTCTTTAGCAATCCTACTTCGATATCTGACATACATCGAACCACAAGAGCCTCGACCAAGGCAAAGACAATCGAATCAATAGTGAAGGATGCAGCAGCCAAGAAAGGGTCTGGGAGCAAGGAGGAAATCGAGGCAACTCTCAAGGCCAAAGAAAGTACTCCTTATCCCTATTCCATCAAAAAGGAACAAAAGTATATGGTCTACCATCTAACAAACAAAGCCATTCCTCATATCACAACCGTTCCTCCCGAGACCAGCTTCAAGATCTTCGGCTATTTGGGCCCCGTAAACTCAGAATATCTGGGAGTCACATGCAAATCCATGCACGGTTTCCATCGCGAGAAAAATACGGAATTTTCAAATCGTCGACCGATGGTAGGGGATACACACTCGCACACGGGGATGAGAGGTATACCAGACTCGTCGAGGGTTCTGTGTATAACATAGAGGATGAGGAATGGAAGTATGAGAACAACCTTCCGAATAGACTCGATCCCATAGAGGAGCATTTCGGGGATGACGATGATTCTGAGGAGGAAAACTCTGGAGATGTAGACTCCGAGGATCGAGTTTCTGAGAATGAAAGATACTGAAGAATAATTATCCGAGGCCGAGGCTGAATCCAGCGATTAACATCGAGGGATAGGGGTAGCGTGGTAAAGCTTGGCAGAAACCATGGAATCCACACCACAAATTGACTGGAGTGGAAACCGAAGGACTAATTGCGTGGTAGAGAATGTAAATTTCACAACTATCGAGCGCAAGAGTTAATTTAACCCTTTATATATTAACTTGGTGTCATGCGCCATCTACGAAACCATCAAGCGAATCCTCATGATTTTAAGACTCCGTTTTCTCCTCCCCTCAAGCATCCATAGCCTTCACAGTATTTAACCCAGGAAACTCTCCTAGCGTTTGGTGATTCGCCATTAGCATCCTCCCACACATTATATTCATGCCCGTCGCCTTAATCCCACACTTCTGCCTCTCAAGTGTATCCTTAACTTGCACCACCGTCGTATCCTCACTCACATTCTCGACCGCAAATATCTTGTGTCCCCCTCTAATAAGTCCTGCATACTTCGATCTTGTCTGCAAAATAACCCTTAGCGTCCTTCCTGCCACTGCGTTTGCGGGCCCAGCAGGACCAGCCTGTGGAGCTTGCGCCTGTGCAGGTCTCGGAAGAACAGGCGGACGAGCAGCACGCTGCTGCCTCAGCTGGTTGACCTGAAGCCGCAGCGCCTGGAACGCAGCCTGCAGCGGATCAACATCATCCCACCCCTCCAGCCACTGTGCAGATACAACTGGCTCCTGCCACTGGGGCAACGGCGGACCGAGGGTTGTGCCCAGCGACGTCTGCCACGTGCGTACTCCCTCCGCTGTCCGCTCCACCAGTTCCCGAGGGAGGATCCGGTGCGCGGGCGCGAGTAGCAGGCATTCTGCGATGAGCGAGCGCAGTTCTCTGCTGTAGAGGGAGCGCGCCCCTTCTTGCCCGTCTTGCTCTTCGTCGAGGATGGAGCCGACGGTGAGGCCACCGGTGGCGAGACGGTATGTTGCTTTGGATTGGTAGGTTGTGAAGTTCTGCCAGTCTGGTACCCTGTTGGGAGGCTTGCGCATCAGGACTTGCATTATCAGGCCGATTTGCTAGATGTTTGTTGCGGTGCCGTAATGGGGGTCGCGGACCATGGGGTTGAAGATGTTGGAGAAGAACTGCGAGTGTTAGGTTTCGTCCCATTTGCGAGATGTGAGTTGGGGGGCTTACTCCTGTCCATGGCCGTGAAGAGAAGGCGTCGTGGAATATGCTGGTGACTTGCTCCTGAAATCAATACCTTTAGCAATATCTTCTGGATTGATATCAGAATAAGCTAAACGTACTGGTGCATACCAAGAGTACGTGCTATAATATTGGTATTTCTTCAAATACTTCGCGTCCTGAGGCCCTGTTGTTACCTTTTTCGATAGCCCAAAGTCGTTTATCTAAAGAGTAAGTCCCGTATCGATCGAAGAGACTTGCGGGAGAGATCTACCTTATACGGAGGTTGATTCCTGTGCTCGTTATCCAGAGCTTGATCCCCAACCAAAACTGAAGAAGTTAGCTCTTCGGTTGCCTTCAAACGACCTTTCCTCCTACCATTGTTTAGTTTCAGGTCGAAATGAACGAGTTCGCCATCCGTCATGTATCTTTCGCTTTTCGGATCCTCGCTTCCATGATGCATGACGAACGCTGCTCTCGCCAAGCACTGGAAGATACACCAGAGATCGTTTTCCGCGACGTTCCTTGGACTACCAAAACACGTTAGTCCTTGCCAATAGAAGAGAAGGGGCACTTACAGGTCGTAATACCTGTCCAACCAATCACTCAAGTCGCCTCCGGGGCAGAATTCCAGGTATATGCGTTGGATTAGTCCCCAGCCCGTGTTCGCTGGCCCTGCTCCTCGAAAAGATGTTTATACATCCTAACGATATGAGGCGTCTTGACCCTCGCGAACTTCGCGAGCCATACAGCTTCGGATTCCAACCCGTCACCCCATATATACGCAGGCCCTAGACCCGCAAAATCAGTTCCCACCACCCTCAAGAAACGAAACCTCAGGGAAAATCGAGAAATCTGCCTACCTACCAGCCCGCAGCGCCTGATTGACAGCAACATCCGTCACCGTCTTCTGCCGCCTATCCGCACCCTCATACGTCCAGTGCCCAACAATCCCCTGGCCGCCCTGGCCCAACACCTTCTTCCCGGCCCAGCCCTTGCCGATCCCATACTTCCAGTTCCGCTCCGACGCCAGCCATTGATCGCGAAGCGCGTGCGTGGGTTTCATGGCTAGTCTGGCCTTCTCGTATGCTTGTATGTTCTCGAAGTCGACGACCCAGTCGTCGCCCGGTGAGCTGATGGGCAGGCCTGGGAGGAGAGCGGCGTCGGGAGGGTCGGGGAAGGTGTCTGGACGGGGCGTGGGTGGCAATGGTGCCGGTTGAGCCATTTTGTTAGCTGGTGATCACTTTCTCTCGGGTTATGATGAATGTAACTGGAACAAGCAAGCGATTGATGGAAATTGGCGGCGGCACTAAAATTCCTGAGAATCTGATTAGGAAAGATGAGGGCTTCGATTGCTTCAAGTCGAGATCCATCAGTGATGCGTGGCTTCTTTGTTCGGTCGACTAGACAATCGCATTCATAAAGTTTGAAGACTATTTCTTGTCTGCGAGATGCCGCTTTTAGAACATTGCTCCTTTGTTCTCAATTCGAGGTGCAGATGCGATATTTTGCCAATGACAATGAGAGAGCAACGAAAGCAAAGACGACTGAACTTAACGAATTGACGAAGCAGATGCTGAGAGTTTGAATCGATAAGACCAGGAAATATCACCACTTTGGTGCACCTGAATTTGTAAAACAATTTACCTTACTATGTTGTAACCCCACATTCTGAGAGGGGATAGTTGAAAAAGGGGGGAGGACTCCCGGTGATTTCGCTTACTGAGCACTTGTCTTTTTGGGGACTCGACCTCTCCCTTATCATTCAAAGCCCCCATCCCCCTTTTCTGTTTCTTTATCACCACCATCCCCCTCTTCCTCTCCATCCTCCCCTTCCCCATCATCCACACCCCTGACCTCCACCTCCCAAGCCGCTTCCGCCACCAACACACTCTCATCACTCCTATACCCCTGCAACCTCTCCCTCTTCTCCCTCGTCCACTCCCCATTCGCCCCTACACCCGCAACCAGCAAACTCAACGCCAGCCTCCTCGCCCTCTCATCCGGACTGCATCGCAACAGCCCCTCCGTCCCCTCGAAATCGTCTCCCTCCCTCTTCCACCCCGCACTCCACCCTTCGCCCTCGATCTCGCCACAAGCGAGGACGAGCGCATCAGCCGTGAGGTCCGGCACAACGCCCACCAAATAGCCCTTCAACTCATCCCACGGCAGCCCCTCAAACATAAGCTTGACCCTCCTCTTAACACTCAACCTGTCCCTCTCCAAAACCCCGAGGATCGCCCGTGTCACGGGCCACAGATGTCTCGCCTCATCGCGCGGGCTGATCTGGCTTATATATGGAACATCGTGGACCCGGATAAGCAATTCTCGATCGCTGGTGAGTTCTTCGTAGAGGTGGGCGATGAGCGGGGTTTGGGTGCGTGCGTAGGTTGAGAAGAGGGCGCGGACGGTGCAGGAGACTTCGTCTTGGTACTCGGATCTTATCAATTCAAATAATCTCGGGGATAGCATGGCTTCTGGATCGCTGAGAGGCATTGAGTTTAATCGCTGCAGGGTCTCAAGTCGGACTTCTGGTGCGGGATGGGAGAGGAGAGTGAGCAGCAGGGAAAGGTGTTTCTGTCGAGTAGAAAACGACATGCCGTCCACGGGGATGGATATGACTCCCTTCGCGACCTCGGGCTCCGGACCCCCTGCCGCATGAGTAAAAATCGCCCAGGTTTCATCTCGATCCAAGTAATTCCAAAGTGCTCGAAGCAGTGCCTTCCGGACAGAAGCGTGGAGGTTCGTCTTCTCAGCCTCAAGAAGCCACTGAAATGCCTCCTCAGCCTCCAGATCGCCAATCAACCTCACCGTCTCTTTCGCAACCGTGACTTTCGTACTCGGCACCGCTTTCAAAATCTCGAAAGCTTTTGATTTCGGGAGGTCGCGAAGAGCGCTGCGGAGTGCATAAATCGCAATTCGTCCCCTGTCATCTCCTAAAGCGTCGATCAGGGTTGGAATGCCCTCCGAGCTATCAAGGCGTCCGAGGGCCTTGAGCGCCGTTTCTTGAACAACTGGCCGTCCATCTTTTGCAAGTGTGATGAGATGGTTGATGTCTACGGAAGGTAAGCGGCCGAGTTGCCGGATATAAGAGACTTTCTTGTCAGATGTAACGTCTTCATCTGCTATATCCTTCAGAATAATCTGCGCGAGAGCTTCCTGTTGACCTGGGGTCCAGCGCCAGAAACCGCCTCGGAGCTCGTTCAGTGCATCTCTTTTGCGGGTATAAGAAGGCGGTGCGTCGATCGGGTGGAGATATGGAGCCAGGAGGTTCTGATACCGGTGATGGATCTTCCTGACTATGTGCCTCGAGCCAGCAATGTCTTTGTTCTCTTTTGTAAGAATGGGTATGATATCGGTCCAGAAAGAAGCGGGGTGCTGGAATTTGTAGATGGCTTCCATCATCATCTCATGGCTGCGTTCCATCTCCGGGATCTCGAGGGTTTTGGTGCATGTCGAGAGTAACTCGGGCCAGTACTCCATGTACTCCTCAAAAGCGCGAGCGAGAGTCGTAAGAGCAGCAGCATCTTGCTTCCTCAGGAGATTCTCGAGGGCAGGAGACATCTCTTCTTGCACCACGCTCATCACTTCTTTAATCGGCACCACACCCGAGAGTCGCACTCGTCCGGGAACAGCACCTCTTTCTTTGACCACCAACGCCATCTGCCGACTCGCCCACCTCGGGTGCACAGAAAGCACACCCGCCAAAAACTCAACCAGCAAATACAGCGCTATCGTCGCAGCCGCCGAATCCAACGCATTCCGTACAACCTGCGTCAAAAGCCCAAGATGACCCTCCTTGAACCTTGCGGCGGGAATACCTTTCAACGCCCTAAAGAACTCCCGTTGAATCGTAGCCGGCTCATTCTTATGTCTGATAATCAAATCCAATGCGTCTTCGATACGCTCACTGTCGAATTTAGCTGCTTTGATCTGGCGCGAAAGCGCTTCGCTCCGGATATCAGCGTCGCTGGACCGGAGATATGGTTTCTGTAGCTCTATGGCTTCGTCCCATGGCAAAAGGGAGATATACCGGATGCGTCGGTTGGGGTTAGTGTCCAGCCATTTCAGGTTCAGGTGTCGTCGTGCTTCTGCGATCCTCTCCTTGGTAGGGAGGTGCTCGGCGATGTCCCATTCGAGGACTCCATTCTCGTCCCGCCAGGCCACACGGATCAGTTCATACGCAGGCAATTTCTGCTCCGTGGTCAAGTCAGGGAAGAGAGGGCCTTCGAGGAGTGATGGGTAGCGCTTCGCCAAAGCGAGAAATTGCTCCAGAGAGAGTTTCCGCCACAGTCTTTCTGTTTGGAAGGTGAAGATGTCTGTGGAGAGGTCGTCGGCCGCGTTGAGGATGATATTGATAGCTTGTCTTGGACGACGTTTCAACAGCAGGGGCTCAGGCCAGCCGATAGGGAATACCGCAAGTGGTATTTTGGGCATCGATTTCCTGACAAGGTCCAGCGCAAAGCCGGTCGTGGCGTCATGGGAGATCCATTGCGTGAAAACATGCCTCAAGATACGCTGCAGCAAGACATCCCCTTCTTCGGAATCCTCAATCAATCTATGCAGTGTTTGCTGAGCAAGTGCCGGGTGGCATTTCGCAAGATGGCTCCAATCCAAGAGCGAGAAGTCATCCACCAGGTCGGGCAAATGCTTCTCCAGGAGAGCCCTCGATCCAAAAGGCAACAAGCACCTCCAAACCTTCCCATCCCCTCCCCGCCCCTCCAACCACCGCAAGAACCGCTCAATAACAGCCTCCCTCCCCCGTCTCGCGCCTAAATTGCTAATCCTCCCCACCGTCCCCCTCTGCAGACTTGCCGGCACGACTTTCAACGCCTCGAGGAGCTCGTCGTCGGTCCCGAGCGAGACGATCAAATGGATGGCCTGCTTCCTGAGGACGTGCGAGGGGGCGGAGAGCAGGTGTTTGGCGACGGCGAGGTCGCCGCTTCCGTGGCATGTTTGGAGGCACAGGAGCTGTGTGTAGGGTGGCCCACGTGACAGGGTGGAAATCAGGGCCGTTGTTGCGGGCGAGGTCTTGGATTTGCGGCCCAGTTGGACCATTTGCCGGACTCGCTCGGAGTGGGTGAGGGATTCGTATTGCGGGAGGAGAGCCGAGAGGTCTTCGTGGTCCATTATGAATACAGTGAAAGAAAGTCAGGGGCTGGTCGTGGGGAAGTGTTGGATGGGTGAAGGGTTGAAGGATCAGCGGTAGAGCGGGGGGTAAGCTCAGAGAGTATATATATATGGTGATACCTTGTTGGAAATCTGAACTTTGGAATGAGAAGAAAGGAAAACTCAAGTATAAAATGGGTGTTTTCTCAGAGTCATCGAATGCGCCTGCGTCAATTGGGGCTGATACACGTAAGCAGCTGAATGATGGTGCTGCACTACGAGCTAAAAAAGGGGTAAACGGGCAACTCGGCAAGCCGTCACGTGGAGCCCCTTAGGCCTCAAGTCTGGGGTTATTTTGAACTGAGAGCAGCTTCGTCTGAGACTGTAAACATTTCGCTTAGGTGTATGTATTGTATTCGTGTATAGACACTTAATAGAACTGGCGCCAATTGCTTGGGGTAATCTACTAATCTACCTGCTCGCAGTATAAACACTCTTATCCACCCGCAAAAGCGAGTACCATGCAAATCCCAGACTATGCAATCCAACACCCACATAATGGACGCAACGGAACTCCGTTCTACGCCTGTGAAATCTAGACTCTAGATACGGACGCCATTTACCGCATGCCCATTCGGCAAGATGCCCTCCTTCGCCAACACATCCTGCGTAACCTTCTCCAAGCAGCCCGATGCAGCTGCCACGAAACCAAGATATGGCTTACTCGGCATCAAGACCCGAGATAAGTACTCAGGGTGGAACTGGACGCCCACATAGTACGGATGATCCTTTAGCTCTACGATCTCCATTCTCTCGCCCTTGCCATCCTTGCCGATGAACTCGAGACCAGCGTCGTGGAGACGATCGATGTAGTCTGGGTTTACTTCATATCGGTGGCGATGACGCTCGTTGATCTGCTTGACTTCGCCGTAGAGTTGGCGGAGGCGAGACCACTCTGATCCTTCCTGGAAGATTGTGGGACGGAGACCGAGACGCATCGTTCCGCCCAGCTTCGTTCTGTCGCCTTCGGGCATAAAGATAACGACTGGGTCCTCGCATTGCTCTCCATCTAGCTCTACAGACCCTGCTTTAGGGATGTCGCAAACGTGACGAGCGAACTCGATGACGGCGAGTTGCATTCCGAGACAGATGCCCAAGAATGGAGTCTTTTGCTCTCGAGCCCACTTGGCGGCAGCAATCATGCCTTCCGTGCCTCGCTGGGCAAAACCACCCGGGACGAGGATTCCGTTTGCTGTGCAAACTTCGTGCCAGGCTTTGTGGAAGGCGGGAGTGTTGCTGAGGCGGGTCGATTCTTCGAGATCAGAGGACTCAACCCAGATGAGGTTGAGCTTCTTTCCGCAACGCATGGCGCTGTGCTCGAGCGCTTTGATGACGGAAAGGTAGCTGTCGTGGAGAGCGGTATATTTTCCTACCAGGGCGATGGAGACCGTTTCATAGAGGCGATCTTGTTGCATGGTGAGGCTCTTCCATTCGGTCCATGTGGCTTGTCCACGGGCGACTAAGCCTTTGGTTTTTTGGATATCGTCGAGTTTAAGGATTTCGCCAACCATCTTAACAAGACCTTGTTGCTCGAGGAGAAGGGGGACATGATAGGTTGAGGGGACGTTGTGGACTCCGATTACTTGCTCTGGTTCGACTTGACAGAAATTAGCAATCTTGTCCATCGTGCTTTTCTCAAGCTCGACATCACAACGGCATGCAATCTAACACAATCAGCATATGCCTTACAACTTGCCATGCCCACTTACGAGATCTGGAACAAGACCAGCACGTCCAACATCCCGAATGGCCTGCTGTGTAGGTTTCGTCTTCTGCTCTCCCTGAATAACAGGAACGAGCGAGACATGAATCTGGAGGAAATTGCCTTTCCCAGCTCTCCGCTTCAACTGTCTCATAGCCTCGATGAACGGCGCGCTTTCGATGTCGCCGACTGTGCCTCCCAACTCAATGATACACACATCCGGCGTCTCCTTCGTGTCATCGACGGGGATTCTGGCAACCCGTTCAATCCAGTCCTGGATTGCATCCGTCAAGTGTGGAACAACCTGGACCGTCTTGCCGATGTACTTGCCAGCACGCTCTTGCTCGATGACGTGTTGGTAGATCTTGCCTGTGGTGATGTTGTTCTCTCGCGTGAGGGTGATGTTGAGGTAGCGTTCGTAGTTGCCAAGGTCGAGGTCGACTTCACCGCCATCGTCGAGGACAAAGACTTCACCGTGCCTGTGGCGCATTAGCCTTGCCCCCGTTCTGCAAGGACCCAGAAAACCTACTCGGTGGGAGCCATAGTGCCAGCATCGACATTCATGTACGGATCAATCTTGATCGAAGAGACGTGCCTCGACCGTCAGCCATGACTCTGCGCGGCCCACTGCAAAATACTTATCTTAAGCCCGATCGTCTTCAGCAGCAGACCGGTAGAAGAGGCTATTCTCAATTAGCCTTCCTTCTCCTCTCCGTCCCATTCGCACATTGTGCGCGGATTCTAGGGCACACGTACCAATGACGCCCTTTCCAATGCCAGAGATGACACCTGTAACTCGGTCAATACACATCCAATTTTCGCCAGAATGGCGCAGGGACAATACTGACCTCCAGATACAAGAACGTACTTCATTTTGGCGATTTTCTCAAATCTCGTGGTGCCCTTGCTGGCTTCTGCCAGAGGGAAGGAGAGAAGAGAAAGATTTCGTGTCGGCGGAAATCTTGGTGGGGGAAAACTCGGCTTGGTGTGGCTAGTCCGTTTTTGGCAGACGCGACCTGGTACACCGCGAAGCGTGTTATGGTGGGGTTTGAGTCACTCACCGATTTAAGAGGCTCCGACGTAAAGATTGTCAATATAATAAATTCTGTTCTGTGCATTAAGACCCGCGCGTCACTTGTATGACAATCTCTATACAGGCGAACCATGTTGTGCCTGGGTATCATGCATGCAGTAAATCCACTCATCACTCCTAGCCAGAACTCCCTCCATAGCCTTCCCAAACTGACCCATGTATGCCCAATGTCCAAATCCTTTCAAGCAGACCAAATGCACCGCCAAAATACCGCTCCAATCGTCTCTTCGTGACGTGTAAAATTGTGCATCTCAAGAGAAGATATTTTCACCGCTTCGGTCTCTTCGCCGCCTTTCTTTTCCGGCCCTCCTCGAGCTCGTCGTCGTCATCATCATCCTCGTCATCGTCATCGTCCCTCCCATTCTTCCCATTGCTCTTGGCATTCCCTTTCTTCACAGAAATCAAGCAGCCTTGATATTTCAACCTCTTTGTCAACTCGGTGGATGCCCTCATTCCACCAAAGTCCTTGGCGTTGTATACATGGAAAGTGGCGCTCTTTGCTGTGCTCCGTACCGGCATTGAAAACCCCGGCCCCATTTTGGAAGGATCTAGACACACCAGACTGAACTTCAAGCTGTAAACGCCCGGTGTCCTGACGCTCAAATCCGGAAAGCAAAAGAAACATCCCTCAACGTCATGCTCATCATTGCCCACAAAAGGGGAAGCAACCAAGGTGCCCATCAACCGCCGCTGCTGTCTTTTGTCTGTTGTTCCAGGCATTGCTGTGTCATCCCTGTCGTTGAGAGGATCCCAAAGTGTGCAATGGACAACGGCGTATGGTTGTCGGAGCAAGGCCTTCAGCTCCTCGGGTGTGGCATTCGGAGCGTCCACGTCCATTTGTAGAATTGGTGGTGGATCAATGACTCGGCGGTCCCGCTCTCCAAAGCCGCAGGCTCGAGCTGCGAGTGGTTGTTGACGCATTCGAATTGTGAAGTTCGGCTTCGGAGGCTCAATTGTTGGGCTAGACTCGTTAGCTTGCGTTCAGTGGATTCAGTGTACACAACATACGTTGGAACATCACTCAAGAGTCCTGATATCGGCATCGATCTGGAAGTGTGGCCATGTGAAGTGTGGCCCTGCGAATTGTAACTCTGTGCAGACATCCGCCGTTCTGGCTCCGACATATTTGAAGGCCGACGCAAAGGCTGGCAAGCTTCTGGCTCCCTCGGGGGAGATCGAGTTTTCATCTCCTCATTCTGCCCGCTTGGCATTGACGTCGGCGATGGCCTCCGTGATTTATCCTGCTGCCTCTGCACGATCTTTTTGAACTGCCTCTGCTGCGGAGGCTGTTGAGTAGGAGAAAGGCGCCGTGGAGGGAATGCCAGCGTGTGCTGTCCCGGTGTGGGGACCAACATCGACTCTGTCAGATTCTGCGCAAAGTGTGAGTTGAGACGAGACTGGGGTGGTTGATAAATATGATGTACAGGTGCATTGGGGTCCCTCTCGCTCAACGACAGTGGGTGTAGTGGATGCTCTTTTGTCATGTTGTAAGGCGGCTGGAACTGCCGAGCGAGGAAAGATGGTGAAGGTTGATGCAGTTCTTGGGTTGGATCGTGTCTGAATAACGAGGACATCGGGGGCAAGGTCGTCGAGCCCGGAAGCCTGCTGGGTTCACCACGTTCTGCTCCGTATGGATATGCCTTGGGGGGAGGAGGGCTTCCATGGCCCTGGGATGCACCGGACAAGGACATGACGATAGCTTCACGAGGAGCGAAAGAAGGTTCCTTACACGATGTAGGACTTCAAGATGCAGCCAGGCTTGAAGAGATCAGATGTGGCAGACAAGACAAATCGATTACTGAGCTATGTCAGCGAGTACAGCGCACCTCGGCCACGAAGGTCTTACTTGTATCAAAGGATCATTCCCGGGCTGCATGAATGATGGGATGCCAGGACAACTTCCAAAATATATGCCTCTCCCTCTGTATCCCGGTAATTACGCAGGCGGGTCGCGAATGGAGGAAACGTGGGGGGAGATGTTGGAGTAGATCTCGTCCCAACTTCTGACAAAGTGATGCTGGACTTCAAGCGATGCACAGAAGATGCACCAGCCGGTCGGAAAGTTCGAGGAATTGATGCGTGCTTGTCGAAGACTGAAGGAGCTCGAGGGCCTCGCGCCTTGATGTGTTTGGATGCGTGGTCGATCGACGATGGCACGGAAGGAAGACCCACTGGTCAACGAGCCACCCCCCGATAAATCACCCTCCCTTCCCGGAGAAAGCAACGAGGGACGATCCGGTGGCTCTGCGAATGCGAGGATGGCGCAGGATTCTCGTTCAATTCATGGCGGGTGGCAATGTGGGCGAGCGGATTGGCTACCAAACGGGTGGGTTTGAGGCTGTAGACTCTTGGAAGGAAAACTCGAGGAGCCGGCACAACACAAGACAATCACCACCACGATCGGAAATGGGGGGGGGGAGGGGGGTTCGTAGGTCGAGATGCAAGAGGTCTGGGTGGGGGGATGTGACGAGTGGGCTGGCTGCCGGTGCGGTGTCTGCTTATGAGGAAGCCAATGCTTGCTCGGAGAATTACAGTGTTGAACTTTGAAGGTAGAAAAAGGAAGTAGGTTGTGGTTCTGGTTGTGGTTGTTGTGACTTGTGAGAAGAGACGAAAAGCAGGAGACGACGGACCAGTGCGTGCAGCGCGTGCAGTGCGGAGCAGCGTACGGACCGGGGCGGCAGACAGCTGCCTGCATGGGGCCCATGCTTGGCTTTGGGGGGGGGGGGGGGGGGGGGGGGGGGTGGGGGGGGGGGGGGGGGGGGGGGGGGGGGGGGGGGGGGGGGGGGGGGGACGGAGGGCAGCCAACAATAAAGTAGAAGCAGCGCCAGCCTGCAGCGGATGCAAAGACTCGCGAAGGAGGGCGAGGGTGAAGCTGAGGCCAGCGAGCGGCGGCGGCGAGCGAGAGACAAGTGCAGCATTGCAGATGGGGGCCACCAGATGCAGATGGGCCCAGAAACCCGGTGGTCGACCCTCACAGGCCAGGGGTGGGTGCGCTGTGGATGGGAGCAGCGCAGCTTGGTGGCGCTCGAGGTTTTTCTCCCCCGAAGCCCTGGAGCTGCCTGCGGTTGGGCGGTTGGTGGTTGGTGGTTGGTGGTTTCGCCTGGCCTGCTGTCAGCCTGTCCTGCTCTCCTGTTGGCCTCTGGACAAGCCCTGCGTACTCCCGGGCTTTGGATTGGGCGACGTACGTCTGAACGAGTGAAATACTGGGGCAGCAGGGCAGCAGAGCAGCAGAGCAGCAGAGCAGCAGGGCTCCGGGGGCGCGGCGAGATTGAAACTGTGGAACGAAAACGAGGCGAAGGAGGGGGAGTGACTCGGGAAGAGAGCAGCAGCAGCAGCAGCGGCAACCAGCAGCGGCAGCCAAGGCCAAGAAGGCTCTCCCTGATTTTCGGGAGCTTCAACGAAGCGATGCTCCCAAGGAGGGCAGGCGAGTTGCGAGTGCTCGGTAGGGTAGGCCTGCTCCGTCAACCCGGATGGACGTAAAGGAGATACTTTCTCGTCGTGCCGCGACATTATTATTTGTACAGTACGGATGCGGAGGGAACACTTTCTACTTGTGCCGTGACACTTGCACGGATGCAAAGGGAACACTTTCCAGTTGTGCCGCGACCTTTGTGCGGACGTCTTCGTTCAACATAAACTGCTCTGCTCTGCTCTGTGTGCTCTGCTCTGTTGCCCTGTGCTTCACCACCACGATGCTGCACGGCAGAGGCTGCTCCGCATCAAGTCCGGCATCACGACGCACCGCACAGAGAGCCGCCCCCTGCTCGTCTCCTATTCTCGAAGGTCGAGAGAAGTCAGGCCATTCCTTCGCTCGTAGATCACGTCTAGTGCAGGATCGTCAACTTGAGGCCCCTGTGCCAGACGCCCATCACTATCTCTCATTGGACACCCGGCTCCCACTCGACCAGGCGGCCCTGGCGACTGCATCGATGACAAATCGACCGAACGTTTTCCCTGCGAAAACCTTCAAATCCCCAATTTCCAAACTCCAAAACCACCAGCATCCGCATCCGGCCATTGGTCGAAAGCCCGGTGACGCAGCCCGCCCCCTGGCCCCTGTCCTGGAAGCTTTCGAGCTTCTTTTCTTCCCCGCCAACGCGGGCCAGAGCCGAGTGGCCCCACCACCAATGCTTGCCGTGCTTGCTTCTTTCGTGCAGCGGAGGCTGGCTGGCTGGCTGGCTGGCGGGCGGCTGGCCGAGCCCTCGGTTGCGATGCGAGTCGGCATCCCGATCCTGATCGCTCCGGAATGAATGAGGTTTCATGGCCCTGCTGCACCCTCGCCCCGGATTGCAAGCTGCAACTCATTTACCGACAAACAGCTGGAGGCTGCCTGGTGGAGACTGCAGAGCGGAAGAGTGGACGGACACTGGACAGCCAATGTCGGCGACGCGGCGGGTTCGGCGGGTTGACTGAAGCTGTTCAATCTCAGAGAAGTGCCGGTATATTATCTTGCAGCAACCGCAGCACAACTTTCGTGGACTCGTGGGCTCCCCCCTGACAGCTGTGACCTGTCCTACGGAGTAAGTGTCCTTGCGAAGGATATGATTCCTTTTCTCAGCTTACCACCACTTTGCTCTCTTCCAGAGTCCAGACGAATCACAGCAGCACCCATCCCAGGCAAAACCGCTGTTACCGTGCTGCCCCCCCCCCCACGAAATGTCTCCACAAAGACACTGGTCTCTGTCTGGGACGGGCGTGAACCCCCCCCCCAGAGCCCAGCGAAATCCGCTTCTTTTTCTCCTGGACTTCTTCACGCTAATCCCCAAGTAGCCGAGGAGGCGCTGACACCTGGATGGCACATTGACAACTCCTGGAACACAAATCTGGGATTTCGACGGGTCACGACTCACAAAACATGTGCCGCACTTTCTGCTGCAAGCGAGCCGCAAACGGTATCGTCCACGGTTCTCCTCCCGTGCCAACTGCAGCATCTCTCCAGACCCCCCCAGACTTTGTCACCCCGCGAGTCGCCACCTCGTTTATCCTTCATTCTACATGACTCGAGTAAAACTGACTACAGTACTGCGCCAGCTCTGTGAAGCTGAATCATCGTTCGCTGACCCCGAGGACGGGTCACAGTCCTTCACACCGTCACACGGCCGTCATTTCCTCGAACGGATGGGGGGCAACGATGCTTGCTGCGGACCGGACCACGGAAACCGGAGGCTGGGTCGCCCACATTGAAGATCCGAATTCCTGGAATCGAGCACTGTTTTGTTCCTGGAGGACGAACGGGTGTGCTGCAATGGGCCTTGGGGCTGCCTCGGGTGGCCACACCAGTGACTGACCAGTACCCGCTTTCGGCAACCCTGGGGGCCTCTTCAGCGGCCGGCTGTTCCAGGTTGGTTGAGTGCCACTGGCCACCCCAAACCAGAAAACGGGGTGGTGGTCAGACCAAACCACACTCACTTACAGTAGCTCACAGTGGCGAGATTGGAGATGAGGCGGGCGCCTGCACAGGATCGAGATCAAAACTTGGAATTATTTGGCCTGAAAAGAAGCAAGCCATCCCGCATCCCTGCAGTTGCGAATTCCTGGTCAAGCGACGACGGATCGTCTGTACGAGTGCGCCACCACCCTCGGATCCCCAGCCTTGAGCACACAGTCACGGTAGAGTAGGACACGAGCGCGAACCCCATTGGATGCTGTCCGAATTGGCAATTTTGACATCGTCGATGTTATCTGATTTTGAGATAACGTGACTTAGAAATCTCCACCGGCGTCCATATCTAGCCCGAAGTCGCCATCTTTCTCATCCCAATTTATCGAACCTGGAAGATTCCCCAGAGTCGAGACGATCAGAGTTAAGGTTCGGGTACATCCGCTGTCAGCCTATCAGTCTCCATGGGGCCCCCCTCGAATATCGCCACGAGACCATCTTGCCAAGAGACTGTGTTTGCCAGATCAACAAATCTCCGAGAACCAAACTTGCCTGCCCACGCGACGATAAGTCCACGACATCTGTTTGCGGCAGTTGGTAAACGGCCATTGGGGACGCTCCAGACGAGCAAACAATCTCAAAAGCCTGTTCCGGTTTGTTATCGGCGTTGGTTCATCAGCCGGATTCAGAACGTGCAACCCTAGATCGCACACAGATCACAGGCATCCTCAAACACCCAACCAAGAATCCTACGCCCTCTCTGGCACTCCGCCAGCAGCACAGCTCCGAGGCATCGTGATCTGAAATCAACTCTATCTGGCAAAACCGGCACGAGATCCTCCGAACGACCAAGCCAGCAACTCCATGCAACCCAATTGCAACCTCACCCCCTCCCCCGGAAAAGCTCTCCGCAGCCTGCAAATACCCATCCACCTGGGCCAGCTCGAGGCTTTCACTGGGATAATTAAGCCGCAGCCGTTACACGACAGCAATCATTGGGGTCGGAAACCGGGCTGCTGGCGAGCCTGTGGTTCACACCATCCAGCACCCTGCGGACGATGCCACGGGACGGCAGAAACGCAATCTCATTCAGGATCACTTTGGACCCCCCACATGGCTCGGCAGGCCATTTGGGTCTCGGCCCTTTCTTTCTGTCTCGCTTTTCGGCCCTTTCAGAATTAATCTCACGATCTCAGTACAGTACTGTCGCACATCTTTTTCCAACATTGTCGTCTTCGGCACGAGTTCCCCTTACCGGGTCTTGGCTCCTGACAGCAAATCGCATTCCTACTGAATGTCATCGAATCGAGGCTTTCCATGCAAGTGCAGGAGGTTTGCTCTCCAATTGACATGCGTCACTTGATGCGAGTTGTCATACATGGAGATCGACGATGAGGCTTGTACGACGTCGCTTGCTTCCGTATATTTAAAGTTAGAACTTAGACCCCAGAAACAGGGCGGTGTGGCACATGGCTCGTTTGAGTCTGATCCAGATCTCGATGTTGCTGTGATGTTGGCCAATTGCTCGGTTAAGACTGGAGAGTGATTGTGAGGCTGGTGATCGACGTCTCCTCTTTAACACCCGAGGCCTGCCCTGGTTTTCTTGTTTGCTTTCCCCTTCCAATTTCGGCACGCTGTTGAGTGGCTGCAGTTTCCATTCGATTTATCCATGGACTTCCCTGGCCCTCGGAGGATTTCCATGGTCACAAGTCACACAACTGACTGGCCTCGAAACCGCACTTTGAGCGAAACCAAACATGCAAATGCAGTCTTCAAAGAAAAAGCAAGCAGTCTCGGTGCTACAGGGGATGCAGACGCCTCCAGAAAACCCGATTGGCAATGCAACGAAGGCAATTTGCCTTGAATAACCGCACCTCTAGACCATTCTCTAGACCAATCTCTACCACCGCAGATTTTAGACATCGTTGCACCGCATCGGAGAGCGTTGTCTCAACTCCGAATTTTGAAATAGCTTTCGTATGAAAGCCCAACGATTGTGCCAGTGCCCAATGGATCATCCTTTTTTTAATAGGTGGCTTCCCGCGGGCGGGCATGATTCCAAACTCTCCGGATCTTGGTTTTCGTTCTGCAATGGAAACAAAACTTGGTTCCAGCTCCACGAGAGATGGCTTGGTCCTCCGATGTCGCTGTCATCGATCCCTCGAGAGCAGTACTGCGAGGCGGAATCTAGTCGCGCCTCGAGATCGAATTCTGGATTCATTCCGAGCTTTGGGTGCTTTCAGAGACGGAAGAGAAAATTGTTTCTTTTGTCTACTTTTTTCTCGTCTCGGCCAAGCGATTCTCGATTTTGCTGCCTTTGGAGGTGGGGTACGAGGACTTACCTCTCCACTCTGAAGGAAAGATGGAGAAGGTTCTCCCAGCGTCAGTAAATCCAGGGTCAAGACCAGTACGGATTCATGCTCATTGATCACCAAAAAACAAGCACAGTTTGGATGGCCAATGTGTTCTAGTGAACAGTGTGGGGTTTACTCTCAGATCCACTGATTGCCACCTGACAATGAAAGTAACACAGACAGACCGCATTTCACATCCTGCATCTTTTCCCAATTCAGGGAGCTCTCATTGAAAGCATTGAAGCTGAAGTTCCTCAGATCAGAGTCATGCCTGTGCCTCTCCATGATATCCATCCACACCTTAGACATACTATCACAACATAGACCCTCTCAGACGCATCCCCTCAACCTGCTCTCCAGAAACAAACCCCCGTCAAATCAAACTCCTTCAGCCATCGTCCGCCTTCCTCTCTCCGTATCCACGCACTATCCTCTACCCTCCGCAATCACCAAGGGAACGATTATCCGCTTGTCCCTCCTCATGCCAACAACTAAGTAATCCCTCTGATTCATCAACGAGAAGACGCCTCGCAACCCTGCCTAATCCATCACGAGAATCTCTTGCGGCGCCCCGGGGGCTGCTCTACTACCAGGAAACACGTCGACATCGCGCCAATGCACGGCTGCGCTTTGCAGTCGGTAGGCATAGTCGATCAGGCGAGCGTGTCGCATGTCGATGGGAGGTCCTGGGTCGTGGGAGACAGGTGTTGCAGTTCGACGGGCGGAGCCAGTGTGAGGGCGTGGGCGTGGGCGTGGGCGAGCCGGGGTTGGGGTTGGGGTTTAAGCCGACACCGGGCTGATGGATGAAGTGGACAAGGACGACTGGCATGGTTCTGGCTGTTTGGCTAGTGCTAGTATTCGTGTGTTGCGGGTGTATGTGATCAGGGATCGAATGTGAGAGATTGAGAAGAGTGCAGTGATGGGGAACCACAGATCGGGAAGAGGGACCCGAGGGAGGACATTACATATACATGGAGATTCATCGTTTGAGCTTCAACACGGGTTTAAAAACTAGTATGAAGGGATCGAGACAATGGCCGTGCTATATAGTACAAGTACACTGAAAATTCTTCGCTGCCTTTCATTCGGTTTCTGCAGGAAAGGGAGGGAGAGCTAGTCGCCTTTCTTGATCGAGCTATTCTTACTTACACTCCACTTGCCCCGTCATCCTCACCTATCCCCTCACTCCCCTTACTCACCCCACCTGCCCCTCTGCAAAGCCAGACTCAGCATCTTTCCCGCTTTCTCAGAGTTATTGCCTTCCAGAAACCTTGCGATACAGTATATCTCCGACATGCGATATAGTTAGTATCCGTTTCCTTGATTACTAGTCTGTATTCCCGGGTTTTCCACGTTCAAATCCAAGGCCTTGGATTGATACCGATGCAAATCGATGTCGCTGTGCACCCGCTGTGAGCAATCTTTGGTTAGTACGATATGATATGATGCGATGTCTTGAGTATATATTTATGGATAGATATACTACTATACTAAATCCGACACGAGCGGGGCGCGAGGGAAAGGAGTGTAGAGGGCAGAGTAGAGTAGTTTGGGACTTGATGGCATAATGCCTTTCTCGCGATTACTTATCTAATTCTTTTTTCTTGGTTTTGTTTGATTTATGTATGTATGTATGTCTCCTGATATTAAACTAGTTATACCGGAGTACCGCTTATATTACGCGAATCAAATTGAATTTTATGGTATTATATAAGGCATATAAAGTATATGAAAACATAGGAAAGTATATAGGAAAGTATATAAAAGTATGTAAAAGTATGTAAAAGTATGTAAAAGTATGTAAAAGTATGTAAAAGTATGTAAAAGTATGTAAAAGTATGTAAAAGTATGTAAAAGTATGTAAAAGTATGTAAAAGTATGTAAAAGTATGTAAAAGTATGTAAAAGTATATGAAAGTATATCAAATTATGTGACGGCTGGCGTAAGGGCATGATCTGCCAAGGACAGGATATCGGAAACAGGCACAAAACGAAGCTAAGCCAGAATTGCTTGGACGGAACAATACTAAATGTCGAGGCATCCTCCCTACTTTGTTCCATAGCTTAGTATTTTCCAATACATGAGATTCTTTGAACTTTGAGCCTTCGACCATTGCATTGATCCCGCCGTCACAAATTATATCATATCCCCCCATCCGCCAACCTTGCTCGCTATATATCCATCTCTCACGAAGCTAATCCCCATAAACGCGCAGTTACATTATAACGGACCCTCTCTTCCCTCTCTATATACTAGATGAATATTTATATTTATATATATATATTATACTAGTAACCTAGCTTGCCCCGGTTAGTTCATTGGTAGGTTGGCCGGTTGGTGGGGTGGCTAATATCCTTTGGGCGGTGGAGGGAGCGTGGATGCAGATCGGTTGACGGAATGGGATGGCACGCCGCTGCAAAGCAAGTGTTGAGCGGGGTGCTGCAGGTGATGTAGTAGAGGGGATGGAGGGGTTTATCTGGATATTGGTAACTATGAGGGGGAGGGTAGAGGGTACAGAGACAATGGCATAAAGTACAGTATTGAGAATACAAGACATTTTGACACTTGGGGTTCTACAGGGTACGAATTTAGGGCAAGAGTTCGCTATAAGCCCCTATAACTCCAGACCGTACTCCCTAAATCGACGTACAGAGGCGCTATAAGAGGTTTCACAGGGGATAAGTAGATTCTTCTTGGGTTATAGCGTTATTAAAGGAGTAACTAGGGCGTTGACGTTCAACGAGTAGGTATTATAGGCCTCCTTAGTGATAACTCCTTTGTAAGTACAGAGGCGAAGCCCTGGAAAGGTGGAATAGCCCTTGTCGAAGGCGTAAATGCTGCTTTTAGGGGAACGGCCTGGAATATAGGGTCTTGTAGCGAGTTTGCTATCTTGATCTGTACGCTAGAGGGTTTAAAAGTCCCCCAATGCTCTGTATTCCCGATACTTTGTGCCGCGATCTCCGTGGTGAGTGGATAATTGGGCTGAGGCCATCGAGATGGCGTGGTGAGGATAGACTTCTTGACCTGCTTTAGCAGGCGGCGCAAGGCGAGGAGAGGGTATCGTGTCCAGCTAGGTACGAAGATTGCGGCATAAAGTGACGGGATTACAGGGCATTTACACTCGCATAGGGGTGTTAGCGGACTCCAGGGTGTGGCTTAAGGTACTGCGCCTGCTATAAGCCTTGTAACTCTAGGCCTGAACCCCTAAAACAAGGGCTGTGAGACATTTCCAAGGTGGTGGAAAATCTTCAAGGGTTATGGTGTTGCTGGCGGAGCAACCGTAGCGCTGGGGCGCTGTGAGAGAGCTATTATAGGACCCTTTAGCGAGTCTGCCCCTGTAAGTACAGGGGATATGCCTTCTAAAGGTGTGGTACCCCTTGTTTATAGTTTATAGCGTGCTTATAGGAGAGTAGCCTGGAAATATAGGGGACTTTAGTGGGTGAGTGTAGTAGAAAGTGGCCTGAAAGTGGACTTGCGGTACAAATGCCCTGTAATCCCGTCACTTTATGCCGCAATCTTCGTAAGCGTGGGCGGGGTGCAAGGGAGAGAGGGAGCGAAGCGACGGAGCAACGCTTGGGTTCAGATGTGTGGCTATCGAATGAGATGTGCTCTTTGGTGTGTGGTATTGGATCGATGACCTCAGGGTAGACAAATACGGTACAGTACTTGTGTAGTCCAGAGTGAAATAAAATAAAATACTTGCTATTCCCTACTCGAGCCCTTCGAACTGGAGAGCTGACTTTGAGTGTGGGGGAAGAGAGGAGATAGATCGGCCTTGTTGATCTATGCTGCTAGAACATACTAACACTCCGGAACCTTAGGGAAGGGTAATGAACACAACTGTTCACATTCCCTGGGCAGACCGTCTTGTTTGAACTTTCCAATTTTAGGGGCAACTCCTCACGTGATTCTTTGTTGATTTCAATACAAGGTCTAGAAGCCAGACGAGGGTCACTATTCTACACATCCATTTCTCAAGATCTCCTCTATTTAACTGTTGAAGAACCGCCGTCAGGTCCTGCAATCCATCGCTCTTATCGACACAATGCGAAGACGTCAACCCTCACGAAAAGGAGAAAAATCCGGCTAATAGGGCCTCATCCTGCGCCTTCTCTTCTCTCACTCTCACCTCTTCCCCTTCCCCTCACAACTTTGCCCTCCCACTCTCAATACCACCCCAAGCGACCTCATCCAGAGGCCTGTAAGTTTGCCCATCAAGCCAGTACAACTTATCCGTCCCTGCTTCGGCTTGCTTCCAAGATTTCTTGATCAAGTCGTTCTTGGACTTTTTGAAGGTTGCGTTGGCTTCGATTCTAGTTTGCTGTTGTCAGCCTTTGTTTATTTTGAAGGGTGAGGGTTGTGGTCTCAAGCTCGCAGGGGAAAGGGGTAGGAGAGCGAGAGAAAAGGCGTGGGAAAGAGAAATGGGGCCGACATACTCTTTCGTAACTCGAATAAGACGGGGCATGGCATAGCCTGGGAGACCGGTCTTCTTGAGGCTCACGTAGAGGTCTTTCATGAACAGGCCTTCTGGGGCATCGATTGTTAGGGCTGCGGCTCCTGCTTGGCCGTCGTAGCTATTCGTGTCAGCAACTACTTTTCAGATCTGTTCAAGAGGAGGAATTACCTAGCAAGTTTCACCCCATAAACAACCGCATCCTGCACCCCCACCAACTTGGCAATATGATCTCTCACCTCGCCCGCGCTAACATTCTCGCCCTTCCATCTGAAAGTATCACCCATCCGATCGTGAAACCTCACCCACCCACTCGGCTCCATCACCACCAGATCCCCCATCTTCTGCCACATGTCCCCTTTCGTGAAAACATCAGACAGGAGCTTCTCGTTCGTCGCTTTCGCGTTATTCAGATACTCCGTCAACAGCGCTCTACTCTTTACTCTCCCAATAGCCTCTCCTGGCTCGCCCAGTCCAACCTTTTCACAGAATCCAGTAGTAGGATGACGCCAAGGTTCTCCAGTCGACTCGTCAACTTTAATGATAAAGGTATCAGTCTCCATATACCGCCTTATCGGCCCTGCAAAGCCTACCTTCCCCGCTCCCCACGCACCAGAACCCATATTATCAAACTTTGCAAGGCCTTCCGTGGAGCGGTAAAACTCTCGAATCTCAGGGATATTGAACCGTTCTTTGAATTTCTCCCATATCTCGCCGCGGAGACCGTTCCCGGCTGCAACGATACAGTTATGTGCTTTATCATAAGGGCCCGGAGGACTGGTGACGAGATACCGACATAGTTCGCCGACGTAGAGGATACGTGTGGCTTTGCATTCCGTTACGTCTTTGAAGAATCTTGATGAGGAGAATTTCCTTGCGAGGCACAAAGTCCCAGAGGCTCCGAGGGAGGCGCAGATTCCGGTGAAGAATGCTGTGCCGTGGAAGAGAGGGAGGGGTGAGTACGTCCGGAGAGGGAAGTACTTCTTTGGGTTTGACATGTCCCGCGAGGTGGGCGTGGCAGTTACGCACATTTGGTGGTTGCGTATTGCGCAGGCTTTGGGCTTGCCTGTTGTTCCGGAGGTGAAGATTAGAGCGGAGAGGTCACGGGGTGTTGCTTTTGCCGGGAGTGAGATGGTCGCTGGCGTGGGAAGGTCGTTAGAGGTGAGGTAGGTGATGGACGTATTTGGTAGGGGGGAAATGCCATCAAAGTTTCCTAGGTTGAGAGTGAAGTGTCGTCTGTCTCCCACGACGAAACTGGCAAGGTCGGGGGTGGAGATGATGGTGTTGGCTGTTGAGACCTCGAGACAGTATTTCAGTGTGTCGTCTATTCGAAAATCAGTTTGAGATGCTGTTGAAAACGATCCAGGACACACCTCTCAGGTTGATATTGATCAATCCAGCAACAGCACTCAGCTTCGATAAAGCCAAGACGGTGATATACATCTCTGGCGAATTCGTCGTAAACACCGCAACACTCTCTCCTTTCTTGATCCCTTCGGCTTCCAAGAAAGCAGCAAGTCGATCGACATCTAAAAGTCATTAATATCCCATATTCTACGGAAAATCGGATGAAGGCTCACCTTTCTTCAACTCCCCATAGCTCCAAGTCTTTCCCTCAAACCAAAGCGCCTCAACCTCCGGACTTACCCTCACAAACATATGATAAATCGTCACCGTATCCCCCAACGCCTCAATCAAAGCCCCCAATCGCTTCCCCCAAGCACGATCATGTTGCAAATTCCTTACATCGATGCCAACCGACCACTTCGCATTCAGGTACGCCCCGGCCGCCAACGCGGCACTAGTTCCTACAACGGCCGTAACGGGATCCATGTCTCTCTCTATGTCAACAACCCGAATGCGTCAAATCACGAGTCAACTTTCAACTCAGCCAACAACGTATGATCAATCAGCAGAAAAGAGGGGAGGGGAAGCCGAGGACCAGATATTTCTCAGCGCTCGGCAATCTCGTAAGCGGGCCTCGGGCGGCGGTTATGATTTTGAGTTACTTTGCAATTTCAAAAGTGAGTTATTGACTGCCGTGTATTTTAACCGCGAAAGATGCAGGCTGCTGGTTGGTGAGGTGGGACGGGCAGGGGAGGCGAGGCCCCACATGTGGGCGAAACACCGGGATCAAGTGGGGGTGTGGGGATGAGGATTTATGCGGCGACGACGTCTGTCTTTCTTCTGTATAATATTTTTGTTGTTTTCGTCCATTCGTCTTTTTGATTGAAAAATTGAGGTTCTTTTGTGGATTTTGTAGTAATAGCAAATATGGCAGCTACGCAACGACTCTCTTCCGTGCTTGCACACCTCAATCCCCTCTCAGAATCAACCGGACGGGCAAAGCTCCTCCAGAAGAATCCAGATGATATCGTGCGTCCCCTTTCTCTCCTAAGGTAGATAACTCCAGCTAAAGGAACCAGGTAATCACCTACGCAGCACGAACATCTCTCACAAAAGCCAAAAAGGGTGCTCTTAAAGACACGCCCATTGACGACCTGCTCATCGCCCTGCTAACCGTACGTTTCCTCCCCCTTCCTTTCTCTCAAACTAACACCCCCAGATCGTCCGCGAGCAATCCAACCTCGATCCCTCCCTCGTCGAAGATGTTTGTCTCGGCAACGTCCTCGCCCCTGGCCAAGGCTACATGGCACGCTCTTCCGTCCTCGCAGCTGGCTATCCCGTAACTACCGCCGCCAGTGTAGCAAACCGCTTTTGTTCCTCCGGTCTCCTCGCCGTCCAACAAATCGCCAACCAGATCCTCGCCGGTTCCATCGAAGTCGGGATCGCCATCGGCGCAGAATCCATGTCCACATGCCCCGACGACGGAGCCCCAGTCCTCAGTAAAAAGATAACCGAGCATGCTCTCGCAGGCCAGAATCTCCAGCCTATGGGGCAAACGAGCGAGAATGTTGCCGCACAGTTTGGGATTACCAGGGAGATGCAGGATGCGTTTGCGGCGAGGAGTTTCCAGCGTGCGGAACGGGCGCAGAAGGAGGGGTGGAGTAAGGATGAGGTTGTGCCGATTAAGGTGACGGTTAAGGACCCGAAGACGGGGGAGCCGAAGGAGGTCCTGGCGGATAGGGATGATGGTGTTAGGTATGGTACGACGAAAGAGAGTCTGGGTAAGATCCGAGCTGCGTTCCCGCAGTGGAAACCTAGTGCCACGACGGGCGGCAACGCGAGTCAGATCACGGACGGTGCAGCTGCTGTTCTGTTGATGAAGAGAAGTAAGGCGGAGGAATTGGGACAGAAGATTTTGGGGAAGTTCGTAGCGGCCACGATTGTTGGGCTGGAGCCGAGGATCATGGGTATTGGGCCTAGTTATGCGATTCCCAAGATTCTTGGGAAAACGGGATTGAAGGTGGAGGATGTGGATGTCTTTGAGATTAATGAGGCGTTTGCTAGTATGGGGGTTTATTGTGTGGAGAAGCTGGGGCTGGATCCTGAGAAGGTTAACCCGAGGGGCGGTGCGATGTAAGTGCCCCTTCAGGAATGTTGTTGTGCAGGGCTGACTTTCTTGCAGTGCTCTGGGACACCCGTTGGGCTGCACGGGGGCTCGCCAAGTTGTTACTGCTCTCTCGGAGCTGCGGAGACAGAATAAGAGGATAGCAGTGACGTCGATGTGTGTGGGAACAGGAATGGGTATGGCAGGTGTCTTCGTCTCGGAACACTGAAGGTGTTAGGGGAGAAGTTGATGCGTTGGATAGATCGACGCTGAGGGGGTGTACAGTATGTATTCCACAAAGAGTTATTATCCACGAGATCTCGTTCTGCACAACGCCCCAGCCAGCTGCGGGATGTTTTCAACTGCTTCCCGCAAAAGTCGTTGTCTTTTCCATTCTGAAGTAACAAGGAATACATGCTCTCGGCAATAGTTAATTATCCGTTCTTTGATCCCTTCAATCTCAATATCCCTCGGGTTAAGAGGTACCTACCTTGCGTAAGTTCAAGAGAGTGTGTCACGTGGTTTTATTCTTCGCTCAGCATCCTCCTCGAACGTTTTCTGGTTGCACTTCTTATTAAGAGGTATTAGAATTCAAAAGACACTTCTTTGTTGGAACCTTCTCCGGCAAGGAAAGTTCCTGCTTTGATGACAACATCTCAGCACCAAGGTCAGATCTGCCTCTCACAAGCAAAACTACAAATAAGACACTGCACAATATATACTTGATCACAAGGCATGGTTGCCTGCCATGCTGCCTGCCATTATGGAGGTATAAGCAATGCCCCCTTGAATATCTATTTCTCGACGAAGAGAGAAGCACATAGGCCAATGGCACTTGCCTCGTAACAAAGATGATTGTTCCTTGACTTGAGGCAGTTCTTCATTTTCTCACGAAGTGACAACAAGATTAGAGATGGCAGCAACTCTAAATCTGAGAGCAAATATAGAGTCTCTATAAGATTCTTGAGCCCTTGGACGGACTTATCTGCAAGTTGAAACATGAAATTCGTGGGCTTGGCTTTGTTTCACATTGGCATCTCGGAAAATAAAACACTACTACTTTCATAAAGCAATATGCGATGAGCTTTTTGTGGTGAGAGAACGCAGTGCTTTTGATTGTTTAATGTTAGTGGAAGGGAGATGTTATATACATGGGCGGAAACGAATCTAGGTATTCACTTAGTCTCGTCGCGACTCAGGACCGTGGAAGGAGTCATTCTATGCATGGGCAGACAATGAATCCAATTAGGCAGTGACTTAGAATTTTCACCACCTGGGATAGTGCAAGGCAATTCACTAACACAATTACCATTTTCAAAGACAATACTCTTCCTAGATATGAAGAGTGGTATACATTTTCCAACCTGTATACTATGTGAACAAAACTGAGTTCTTCTCTGGCGATACTCATTCTCGAAATTTTTAACCTTAATGAGAACGGCGTTCCAGGCAAAGGTTCCAGGTTACTAAGTAGACCCGCCGCTTTCCATTATCTGAAAGCAGTCTCTGGTCCTTTAAAGCTTCAGTGAAGTCTAAAATAACAGCAGTGTCTAGTTTGACAACAAATACAAAGTTCAATCTCTATTAGACCTACGAAGGTCGCGGTCAAAAGTCTGGAGACTACAGCGTCCAAGGGCTATACTTCCCTGTAATCTTTCCTGTCGCACGCTAAAAGTCACTAAAATTATAGGCTTTTCAGCCTATAAGGTGCCCGGAAGCGTCCTTGTTGATTTGCGCACACACCACGTCACGTCTTAATACCGGTAGCGTAACACTCGCTAAAGGAGCCTATAAGTCCCTGGGGTTTTAGCGACTTGCTCCCTGTACTACATGGGGATGCCCTGTAATCTCCAGACTTTTTTGACCGCGGCCTTCGTACAGCTTTTTTTTTCTTATTTCTAATACGATAGAAGATAACCTTACAACACTTGCATACATGATTCTCCGCATTTCACAAATCTTCACCACCCAAATTTTCCAACCCCATCTACTTGGAATGTCTTTATCTTTTGTATCAAGTCAGTGAAAGGTGCTCCTTTTACACATGGGCGGAAACCGAATACATGGAAGGCATTGGCCTGGCATCATTGCGAGGCATGACGTTGCATGGACAGCCTGTAATCCCAGCCTAGGCTCGAGGTCAGACAATTCACTTCTGCCTCATTCTCCTTCCGTATTGCACAAGTTCAGTTGCACGATCATCAACTTCAAGGCCAATGCATTCTCAATAATTGAATAATGAAATACCCACTCCAACCTTTGCATTTTGACTTCGAGGATTGACCCATTGGCCCGAATACAACCTCACCTATAATTCAACATGCTTCTCAAGCTCAGTATACGGGCCACTTGGTAAACCATTCCTTTACAAACGCAATGTTTGACGAGTTCGCAACTGGTATGACCTCAAAAGCATCACCCAGCTCCATCGTCACAGCACTATCCGCAGTACTCGCAGGCCAAGCCACCAATCCGTCTCCATTCGGATCTCCATTCTTTATAAAATTCGCCCAGTAACTCGACATCGTATCCGCAATCACATAATCTTCCGCCGTCCACGGTGAATTTGTCCCGTACAAGTTGTTGAAAGCATAGTTGATCTCGCTCATGTGGTATGCTCCACGACTTTGCCCCGGAGGCGCATGGGTCCAGTAATATGTGTACGCTGTGAAATTGCCTGTATTGCTAGAGAAGTTTTGGGAGCCAGAAGTGTACTCGCTTGCCCAGAGCCAGGTGCCGGTCCGGCTTTGGTCGCGGTAGAAAGCATTGCTGGAGTTGTCTGCGCTGGTAGAGCTGTTGCCAGCAGGGTAGAGAGCGAGGAACTCGTCTGCAAGACCAACACTACCGAAATCTAATTGATTAATGGAAGTGTAGTTTGCTACACTGAGTCCGGGACTGGGACTTGCACCACTCTCGTCTTTGTTGTTTCCGGTGAGTACTGGGACGATAGAATGATTTCCCGAAGACAGGAGGGACTGGTATGTTGCCGGGAGGACATAGCCATCTAGAACTGGGCGAAACAGGGGAGGTTCCATGTAATTAGAATTGTTCTGAAAGACTGTGCCAACATAGGTCGTGTCACTTAGGCTCCCAGATGACAGGAAAGCCTCAACAGGCAGGTCTCGAGCTTCGTTTATGCTGCTGACGTTCAGCGTTGTGATGTAAGCCGCGCCTTGCGTTTCTGCTTCAGCTAGTTGGCGATAGCTTTGAGCGAGACTTCCAATAAGAGGATCAGAAGGGTAACGGACGCCGCTTTCTGCAATGACTTGAGTGAAGAGACCAGCTGCAAGCGGGCTATTGAGGTGTTCGATGACTGAAGCTGCGCCCGCGGACTGACCTCCAATGGTAATTCGGGTGGGATCGCCACCAAAGGCAGCACAGTTCTCAATTGTCCAGTGGAGAGATGCTTGCTGGTCAACGAGGCCATAATTACCAGATGTGCCGCTAGATGAGTTGGCACTCAACTCTGGGTGTGCAAGGAATCCAAGAGCTCCAAGACGATAGTTCATGCTGACAACAACAACTCCTTTGGCTGCAAGTCCAGCACCATCGTAGATAGAATCGCTGGAGGCACCACCTGCAAATCTTCCTCCATAGATCCAGACGTATACAGGATACTGGCTGTTGGTGGCATTTGGCAGCACCCCTGCGCCAACCGTGCTGGAGTAGACGTCGTTGAGTGTTGCATTTTCTGGCGTCCATACGTTGAGATAGAGACAGTCTTCACTGTAGTTGCCGACGCCTGGCTGTGGGCAGGGTAAACTGAACTGAGTGGCATCTCGAGTGTCATTCCATGGGACTGGATGTGGGGGATGTTTCCAGCGATATTGGCCCGTGGGTGCAGCAGCATAGGGAACGCCCTTGAAATTGTAGACCGAGTTTACATACTGTGAGCGATTGCCTTGGAGTGTTCCGTACCCATGAATAGAGACAGTGGGCTCATCAACGAAGGTGGTGGATGAGGGAGTAGGAGTTGAGGTCGAAGTTGATTGAGCAGCACAGACGATGGTGTAACAAAGGGAGGCGAGAAGGCTTGCGCCTGACGCAAGTGAGACTTTCATCTTGTGAACCTTGAGTAGTAAATATGAGAATGAGGGGGCACCTACACTTCCACAAGATACATTGTTCTTGGGCAATATATACAATTGCGAACACTTCGGTCCCGAGAGCAAAATTATCTTCATTGTTGCCCCGCAGAAACTGTCTATCACCCGGAGGCGATGACGACTGTCTCTTTTAAAAACTCCAAAGGTGGAGACCGTGGAGACCGTGGAGACCGCGGAGCCGGCTTGTGGTGGACGGTGGAAACTAGGTACAGTTTCCCCAGCTTATTGAAGGTGGCATCTATACTTCTGCCAAGATCTTGCTGCGGATCCAGGGGAACCCTTGCAAGGGCCGCGTCACACTCTCTGCAAACCGATTTCTGCACTCAGGGTACCTTCCATGCTGCATGTTTCAAGAACGCTGATCTTCTTGACATTTTCTTGAGTGTATAAAAAGAAACATACCATTCAACGGAGCCCACCAACCCCTATTCAGTCCCCGGCCATTTTCGCTTAGCAAAGACACACTTAGACCACTTCAAGAATACTTCGACAAATTCTTATCAATTAACTTTCTTTCTATGAATTGAGCTCTCACAGGCATTTTGGTTCCAATGCCATGTCTCATCTGAATTCAAGTGTGGCCATTCATTGCCAGATTCTAAGTGTTCAGAGTGTGAAAATGGGCAATAAGCGATGTTGAAGCGAGGAGCTCGGAACCTGGACGTTAGCGTCAGCGTCCCCTCCTTGTACCTATTGCCCGATATCAATCGGGGGCTAGCACACAGATCTCACGTCTTCCCCCTTAAATGTGAAGAGTCGTTGCTCACGTGACGTAAAATATATATAATATGCTGGGTTTAATACTCCGCCGAGGGTGGACAAGTTGTCGGCTAGCAGGCTTCTAGGATTCTCGGCCTGACTTTGAGAATTTCGGACCTTCCTTGAAGCTTCTCGCCCTGGATTTGATATCACCATGTGTCCCGTCAGAAGTGGAGAGAAGTGGAGAATCACGGGCTATAGTCGATTCAAAATGGACATGTGACCTGTGACAGCATTTACGGAATTGACAGCCGTGGAAAAATGATAGTAATAGCAGTGCGATTCGAAGTGAATTCTTCTAATCAGAATCCTACTTCCTTTAAATACCGTATTCACATCCAAAAACAGCAAAAAAATATCCTAAAAATGCCCGTGCTTGCAGAAGAACTATGGACCCCTACTCATCTCGCAAACTTACTGCCGCTCATGGTGTCGATAAATAAGCCGACGGAGAGAGTCAAAGGAAACGCAGCTGCCTTCAGAAGAGAAATCCCTCTGAAATCTGCCGAAATGGGCTAGAGCTACCATACCTACAAAATTGGCAAGGTCATGGAATTCAACAACGGTAGATGTTTGTAGAGAATCTAATAGCAAAAGTGAGTTGAAGAGACTCAATACAGGACATCGAGAAAGTGACATCTGCATAGATTTAATCCTACCTCTTTCTTTAAGTCACTTTTTAGCACAGTGGCAAAAATTCTCGGAATATTAAAACAGACTTCCTTGTCCACGTCACATAACCTATCTCTCTGTAGTCGTCGTCGTCGTCGTCGTCATCGCCAATGATAACTTGCCATCACAAGCTGTCCAGCTAGCGATCCCATCAAAACTTCCTCCTACAACCCACAATCAACAGAAGGAAGCAAATTCAGCTTTTAGTCTTCTCCTAGTTAAGAAATACCTCTCTCTCGTTTTCAAAGCAAGGGGGTTAAGACTCAATGTCCTGGAAGCAGATAGAACATTCAGACGCCTTTTCCTGGCAGCTTGCGAGTTTGCGGCAAGGGAAGAGAAATGACAGCCACACAATATCGGACGACAAACCGATCTCTGATAACAAGAACATGTCACATCCTCCTATTTAGTGTACTAATAACCGCCGGATCATTGAACCACAAATCTGTATTTCAGAAAGGCAGAAATTATTCCCGCACCGACTTTCACTTGACTAATATCCCGATCTTGGATATTATATAATTTTGGTTGGGGACAGCGAGTACCTGGTGATAGCAGCCAGCGAAGGTCGTTAGAAGAGCAACTTCACCCATAATTTAACCATTTGACACATTTTAGGAAGGCCGAGATATATTGTAACACGTCAAAGATTTGACAGATAGGAAAGGTCAAGGGATATTCATAAAGATCATCGCATTTGCTGCCTGTAAAGAATCTATGTACCTGCCCCTCATAAACCATTTCCGTTTGTTATGAAGGTGCCGCCCATTCCTGCTTAAGGCAGGTAAAGCTGCTTCATGCATCGTTTATTCGTAATTTCGCATCCATTGTCCTACTAACGCCGTGCGCAATGCAATGGGTTGTAAAATACCGCATTATTCATTAACTTGAGAGAGAGAAAGAGGCAAAGGAAGGGTCAACATCCCCAAAGCAGAGAAGAAAATCAATAAGCGAAGCCTCTGGCAGAGTCCAAATCAGCCCAGATTTGTCCCTCCTCAAGACCACCCATCTCAACCTCGCCTCCCTCACCAGCAACCTCGGTGGAGGAAACCTGCTCTGCAGCAACTTCGTTGGAAGAAGCGACAGGACCAAGTCCCTTGGCAAGGGTATTAGCATGGCCATCATTGAGATCGAGAGGGGTCATGTCGCCAGAGTATTGGAGACGAGGATGATGGCCATTGGATTTGATAGAAGTGTTGGTTAATGTACCGATACCATCAGAGGAAGAGTAGTCATGGGTGAGACCTGGGGCGAATTCGGAAGTTCCTTGAGCATGAGCAGACATGCCAGAGCCATGTTGGGGGCCAGAGCCGGAGTAGTGGGAGTTGATGGGTGGGACGTAAGACTCACGGGTCGAGCGGCTGCGGGAGGAGCTGCCCTGACCATGATGATCTCCTGAACCTCGAGGAGACTCCACACTAACGTTCTGGAAGGCTGCAATAGCAGCAGCGCCACGAAGACCTCCAAGAAAGGCTTGTTGGCGTGCTTCAGGGTTGGCCCATTGGAATTTGCCTGCGGAACGGACATTGGCCGGGAGAACATTGAACGAGTCAAGCTTTGTCTGGACGGTTTTGTCGCTTGCCGTGGTGGGGGCGTCTCCTTGATCTGCTTCATCGATGACATACTTATCAGACAAAGTATTTTGCTGCTGGCTACGCCATTTTCGCGCAGGGAGCTTCAGATTCCGACCACCACGAGCATCGCCAAGGGGCCCACCTTGGTTCTGTTTCTCAATTTCCTCTGTCTGTTTGTTAGCTATCTTCATTGTTAAATGTGGGGAGAGACATACCAGCAAGCTCCCGCTCAGCATCAACACTCGCAAGCAGAGCCAAACCCAACCTAGCGCGGCGTTTGTTCTCAACGGCCTTGCGTCTCCACTGGTTCCACTCCGAGATACTGCCATCGAAATCAAGAGAACTAGGCACCCCAATGTAGTTCTTCCCGGTCTCAGCATTTTGGCCCAAACTTCTCTGCCAAGCAAGCCTCAAAGCCCTGGTAACCCGACCACCATATTGTCTCTCAGCCAAGCCCCCTTTGCCAACAATAGCCTTATGCTTGAGAACGAGGTGATTGAGCATACGCGTAACTTCCTTCTTGTGGATATCGTGCTCATAGTCGGTACCATGGAGGGCGTCGTTGAGGGTGGTTGCGAAGGTCAGATAGGCATTTCTCTTTGCTGTGTTGGGATCTTCCGATCTCTTGACCTTGCCATGACCTTCGAGGTGAACACCTTTTGTGATGAGGCAGAGCATGGTGTGCATCTGTGATGTCTTTGTCAGTAATAATCTGTAAAGGAGAGTGGATAGACTTGCCTCGAAGTCGGTCCACTCATGGTCCATGTAGTTGCGGATGGGAGGCATGGTGGCTTTTCTTGTTCGGCAGTCTTGTCTGATAGATCGAGGGGCATCGATGAGGTGTCGGTGACAATGTTGCTTGTGAAAAGGAATCAAGACGCGCCGATGACCGGGGATGGATGACGGATGGGGGAGATCGATGCAGGCTGTCACACGGTGGATTGAGAGAGTATCTTTAACGCGAGATCGAGGGTTGTAAAAGCGAGGAAGGATTCGGAAGGCGAGGAGAAGGTTGCGGTATAAATAGAGCCGCCTCGAGGGTGACGTCGAGGCTGGCTTTGTTGGCGCGTGAGTGGCAACGAGGTCGTTAACCAAAACAAAGCGTCTCCGTTGCGCAAAATTGATACGAATGGTATTCTGAACACTTCGAAATGACTAGAAATTGAGATGGTGATTAAAGATGAACCCTTTGTATTCCTTCGGATAGTGGCGTTGAGGTTGTGCAACTGTGAAGAGCGATGTTGGCTCCAGCTGGAAGGGCAACAGGACTGGAAATTACGGAAGCGATGTTGGTGCCTTCCTCGTTGACCGAAATTCACTAATTCATAAATTTGAGACCAGATATCAGATGAAAGCAATTGCCGTTTTGGGACTGAGAACTCAGCTCAGACGCACTTGCTACCCCTGGTTGAGAAACACTGCCAGGTCACGTTTCTGATGGAGGTCCTAGTCGCTTCAAAGTTTCAAGACAATCACTTTAAAGCCCACAACACGTTCGAAGTAAAGACAAGGTGAAATTCTTCAATGATTCATAATCATTCGACATGGTTTGCAATGCAGTCCACTCACCGGACTATCCCCACAGACGCCAGACAAATCGAGATCTCCCTCCTGATTATCTCATGCTCCCGGATCCTATCAGCCAGTGTAAATGCAAGATATCCAACGCCGCCAAGATGCATTCCAGTTCTTAACAGAGCAACAACCGCCTAGTATATACCTTGACTACGGTATTGAAATGTATCGTATCTGGCAATGTCAGCAATGGAACGAATGACAAGGAGTTGGACTTACAATCGTGTGTAGTAGCTCCCTAAAGACTTCCCTATCAAGTCCGTCTCGACATATTGCTCGGCCTCATCAGCGCTGAGCTGGAGTTGAAACCTTTGGCGCAGGCTGTTCGTGGCTTGTTGGACGCCATATTGAAAGCATGGCATCTTCGATTCGCGGCCCATAATGTGGACAAGATCGATTAAACTATCAGCTGACCGCCGCAACGCTAGGTCAGGTCAGCAAAGTGCAGCAATCATGGCTGGAGAAATTTACCCTGGAAAGCTTGCTTGCATAATTTCTTGTATTCCGCAAAATCCTGTGAGTTCACACCTCCCAGAACATCCACATAATCTTGAGTCAGCTTGAATGGAGCTGCTTCAAAGCCAACAGAGCCTGGAGAGTTTGAAAGCATGAATCCGAAGTCAATATGAATGATATGTCCTTCATTATCAATGAGTACATTTCCGTTGTGCCGATCTTTGAGTTGAAGAATGTACGAGATGATGCTGTAAGCTGCGAGAGATCTCTTGAACGCGTCGACGGCCGCTCTGTAGGCATCGCTTTCCGGAGCTCCAAAAGCCTTGACGAAATGGTCTTTCAAAGTAGCGATTCGTCTACGAGGGTTCTGTCCAGATTCGATGGTGGCCAGGGTCAAACTACGCTTAAGCGAATGCAGCGAAACACCATTCGTGATGGTTTCGATCAGGCCAGAGGACTCTCCAGTAACCAAAATCCGCATTCGCTTGATCCAAACTGGAGTCTGAGCCTCTTGCCAGATCTTGTCACAGACACGAATCAACTGGCAAGCAAATGCTTCTTGCCGGAGATCCGCTCCAGTCTTAACAATAACGCTCAAAACATCCCAATTCTTCATCCAGCCATAGGGTGATGACTTCCGTATTCGTTCCTTCTTCATGTTCCATGCTTCGCCAAAGGTAGCAGCACTAGGATCGTCTCGATCCCCTTTTCTCTGTACACCGCCAGTCTTCTGGTCGTTCTCCATTCGAGCTGCTCCAGCACCACTATTCAAGGCCGACTCAGATGCAGCCTCTTCCTCGATATCTTCAGGGCCGATATTCGCGGCCACTGCGTTAGCGTTTGCTATGATCGTATCGAACGTGGGTGCGGTGGCGGTATCATCCACGTCGAAGCTCTGCTCCTCCATGCTCTGCATGCTGGCAATAATCTTCGCTCGAATCGCAGCAACTTCCTGTTTGGGTCGCTTTCCACTTGTTGAATCGAGCTGAGCCAGCATTTGTGAAGCAGTCCGCATATGTGTCGCCAAAGCAGAAAAGTCAGGCTGATCCGCTGTACTTGATCTACCAATATTTGGGAATGTAGGTTTCCGCCCAGGACTGCTAGATCTTGACGTCGACGCCCCTGAAGTTCTTGGTGTAGCAAGACCAGAAAGAGTCGTTAAAGCTGCACCACCACTGGAAAGCCGCGGTGGATGCGAAGGTGGAGCGTTCTCCTTTTGTGGAGGAGTATCATCCATTGCCTTTACTAGGGGGGAGCTTCCAAGGTCTCCAGAAACAGGTTCAAAGACACTGTCTTGAGCAGCTTCTACGGACTTTGTGGTTCCATTCGAGTCATGTACTGATTCCGAGAGGTCAAAAATACGTCTTCGGCCGGAGCCTTGCTCTGATAAAAGTTTGGCTAGTAATGCCTCATTGTCGCTCGTCGTTGGATCAAAAGAAAAGTCCTCTCTTAACACCTCCACCATGAGCAGATATGGCACTTTTTCTGCACTGTTCAGAACAGTTGCTTCAGCTGGGTTCAGTCGAACAATACGATGATGTCGACTCTTCCCAGGGGCTCCATCCACCAGAGTTGCTGGGCAAATGACCGGAATATCAACCTCGGCTGGTAGGTCCTGCGCAATCAAAGCAAGTTCAGCACGTAAAGCACTGAGTCTTGCAGGCTTGGGGACAATCACTAAACGATTCGAGATATCCTCCAGGGCTGTAATAAACTGAGTCTCGCATCGGAAGTAATTCTGTCTCAATAATTTGACCTTTTGTGCATCAGTCAGGGCAGAGGGAGTTAGTGGTCTAACGGGATGGGTAGGCCTTCGATGTACTAATTCGGGGGGTCGTCTGGGAAGACCAGCAGTCGCAGGTGTAGCAGGTCTTGTAGCCGAAATTCTCGGGGAGCGAGCATCTGGTAAAGGCAGAGATGAAGAACTCAATCGCGGGTCGGCAGCCTCCAGGTCGAGGCGGGGAGGGCGTGGCCGAGCCTCCAGAGGTCGTCTCCGACTTGTCGCACCAGTCCCAGAAGATTGCGATCTTGTGAGAGACACTGCTCGCGCTGATTTTGGGCGCGAATCTGCTGGTCCCGCCCCATTTGCAGGAGCGCTTGTGATCCTTCCTGCATCCCTAGCTCTTCTTGTCCGTGTCGATCCAGGCGTGGTGGTATTACTCCGAACAACCTTCTGCTGCGTCTGGCTTGCATCTGATATGACATCCCCCTGTGGCTGAGGCTTCCGCGCCTGAGCTATAGCCAATGGTCCCGCCCATTTTGGGAGAAATGGCACTGCGACACTGGCCAGCACAAAGCTGGCAAGAACCGTGACAGGCAGCACATTCTCCTTTATCTTCTCATGCCTTGCAGGTTCCGCAAGCCCGAACACAATATGCTGAACCTTGTTGTAAATCCTCCTACATGTCTTGAATGCCTCCGATTGGGGGTTCGATGAGAGATCGTGGAGATATGTTTGGAAGAGCCAAAATGTCTGTTCCCCTATTGTCAGCATTTCGGCGCCTCACTCCGGACACTCGCGGAACCCACAAGCAACGCCGCGTTCACTGATTCCTCGCACAGGTCCAGTATGAATTCCTCCAATGCCATAGACTCATTGTTGACGCTGATGATGAGATGGCATAGCTGCGGCAGGAAGAATTCGATTTCTTCGTAGGTAAATTGGCGGAGCTTCTGGCAGAGGATATAATGGATGCCCACATGATCGGCATAGCGTCTAGAGCTGGGGCATCAGCTTTAAATCCATGAAGAGATAGGGAATAGCTTCTTACGAGAGGTAGGCTACCGAAAGGAACGGGTTCTGGTTGAAGACATCACTCTCAAGGAACCGCTTCAGAAGCTCCCATGACATGGCGGCACCGGGCGGTTATAGAAGGCGTGGGGCTTGAGGCGTAATGCCCCAAATGGTCTCGACATCAACAGGATTGTTGAGTGTCGTTTATCATGGCTGCTGGGGCCATGTAGCGCGGTAGCGTTCGAGTGAAGTTGCCAAGTTGATTTTCTTAGCTTGGCTGTATTCTCGTCCATCCAACACGAAGTGAGACCCGAACTTAAGGTTAAATTGTTTCGGATCACGTAATTGGACAGCAAAATCCACGACTCCACAAGCCGCTGCATACCTTAGTTGGTGGTTTGAATACTGTGCTCTACATCCGTCTATTCTTTATTAAGAGATGAGAAATCGAATTTGGCAAGTTTCACAGTTCGATGGCTTCTCGACGCTTCGTCTTGATTTTAGCTTTTCGAATCAGCCAAAATCACAACAAGTTTGACTTCAGATCATCAGATCTGAAACCCAGTCAGGGCTTTTCAGCCTCAAGGTTCGATCATACATCGGGAAAGATCAGCGTGACAGCCACATTTAATACAGGTTGAAGTAAATTCGTGAAATCTTGAGTAAAAAAAGTCGCAAATGATTCTTGGCTCTATACAAATACAATGCTTCACAAAAGAGACACCCAAATGCCTTCCCAACCCCTGAAATTAACGCCGAAATCTCGTCTCTAAAACTCAGCAACATATGCATTCTCCTTAAACATATCCCCAACCAGTTTCTTATCGTCCAATAATCCCCGTCTCCGTGCACTACTCCTCAAAGCGCCCCTATTAGCATCCAACAACGGACTGATCCACTTCTCCTTAACCTCCCCACCGACCAACTCCCCATCCTTCTTCAAATACGTCGTCTTCCCAAGCAAAGTCGGCTGGAAATTAATATAAACACCCTCCCACATCCCCTTGTCCGCCTCATACACCTCATGCATGAATCCAATGTAATCATGGTGCTTCAGCGTCGATTCCCACCATTTCCAGGCTTCGCGGTGTGCTGGCCCATGTGCGTATTTATGCACATCTTCGATTGATCGCCAGTACGAAATGAGAATGAATTCGATAGCGCCGTTCGCATCCGTTCTTTGAACGGAAGTCTGTCCAAGAAATCCAGAATCCTGAGTCGGATCACTCTCCAGCTCCTTCGTCATCTTCCGCAATAGACCTCCCACGTAGGAGAAATCAGGCGCGAAGATACCGAGGGGGTGGTTACTCTTTGCTCCGAGTAAGAGGATGGCAACCTTCTCTTTCCCCGGACCGGCGAAGTTGCCGTTGCGGTCCATGACTTGGGCAGTAGATTTCTTGGGGATGCGGCCCTTGAGATAGGGGTTTGGGATAATGTTGTAGGTTATTAGCATGGTGTGGGTGAGGCGCAGGACGAGGAGGGTGATGGCTGGGGAGAGAGCATAGGTTTTGGGAATGGGGAGGAGGGCGAGGAGGGTTTGAAAAGCGGCGCCGATAAGGAGGAGCGTGCTGAGGGAGAAGTTGCCATGAAGTGCCTGTTGAGATCAGTTTGGATGATGCGAGAAATGGATTCGAGTGAACTTACGGTGAAAAGTGCTGTTGCCGAGCTGAAGTTGACTCCGCTCGGTCGAGTAGGAGATGGGGAAATGAGAGGTTTGAAGTCCATCCTGAAATTTGGAGGCAGAATTGAAGTATACAATTGAATGGAGGGGATTGAGGGGTAAAGTTCGTCAACGCTCACTTGAAGACAATGAATGAGAAAAACGCTGATTGAATGTTCGATTGCTGTGGAATGTGAGATGTGAAGGTGTGAAATAATGAGAAGTCAAAGAACTGCAAGATACTTATATAAAAATTAAGGAAGTTGACAGGCCTCTCACAATATGGTCCGTGCCGCGTACTACGCCTTGCAGGATCAACGAATTGTCCCGATGTGAGGGAGGGTTCATTGAGGGTTTACGGCCGAGATGGGCATTAGTGGGGTTGGTGTGAAACCGTACAGCACAGCTTTTAGTGCCGAAGAGACGGGAACAAGTTGCGCAAAGGACTTCACGAAGCGATGAATTTCGCACGTTTACGGACGAAAGACGGATGAATCATGGCGCGGGCCATTTGTTAGGCGCGCAGTCGCATTCGCGAAACCACCAAAAAACCTGAAGCCACAATGACATAACCAAGCAACCCTCGAGGCGAAGATGCCTTTGTGGCGGGAGGCACTAGCTCCCGATTGGTCTGGTTCCAGCTGAAGCTGTGAAACTATGCTTGCCTAATGCTGTGCGTGGGACAACCTGCACGAACAACCTCCAACTAATCGCTTCCTCCGCGATCTCCTGGGTCTTATCCGTCGTCTGGGTATTGCGAATTTCCGGATGCCATATCCAATCATTTCCTTCTCTCTCTGCAGACGGCTGTACTGATGCAACGCTCCATTCTCCTTAAAAAGGGTGCAAGGCACGATTACCCCAAAGGACGCGGTATCTCCAAGGAATGAGTGGCTGAAGAGTCCGAATCTGACGCTTCCCTTCCCCTGGGGAAGGCAGCCGTATCCCAACTGGCTTTTTCCAGTTGGGCCTCAGCCTCGCAGCCCCTTCGTATCCATCGCAGCAGGGCCGGATGACCATCCAAGATGCATAACCTCCGCAAGACTTGTGGTTGTCCTAGTATTCCGTCGATTCTCAAAGGTAGGCTTATCTCTCATCTCTCAGAGTACCATTTTCATAGTTCAGAACGTTTTTTTGGGATGCCTTCAGTGGTTCCCCATCTCAGCACCGAGGATGACCTCTAAAGCATCAACAATTCCTACGCCAATTTCTGTCTCAATAAGTGAAGCATGGTATTTCCTCCGTCCAACTGCGCACGATACGAGAAGCTAACGCTTCCAAATAGGGACAATGACGAAGGAGTTTTCTGGAACACCTTCATTGTCGAAGTTGCGACTCCCCCACAGCCAGGCCACGCCACTATTAGGACCGCAACAGACGAGACTCTGTTTGTCATTGAGTCAGGATATCCAAGCATCGATGGAACCACATATAGCTTCACTTATTACAACCCCTACCGGTTTTCTCTCTCTATTAGTATCATTGTATCAATTCGAATGGTAGTAGTGCATGCTTTTCCTGCTCTTGTTCTTGATGCTGCTGGTAAAAGGATGACTAATCAGCCCCTTTTCTTCTGGTGCTTGTTGCCCGACCTCGCCGACGACATCTCTCTTCCAACCTCAATCTCAAAACCTTATGCGACTGCACAACCAACGCATAATGCGCCAATTGATAGGAGTGGATGCCGCGGGCATCCTGTTATAATATGAGCGAGCTCTCCAATACCTCGCGAACAATTCGACCTCGATTGCTATCCACGATGAAACCGGGGTCCTGCGAGGCAGACAGAGTCGAGAGACACACACAAAGACCATGGACATAGGGCGCCTGGAGCCGCAATCTCGGAAAAATTGGCCAGGAGATGGAGATATCAACACGATATATTGCCTTGATATTGATAGCGGGATTGGGAAGGATACCCCTGGCGTCACGTATGGGAGAAGAACCCAGCGCGATCCCAAGCCAGAATCTTCTCTTTGCTTTTCAATGCTCTTTCCATACATTACAAGATGGTTCCCCTTTCCTCGAGTTACTGTGCTTGCTTTGTCTTACCCTACCCTATCACCGCTTGTTGCTTTATTGTGCTCTCAAAAATTTACGTGCCTTGTTATAAACTCTTGATTAATTCTCTCAAACCTCTTGCATTGCCTTCCCTCCCTTCGATACTCGCAGAGAGCGAAGAAAGAAACTAGCTTACAAAAGTTTGGCAAAAAAAAAAGTGCGCATTCAGATGAGGAAAATGGCAAAACTCTGCTACCAAGCCCGAATGGTTGGAAGTGAGCTAAATACAGCATGATCTGGTTTTGTTCGATCTCTGCAAAGGAGATAGGGCGACTAAGTTGATAGTTCTTTCTGCTTTGTAGCCCTGCCACTAAAGGCGGAACTCCTCTTTTTATGTTTTGTTTAAACTCTGGCTTTCGATCCCTGTCAGTTGTTAGTCACGATTAATGGAAAGGGTTCCTTATTTGTGTATATAAGACCCTCTTTTGCGAGGCTGCCGAGCCGGAATAGCCTCACTTCCGACCGCCGGGCAGAAATTTAAGGGATGGTCTCTCCACCTTTCGATTCTGGGCCAACAAAGTCGTTCAGTTCTTGCTCCTGTGCTCCTCCTTTTTATGATGCTACGCCTCCATCGCCTTAAACCTACGAGCTCAGGCCGAACTCAGAGCCACGAGATGAGATCGTGCAGATATAACACCAACATGTGGGTAGTTCCCTCTATTCACGGTACACCTTTCTACCTCATCCACCTTGAATCGCATATCAAGAGACGCTGTAGATGGCACGATCATGACTCTGTCTTGCGCAGGAACTGGGCATTGTGAATCACTGGATGCCCTTGAATCAGAGCACATGGAAAGACTCGGGATATTTATGAGGTCGAACACTGGCCCACATCGATTCATGTCCTCCACCCTTATCATCGAGCCTACAACCTACTCTGCTCTTTGCACAGTTTACCTTGAAACAATCCAAAGTATTCTGAACCTTCTCCTCACACCTCTTTCGATCCAGTCCACAAGCTTATTTACCACCATGGCCTCAGCTCAGAGTCAGCAATCTACGGACTCAGAAATAAGTCCACAGGCCGGCCCTTACTTAGAGTGCTCCCGTGTTGATGTCGAGTCAGAGAGTATTGAAGCCCAAGACGAGCAATACAAAGAGCTCGATTTCTGCGCCATCCCAATACACAGTTTGTTCTCACCCCCATCCGTTGACCTCCCCCAACTAACAGCCACAGTCCTCACTACGGCACAAAAATACTTCCTCGAAACCGCCCCCGAACCCGGAAAAATAATATCCATAAACCTAGTCTCTGTCGACGAACCAGTCAAGATCAATCTCTCCGACCTTCAATTTCTCGAAGTCCTTGCTATCCCGGAACATGTCTTGTTGCCATTGCAAGAATATTTCCTTAATCGACGCGCAAACCCGAAGGATTATCCGAAGTACGTTGGGGTTAGGATCACACAGGAAGATGCGAGGCTTTATGATAATGTTTTGAGCTGCTGCTCGCGGGGGTGTGCTCATGAGCTATCCAAGGAAGTTGAGTCTGAGATGGAGGCTAAAGAGGCGTTTCGTGAATCACATCTGGAAGATCCTGATGGGACCACCGAACATGAGTCCAGCGAGGAGCATCAAAGAGAGGCTCCCGCGAATACCGAGTCAGTCTGCTCAACACACCGCCGGGGTAGTGATAATGTCGACGTGGATAGGGAGGAAGATGGATCGTCAGAGGAGAATTCCGAAGACGGGGTTTGGATCATTGGTTTAGGAGCATCTGGTTGATTTTGACAAGCAACCGGTTTGGATTGGGTTGACAAATCCGAGCAATCTTTTTTCACTCTTTTCCCTAAAACTGAGTCGTCCCATGTTGACACAGTCTTTCACAGTCCAGTTACAAATCGCGTGGGCATATGGTCACTGATATTTTACTACGATTTCTTTCAATTTTAGTGTCCTCAATCTCCTTTGGCATTTTCTTGTCATTCATGCCTGCCCCTCTGAGAGTAACAAGTCGGGTTATTGTACAACAATTCCCATTGTCTCTCTGTCTGTGTAAATTTCACAGTCTCCGTTTACACGAGCTTAAGAGGATGAGCCTCCAAGCACTCTTCCAAAGTGGACAGTCTGCCTTTAGCGTTCTCCACAGCCCAAGCAATCAAATCCGCAGAATCCGGGCCAAAGTATCCGAAACTCAGGGGTTGAGGGGACTGAAAGGCACCTTGACTGAGGTAATTAATATGGATGGCTGTATGAACAACAGGGCCAAGGTAGAAATCAGATGGTTCGGTGTACTTTTCATGAAGCTAGGTGTTAAACCAAAGCTTTCGGGTCGCTACGAAGTCAAAAGTCTTTCTCACAGTCGGTGCAAGTGTAGACCCCTTACAGTATTTTCACTTCGTATTGATGATTTTAGGCAAAAGCTTATATTTTCCATGAACTGGACGATTATAGACGGAGCAAAGTGGCTGAAATTTGAAGGTCGACTGGATGGTATTATGGACAAAAATTTGAAGAGAAAAGAGATCATTCATTCGTTAGTCCTCACATCTTCACAACAACCTTCCCCCGCGCATGCTTGCTCAGCATAATGTCATACGCCTACAGCGCAAGTCAGCACAGAACACCTCCTAATTCCATCAAAACATACCTTCAAAGCATCCTCCAAATCCCAACACGAATCAATCGGCACCTTCATCCCCTCCGCAGCTAAACGAGCAACCCTCTCCATCCCAGGCAAATCCGGGAAGCCCTTGGCAGTCAAGTACGGTCGATCCACACCACCAAGCCAGGTCGGTAACCACATATTGCTTATCGTAATACCAATAGTACTCACTATACCGATGAAGTTGTAGTCCTTCGGAGTCGTGCCAACAGTCACGAAAGGCTTTCCTTTCTTCAAGTACTTTGGGCAATGGAGCCACAGGTCCTGGACTCCACGGCAATCCAGAATGGCATCGAAAGGCTCTGCGCCGAACTTAGACTCCAGGTATTTCCAGACAGGAGCATGTTCCTGGTAATCAATGACCTTCCCAAACTTCAGCAAAAGTCATCAAGAACAAGGGAGATCAAGCCCACCTCATCTGCACCCAGTCCCTTTACCATCTCCAAATTCCTCCCCGAGCAAACACCTACCACCATCCCCTCATCACCAACAGCACCCTTCGCCATCTGCACAACCAAACTGCCAATCCCGCCACTCGCCCCATTAACAAGAACCCTTTCGCCCCTCTTCACCTTCGCCAGATCCATACAACTCGTCGCCGTGACACCCGTAATCGGCAACCCCGCCGCCTCCTCAAAAGACACATTGCTCGGCTTCAATACCAGATTCTCAGCTGGTACAGCAACATACTCCGCCAACGCCCCCTTCCCACCCATCACATGCTGGCTCATCGGCACCGTCCCAAACACTGCTGTCCCAGGCACCAGTTCTCGTGAAACCGGCACAGACTTGGAGGTTTTGATCACGGTGCCCGAGAAGTCCATGTCTGGGATTGAGGGCTTGGTCCGGAAGGGCATGGGGACCATGCGGGTTATGATCGAACCGCCGGGGTTTAGGGATGCATGGGAGATTTTTACGAGGACATCGGTGGGGGCGGCGAGGATGGGGATAGGGAGGCTGTGGGAAAGACGGAGGATGGCGGATGGGAGGCCTGATGCGGTATGGGTGAAGGCTTTCATTGTGCCGGCTGGGCTGGGCTGGTCGTTGGAGGATTCCATGGTGTTTGCTAACGAAGCTTGTAGACTTCGAATGAACTTGCGAAAATGAGTTGATGTGAGTTTTTAGAGGATGACATACAATGGAGGAATTAAATGGTGGTTGGATAATGGTGCAACTGTGAATGTGAAAGGTGGCATGTTTTCATAAGGCTGCCTTGCTGGGCGCTTTCCAGCCACTCATGTGACCGGCTCAACCCAAACACTTCATCAGACTGCCATCAACCGACGGTCAGTTCATCCCAAATCGAGTGAGTGCCATCGAGTTTCGAATGTATTTTTATTCAACATATTGAATTCCACGTCATTGTTTTGTGGACAATGAGAATTGGATTTCGAACACAGGATGCTGATCACGTGTCTCCTTTGGTTGAAGACTTCAACATTTCTGTCGGTGATCTCATACAAAGGCCTTCCATGGACTTGTAATGAAAGAGTTTAGTTCCAAACTTACTTTTAAGTTATATTGAGATTTCGAAAAGAATGGCACATTAATCTTGGTAAGGAGGACAACACCAATCCGTTCAAATGATATGGACGTGAAATATAAAAGGGCAAATGAATTTGACTTCGAGTCTTTGTAGATTTGATCCATTTGCATGTAAGACATATATCGTAGTTAGGTTAGTAGAGAAGATGCCCACCCAAATTAATATGTACTCCCTCAGAAACTCTACTCAATACACCCATCTCACAAATCTCCTTTCCTTCTACACTTACTCAATCTTTCAACCTTTCTTTCGCTCCCCATTCTCCATCTCAAACCTCACAAAAAGGCCAGCATCCCCAGCAACCCCGCCAGAAGCCCGCCACTCACGATCTCACTCCTCTTCTTCCCATCACTCGAGCCGGGCAGCAGTGTCGGACCTATGCTACTTGTGGGCGTCGGTCCAGTCCTGCTCACAACCGTTGTACCCTACACTATCATTAGCTCCCTTCCCCTCAAAACTTCCCCCTTGCCCCTTTTCTTCATTCTTCACTCACCGTAATAGTAGTCGTGCCACCCCCCGGCAACTGCGCCGTACAACTCGGCTTCTTGGTACACGTAAACGGCCCATTGCCACCAGACCAAGTCGTCTTCTGTCCTGAGCACGTGCAAGTCGCCGGACACGCCGTCAGCGTCGTGATACCCGTGACCGTCGTCGTGACCGTCGTGTTACTGTAGCTATACGGCGGAGACATCAGGCACGGTGGATGCACGGTAATGTACGAGACCGGGCATTTCGTCGAGGGACAAGTGGTGACGCACTCGTCGGCCGTGAAGATGGAATCGCAGCCGCAGGACTGCGTGATAGTTCTGAGCTCGAGGCACTCTAGGGTCGCGCACCCGTCCGGGAGTGTGATGGATTCCGTGCAAGCTGGTGGGTTGGTTTGGGTTATCGTGTAGCAGGTTCCGGTTGGCCGTGTGGTGATGCTGGTCCCTGAAAACTTGTCCCAGGCAAAGGTGCTGCTGGCGAGCACCGCAATGGTAGCGAGTATAGAGAATTGCATGCTCGGTCTGATGTTTGACTCAAGAGCCTTGACTTCTTTCTTTTGTATACGATATCAGTAACGAGTGATTGTTTGTTCAAAGGCGGATTCGAGCGGGCTGTATCGTGGCAGGATCAGGTTTAATGCTCTTGCGCCGCATGGCCCGATCCTGCACGATGTGCTGACTTCGAGCTACGAAGTGGGATTGGAACCTCTTGGTGGTCATCATCGGAGAGATTCAATGTTTCCTCGTATCGAAGGGTCTTGGTGGCACACGACAACGAGTTAACCTTCTGATGTCAGAAACAGTTGCGGGGTAGTATACCCAATCAGTGGGGCGTGTGGGTACGAGGTGGTGTGCCACGAGGTGGCCCACTGCGAATTATGCATAAATGCAACCCTGAAGCTTCCCTGGAACATTGCATGAGATGCTTGCAGCTGGGCCAATCGACCCAAGCAAAGTTCGTATTTGAGGAGGGGGGACGGCATGGCTGAAAATTATTCTGTAGATTCGTACGAAATAAGTGACTCTGGTGTGAGAATGAACTAACCTTGGTAAGATTTTCTCCTTCTTACGCGACACCAGGACAATAACAAATCCTTTCTCCTGTCCAATTGGTGGAGAATGTCTGCTCGGAAATATACCCCCTGGGTGGGTTATTTCTGAACGGCATCAAATGCGAAGTCTGTGTTCGAGGTGAGAAAATCAATTGCACTTGCGCACCGAATAGTTTAATGCTTTCATTATCCTTCCTCATCGTCCAGTATACAAGAACAGACCAATCCATTCCTTAACCCAAACAACAAGAAAGCAAGTAATTACGCCTCAAACGCACCCTATAGCACAATACGACACCATGACTTCTCTCTTTCTCACCGCCTTGTGAAACTCTTCAATCTACTTTGACAAAGAACATATCCCTCAAGGAATGTTGTGTATGTAAATAGACGCCGCCAGGGCTGGAAGACAAGCTGACTGCGAAGTCCATATCATATAAAGCCGGACGGGGGCCTGGAGCCATGATCGAAGAGAAAACGTTGAAACAACATCGTGGATCGTAAGCCATGCCGACATTATTCATCAAAAATCAATCGTTGCCGTCTCAATTCAAATAATCATGCTCTTTGTCCGTTGATGATTTCTTGACGTCTTTCGGGCAGTTCCTGGCTCGTTTCTTCTTCTCAAGCTCTCCTCGCGCTTGAGGACCAAGTTACACCAACCCCCCTTCGCATTTTCTCCCTCTTTACCAACGCAAGCATCGAGAACTTTCATCCAGCCTTCTTTGTCAGTTGCTGTATCGGCGTAGAAATCGATGACCTCGCCATTGTTGAAGCGAATACGGAAGCCTTCTTCGACGAACATGTAGCCTTCCTCTTCTTCTGCGAAACCAGACTTGCGTCGCTTACCTCCTTTTCCACTGGTCTCTTTCTGAGTAAGAGCGCGACGATCGTCAATGAGCTTGGAAGCATTGGCAAGATTGATTGTGGCACGAGGCTGCCGGGTAGACTCGTGGTAAGCGGTGAGCTTGCTTCCAACGAGCTTGAAGTAGCGACGGCGCCAGTACTGATTAAGTGTTAGTAGGAACTTTCTGGCTCGAGGCTCATTCCGAACTTACAGGACAATCACCACCCTGCTGACTCAAGTGGCCTTCCCAATTCCGTGCAAGCGCCAGCTCGGCCTCCTTCATCTCTCGAATGCAGGAGTTCATGCTCTTTGGCATGTCACCATCAGTAGCACCCTTGGGCTTGGGGACGAACAAAAGTTGTAGTTCAAGCTTTGCCACCTTGTAAGGAGCTCGTCGTTGGACGACAGTATTTCCACGCTTGCTCTTGACGCTGGACGCATGATTGGCTTCTTCAGTCGCCCATTCGTTGAAGCAGGCAACATCGACAACGTAAGGACGTCCGTAGCAGCGAGCCTCGTGATCTTTGAGACAGACATATGATCGACCAAAGCTTCCATCCTCAGCAGCCAGCGGTGATAGCAAATCCCAAGCTGTGGGCTGAACAGAAATTCTCTTCGCTACTGCGTCTTGCTGTTTCTGTTGAGCAATTCGCTGCTGTTCTTCCTTCTGCCTCATTTCCAGCTCCTTCCGCTTCTTCGGTGATGCAAAAACGCGGCTGAAGGTAGATGCTTTGCTTGACTTATGAGACTTTGTTGGAGACTCAGGCACACGCTTTGGGGCCGGCTTCACCAGCTTGGCGTTGAGAGTCAACTGGAACTCAAGCTCATTGGGAACAACAAGTTCAAATTCTTGGCCAATTGGGGCATTTCTTCCAAGCTCCAACCATGCTGTAGTGACACAGTGCACGCCGTTATCCAGGGTCAAACTGAACCACGATTGTTCATCTAGAAATGTCAGTCACTATCAAGGCTGGGTTGCATCTATACATACTCTTTGGTAAAGGCAAGTCAAGGTCTTTCACCCCAATCACTTTCACGAAAAGTCGTCCTCGTTCAGCACCCTCTTCTGGAACAGGTTCGGCAACGCTGGCTTCCTCGGTCACTATCCCCAGTCCAGTGACGTTGCTGTCTTGACCAGGCATTGGAGGCATTGGGCCAGATGCAGGTTTCTTGCGAGGACTTGACCTATCACGCATGCTGTTCTTGCGCATCTGGCCGTTCCATGGCTCGACTGTCCAAGACTGTGGACGATCCTTCTTCACAGGAGAATTACCGCACGAGCGAGTGAAGCGGTTGTCATCTCCAGTATCGATGTCACTGCTCGCTACCACGAGCTTGGTATTCTGTCTCATTAAATATCCGCGCTGTTTTCGAGGAGTTATGTTAGCATATACTTGATACAGAGGAATGTCGCTGGAGCTAGACGCTTGTCCATTGTTGTTGAAGCAAGTCGAATTTGAAGAAGATAGGTCAAACACAACCTTTTGGGTTTCGATCACCCGGTCGAAATCTTGATCAAGACTCAGACCGAGATCGTTGCCAATGTCCAGAGTCAAGGATCTTTTCTTGAAGCTTGAATGTCTCTCAACTCCTCCTTCGTCGTTTGGAGATTCTTCGAATTCTCGTTCCACGCTGAGAGGGCGGTTGCGATGGCGTTCTGGAATCGGAGGGACGGAAGGTTTCTCGCCACTGACATTGCGCCTTAACTCTCGCATGGCCATGAGATCTGATGGTGTAGCTGATGGACGCGTCTTCAGTTTCGAGCCAGAAGACGCTTTGATTGTTGCAATTTGCTCAGGAATGCTTGGAGAGTCACGGGCAGGAGATGGCTCGAAATTGTGACGAATCACGGAGTCTGGAGTCCCAACTTCAAATTCGTCATCTTCCTCAGGGCCCCAACCAGATCCATCATATTCAGGTCTTGATGTTGGCATTGGTCGTTCCTCCGGTGTTTCTGGACGCTGCAAGTATGCTTGCGCGTGAGACATATTGGGTGCCTCGTTCGACTGAGCACCTTTCGGTAGGGGTGGAGAAGGCGTCATGTATGATTGCAAGCTCAAGCCAAAGTCATTGTTAGTCAGAAAGCCAGTGAATTCTGGGAGTGAGCCTCTATTTCCAGTTTTGACGGGATCTTCTGATGAGTTCTGCTGTGGGCTGTTCTGGCGCGGGGTTGGTGGGCCATCATCCTCAGAAGCACTGTTCGATTGCAATTGTGCAACTGGGTTTGAAGGCGTCGAATCGGAGTACCGTCTATCAGTGTCATCTTCGCCATCTTGTTGATTGTAATCCTCAAGTCGCGACTCTGTGCGTTGATACATATCCGGAATAGAATAGACGTCAACCTCATCTTCGTCCTCTTCTCCTGGGTCCCGCTTGATGATTACGCTGTCGTCATTCTCGAGAATGGATTGGTCCTCAGTAGAAGGGATAGGAGTATCAGGATCCAGAGGCAGTTGTCGCTCAGGGCTTGAGCTGGGCATGGGAGATGAGAAGTTGTATTCCGAATCCCGGGGAAATGCGTCAGAGCCACCATTGACCTTGCGCAAGATAGACTCTCTCGAAATGCGAGGAGGTAGTTGGTACGTGCCTAAATCAGGAAGATCATCCAGGGTGTCTTCATCTTCGTGGATATTGATGGGTTCCCGTTCAGGGGTGGCACTGCTTCGCTCCTTCGGACCTCCGCGTCTCATACGGCGTTCTCGCTGCTTTTCCGCCTCTGTCTTCGGCTTGTCCTCATCTTGGATCATCATCAAGCGGAGTCTCTCTTCCAAGGACATTTTCCCACCACTCATGCCTTGGATATCAGACTTGCTGACTGAAGCTGCTGGTGGAGGGGAAGGCAAGTTCCTTGGGGAGTTAGTGGCCCGTTCTGCAGCCGCAGAAAGACCAACCGAGGAAGCAGAGCCACTGCGTTTACGCTGGCTCATACCGGGTAGAGGTGGCAGAGGTCTATTTTCTGCTGAATTGGTGCGAGTTGTTGCAGGTCTTCCTGTGGCAGACGATGGTCGAACATCCGGCATTGGGCTCCCTTCAGGTCCACTGAATGGGTCTTCAAGTTTCCCTGACATGGTCGCATTGTTATGCTCAGGAGTAGCATGTCTCCAATCATCGGGTCCAACAACGGGTGTTTTATCCGTATCCTCAAGTGATGCATCAAAACTATCATCTTCCTCGACCGAATCACCACGGTTGTAGCTGTCCTCGTCTTCATCCTCACCAGAATCATAGCTATTTTCGCGTGACCCGGTGCCAATAGATGACATATCTGGCGTAGCCATCTCGTACTCGTTGACTTGAGGAGGGGCTGCATCGAAGGTGACGCTCTTGGCATGTCGGTGAAGAGTTCGGCCAGGTGGCAATTGGCGCTCATCGCCTGAAGGGTCCTCGTTCCACGCCCCATTCTCTGAATCAAAGCTGGACTTGCCATTGAATCGTCCCGTAGCTAGTGATGATTTTGTGGGGGAGATTTGGTCTTTGCTGGGTGAGTGTAACCCGTTTGCGGTGCTGCCCTTGAGTGGGGTTTGTGTGGGACTATAAAGTGGGATGTGGCTCTTGCTCTCATTTCTGTGGTGACCGAAAGGATTTCCGCGCTCTGCTGAACGCAGCCCGTCAAATCCCGCTCCCCCATACGCATTTCCTTGTAGCTGCTTTGCGAGAGGTCGTTCGATTGCCGGCACCGATGTTGGGTCATACTCTTGCTTCTGTTCGCGGGCGAACATATTGCTATTCTTGACTCGTGAAGCTCGCTGCAGTCGTTCGATCGAGGATCTTCGGGTGGGAGACGGCGATGTTTCTCTGCCAGCAAACAAGTTCTCCGAGTTAAATCGATTGGGCGTTGTTGGTTCGCGGCCTTGCCAGAAGAGTCGTGGTGAGGAAGCGCTCTCCGAATTGAACGGGGACGACTGAAACGGGGATGAGTCCGTGTTGAGAACCATCTTCTGCGTGGTCAAAATTAGCATTTAAATCTCCGAAGGCTGACGATTGACGATTGACGAGTCCTACCTTTGTGGCTTGATTGTAACTGGGCGAGTTTCTCCTCTTCTCAGTAGGCGCAAGCTCAGACAGAGGTCGCGGAAGCTTCGTGGGCGATGGAGTTCCCTTCTGGATGCGCAGAGGATGAACCTGTTAGTAGTCAGTCACCCCTTCGAGGGAGCACGACAGGCTGTTTATTCAAAGTAAACAACCCGCAGCCATTGGATTCTCACCGGCTGCGAAGGCGAAGCCATCTTTGCGGCTGCTCTGCCAGCTGTACTTCTCTAGGCCCTGAGACACAGATCTGTTATTCTTAGAATAGGTGTCGCTCGATGTAGTATGGCATGGAAAGACGGCTGCAGTGTTGACCTTGCAACGCGAGGAATGCGCGTCAAGTAGCGAGTGGAGGAAAGGCAATCGCAATGAATTCAAAGTATCTTCAAAAGTCACTGCTGCGCAAGAAGTGCACAGTAAAAGCGGAAGAGAATGGCGCTCAGCAAATGCTGGTGACGGTGGTGATATGTGCGAAGTTATGACCAGTTGTGGACGAGCGGGCTTTGATGAGGGTTGTTTGGGGCTCCACGCGTTGCCTGTAGCAACCACTAGCGTTGGCGCAATCTGAAACCTCGTTTCCGCACGTGAACATGGCTCGAGAATCTTCAAGTCTCTTGATATCAGGCTAAAACTTGTCAAGCTGGCCCTGTTCGGGTCCTGTTTAGCTTTTTTAGTTGCCTCCTTCAAGGCTGTAGATGGCCTCACGCCACACCCAGTGTGCCTTGTTTGCAAAGCCCCTGATTTCTGCTCATTTCTTTGCTGCTGAGGAGGTAAGTCGAGCAAGTCCAGTTGTCTTGCAAGACCAAATGAGAGTTACGAGTGTTTATGATCAGGGCACCACCTCGCTAAGGTCAATTTGGGCGTAATGTCACTTTCTAGTCTGTCTGCAGGTGTTGATATCGGCCCGGCAATGCTGCATCCATGAAGACTACCCAGGTACAGCAGCACTAGCTTAAGCGCAACGAGAAGGGTATGCTGACCCTTCTCAAAAGTGATCCGCCCACGCTTTCCAATGCTTTCAAAACCCTTCTCCCCGCCGCAAAATCGGCGCTCATATTCATCCGACGCTCAATTCTGTCAACCAAAGTTTATTCGAGGCAACGAGCATCAAAGGGAATTTAACAAAGATCAAACAACTGCATTCAAAGTAAAAGCTGCTTCTGGAAGTACAATGAGTGTACGAACGCAGACGAAACTTTTCCCCCCCTCTTAGCAATCTCTCATCTCATTGTCCTTCTCCACCTCACTTCTCAAGCTCAGCATCTCAAGAGTACATTTAGGACCAAGCAAACCCATGCTTCTCCCTCTGATAAGCTCGCAGTTTCTTGAGACGGCAATATCTCTTTCCACCTTTGTTGGAATAGCCTGCCCCGTTATCGCAATGGTACTTAATGCCAAGATGAACCGACTGCTAGTGTCGTTTGAGATCGCTACGGGGAGCAAATGTTTCTGTGCATAATGGGCGCGGTGCACGCTGGGGAGCAGGAACATTCATCAGGGAGCTGAGCGTTCTGCCTGAGATTATGCAGGGGTATAGTTGCGGCTGCATCATGGTTTGAGCTGGCATCAGAGATGGATTGTAGAAACCGAAGCTATTTGTGAGTAGCTAGGCTATTAAGTGTCGTTGGTCAGTCAAGGTAGTTAGAAGGCGCAATGGCTGGATCGCCCGAACTTTCCTGGGCATTCAAGCAATTCGCGATGAAGCTTGAGAGAATGGCTTCCTGCTCCGAAGGATTACTACCGACGGTGAACTCCCTCTGGTGGCCGATGGAAAGTGTGGACATGCGGTCTGGCAAAGTAATTCGAGGCCATATGGGAGTCTCGTCTTGCAATTCGCGATGATCTGATTCGAGAATATCTGGATCGCAGCTTCCGTCTCCCTTCTGAATATCTCCATGTGGAGGATTCTGTAAAGGACTATTGGTAGCATGAGAACTCGACGAGAGGAGATTAACAGCACCCGCAAAACCTGGACTTTCATTGCCGATAGCGTATGGCAATATTGCTCCATATTCGTGACCAAATTGACATAGAGCTTGGTTGTTCGGTTCGTCCTGTGCGGCTGGGGCTCTCTCTCCAGTTCGGAGGACATTGCTCACCGCAGCGGCATCCAGAAGTGGTATGGCGCTCGGCGAGAGATTGTAAATCGAGGCCCTTTATCTAATAAGTAAATTAAAAGGGTAGGGGACTCATCAGGCTTCAGCTGAGCCATGGAGTCCCACGTGATAATGAGTTTCATTGGCCGAGGGTTGCTGAAAGAATGAGGCAGGCGACACCAGTGAAGGCGGTGGCGAGGGTGAGGGTGAGGGCAAGGGCATGGGCATAGTGCCAGTCAGCTATGGCTTTCGAGCCAATGTGCGTGTGGAGTTCATGCCGGGTGTCTTGGTTGGAGGTAACCTATGAGTGGACAAAGGTCGAACTTTCAAATGAATCCCGAGGGGGGAAGGAGGCCTACTTGTACTGGAGCCCGCACATTTGGTTGGGTTCCTCCACAACCTTGTTTTGTGCTCGGGTCAGGAAAGGAGTAAGCTTGCTTCCGGATTTCTCCCTGTTTCATTCCCTTCTCATCAGCACAGTCACACATTCACCGTTGAGACATTACAAATTCAAAGCGTCGTTCTGTCAATCTCAACGATCAACTCATACTAAGATCATCCTACTAGTCACAGCTTCAAAATACTCCCTGGGACAGAGTCGAGGTGGGCAAATACGCAACGTACCACAATACACTGGTCAAAGAGCTTCCCAACCGTAGTTTCAGGTCCACCTCCACCATATATATGCAGCTAGGGCACGGGCAAGAGGTTTTCAAGAAAATGTTCCCCGGCGTTGTGGGCTCCGGTCAGTATTTTCTACTCCTCATACCTGACCAGGATCTCATTATTTTCCAACGGCCACCAAAAGCATCACATTCGCCCAGCAAAATGTCATCAGTGCAACAAAGGCTTCCCAACTCGGAAGGATCTTGCGAGGCACGATAACAGCGTACACAACACCACTATCAAGTACTTCTATCCTCTCGACTTTTGCCAGGACTCGTTGAAGCCCGAAAAGTTGCGTTGCCGGACGCTCGGGTGGAGTAGGAAAGATCATTGGCGGAAACACATGAGATCTGAACATCATGCTACTGAGGATCAGTTGAAAATACACTAGAGCAGTGGGATCTCGATGGCGGTTTTAAAGGACGGGGTGTGGCGTCTTGCCTTACCGCACAGCAAGGTACCTGATGAATCGATATCTGCGGAGCAACTCACTGAGCTTGAACGACAACGTTTCTCTCAAATTTTATAGCTTCGAAGAGTCATTGTTAGAATCACTCTTTGCCCTGTGAACAAGTTCGGAAGAAGTTAGATGATATTTCATCATGCAATTAAACTCTTTTTCAAACTATCAAGAACAATTCCCAGCATCCCTGTCAATTTCCATTTGCAGTTCAATCTGAATCATTCCTCGCCCCTTCCCTGCCATAAAGAACCTTAAGGTCAACAACCACATCCCCTTCCTTCCTAACTGAAAGCCGTCAGAAAGCCTCTCGCCCCATACGATCAACAAACAAAAGTCTTCGGGAAATGAATCATTGTCTGCCCCGAAGACGCCGCGTGAAACGATCGGCATTTGCGATATATCAGCGTCGTTCCCGAGGAACTTATTAGTTTAGAATGAGGCTCCTATGCAATGAATTGAGGCGACTAGGAAATTATTTTCAAATATCTCCTGTTCCTTCTCTAATATGTTATTTTGCATCAGATCTTTCACGAGTGTGAGAAGAGGTATCGTGTGATACCTTGATAAAAGCTAACGTCTAATGAGGGCGGTGTAAAATGATGACGTGAGGGGTCTTTGATGAGGGGTGCACAAGTCTGTGTTATTTGGCAGAGGAAAGGGTGAAATGAAAATACTGCAATTGTTGTGTAAGTTACTGGCTTGAAGCCCGAATCTCTTGTTTCCGTCTCAATGAAGTTTGGGTCATCGGACATTTATTTTATGTGTCTTGATTCATTGCTATCAGAGTGCTGAGCTAGTTACATCCCCCTCTGGCCACAGCTATCTGACTCTCATGTCTCATCGCCATGCTCGCCATTTTTGGAAAAGAAAAGAAAAGGCAGCAGGGTATTCGCAGCATGTGCGTGCAATCGACGGGAAATTTGCAAGCAATTCCGCCACACCATGCGTGAACATTGCATCCGTGACCGAACTCCCATAAATGCATGCAATTGGTAGAGAGAAAACCTGCAGATCCTCCGTGACGTGCGCGAACATGCATCCAGGATGAATACCGAACGCCGACCAATGCGTGAAAGTATGCAAGCTTTTGGCGTCCGCAACGCCATGCTCATGAATGAAAAACAGAAAGAAGATAAACACCATTTATTGATCGGTCAGCAACGCAAAAGATGCTTTTGTTGCAGAATGAAAAGCTGCCAGAAGATCAGAAGCGAATAATAGTGACCGCGAGAACACCCAAAGTTTTCACTGCGGCACTGTCTTAGTCGTATCCGATCTGCATCGACAAAATATGTGCATTGGTACTGTACAAGAAGAGTTGTCGAGCTCGAAAATATCAGCCGCTGATAAAAGCGAAGGCTGAGACGATGCTCGATATTCCCCTTGCAAAACCCACTTTTGATTGTCAGTAAATTCTTCTGTGGAATGGCAGAAAAACTTGCTTTCAGTGAGCCCACCGAGAGTCCTTCAGGTATTGGACCTTGTCCTCCTTCTTTGGTGGAGCGTTTTCAGTTGGCCGGCCTGGAATGGTTCGGTTGACACCCTGTGGAGCATTCCGGAGGTGTGGTGGACCGTAACCAGCAGGTTGAGGTCGCTGAACAGGTTGCAAAGGCTGAGCAGGTTGAGCAAGAGTGCTACCACTCCTAGAAACCTGCATGAGCTCCTGTGTCACACGATTGTTGAACTCAGCGACATTGAAGGGAGCAGCAAAAGGCTGAGCTTGTGGAGGAATAGTGGAGTTTGGCCAGCCACTGCCTGGAGTCGCATGGGTTTGGTTGATTTGCGTATTGTTGTACGAGAAGCCGCCTGGAGCGGTCTCGGACAAGGGTTGTCTGCCAGTCTCGAATGGGCGGTTGGATGTAGAAATTTGGGCATGGCCCTGAGACTGACGACCAGAGGCAGTAGCGGGTGCATTTGGTGCATTCCAACTTGGCGTAGCCCATTGAGAATCCGCCAGAGATGGCATTGCATTTAACACCTGGTTCATAGGATCATTTGAGAGGTTGAGCTCACCGACTGGTGTGTCCAGTAAGGAATTGCCGCCAGTCATCTCAACATCCGACGTAGATTGTGATGGAATCCGAGTATGGCCAGAAGTAGGGGCAAGAGTATCAGGATTCTGGGCAGGAACTCCATTATCCCAACCACCGTTGTTCGCAGGAATAGGTTGAGCCGCAGCTATAGTTTGCTGACCCCATCCAGAAGCAGCCTGAGCCTTCTGAACAGGAGCAGTAGGAGCCGTACCCCAACAAAAGCCACCTTGAGTCGGAGTTGTGTTACTAAAATCACCCGTGTTGGATGGAGGAACTGGGGCCGATCCGAAACCAGCAGCCTGAGTCAGAGTTCCGCTGCCAGAACCAGCATCCAGTTGCAATTGAGCCCATCGAGTTGTGCCCGCAGTATCCCATCCACCGCCAGTTTTAGCAAGAGTGGGCTGAGATTGAAACGCAGTCTGTTGAACAGAGGCTCCCCATCCAGAAGTTGTCGGTGCTGAAGGTGCCGGAGTAGCAGAGAACGCGAAAGCAAAACCGTTTGATTGAGCCGTGTCAACAGCAGGTGCCCATCGAGACTCGAAGAGCATTGGCTGCGCATTTGCGGTATTATTGGTCATGCTTGTGTTACCAGCCATGTCGGGCGCATCAACAGACGAGTTCGCCTCGGTGCCTTGCTTTTTGTTGCTGACCAAGTTGAGCCAGTTTTGTTGATCGACATCCGCCTGACGGCGTACGGGAACAGGGGCGAGGGTGGAACCAGGACTTGTCACTGTATCAAGTCAGTACAGAATGGGTGGCAAGACAAGATCATCAACATACTGTTGATAAGATGAGAAGGATGAGCAGGAATCGACATGCCATCGGAAGTGATCTCCAAGTATGCTGGAGGTTGTTAGAAGAAGTAGGATCCAGGTTGGAGGGAGAACTTACGACGACCTGTCATCTTGGAGATATCCTCGAGAGCCTTGCGGCAGGAATCCTGACGAAGATGTGCCGGAATGAATGGCTTCGAAGGATCATCAGGGCTCCAGTTGCTGACAATACGTACACGACCTGGTGGGGTCGGAATGCGACTGACTGAATTTTGACCTGGCTCGACATTCTGCGAAGTTTGGAAAACTGGAGCTGGCTGTTGCTGGAACGTTGGTGGGGTCGATTGAGGATCTTGCGTAACCTGGCCTTGCTCGACATTTTGCAATGGTTGGAAGGTAGGAACTCGCTGCTCCTGAAGCTTTGGCGGGCTTGGCTGAGAACATTGGGTGGTCAAGATGGAGCTGCGAGTCGGAGATCTGCTGCGAGACTTGGGAGGAGTTGCTACAGAGTTCAAGGGACCGATAGTATGACTACCCAAAGTACCGGCTCCACTGTCGTCCAACTTGGCCCATCGGGTCTTGGAGACATCGACGCGGCCTCGAAGATGAACTGGAGCTGCTTCTCGAGCAGTCGGCTTTGCAATTGGCAATGGAGTGCTTGGTCCAACGCTGTAAGAGGCTCCGCCACCATATCCAGCACCGCTGCCAGAGCGAGGAGTGCTGGACGCGCTATAGCTTCCACCGCGGCCTGGTGAAATACCAGATCCAAGGCCACGGTTGAGACCACTGCCGCGAGAACGAAGGGGACGGGACTTGTTCCCAGCCTGAGTCAAACCTGCATTGAAGGACTTGATTTCGTCTAATTGTGCCTGGGTCACCCCTTGGGGAAGACCTCTAGGGCCGCCAAAGCCACCACCTCCACCGCTGAATGAAGCCATAATGGCGTAGATCGATCAAGATGCGTGGATGCGTGGATTGAAAGTGATGTAGGGTTGAACGCAATTCAGGGGATGCAGAAGGTGCGAAGGGAGGGTGGAGTGTTGAAAAAAGAGTGCTGAAGGAGGAAGGTGTTGGGATGGAAAGGTTGTTATGGGGGAAATTTTGTAATTGAAAGGAAAAGCGTGGAAGGGTGATATCGGCGGCTTGATGTGACAAAACAGTGAACCGCCAGATCCTCCGAATGGCTTCAGAACAATGGGATCCGCTTTTCTGACTAAACCTAAATTCGAGTGACCTTATTTGCTGATTTCAAAGAGGGGTAGTTGAGGCTAGCGGGGATGTTTGGTCAAAACGGTCTGATGGGCTGTTGTTGACATCGCCAACTTGCCTCTTTAGTTGAGACTATCAGCACCTCAGCACGATTGGGGCAGCACAACAAAGGCAAGGCAAGGCAAGGCAAGGCAAGGCAAGGCAAAATTGAAAGGCCTCTATGATGGCAATGACCAATTGACATTCATCTTTGATCTCAACTGGTCTCTTCAACGCACCGAAGTGTCAATTCAAAGGTGAACACGTGCCTCGCACGTGCAAGTCACGGGACTGCTTCACTTTGAGCAGACACCTCATGGCCAATGTTCAATGACTGCAGGAAGAGATTCAAGTAAAGAGGAGCCGATTTCTATTAGTCCATATTGTTCGTTGATGCCTGAGAAAGCCCCTCAAGCTGACTTCTCCACTTTCTTTGCTGCTACATGTACAAAGCTCTCGATAGCATTGATCTTCAGAGGCAGATACTCAGACTTCTTTGCCTCTTCTAGCCAGGGTATCTCTATAACAGGCACACACTCTCGAGCAAGATCTACAAGCGACTTAGAATGTGGAGCACCATCCAGTATACCAATGAAAGAGACTCTGGGAAGAGCAAGAGCTTCGGAGAGTCGGGCCTCGCAGCCCTTTGGGAGTTGGACAAGTCTCGTGACCGGTAGCTCCGGATTTGCAAGAGACGCAGTGGTAACGAGTTGAGGTAGATGCGCACGTAAAATTGGTGGCTGCGATGCTTGAGTGACGAAAATGGCAGAGAAATGACGATGAACATCCTCAACGAGAAGCTCCTTTGCAGTCTCGCCTATATCTTCAGAAGCTGGAAGCTGCGTAGTGTCGCTCTTCTCGCTCTTTTCCTCGGAGATGGAGGATTGCATGTTCTGAGCAGCAAGTTCCGGAGGCTTTTCAGCGTCGTTCAAAGCTTGATGCTTCGCTCCCGACGCCAGAGGGTGCGAAGTTTGGCCACCAGTTCTCTTTTCGCTCTTTTCTGCAGAGGAGCCAGGCGATATATATTGGCCAGCACCATTGAGGGGCTTTTCAGAGATATTTAAACCCTCGGCATTTGCTTCAGATGCGGGACGCTGGGAGACTTGACCAGCATCGATCTTGCTCTCAGCTGCTGGCTTCGGAGACTGTGGACCTCGACCAGCATCATTCTTCTCGCAGTCAACGTTTCTCAACGCCTTTGACTTCTGCGACAAGGTTTCTAGACTTCGAGTAATACTGTTCAAGCCAACCACAACAAATGAAGAAATTTCTAGTGGCGGAGGTCTCGGAAAATCCGATTCCTCTCCTTTCAACTTGTCTTCCTTCCTCTTCCGCTTCTTACTTCTCTTGCCTTTCGATGGCGTGGTGTTGGTTGTTTGGTATTGGCCAATCGGTGATAAGAGGCTGTGAAACACTGGTCAGACTATCTGGTCTTCTTTGATAGATGAATAAACAATGACTGTGCCATTGTGGGTCGATGCTGGGGATGGAATGTTCTATGTACCTGCAGAGAAGCTCTAGGATCATGTCCTGGTTCTGGGGCGAGATTTCGGGCCTAAAACACGTTAATTTCACGTTCTATAATCAACTATTGTGTCAACATACCATTTTATCTCTGTGAAAGGGGATTCAGACTGAAAGATGGTCTTTGGTTTAGTGGCCATGGCTGGATGACGCAGGCAGCAGGTTGCCGATCGGCGAAATTTATTTTCGGCAGGCTTTCGTTTGTGGAGTGGACCTAGGTAAATGGGACCAGGACATCACGAAGTATCAGGGCAGACTTCAATTGATTTCCCCTTAAAGAATTGAGAGTGTAGTCTTCGATGGTGTGTCGCTTTCTTATGTTTGCCCTGGCACGACATCCGATAACATCCGCCAATAATTTATGGCGATTCGGTGCATCAATTGATCGTCTCGGCATCACCTCCACCAAGCGGCACTCCTCAATATCCCAAGCCAAGTTGGACATTTCAAATACTCCCTATCTTATATTCCTCTACGTTATCACACGTTCAATAGACCACTGCTCTCTTTAAATATCATGCATATTCTAGAATATTAAAGACCTCTGCCCAAGTACGATAGACAAATGTCCGACTTTGATAATCAATGCTGCTTTGTATGTCCATCTTGCAGCCTGGAAGTCTCTTGTCTGGTTTGCTCGCTTACCTGTTTGACAGCCCCGCCTTACCCCTTTGCGTTAGCGTCGATGTTAGTCGGTAACGCGTTGAGTTCGTGGAGGGGGAAGCTCTTCGATAAGCAATTCTGAAGTCGAGAGCTTCACAACCCATCTTCAAAATTGTCCTGGATGCTTCCATGCAGCTGGCCTGGCCACACCCCCAGAATTACTTCTAGATCTGCATCTGCCATCTGCACACCTACCAAAGGGCTCCTCTGACACCAGATACCCCTCCAAAAGCTTCTCCGACCTTTTCCCTCTCGCCTAAAACCCGTCAACCTCATGGGCTTCCTCACCTTATGCCATCCCTCTTGATCAGCTTCTGAGCTCTTCAGCTGCAGGGCTATTACTGCTCACGACACTCCCCGAAGCAGTTGCCTAGCGTACCTGCCAAATGGATGAGGCTCGGCGAGAACGTGCGATTTCCTCAGAGCCTTGCTCAGGACGCCCAAACCCCTTCGACGACGTCACCGAGCAAGTTTCGCGAAAACGACAGCGAGTCTCCAACGGAGGATCACGGAGTCGGTCGGTGGACACAGCTCGGGATACGGACGTTGTGCCGGATTCAATGTTGCTGCGAGAAGAAAATCCCAAGGCTGAAGCTGACCCTCCTCCTTCCACCCCTACGCGAGAGCCTTCCGAACAACCACCTACAGAGCCAACCTCGAGTCGAGTCACCATAAACCTGCGAACCAACCGACCTCTCGAAGCCATACCCTCCTCTCCGCCATCTCCGTCAACTCCCTCCAAGATGGTACATGCGGCAGACGATGCTGGTACCCGCATCAGCGTTGAATCAGAGAGCGATGCACTATCCACTATCCCACCAATAGAAACTCCATCATCTTCTGCATCCCCAATAGGAAGTCCACAAGTTGAGCTTGTCGATGATTTGGAGTTCATCAACGATGACCCGCCGGTGGCCATCATCAACGATGATCCTGTCTATCTCGATCCTATGTTAAACTTCCCATACAATGCTGAAGGAGAAACACTGGCCAATACGATCGGTAGACTTGCTAGATTTCTTCAATATGGTACGTGGATCCAATACCAATATGTAACCTACAATTATTGACTTCCGCAGATGCGATTGATGACGATATAGCCTTTTGCAAGATCCGTGATTGGATTGAGCAATACCTACTTGCGAACCAAGATCTCGAGTCGTTCTATCGAACGTATGCTAAGCATCGGGAATTCTGGGGTGTCCTTCCGGATTTAATATGGGCTTTGAGTTATCGCAGGTGAGCCTCCTTCTTCCTAGTCCTCCGGAATCTCTTGCTGACTTCTTAAGCCGCTTCTTTGGAGACTTCCTTCGTAAGAGCCGCGAGAGTCGCCAGGCGCTGACTGAAATGCTCTGCCAATTTGCTCGACTTGCTGGTAAATTTTTGGCCATGGATGTCCGAACATTGGAGTACTATGCGCGGGCGAACAATGATCAGGAGCCGGATCTTGGATCTCGTGTCTACCTTTGCGCCTTCAGCTTTCTGCTCCGAAAAGAGGAACATTCGCACATTGGCCGCAATCTCGAGACGCATTACTCGTGGAATTGGGATGATGATGCTGCTCTGATGTCCGACAGCTTTCAGACCGAAGGAGGCACCATCTTGGCTCTGACTAAGCTCGTCCGAGGGCAGTTGAACTTTATGTCACGCAATCCAAAGGTGGTTGACACCTTCACCGATCCTTGTCGAATCGCTTGCAAGCTCTTTATTGATGCAGCTGCGAATATCGAGGATGGAGATCAACAACACCCACAAATCAACCAAGCTGCTCGGCAAAAGATATCCCAAGGGTACGACTTTTACACCCTTATGTCCGCTGGTCTGGAGACCATAATTGATAAACACGTTACCTTCCTGAGCCAAGATGCTGCGGCTGCTCACTTGTATAACCTACCACTCTTCTTGAAGGTTGCCATAAGCCAGGAAGTTTCCGCAGCCCGCGACCTCCTTGAGACCAAGCGACGTCAGCATACTATGCTAGTTCGAAAACAATTTCCAACGGTCATATCCAAAGAATGGAAGTTCACCATATTGAAGAAGCTTATCACTTCAGCGCAAATGCAGTTGCGTGTGATTGGGGTCACAACAATGTGTTCGGATTTGCTCGAGTTATATCAACGCAACAAGGGACCGGATCCAAGTTCCAGCCCAATACTCCTGTATTTTGCTGAATTTGTCCTTGAAAATCAACTTGTTGACTACATTGTTGGCATTGGATCTCACCCAGAAATCATCAATGAGAGTAACAACATCCTCGGGTTCTTGATTGTCACAAAGACCTACAAGTCGGCTCAGACCGATAAGATCTGGCAGACTGTCATGACCAGCCAGGATCCTAGAGTGGTAGAGGCTATCCTGCGAATGGTCATGCGTTGCCTGAACTTATACGATTATCGCTCTCTCCTCTACCTTTGCAAGAAGGTGTGCGATGTCCCCATTGAGTCCTTCACTGTTCCGATGCGGGAGTTTAGTCAAAACCTATTCAAAGATCTTGTGGTTAAAGCGATGTCCGATCAAGTTCATTATCTTGGAGCTCCGCCTTACGATTTGTGTGTACGACTCATCCGCGAGTCCTCGATCATCTCCCCCGAATGCCCCACAGGATATCCTGAGATACAAGCCTTTGCAGCTAGCCGATTGCGAGAGCTGCTTCAGCAGGGTCCAGGACCTGAAGCTCGCACTGCTATCTATCTCAGCTGCCTAGAGGATATCTCGAGTAGAACCCCTACGGCACCGGGAAGCATATGCGTTATCAATGCACTTCTCCGGCAAAATAATCCAGACCTGCGAAGACTGTGCAACGACCACAGCCTAACACAACTGGTGGTTGAGGAATTGGAGTCTGCTGTTGCCGCAGATCGTCATTCTACGGCGAGAAACAGCCCTGCTGGCAATGCCCGCCGTGAATTACTGATGTCTCTCATTATTCACGAACCAGCCACAATTAATCCAGATCTTGGCAAACGACTCTGGAACGTTCTCGTCAGCAGCGGATCGAAGTCTATTATCGAGCGCAATTCATCTTGGTTAATTCTCAATAGCGCGACAAAGAAATCCTCGACCAAAAACGTCTTCATTGCGTCGTGCTACCGGGACTACCTCCCAAAACTCCCTCCACATTGCTTTACCACCGGAGCTCTGGATTTTGCAAGAGAAGCCATAGTTGCTTGGCTAGACGAGATCCGACCTGACTTTATTGCAGAAGACCGGACCTTTGAATCTCAGGCACTGGAGCAACTTTGGCGCATGATCTTGACCGCCCCACCAAACACCATTGATGCGGCTGCCATCAACATTCTTGTGGAGGTCTACGTCGACCATTCACTCATTTTGGCATTGCCACGAGCAAAAGCAAGAAGCATCCATCTAGCGTTGGTTGATCGTTGTTTGGATCAGTTGAAGACAGCTGCTTCTAAGTTGAAGACTTTCAGTGATGGCGCATCGAGTGGATCCGATGAGGGAATGGTGATTGTGGCATCAGAAGACCAATTTCAGGAGCAGGAGAAGATTTTTGCCCGATCGTTGGCCGTATTGCGAGAGTTTTTACGTGCCTACCAATCCAAGCCGCAGTTTGCTACTCCTAAAGCAAGATCGCTGACGACAATTACGACGACCGACGTCGCAGGCGAACCTCTGACTGTTAAGTATCAATCCTTTGATGGCAACAAACACACAGAGGTCAAGAGTTTGACACTCGGAAAGTTGAATACAGCTGCAGCTCTATTCGCTAGTCTCCAAAAGGTCACCGGATTCAAGAACTACAAAGTATACTGCGGTGGCAAGGAATTTGACCCCGACGAAATCGAAGTATGCAAGTCTTTGGATGATCTCAACCTGAACGGTCTCGTCCTTATCCAGCGCCGCGAAGACTCGGATGGAATCCCAATCCACCTTAATGGGACGAAGCCAACTCTCGAAAACGAGATTATGAAGCACTTTGATGACTTATGGGGCTATCTCAGCATGCATGAAAAGGTGGCTCAAGAGGTACGATTACATCTTCCACCCCTCCTACAACATACTAACTCTTTGCCGAAGATTTACTACTTCTTGGTCAAATTCCCAGTCTACGAACGATTGCTGAGAGATTTTGACACCGACACACTACATTCTGAAATCTTCCCGCTCGGCCAACCATTCAAGTCTCTCTATGCAATCCATGCGCTGAAGGAGTATATTGTTGGCCAGACGCAAAAGGTTAGTTCTGCATACTTGCGTCAGCTAGGACAACTAGCTAATTTCAAATAGGGAAGTGTGAATGAGACTGCACTTACGAGAGCTGTTTCCCTGATTGTTGCCGCACTCTCAGATCGAGATGTCTTAGATCATTGTGCCAGTGACGACTTGAGGGATTGTCTTGCCCTGCACCTCATTGACTGCCTTGTCCACTTTCTGAAGGGTATATGAACCCAGAAATACTTCGATACAGTGTGCTAATCATGTGTAGAACCCATACCACCAGCATCCATTGCTCCCTATCTGAACGAAATTCTTCTTCAACGCCTCTTACAATTATTGCACGATGCAAAGGGGATTCAATCGTCACAGAATTCGGTACATCTGACCTGGAGAGCATTTGAAGCAATCCTAGAAGCTTCTATTCATAATCCAGAGCTTTGGGGTCACTTTGCTTCACATCTCGGCAGCAACACATTGCTGCGGGAGCTTCTTTTGGAAGATCCTCGTCCTCTCATCAGAAAGAGCGTTGCTAAGCATATCATGAGCAAATGCACCTTCAGTCCGAGGTAAGATCCGGATTTTTATTAAGTCTCTACTTTGGCGGCAACTAATACATTTCCAGTCTCGCTCAAGTCTCCACGACAAGCTTTGTGGTTGCTTTCTGGCCAATGATTGAGTCATTGATCATCGAAGCCGTTCTATACCCGTACCAGTGTGAAGAAATTTTCAGCCTAGCCCACACATTATTCAAGAGACTTGCCGAAACTTCAACCGACTTCCTGGATCTGGAGGATTGTGTAAAGCAGTGGGGTGGTTTGTTACTGAATCACAACTGCCAAGAGGTCGGCAACCCTATCTCGTACTTGTCGATTCTACTGACTATTTTGCAGAGTGTTGGCCATCCGGAAAGCATTGATTTGGTGGCCCAAGGACTTGCAAATCTCTTGTTCGATGCAACAGCCCTGGCGAAGACCTCCCAGAAGCTTATGTCCTGCAGGTAAATTTCTCAAGCCGAACCATAGGTTGCACGAGCTGACATTAGTAGCACAATCGGAAGTGCTTTGTTTCGCCACCACCTTTTCCCTGATCTCTCAGTGGACGAGGACGAGGACGACATCATTGTCCCAAGAATTCCTCTCCTCAACCCACTGACTAGGCGCACATTGACGGAAACCATCTTCTATCTAGTGAAGGATGACGAAGCACAGTACAGAAACATCCTGGTACAGTTGGCGGTACTAGTTCCGTATGCTGCGATTGAGGATGGTATGTCACTCCTCATCATATGGTTTGTACATTGCTGATAATCCAACAGGCCCTTATGTTTACGACTTGGGCTTCCAATTTGACCGAAGCAAAGCTATCAGATCTCATACCGGTTATGTTGGTCTCCGCAACCTCTCGAACACGTGCTACCTCAATTCCCTCTTCACACAGCTCTTCATGAATATCCCCTTCCGGGATTTCATGCTGAATGCTCATGTGGCTGACGGTGGAGCATCTCAAAAGCTTCTTTCCGAAACACAAAACCTATTCAGCTACATGCAAAATAGTTATCGACGATTTGTTGACCCCGCAAACCTTGCCAACTCTATTCGAACCTATGAGGAAACTCAAATTGATGTTACTGTCCAGATGGATGTGGACGAATTCTATAATTTGCTCTTTGATCGCTGGGAGAGTCAAATATTGGCTCCAGATGCAAAGCGCAAATTTAGATCTTTCTATGGCGGCCAGCTTGTGCAACAGGTCAAGTCGAAGGAATGCTCGCACATCTCTGAACGTTTGGAACCGTTCTCCGCTATTCAATGTGACATCAAGGGGAAGAGCAGTCTTCAAGAAAGTCTTCAAGCTTATGTCGATGGTGAGATCATGGAAGGAGGTGAGAATTCCCGGATGATTGTTTGAAAACAAACTAATGGTTTAGATAACAAATACAAATGTTCTGGCTGTGACCGCCACGTCGATGCCGTTAAGAGGTACCTATCATTTTTGGTCTTTCAAGTTCACCAAAGCTAATTTAATTCGATAGGGCATGTCTGAAAGACATTCCAGACAATCTGATCTTCCATTTGAAGCGATTCGACTTTAATCTACGAACTCTCCAACGCAGCAAGATCAATGACCATTTCTCCTTCCCAACGAAGATTGACATGAGGCCTTACAAAGTGGAGCACCTGATGGACAATCCCGAGGAGACGCCAGAAGATATCTTTGAGCTAGTGGGCATCCTTGTTCATTCTGGAACCGCAGAGTCAGGTCACTATTATTCTTTCATCCGCGAGAGACCATCAAACGGAGTCAAGGAGAATTGGATTGAGTTCAATGATGACTGTGTCACCCCGTGGGACCCGAATCAGATGGAGAATAGTTGCTTTGGAGGTCCAGACTACCGCGGCCCCGTCGACGGAGGCAACATCCAGTACGACAAGAGCTGGAGTGCATACATGTTGTTCTACCAGCGATCTTCGGAGCTTGCAGTACAGAAGCAAGGCTTGGAACGCTCAGGATTGGCAAGTCCGTTACGCTTACCAATACCCTCTCGACTGTCCAATCACATCGCTATGGAGAACGAGCTTTTGATGCGCAAGTACTGTCTATACGATCCGTCACATGCCAACTTTGTTACGAAGATGCTCTCCCATGTCAAACAGATCAATGGTGGTCAATGCTCTCAATCGCATACTCTGGAAAAGCTCGCTTTGACTGCTTCGCTCAATCACCTAGATCAAGTCATCGCTCGAACCAAGGATCTTCCGGATTTTCCAACTTTCATGGTAGCACTACGTCACATCTGTCATCAATGCGCAGAATGCAGCCGCGACTATCTAGAGTGGTACTGTGATCTTCCCGAGACTCTTCGTATGTTACTTCTCCGAAACCCTGATGCCTTAGTCCGGAACGAAATCGCTGCATCGATTATTGCCGCTCTGAACAAAGTCAATGCGGATGCGCCGTACGCATATGGCTTTGGCGATGATGACGAGGTAGACGCCGATGAATTGGAAGGAAGCGACCCACAATTGATCCAGCGGGTTGTGAAAGCCGTCAACAGACTTTGGGACATATTCCACTCCAATTGTCGTGCTTGGCCCGAGTACTTTGGCCTCCTCGCTAGTATCGCTAAGATGGGAAAGTGCGAAGCGACTCTGCTTTTAGATGCTGGCTACCTTCGCCGCACACTAGAGATGGTCAGTGCAGACGTGCAGTTGCCAATCAGCCCTCAGTATTCGAGGATGCTCAATATCATCTCTAAGCGGATTGCGACACGCCCAGTGTCATTCGAGAGTGTGATTACACTTCTATACAGGCTCGTCGATACTTGCGATGCCTCGATTGACACCGTTGCCGATGACGATGACCGAATTGATATTGCGATGAATAACATGCCGATTCCACTTTCGGTCAGTGAGCGCCATTTGCTGCTGCAGCACTGGACAAGAAATAATGCCCACATCGTGGTCGAAAAGCTTGTCCAAATCCATCAGAATGACTATGATACAGAGGCTCTCATCATTGCCCTTCTTGATTGGCCGGAGTCGTTGGACCTCAACATCTTCGCAGCCATCACCCATGGCATCAGAAGAACTGTCTCTTCAGCTCCTTGTGGCCCCTTCCTCAAAGCAGCTCTGACCTATTGTCAACACTCGAGAGAGCCTAGAGCTCTCGTAAACATGGTTATGCATGTTACCAAGGTTGCGACTCATCTTGACAACACAGAGGGGAAGGAGTTTCTACAATTCTTCAAGGAGGTCATGCAACTGCAGTACGATCATAGCGATATGGAGAAAGAGGAAGTCTACAGGTTCTTTCTTGAGCAGGCCACCCAGTGGGGCCCGGGTCTGCTGACGTACTACGATACTATCGTTCGGGCTGACACGGAGGACTTCCTTCAGGAGTTCATACTCAGGCCTACCTCTGACGCTATCGAAATCACAGTGTTGGAGGACGAAAACGAGGGCGAAAAGATCAAGGTGATGATGCAAGTTGGTCAAAAATTGGGAGTTGCATGTCTTGATTACCTGCAAAACACCTATGTTCAACCACGTCAAACGGTGGTCAGAGCAATGCTGGCAAATATCCAGACTGTGATCGAGGCTTGCCAAGAGTTCTTCGATTTCGACAGCAAGGATAACCTGACACGTCGATTCGCTGAGATGTCTGTCTGTAAGTTGTTCAGCCACCCTTTCTCTTCCAAATTGTAGCTGACGACTATCTAGCTGTTCTTCCAGCGATCAAGAAGATTATGGTTGAGGAGGCTGATGAGGAGGTTTCTGGTAAGCATATCCGCATACCCAACTTGTTAACTACCGCTAATTGTTGCAGACTGGGACGGCTCAGAAGGAGACTACGACGGTTCATCCGAGCCCATGGACAGTGTCGCCGAACTCGGCCCAGCTGACGACGATGCAGCACTATGATATCTCTTCACTCGCAACGAATTTACGACTTTGCTTTGCTTCTCGTGGTTTTGCTTGGCGTCGGCAGCGAATGGGGAATCAAAACATAAACTGGCTTGGACGCCTGGGGATAGCTCTGGCGCAAAAAAGGCGTACTTTATGGCATGCGGGCGTACTTTGGGATTGCTAATTATTCTGCCTACGCGGCTTTTCTTTGCATTTATGACTTCTTTGATTGGTGCGGGCAAGATTGGTATGAGTTTGGCATATTCTCATCGAGAGCAATGGGCAAACTGGTGGGCTTTGCTGAGGGTTTTCTCAAGAATACTTGATTATGCAATTCGGACTAGATGGGGCGTTATCTTGCTTTCGTGCGCCAGACTGGCAGTAGGCGGCACGAACCAAATGAGAATCAAGTGCCACCTGAACTCCTTTCCCTGTCCCCAGGTGATGCTCCACTTCTGTCTAGCGGTGAGAGCCGAGTCTTTCCACCGCAGGAACTTTCCACATTTAAACTGCTTATGGGAATCAAGATCGCTCATAAATTAAAGGTTCTAGATCAATAAACACTGACAAATCCACGATAAATGCTTTGCAGTCAGTGTCACTCACGGGTTTCTCTTCCCCTTCTGGAGAGTAGCAATTCTCAACGATGCCCTTCTCGCATATTGCGAAACTCCATCATCACCAAATAACGAAGCTTCGGCACAGGAGATCCCTCGGGGCAACTTGTTTGGTTTGAGAATTCCACCTTTGAATCGCAACAGTCAATGCCCTCATTCGGCAACTGCTCGAACTCCTTGGGACCCGCAGCTTGCGTCGCGGAGTCAGCACTAGACACGGCAAACCACCTATCGGACTGTTTTCGCTTTTAAACACCGATAGGATACGAATTACCGCGTTTCAATTTCACGATCGAGCACGACGTATATACTTCCAGGGGCGCCGACCCCGTAGCTCAAATTCAGTGCTGATGTGGTGCAACGGAGATCCTGATAACCAGGTCATTCCTCGAAACGAGATCTGAACTTCTTCGACCATTGACACACTTTCGCTATCTTCAACATGGCGTCTATTTCCTTTCAACCCCGATCCCTGTCAGTTGTGCAGGTAGGACAATATCTGGCTGGGTTGGTAAGGGTTCCCCGAAACTTGGAACATCATCGATCGAAAAGACGAAAAGCCATACTAACAGAGTTTTAGACAGCCGTTTGCATCCTGACGGTCGTAGTATACAGACTTCATTTCCATCCAATATCCAAATATCCTGGCCCAAAGTTATGGGCAGCAACAGCGCTCCCTTCCGCATACTATGCTATTGTAGGTGCAAAGGCTTCCAAAATGTCGGAACTGCACAATCAATACGGGCCAGTGAGCTCCCCATTCTCTGAACTAAAGTTTTTCAAATCTCAAATCCTTTCAGATCGTGCGAGTCGGTCCGTACGAATTATCCTACGTCAGCGAGGTCGCCGAGAGGGATATATATAGCTCTCACCGAGCTTCGGGAGGCAAACAGCTTGGCAAATATAAATTTACACCACCGAGTCGTATTGGCGGAATCTTCAACAACCCAAATGACGCCGACCATTCTAGGCTTCGAAAGATTCTCGGAGTTGCGTTCAGCGACAAGGCCGTTCGGGAGCGAGAACCCTTCTTGCAGGACTACACTACGCTCTTCATCAAAAGATTAAAAGAACAACCAGTTGGGAAACCAATTGACATGACCTGGTGGCTGGGTTGTATTGGCTTCGATACGGTGGCACATCTCACTTTCGGAGATTCATTCCACGCCCTGTGAGTATCAACCCCACTCCAAAATGACAATGCTGACTTGGAAGTCAAACCACTACACTTCCAGAAATAGCATCTCAAAACCATGATCTCCTCGTAACCTCAGCCAGGCGAGCAGCGCTAGGCCCATTCTTCTTGGGCAGGCAACTGTACAAGTGTTTTGGGGAGCCTCCCAGTTTTCCTATCCGGAGGAAGATCTTCGCAGGACTGTTCGAGGGTCATGAAGCCAGGCGAAACGCAGGCAAGAAGGGTGAAAATGAAGTCGAGGATTTGTAGGTTTCAATCTCCTTCGTAGACTGCGAAGGTGGAAAGGTTAGAGCCGACGCTGACTGAAATCAGGGTCTCTATCATGTCCAAAAAGATCGGCAGTCAGAAGGGCCTCAGTCAAGGTGAGATGGCAGTTGTCAGCAACGACCTCAACATTGCCGGGAGCGATACGTCTGCTTCTGCTCTCTCTGTAAGACACGGATTGCCCCTTGTGATTTGACACCTTAACACTAACCAACTCTCCAGGCTATGATCTACCATCTCCTCCAGAACCCTTCAAAGCTTCAGATCCTAACCAAGGAAATACGCTCCTCCTTCAAAACCGAAGAGGAAATCAAGGGCCCAGCAATAAACAACCTCAAATACCTAAACGCTGTCATCAACGAGTCTATGAGACTCAGCCACCCCGCACCAGAAACGACCAGGAGAATCACAAATCCTGGCGGGAACACGATCTGCGGTGACCACATTCCGGGAGATGTATGTGCTCCCTCTCAAGAATCAAATTCATGCTGTTTGCTGAAGAGTGTTGATAGATTCGAGTCGGCGTCTACAGATATGCAGCAGGACACTACGCACCAGCATGGAAAGACGTCGAGTTCTTCGTTCCTGAGCGCTGGCTAGGAGACAAGGAGTACGAAGGCGATAATCTTGGTCTTGTCAACCCGTTTGCCATAGGGCCGCGGAATTGCATCGGACAGATGTGAGAGTCCTCATTTCTAATGTTGAACGAGAAGCTGACTTGGTGGAATAGTTTTGCGATGGTTTATATGAGGCTTGTTCTTGGAAGGCTGTTCTGGAAGTGAGTGCCCCGAGGAGTGGGAACGGGAGGAGCTGACTGTGACAGTTTTGATCTTGAGCTTTGCGTAGAGAGCAAGAACTGGCTTGATATGAAGATGTATTCGTTGATTATTGACAAGGCACCTCTTTTCGTTAAGCTGAAGTCCGTCAGGTGATGCGAAATAGACCCCTTGATCATCGGAAATGCACCAGGGCATAGAAGTTCTGGGAGTCATACTTGTTCTACTCCTCGATCGAATACACACGAACAAAGAGGAGATAGTCTCGAAAGAATAGAAAAAAGAGTTAGAAAATATCTATATCGCACCGAGAATTTTTCCAGTTCCCTTGTTCGTGAGTCCCGCTCAACTTCTGTTCTTGCACTTACGCCGGACTCCACATGCATCTTCAAATTCTTACACAGGAGGAGGCACCGCGTCCGCAGCAGGTATGGAGCCCATCACGCCGCCCTTGCAGTTAGCAGCAGGGACGTTCTTCTCTGCCTTCGCTGCTGCAGATTTGTATGCTGCGAGTGTTTCGTTTCCATTTCTGTTGAGTTTCATTAGATTATTTGTACGAGGGGGGATGATCGGGAGGGAGGGAAGCGACGCACGCATTAACAGCCATCACCATCCCCAACTGACAGTGCGGGCCCTGCGCACAATAAATGAATATCGACTTCGTATCATTCACCGGGACATCAAACGTCGTGACCGTGCTTGCACCAGCCGTCACCGGCACGAAGCCGCTATGGATCCCAGCCGCGGTCGGGTCTGATGCTTGGATCGGCTGGCATGGCTCCGCGAACGTGGATTGCGTGACGGTGTGGTTTATCTGCGAGAACTGGAACTGCAGGATGTCGCCTGGGTTTGCTTTTACGTCGGCGGGTACGAAGACGAGGGATTTGTTGACGGTGGGGGAGCCGACGGTTATGGCGATTATTTTCGACTTTGTGGTCCCGGAGGCAGGGGCAGATTCCGTGGCTTTGGGTGCTGTGCTTGTGGCGCCTTTGGTTGCAGATTTGGCTGGGGATGGTGTCAGTGCCTTCTTGTACGGGATAGTGCGAGATGAGGGGCAAGGGGTGAGATCGACGGAAGGCAAGAGGCTCAGTAGAGACCTCCGGCTGGCTCAGGGCCTCTCGGCCTGCTATTGAGCGGAGGAACGAACCTGCGGAAGACAACTGCAGCAGCGACAGAAGCGCTAATGCTGCCAAGAAAGGGACCCGTTGAATCTGCATAATGGAAATATTGATACTGACTAGGACAAGAAAAGTATGATACAAGAAACTTCTTGTTGCAAGGTTGAAAAGGACACGAGGGGCATATATCATGATATCAACACCTAAATTTGGATTCAAGGACTTCCTTGACAGTTGAGCCTCGTGACCTTCGCATGTGGTAAGAGGCCAGTTTGACGCATCCCAAATTCACTGAGATTGTAAATGTCGGCTTTCATCAAGACGCCGAAGAGCGATGCGAGTTGGGTTGTGGAAGTTCTCGAACAATGCAGGTCCCGAGGACTCTCGGTGTTGAGTCGTGAGAATCAGACAAGTCGCTGCTTCAAAGACACATGGAAGCGCTCGGCTCTCGCGCTCTCGGCTCTCGCTCAGAAGTCCACAGGGACACTAATCTCCTGCATAGCTCCATGAGTGCTTCGCAAAGGGGACGCATGAAATGAGCTCGACGTCTGTGGGTACACTGGGTAAGGTGTGGTCGGGTTCCCCAAGACAAGACAGATTTCCGGCCCGCCGATCTGTGCATCAGATCCGGATCCGTCCGTGCAGCCCGTCCCCAGGGTCCAGTAAGGTTAAAACGGTAGCATGCGAAACCTGCCGCTTAGCGAGGGACTGCAATGGCGGTGCATTTTAGTGGATGGTTCGCTGACTCGGATGAAACGAAACATCGAATTCTGGACCCTGACTTCGGAGGGAGGCACTTTGCCATTACAGTACTTGATTGCGATGAAAGCTCTCACTTCACATGAAGAGCTTTCCGAAATTGATTGCACTCAACCTGAAATAAAGAGTCCGAATGCGATGGTGATCCGTTGAGCCACGAGCCCGCGCCAAGCCAGGACCGCTAAGCGAGCCGGAAAGGAGGGATGTAGACTACGGATGCATCCATCGCATCGCATCGCATGGACTGACACTCGGTGCCATGGCAGTCAGACACAGACAATTCTCGATGAACACGTACGCCGAATAGCGATGGGCACGGGTGACGAGATGTTCTTGGCTGTTCAGTGGCTGGTAGAGCGAGATGTTGAGAGGGCGGACGTCCGAATGGCGAACGTCCGCATAGATAGAGTTCGACTCCACCAAAGTCGCCGAATCTAACTTCATATAAAAGAACGAGCTTCTCGAGGACTTCTCTTCATTCTCTATTACACTCAATTGACATACCTCCCAAATTAGATTCTGCAATCCAATATTTCTCGAATTAAGTCGCCAAAATGGACGCTACAAATGGACACAGCAATGTCGAAGCCCCATTGGATGGACACACCTATGGCGAGGCCCCATTGAATGGACACACAAAAGACGAGGCCCCATTGAATGGCCACACAAAAGACGAGGCCCCATTGAATGGTCACTCCAACGGTCACTCCAACGGACATGCAGCTCCAGCAGTTCCTGAGGTGTCGGCACCAGCAAATGGAAGCGCTCATGTTGAGCCAGAAATCACAAGAGTTCGGGGTCCTTTGGGACTTGGATCTGCAAGCCTTGCCGGGAAGGTCGCCCTCGTGACTGGTTCAGGTATGTGATCTTTTTTCCCTCGCTTGAAACATGTCGGATTCTAAATTCATGGACAGGACGAGGGATTGGACGAGAGATGGCTCTCGAGTTGGGAAGAAGAGGAGCCAACGTTGTTGTCAACTACGCCAACAGCGCCGAGGCGGCCGAAGAAGTTGTTGCTCAGATCAAGAACTCGGGCAGCGATGCAATCGCCGTCATGGCCAATACGTCCAATGTTAAGGATATTATCTCTCTGTTTGCCCAAGCCGTTGCTTATTTCGGACATCTTGACATCGTCTGCTCTAACTCCGGTGTTGTCTCATTCGGCCACATCAAAGACGTCACAGAGGAGGAGTATGACCGAGTCATGAGCATCAACACCCGTGGACAATTCTTTGTTGCCAGAGAAGCGTACAAGCACCTGTCTGTTGGCGGCAGTCTCATCATGATGGGAAGCATTACCGGGCAAGCGAAGGGCGTGCCAAAGCACACATTGTACTCCGGTAGCAAAGGTGCCATCGAGACCTTCGTTCGTTGCATGGCCATTGGTTAGTTGATTCTGGATTCGTCTCGGAAACTTGACTGACAACCTCTTTAGACATGGGCGATAAGCAGATCACTGTGAACTGCATTGCTCCAGGTGGAATCAGGACAGATATGTACCACAAGGTCTGCAGAGAGTACATTCCTAACGGTTCTAACTTGAACGACGCGGAGGTTGACGAGGTAAGAGAAATTGACGCTAGAGTGATCTTCAACCGCTGACAGTGATGGCAGTATGCTGCAACATGGAGTCCTTTGCACCGTGTTGGTCTACCAATTGATATTGCGCGGGTTGTCTGTTTCCTTGCAAGTCAGGATGGTGAATGGATCAACGGAAAGGTTCTCGGGATTGATGGCGCAGCTTGCATGTAGGGAGGGAGTTAAATATACCATAATAATGCATAGAATTCCTTGATAGTACTGCCTTGTAGCATAGTATCCGAAGTCTTTTAATCCACGCGAACATTTTCGTCCTGTGATCTATAGAAAACACGAAGATACAACGGTGGGTCTGTATATATCGCACACCTCGAGACTTCTAAGTAAGCGGCGACAGAATCTATTGAAAGGACTGAGCAGCAGTCCGTTGAAATCACGTATCAAAGCAGATGACGTTGATGGACATTGAGGCACCAAACGACGATGGTTTCACATTTTGATTAGATCTGGGTATGACTTGCCCGAAATCGCAGCTTGCATGTCCAAGGATTGCCGCTGACATCAGGCAGTCAGATGGCTCCGCGTTCTTTCAAATTCCTAGTCCGTTCGTCCATGTTGGCAGGGTAGCCCTTCTGATTGAAATTATTATATACTATAAGTAGTCTGGAATACGTTAGTAGCCGGCTTCATGATAAGGAGTAATCTCAACATGAGACCGCCTTGCATCTCTTCATTTGGCAGAAAGTACAAAAATGTACATACCCTGGAGTGAAAGCCTTTGTCTTATCTTGGATTGATTTGGGATTTCTGGGATTGGCATTCCTGGCAAGTACAGAGAGACCATGTTGGGCAGGTGAGAGTCGCAGTCTTACTTGGAGTTCGACTGTCGGAGCCGATGCTGGAAAATGTCGGCCTCTCCTGAGTTCCCACTCGTGGCTCATTCATGTTTGCGTCATGGTCTTCGTCTTTCCACAGCTCATCTTCCCAGTCTTCCTAGTCATACTTGGGATAACCGCTGTCGGGGAGGTTGGTTGGGAGGCTGGCATTTATCGAACTCTCCCGGGCTTCAGCGAGTTTCCCCTTCAACGTTGTATTATCGGCCTTGTGTTTCGCAAGCTCACCATACATACGCTCAAAGCAACTTCTCGGTGCTTTTGACATAATGTACGGCCGACTGGTAATCGCTCTCAAGCTGAGTCAACTTTTCTCGATAGGTTTTCTCGGTTTCTTTTTCCCTGGCCTCGTAGGTCGCTTTGGCTTCTTCTGCCTCCTCCTTGATCTTCGTATAGTCGGCCCTACTTTTATTCAACTGGATTGTCACGTAGATCACTTTGGCTTCCATCTTCTTCATATCAGCTTTATATTTCGCCAACTCCTCTTTCATACGCTTGAGCAGCTTCTCAGTGCCCTTAACATAGTGTACTGCGGATTGGTAATCATTCTCCAGCTGGCTGAGCTTCTTGCGGTTGGTCTCTTCGGCTTCTTGTTCCCGAGCCTCATAGCTGGCTTTCAGTTCTTGGTGAGTTTGAAGGCTTTGTGAAAGCTGTAGTTCCAATTCACGTAAACGTTCAGTTTCTGTTGGGATTGGCGGGGAGGACGTGGTGTCAAGGGTACCAGGTTTCTCGCCGCCCTGGTCTGTCCACTTTTGTAGAAGGTAGACAGACTGTCGCGATGAAGTTGAGGATTGTCGCCATGAATGCGTTGAAGTCCAGTTGCTCTCCAAACTGCGGGGGCGAGGGTCTGCATCGATACTGCTACCGAGCAGGATGTCATTTAGATATGCTGATCTTCTGTTTGCTTCGTTCCTTGGGCTTGGAGGAATGGATGGATGAGTTGGTGCCGTGGCTGATTGTCCCTCGGAGTTTGGATTGATTTCCTCGTCCGCTGACAAGGGGTGGTCGATGTCCGTGGATTCTTGCTCCTCTTCGAGTCTCTCAAGTTCGGCAATAGTGGCCTGTTGAGCAATGATCAAAGTTTGAGTGACAGCTTCCTCTTGATCATCTTCTTCTTGCGACTCAATCGTCGAAAGCCTATTCAAAGAGTGAGTCAAACTAATACGATCCAAAAGAAAGTATTGCACTCACTTTCTCGTTGCAATCTTCTGTGCAAAGTCCAAAGTCGTAAGCATAATATGTAACGTGATTTTGCATGATTCGAGTCTCGTTCACAACAACTGAAGCTTCGATTTCTTGGACGTCCATCTGACGCGTGAGATGAACTGCGAGGACGGCTCCAGGGTGGCAGCCTTGCGCTTTTGCAACCCATCGATGATCGACTCTATATCCTTGAAGATTTCTTGGCACTGATCTAGAACCTCATGGATCGTATCAATTGCACTGATCGATTGTCTGAATGACCTCGCGTTGGTAAAAGTGGACTGTAGCTGCTTCAGGACAGAGCAAAACAAGGTTATCTCGGTACCAATCGTCCTGGCTTCTGTACCAGCCGAGCCAATCGAGGCTCCGAACTGGAACAGGGTGAAAGAGACTCTAGTGCCTGCTCCGATGACTCCAATGATGTTGGAAATCGTCCCTGTTTCCGCCATTTCATGTGTGGAACGGAAATATATCAAGGAACTATATTGAGGCAAAGGATGAGGAACTTCTTGTCTCGTTGTGAAGGGCGGTTCAAATAGGCGCGGCAACTGGTTCAAACGAGGCGCAGCGGACCCCTTTTTCACACAGGATGGTTATCATTGGCTGGATTAAGATCACGGGATTTCCAAGAGCTCCAAGATTTTGAAAGGCACTGAACATGACTAGAACTAACCTGGATTTTTCCTGGGGCTATATAAATCCTGATATAAGCCTTGGTATTGTTATAGAGGGGGAGAATCTGGAGTGGGTGGTTTAAGTCACGTGATCAAACTACTGTGATTCCCTTTCGTCGAGTCGATTATTTCTCAGCTGGGGATGGATTACTAACAATGCTGACCATTATCCTCCCCTTCTACGCGAGTCTCAATCTAAGTAAGGGACTTGAAGCTCGGTGTTCAATCGGGATGCTATTAAAATTATTTATTGACTATCTCCGAGCTCACAACCCTTCTACTGTAGCTGGCCTTGGTGGAAATGGTGTGGTCCAGGTCGCTGAGGGGAATGTGAAATGTATACGGCGACGAGGGCCGCGAAATTCCCACTGCCCAAAAGCAATTCTGAGCTTGGAATGTGTAGGAAAGGTTTTGTAACTGTCTGCGAAACCAAGCAACTCATCAGCGTTGAAGCGCAGACAATATCCACATCATCGCCTTGTCTGAAATCCACTCTTTTCAGCTACTTCAATAAACTTGAATATGAACAAGGACAATCTCTAAAGAGTGGCCTACGAAATTCCAAAGCCAGTAAATTCAGCAACTCAGCAGAAGTCCATTCTCAACTGGCCTGATGTTTATTAGAACTTCTTACAAGCCCCGGAAGCAGTCATTCATGATGGTCCACAGGCACTCCATAACACGAGCCCGATCGCAATTGAAAGTGGGTCTCCTGGCATCACAATAAGGCGACTCGGTGATAAGCGTCTTCGTTCTGGTTCCTGCTTGGTCTGGTTTGCGTTGTTGTCATTGGAGTCGCTGTTGGTGTGGAGCTGTCGGTGGATCTATCTCAGCTGGGAAAAATCACTAGAGTCTAGGTGGAGAATCTAACTCAGATCGTGAGTCCGAGATAAAATTCCAAGCAGCGATAGCGACTGTTTTTCTTCTTTTCCCTCAAAAGCCAATAATGCTTAGCGGTACGAAGACTCGGTCTACATCCGCAATAGCATCCACTTCATTTGCGACAGGGACCGCAGTGGCATCAAGAATTTGTCCCGCATCTAACGGCGCAATTCACACCTCCCTTTCTACCATTGGGTCTCCTCCCTCGGCGGGCTTGACTTTCACAAAACATTGCAGGAGAGATGTGCAAGTTGGCTTCAATCTTGCATCATCTTTCATCCTTGCCTTTGACGCATGCATCGAGCTCTGCGCGTCTTTGAATTGTATAACCAGAACCAAGATTACTTGGCCGCAACTTACCTGATAACGGGAGCGGCGCCATAGAACTGCTGGGTTCACAATGTAACGACAAAAACACTCTCTAATCGAGATACAGATACCGCTGTTTCGGTAACTTCGGTTTGAAAGATTTCTATCGGCGAGCGGCAATCCGATGTGGTGTTTGAACAAGAATAATTAGCTGATACTCTTTCTGAGCTTGTGATTTGAGCTTGCGGTGAGTGTCTCGGGTGTATCTCTCATACTCGTGTGTCTGTTAAACCGAACAGAGGTGAGGATGTTCGAAATTTCCGTGGTTTGAATCAAAGCGAAGCTTCACCCATACTTGAGTAGCCTCGTTCTATGACCGCAATGTCAGACAGGGCAAGTGCAAGACAGTGATTCCAGAGTCCCACTCCTCGAGTGTTCCGGTTCGTGGTCATGGCGAGTATAAAACAGAACCAGCAGAGACCACTGGGCCCCCCAACCCGTTGCCCAGTAATGAAGCACTCTAAGTCAAGCAGGTACATTGACGAAATTCTGCCGGCATGCAGGCCGTGTTTGGGAAGCGCTCGGAATCCTGAACCCGAACCCGGCACACTTGAGCCTCAATCTGGGGTGTCCAAAGGCCGAACTGGAGAGATCCGTGAGGGCATCTCGCTGGTTGGTGGTAATGAAAATAGAATTAAGGTGACACAAGGTTGTATGCATGTGACTGCCACGTCGTCGACCTGATTCTGACCAGAATGATGCAATGCAGCAAAACGGTCCTCATTGTCATCTCCTCGAAACAACTCCTGATATCGAAAAAGAAGCATATGCATCCTAACCGCTGGGATGCGAGGTCACGGGCGGCTCTCGCCGAGGTGGCCCGTCCAAGATGGGGCGGAGATGGATGGTTATCGGTCTGCTGGGCGATCTCTATCCAAGCCCAGGGAGGTGTTGAGCATGAATGTTCCTATCTTGGGTTGCAGCAGCATGCGCCTATCCGTGTTGATGGTCCAGTCACAGGTCGTGGATGTGCTTCAGGGCTGCGATGACGGGGTCCAGATGGGCGCGCCTTGCAGATGCGGGAGAGCTGCGAGCTAAAAATAAAAATAGATCTCGGCTGCTATTTCCACGTAAGGCGGTAATATATCCACTCTGGCTGGGAAGAGAAGAGGCCTGGCCATTGGCGAAGTATGAGTGAAATAGCGAGCTTGGGCAGACTTCTATCAACAACCCCGCTCTGGGCCTGGCCCTCAAAGCGCCACGTATCTATTTTTGCGCACATCGACGTAGTCCCCCCATTCATCCAATCAACTTCTCGTTGCGTCCCGAAAATAGCATCATCTTCTTCCCGTATCGCGTCTCCAAGCGCCTACTCTCCAGGTCTTCATCTCAATGGTCGATGCGGGAGCGGCCGAGGTACTTCTATTTTGGATAGCTTCAATGCGCTAAACATACTTCAAAGGTAGGGTGTCTCGCGTTCCTCTAATGTATTCTTGGTAGCAGCGTCAACGAACTTTTGCTCGTGCTCTTTATATCTCTTCAACGACGACTTCGAGACCTATTGTCACGATACTCAACCTCTCTATCGCGCATGCGTGAGTTGAGTGCGAACCTTCGAAATCCTATCATCCCTTTTCCCATAAAATTTCCCGAACTGCACAGCTCGACGTCATAGATCAACGAGATCATCACCAATATTGAGAAAATACCTTCATTATGCCGATTTCAAAACAATACATATCGTCGCCGCTTGAAGCGGGACCTTCTCTTCTCGACATCAAACAGCTTCCTCCACAGCTATTGTCTGCTCTCGAATATGTTTCGAAAAGACTGGCAAGGAAGCGTTTACATATTTCCCTGATTGTTGTCCGCAAAGACATCAACATCCCAGGAATACCATTATCAGAACCACCGAAAGCACCTGAGCCACCGACTCCATCTGTTACCATATCTCCAGCCAAGGCATTCTTCAGCAATGCTTCATCCACACTTGCCAGGACAAACAGTAATTACGGGCTCAGTTTGCTACATATGAGCACTTTGACAGAAAAGGCCGAAAAGATACTCCGCGCCACAATCGCTAAAGCAGAAAATAAATTCCCCATTGGGTAAGTCATCACCTCGCCTTCCCCCCCCCCCTTTTTTTCTATGTCTTTTGTCACAAACAAAACTAATTTTCTCCCAAGATCAGGTTGGCTCTCCTCCCACCCTCTCACAAACACCATCACCTGCCCCGCAACCAACGACCTTATCCGACGCTCCCTCACCCAAAATGAGGTCCTCTTCTCCTCGGAAGGCCTCACCCTCCTCTCCCTTGACCACGTCTACACCTTCAAATGCCAACTGCACAGCTACTCGCGCACGCTCTCACCCGTGGACCTGACCTCCGCCGTCGACGAGCTGCGCCGGCTGGTCCTCGCTCAGAACGGCCGACGAATCACAAAGGGGTACTTGATGCGCGCATACGAATGGCTAGGCGTCAGTCTCGCGGCCCTCGTGGACGTGAATGAAGGGTACAAGACCGCATATGGCGGACAAGCCCGCACCGGCGGCATCGAAGTCGCGAACGAGGAGCGCAAGTCGCCGCCTCCTCTCAAGACGAGCTTCGCTATGAAAGACATCAGAAGGATGAAAATTTCCGTCGGATTCGGAGACCAGAGTCCCACCGCAGAGACAGATAGTTCTAGCAGCAGCGAGAACTCGAGCGACTGTGACGAGGAAGGCTCTGCGCTCGTGGAAGTTGGCGAGAGCGCCAAGGGGAAGGACGCAGGTGTCGATGGGATGCGACCAGATCGCGGACCACACCGAAGAGGTCCTACTACGCCCAATGGCTTTGAAGATATCACTCCCGTTACCAAGGGAGAATGGTGTTTCCTGATGGTAGGAGATGGGTGGAAGGAGGCGAAGACAGCAGCGGTGGTGACTTGTTGATGCATTTTGCAAGCGAAGCGAGCATTGTAAAGGGGCATCCTCATCTTTATTTTTAGGTATAGGGTTGGTTTAGCGCTGCATCGGACTCTAGCGGTTTTTCCTTGCCAGAGCTGAAAACAAGAGCTGCGATCAGATTTTTCTGGCTTTCATTTTGGGTCTGGGTCTGGGTCTCGGTTTATAAATATATACGCATTTGGGAACCGGCGTCAAACAAAGGTTCAAGAAATCAAAGCATATCTTCAACTTACTTCCCTCCCCTGGCTCATCACGTGTAAAGAATTTCCAACCGCTTCTTTCCAAGAGAGATTCTAGAAGGCTTGGGATGAGTGAAAGTTGGTGAAAAGTGTGCCGTTCCGTCCCAGAACTCTGGTTCCCCGACGACAAGGCCGGGTCTAAAAATATACTTGGCCCCCAGCGGCCAGTTTTATTGGCCCGCAAGACTCACGAATGGCGTGCATGAGTGCTCACGGACACCATATGCACAACACCTCCCCCCTCTGCTACTTGCAACAATACCGTACTATTGGATCGTTGTTTGATCACGTGCCCCACCTGGATACCGCAGTCTTGGTTCAGCCACCCCACCATCACACATCGCATGAACAGTCACATACCTTAGGTTGGAGATATTCAGTTGATTTGCTAAAACAGATTCAATTCGTGCCTCCATTCGGTAGCGCTACCCTGGTTCACTGAAGTGGTTCATTGGTTCACCTCCTCTCGCCCGCCAGCCTTAGCAGTTTGCCAACAGAGGCTTCTTCTTCTCAACTTTCACCACTCACTTTTACTCTCTACTGTTATAACCTTCTTTTCTTGAAAATACTGCGCCTTCTAATGCCCCGTCCTCGGTCAGACAGTCTACTTCCCACCCGGCCAATGCATCTTCAGCACCTGTTTGCTCGTATCGGCCACAACCTGCTCCGTCAAGTTCGAATTCGGTATCCACTGTCACAATCAGCATTCCTCCTTCGTCACCCCCTTTCTCCTTCCACTCCCCCCTCTCTCCCTTCCACTCCCCCCTCTCTCCCTTCCACTCCCCCCTCTCTCCCTTCCACTCCCCCCTCTCTCCCTTCCCCTCGTGAAACAAAAAAAACAGCACTAACACCTTCCAATCCCAGATACCCATACCCGAAACCCCAATATACCTCGCCCTCCCACTCGTCCAAACCGTCCTCCCATCTCCTATGCAAAACAGGAGCCAGCGGCGTATCCACCGTGATATTCTCTACGATCGCAACAGTATAGCTACCTTCGGCTTGATGTCTGGGTTCATGAAGGAGCCGGGGTTCATGGCTTGCCAGAGGGCGATGAGGCGGTCTGTATTGGCGTGGTGAAGGAAGCTGTCCCAGTATCAAACACCAATTACCAATCGCGAAATTGGGGTGAGAGGGGAAAGGAGGAAGGGGAGGGGGAGGGGAGGAACAAACACAATCGGATCAAAAACCAAGTAAGAAAACGTAGCCATGTGTCCCGGGTTACTCGGGTTGAAACCCCCGATTGCACAATGCACTTGATTATGCACGAACTCAAACGCGGTGCTTCCTGAGAAGCTGGTCGCCATTTCGTTGTAGTTTATTACGTTGAAGCTGAATTCTGTGCCCCTCGTGATCTTTTCTACCCTAAATTCGGTGTGAAACGGAACTTATAGTATTCGCCTTCAACCCAGAGCCTCCTAGGTTGCTGTTCACGCTGTTAGGGTTAGACGTCCCGTTATCTAGGGGTCTCATTGAAGTGGGATAGATGTTTAGTACCCCGTCTCCGGGATAATCGTCATGGAACAAAATTGAATTCAGAGGGTACTGCTGAAGTTTATATAGGAGAGGGTTTGGAACGTTTGCTTGTCCTGCTGGTGTGGTGATGAGCACTGTTACTTATTGATAACTTCTGGCATTCTGCAGTCTGATGCCCAGTCCCAATATGGGATTCAGAAATTGTCTGCTGCAGTTTGGTACTCCTTGGAATTGTAGGTTTTGGCAGGAGTTTGAATATGGACTGCAAGAACTTGCTGAAGATTATTAGAGGAGTCTTGAGTTTACGCAGCTTGATATTACCTCAAATAAAGCCAGGTATGGTCGATGCCACATTGGAAAAGAGGACTGTAATGGGTGCAACAGCCGGACACCATGGATTTTGGATTTCTTTGGACATTGTCTAATGAAATCCATGCCTTTCCATGGATTCTTGCATCAGATGTTAGCTTGGTGTAGAGGTTTAGAGTGAGCTACTGTCCCAGAAATTTAGAACCAGGAGAATTGATTATCTTTTGGAGTCTGTTGAAGAATTATAAGTGCTTGGATATAGAGACACCTAGAAAATCAGCGGCTCTCCGCTTTATAATATTCTCTCATTCTCATACCAAAATGGAATGTCTTTCTGGAATTCATTGATATTCCTTATCAATGGTCTCGCACCCGTCTGGTTATTGATTGCTGTATAGACCCCAGAAATCGGATAGTGCTGAGCAGCTATAACACTTAAAATACTCTCCCAACACCAAAGAAAGCCAAGAAGTGTTTGAACATCCTGGTAGCTCAATTCATAGAGCAGTTGACTCGATTCCATGGAGTCGTGGGTTGCGAGGTACAATTTGCTGTGCTCTCAAATTAATTAATGCCCTAAAGACGTGACTAAACTAAACTGGAGGAATACATATATTCTTCGCATCTCAATCACGGATTTCAGATCTCATTTATTGCTGATTCGGTAGCAACATATCTACGTTGCACAAACCGGGCCCTTCAAGACTTGGCATCAATGTAGAATCGATGCCAAGACGAAGAATCTTCATTGTTTCGATTGGGGTGTATCAAGTCTCAATTAACCATCTCCCGCCAAGCCTAATAATCAGATTGAACCACTTAATGCGAATGAAGTTAAGTCTAGGATAAGATATATTATTTCGAGCTCCGGCAACTCTAGATTTTATCCCTGAATTGCCGGCCAGCCTGAGAGATCACAAGATCTGATAATAGCCGAAATGTACACAATTGTGGGATACAACGGAACCCTGACTGCTGAATCTGCTGCTCTAGAAATAACGAAATGGAGTGACAGAAGCTGTGTGTGGAAGCCATTTAGAAAGGAACTGCTGTTCGATTGCTCTGTTCTCCCAAGCCTGGAAAACGTTGCCTCCTGCATTACGCCTCAAGTTTCAAAAATAGATTTCTCAACCACTAGTTCTGCCGCATCAATAATGGTCGTGATTTATTGTAGAAATTAGATATATCCTACCTTTCGAGGCCTAATCCCAATTAAGAGTCACCCATTGAAAACATAAATATTGCCTTCTAGCCCACACTCTTACAGCACAACCGCCGCCAAAGCCGCCGCCCCCAGCATTGTGATCGCAGCATGAAACTTATTCGCACCTCCAGTAAATTGAGCGGGGCTACCGGCCGTGGTTTCGCCAGGAAGTGGTCCTGCAGTCGGGCTTGCGCTTCCTAAACCACCCGATGAACCGCTTGCTGCATATCCTAATACGCTTGAGGAATTCCCTGACCAACTCCCGGAAGCATTTCCACAACTGTTCCCTGGTGCTCCTCCCAAACTGCCTTCCGAGTCGCTTTCTGAACCGCTCCCTGATTTATAACCCGATCCGTTCCCAGGCTTCCCCCATCCACCAGTTGAACCGCTCGCTGACCCACTGCCGGATCCTGGTCCTGATCCTCCCCCACTACTAGTGGAATTGGATGAGCAGGATGGAGTGGAGGAAGGATGTGAGACTGGCGAGGGCGAGGCTTGAGAAGTGGTCTTCACAAAATGCGAATGTGAGGTGATCTTCTCCGAGTGCGAATGAGAAGTGATCTTCTCAGAGTGTGAACGGGAGACCGGGGGTGTGACGTGCGTAGTATTCAAGCATGACGACGTCGAATTGGTAGGATACGAGAGCATTGTCGAGTTTGTAGGGTGTAGAGACGACGTGGAATTGGTAGGATGTAGAGAGGACGTCGAGTTAGTAGGATACAAGAGCGTCGTTGAATTGGTAGGGTGTGGTGAGGACGTTGAATTGGTGGGATACGATACCATCGTCGAGTTTGTGGGATGTGGAGAGGAGGAGAACGTCGAACTTCTTGAGGCAACTAGGATTGTAGCCGAGCTCGAGCAAGCTGGACTTGCAGTAACACAAGCACACAGTGCATTGGCAGAGTTCAGTACTGCAATTGCTGTCAAGCCACAAGCTCCCACAACACAACCGGCACCGGCAGCTTGAATTGAGAGGAAGTTGGAGCATTGGCAAGCAATATCAGTAGATGAACAGCTAACCAAAGAGGCAGCAGAGAAGAGGCAGGATGTCTATTTTGGTCAGCAAGTATATCAAAAAGAGAGACCACTCATCTTACCCCACATGGTGGAATTGCCGATTGCTGTGCCGCGCAAGGGCTTCCAGCTATACAACTAGGAGGTGATGTGATTGTCCGGGGGGGTGTTGCCGATGAGGATGTGAAGGTTGTATTGGGGCTATAGACTGGCTGGCTCGACGAAGAGGAATTGAAGGTGGAATTTGAGCTATAAACCCGCTGGCTGGATGGCGAAGAGAATGTGAAGGTAGAATTTGAGCTATAGGTCGGTTGGCTGGATGAGGTGCTTGCTGGCAAGATGGTTGTCGGATACGAGGTTGATGCATTTGTTGTGGGTGCTAATGTGCTGGCACTCGCGGGGCTTCCTGGGGAGGCTGACGACGTTGAAGAGTTCGTAGGAATTGCTGTTGAAGATGTTGTAATGACAATCGTTGAACTTGTTGTGGCATTCACATTGGCAGCAGAAGTAATGCACGAACAGACAGCCCCAGCATCAACCTTGGCAGCAAGCGCCGTTACCAAGCCGCAAGCGCTCGTTGCGCATCCCAGAGCCTTAATAACTATAGAATTTGATATAGCTGGTTGACACTGAGACGTTGTCAGCAGGAACTAACGAACCGGCTCTCCCAAGAGACGGGATTGGGGTTCGATAGTAAAGGCCCTTAGATCAGCAGACTAACAGATTTGAACTTACTTGACAGGAGAAGTCTCCGTCAGCACAACCAAGGACCGAAGCCGCTGAACTAATACAGCCCGTCTTCACAAGGTCAGCAAACTCGAAGAGGAAACGAAAACCGATAGAGCCTCACAGCACAGGACGGTACAAGAGTAGCCAGGGCTGTACAGCTTTCTTGGGCAGCTGTGACGCCAACGAGGCTCAGGATTGACAAGGCAGTGATCAGCTTCATGGCTCGCGAGGCGACAGGTCCTAATGAGAGTCGAGGAAAATCTGTCTGTTGGAGAAGGTTGACGGAGAATTTGGGAAGGTGATACTATATTCCTGGCTTTGCCTAGTATGCCATCACTTGTATGGTTTCTGCATGGCTACCCAGCCTCGGTGAAATGATATCCATCTTAGAGAAACTCAGAAACTTCCTTGTGATTACAGTGAATGCAAGTGCATCAAGGATGGGAGATCTTGCAGCTCGCAACGGGTGCAAAGAGTGCAGGAACCTCCGCAAAACCCTGTCTCGGCGTGAAAAAAATGTGATGAGTGTGCCTCTGTGGTTGACGATGGGTAGCTTGTTCTGCTATCTCAGCGTTAGATGTCTGCACCAAGAGGTGCAAGGAGAACACAAGCATATGTTTAGAACGCTGACGTAGAACTAGGAGAGCCAGACTGAAATAAGAAGTTACGCCGAGTTACCCGTGAACATGATCTTGAATCTAATGCTCAAACCAGGAATAGTGCTCTGTGGAGAACCTGGGCAGACCTGGTTGCGAACATACACCGTAAGAAGTATATGTGCAGACGCCAGGAACGTTGGTACTGGGGGAATCTTGTTCATCCCTGTCGGCAATCGCGGCCGTGCCCTGTGTGTACAGAGGCACAATGAAGAAGCAAAACGCGAAGAAATCTTTTTAAAAGAAAACAATATTCCAGCTGGTCATCCGGCAGTGCTCGAAGCACTCAGACCCGCACTTGAGGAAACAGGGAACAAAGTCCCTAGTAGATATTGGATTCAGATTGTCCAGCAGCGCCAGAAACTCGCCCAACGAGCAAAACGCAGAAGCATTGCAAAGATGGAAAATCCCAACGTTGCCAGCACTGGATTTACAGACGGCAAGGACGCCCGGACTGTGCCGGATCGCCAGAACCAAGTCAGGACAAGACTACGCAATATCTGACCCCAGTTGCATCTTTTCCTGGGTCGACTTTCCCGTGGGTGGAGGATGCCTGTTGATGAGGAAAGCGGAGTTGGACAACAGAACAAACGTTGTCGCCTTAGAGCCAATCAATTGTCGCTGTCGAGAAGGGCAGAGCATTCGAGGAAGTATCGCCGGCTTCCTTAGTTCCATTGTTATTACTCGAGATGCGCCTTGCGGTGTGGTTGTGGCACGACGGGGTCAACTTCGGCATCACATGTGACGCTGAGGAGTGGTGAAGCCTGTCAGGAATGAGGGGATGTCAGAACGGATGTGATTGCGGGGGTCTCAATCGGGTTGTCTGGAGAAGAGCTTTCGATTCGCATGTGCTCCATGCGAGGTGGCGATGTTGGTTGGAGAGACGCTGAAAGGAAGGAAGGAAGAGGGAAAGGCCATGGAGGGAAACCACGTGCAGCGGCGGGTTAGGATTGGCGGTCACGTGAGCACCATCTCCCTTCCATTTGCATTGAGCCTTGCTCTTTTTATCATAAGCCTTTTGGCTACTTTCACAAATAAACGCTCTCTACATTACCATCGTATACCCTAAAAGTTTGTGTTCGAATCCTTTTAGTGTGAACTTTCATTACGGTATTCTACGTCTTGCCTACAACCAATCAGGCGCACTCTCAATGGGGACGCTGATCCGTTCCTCGGTGGGTAGCAGTGCTAAACAGGTCTGATCACAAAAGAGACTTCTCCAAGACAATTGCCTTAATGAGTACCTATTTCTAAACCGGGACCTCATGTCCATCTCCCATTTTCCACCCAGTTCCAATTCAAGCTTTCACCTCGATCCTCATCCCCCCCCCCCTTCAACGCTCTCAAATGTCCTCACTTTCTGCAACTCTTCCTTGAGAATAGGTTCCACAATCTCGGTTCCACAATCTCAGTTCCTTCCTTCGTAAATCTTGAAAAGAACATTTCTCTTGCAAGCATCATGTTCTCCGTCATTTCATCCAAGCTCGTAGCCATCGTGTACGTCACACAAGTCTTGATTTCCACATTGTTGCCGGAGCCTCTCTCTTCAAGCTGTTCAATGATCCATGAGGCATGGGGAATCTCAGGCTTCAGTGCTATGAACGAATCGGGTGTTTCATTTGGGCGGACTGCTCGTGCTGCGTTGTAGAATGCTGTCAACCAGACTCGATCTTCTGGAAATCAGCATCTCTTTCCTCATGTGAAGAAAGAATTTCTTACCAGCTCAGGTAGAAACCAGAGCACCTCCTCCTATCTTTGAGTCTCGAAAAATCTCGTTCACGATCTTTGTGCTAGATTCTAGGTCACCAGGCACAGGCAACCCCAGATTGGTGATGACATGCGTGAACGTCTCATCTCTCAAAGTAGAAAGATCGCGGACATCCAGTATTTCGGTATACATGTTGCTCCATCCATTCGCCTTTATTGTTTGCTGAATTTCGTCGATCATTCCTGGAGCTATGTCCGTTACTAGGATTGTAGCGTGTGGATGCAACAGTTTGAATTGCTTGCTGACGGTGCCGAGACCGCATGCATTGTCGAGTATGTAGGAAGTGCTCGTGATAGGAGATTTGGCATTTGAGATCATTTGAGCGGCAAGTAGTCGGGTGCAATTGTCGGACACGCATTCATAGTTGGAACTATATGGTGTTGCTGTGTTCGAAGACATGGTTATGTACGCAGCACAATAGTCGACTTGAGACTCGTGAAATTGTCTTTACGAATTAAAGAAAGATTGCTCTGCCCATATTGTAGCATTGGTATGCAAGCGTGTTTTATAGAGTCTGAAGTTAGACGGAGGACAGAACGCAGGCCCCCGGAGACTTTGGCTCAAATGTGTCCGAAGGGCTGTCATCCATTCAAATCTCCCTCAACAGAGATGTCAAATCAGTTCAATGACTAATTTTCGATGACTTAGAAACTCCTCGCTCCCCCATAGTCTACAGAAAGCAGGCCAAAAGCAGATTTGCACCGCGTACCTGCGGGAGATTAAAGACTGTCGAAGTTCTGCTGTCCCAATCAAACCCAGTGATTAGAAAGGCGTAGGAAGTTGGTCATCAAAGCAACGAATACAAAAACCAGCTACCCGAGGGTAAGTTTAAACAATATTTATTTCAATTAATGATTGGCTGGTCTGACCTTCCTTCTCTAATGTCCTCCTCGACTAAGTACAGACAACAAGAATTAAATTATGGAAGTAATGAACGTGGAACAATATCTTAAAATTACAAAAGGCTAGGAAACAAACATACAAAGATCTGCAATAATATAAAACTGGAACGAAAGAAATACCTCCTAACATATACACCTATTCCTCCATTACCAAACAGCAGGGCCAAAATGCTCTCCAGCTGCAACGGTCGCCTGTACAGCCGTATCCTGCGCATCCATCGTCGCGCTGACGATGGTGTTTCCCCACCAGTTTGGCGCTTCGATATTGCCCATTGTAAACGCAAAGAAGATGAACAGTGTGCTCAATGCCAGTCCCAAGTCCAACCCAGAGCTGGTCAGGTAGTTCAATCGCGACCACCATCCGAAGTATTTTGTCCTGATATACTTCTGGAACACATATCCGACGATACCCCAGGAGAGATAGTTGAGCGGTGTTGCTGGAGGGATGGAGGCTGCTCCTCCAAAGAGCAAAGGTGCCATGAGGTACTTGATGGGGGATTTGGGCCATTTGCGGGCGGCGAAATAGAAGATTATGGGAGCTATTGCACCGGCGAGAAAAAACCAGAAGAGCCCGGAGTACACTTGGCCTGGAGAGAAGATTCGTGCAGGACCGATGAGACCCCAGATGACGGAAGCTAAACCGATCAGTCATTTGAATTGTTGTGGGTGCCGGGGCGTTACTTACCCGAGAAGAAGACTCTCCCACCTGGACATGTGAAATGTTCAGGTTGATGAGGTGTGCATACGTCTTTGATGTTGGTGAGTGCAAAGTTAAGTACAGCGACTTGAATGAAGCACGAGAACGTCGTGGCAACGACTTGGGCCATGAACATGGTGCGTGGCGGGATCTTTGGCTGTCAGCAAAATCCCCACAGATAATTCATGGCTTGATTACACACCTTCATGTAGTGACCGAATTTGAGATCAGAAACAAATCCAAGTGCTTGCGACCTAGTTCATTCCGTCAGTGGGGAACGTTGGAAACATTATTTAGCCGCTTACATCGTAATATATCCATATGTCTTGAAGATCATCAGAGCCAGAGGGCGACCCGGCTGGATGTATCCGAAGATAAATTCGGTAAGGACGTTCAAGCCGATTTGAGTGTTCGTAATTGCTTGAATGATTCCAATGGGAAGAGAGAACGCGAACGAGATACCCAGCGCAAGCAAGAAGGCCCACCACGCTGAAAGTCTCAATGTCAGCATATTTTATAGACCAGGCATCTCACACCTTGAGGAATAAGGCAGAAATTGTACATACTCAGGTTTGTAGGAAACGCCAGGACAGTAATGAGACTTAGTGCGACCATAACAGCGAACAGACTCATGTACCACCATGTCGGAGCTTCTCTGTACTTTTGCATCATTTTCATATGAATATCAGGCTCCTCTTTGGTGCTGTTTCGGAATTGCTGCCAAATTTGCTTTCCGTGATTGAGATAGGTGTATACAACCAATGAAGCAATGGCTGCGAATGACAGTCCGTAAGACATAGCAAAAGTAGTTGAGAGGAAGAGCGGCGAGTACGCTTTGTATGCTGCCAGGTCGAGTCTAAACTCAGGAGTGAGAATCCTTGTCACGTTATAGGAAGAACCGGTGTTGTCGTAGGTCGCGCTGTCGCTCATGGGCAGGAACTGCGCACTCCATGTGCCAGTATAGTGCAACGCTGAGGCGCCAATGATGTAGAAGACCACAACACCGATCAAGGTGTTCCCAATGGCAAACCACGGGGGAATCAAAGGGCTGCCAACGAATCCAGAAATCTGAGTCCAGTCGAAAGTGATTGGGATAAGTGAAAGTCCTGTTGAACCTCCAAACATCTGGTTGACGACAGGATTGTTGGGTGCGATCCAGGTAGCGAAAGCAAAGACGCTGAGGAACTGAGCGAGAAATCCAGGGATAAAGTAATACACGAAAGCTCCAGCACAGACATATCCAAACCATCGATAGCGAGCAATGCTTCCTCCGAATACCGTCGGATCCTTTTTGGCACTATTTTCGTACATTGCATTCATCAGAGTCACACTCACAAGATTTCCAGGCCAGATCATGGCGGCGGGATATCTATCTGTTTGTTAGCGAGCCCACCCTAACGAGGTGTAACGAAGAGAACTCACACTAAGAACTTGCGCATCATGCCAGCAATACCATATCCAACTGATTGTGTTGAAATAACCAGCATGAGTTGGAAAAGAATTCCGAAGTCTTGCTTGTAAAATGCGATCTGCGCAAGCAAAATATCGGTAGCGTAAGCAGCACTGAAGGAGACACTGGCCATGACCACGATGATAGAATGCTCTTTGATGTTGAATGGTCCTGGGTTGAGAGACCACTTCAAGCCAAAAGCGTTAAACTGTCGGGTTGGCATGACCTTTGCCCAACCATGACCAAGAGGCCATGCAATGATTTGAGCGACCAAGGCGCCCAAGCCAATTGACGGACTTCGCAGCGAGAAGAGGGTATTCATGGAGGCTCCAACAATCACCAAGGTCATACCAATGACCCAAGCGCGGAAAGTATTGGCTGGTACATCTTCATCGTAGTTGTGGACTGCAGCACGAACTTCGGGATATGGCGAGTCTTCTTCTTCCTTGTTGGAAAATATTTCCGCATCATCGATGGACGAACTATCGAGCATCATGGACTCCCTCTTGTCCTCGGGATAGTTTGGGTCTATAATGCCATTAACAGTCCGAACATTTCTTCAGAGGAACATTGACTGTACCCCATAATGTCAAACGTTGCTTGAGATCGGTGACCGGATCGGGTCTCTCGTATGCCTTCTCGTGTCGAGATATCGCTGTGCCTGCGTTGATCTCACGACTGCTAACCTCAACGTCATCCATCTTAGGATTCCAGTCCTTATCATCCTCCAGCCTTTCATAAGCTCGTGTCGATGGAGGAGCCGTTCCTGACGGCTTCTCGTCGAATTGTAAGGCCATGGTAGAGAAACGACCGTCAACACGGAGATCGATCAACGGTCTGAAGAGACATTTCCATAAAGCATGGACTGTATATAGGACAAGAAACTGATTGTGGCTACCCTGCTCCTCGCCAGGCTAGACAAAAAAGTGGCGTCGACAAGGGAAGATCTCTGACCTACGTGAAGCACCATGGCTGTGGGGGAGGGGTCGAGTTCAGATAAGATCCAACGCTGAGATTCGCCTGAATTTGAAGTCCAGCTTCATGGTGGCTGAATCACGGGCAGCTGTGTTAGCTTCTGGTCAGCTTTGACGAAGTCTCAGTTGCAATAAACACCAAAAAAAAGCAGCGCCTTCCATGCTATAGGACTACCCTAGCCCGGGTTTCTAGAATGGATAGTGCCACAGCCGGAAGCATCGTGAAAAATCGCCCTTGCGATTGGATTCTATGAAAACTACCGCCGAAAGAGGCAGAGAAAGATAAGGATGCAACATATATTATCTATGCAAAACGCTTGAAACAATGCTGCGGCACAGTCGAAGAAACATTGTGTAAGGCTCTCATGCGTTAGTGGGTGCTTGCACACGCATGCTCTGCGAAAACGAAACAAACTTAGCTATCTCTGCCCAATAGCTTCATCGATTGATCTCGTGCTTAAGGGTCAAATAACTTTGGTGGCGGCCGCACTTGCTGCCCAGGTGCTCCTCCACATTCTTGCCCGAAACAAGCAGAGATCTGTGAGGTGTCCCTGACTCTCAAACTTGATCGTCGCTGTCAATGTGGCACAATTGCACGCTGCAGCAGTGACATGATTGAAGGCACGGGCATCACGGAGCAAAAATAAGGTTCTTCGAGAGCACGCAGACCTGGAGCAGAAGATGTCCGAGATATTGTCTCGGAATTTGAGATAACCGAGAAGCGAAAAGGCTTCTCAGGGGTAAGGTCAAGCACGCTAATTTTACGCGAGCTGGATTTTCCCGAAAATTGCCAGGATCTGCAAAGCCGCAGAAGACAAACTCGACCTCGGCCTCGACCTCACCTCACCTCACCTCACCTCACCTCACCTCACCCGTCAGACACACGAGAAGAGTATGGCTAGACGATGCGACGCGTGGTAGTGACGGGCCTCGGTGCCATTACACCCCTCGGCGTGGGCATCCGGCATACCTGGAAACGCCTGCTGGCCAGTGAGAGCGGCCTGGGGAGCGTTGCCCACCTCGAGCCGGCTCCAAGATGGCGGGAACTGCCCAGCACCGTTGCTGGGATCGTGCCACAGGGTAGCAAGGCGGAGGGCAAGTGGCAAGCCTCGGACTGGCTGGATAAGGGGGATGAACGGCGTATGGCGAAGTTCACCCAGTATGCAATTGCTGCGACGGAGATGGCCTTGGTGGATGCCGGTTGGCGCCCACATACACAAGAGGATAGGGATACCACTGGCGTTTGTTTGGGCAGTGGCATAGGGAATCTGGAGGAGCTCTATAATACCAGCATAGCCTATGACAGAACAGTGAGCTATATAGGGATGCCAATTGCGAGAAGCGTGCTGAGATCTGTGCCTAGGGTTACAAGAAGGTCTCTCCCCTTTTCGTCCCCCAACTCCTTATCAACCTAGGTGCTGGTTATATTTCGATGAAGTATGGCTTGCAAGGGCCAAACCATGCCGTCACAACAGCCTGCACAACCGGGGCTCACGCAATTGGCGATGCCTCACGGTTTATTGCCTTTGGAGATGCGGACGTCATGATAGCCGGCGGATCGGAATCTTGCATCCACCCCCTTGCTCTCGCTGGATTTGCAAGATCTCGTTCGCTTGCAACGGCCTACAATCATGAACCCACCTCTTCCTCCCGCCCATTCGATAAAGACAGGTGCGGCTTCGTGATCGCCGAGGGGGCAGGTGTCGTCATCCTGGAGGAGCTGGGGCATGCCAAAGCTCGGGGTGCTGATATCTACGCCGAAGTTCGAGGATATGGATGTAGTGGGGATGCATACCATGTCACGGCGCCGAGGGAAGATGGGGGCGGGGCACTGCTCGCAATGAAAAGGGCCTTGCAGAATGCTGGCTTGCGACCAAAAGAAATCGACTACATCAATGCCCACGCCACAAGCACACCACTTGGAGATGCGGCTGAGAATGCCGCCATTACAGAGTTAATGCTTGGTGAGGACGGCGTCCAGAAGGGGAGCCAGATATCTATCAGTAGCACGAAAGGTGCAATTGGCCATCTACTCGGAGCGGCGGGAGCCGTCGAAGCAATATTTTCAATACTGGCAATCAAAGAGGTATATTCCCTGGTAACGAATGTGGGACATTGACATTGACATTGAGATTGCTAAATCTACTTAGAACGTCATGCCACCGACGCTCAATCTCCACAACATCAGTGACGGGTTCCACTGCAACTACGTTCCTCTCTCTGCACAACAGAAAGAAGTCAATGTAGCTGTGTCAAATAGCTTTGGCTTTGGAGGTACCAATGCTTCGTTAGCATTCTCGAAATATTGACAAGAGCCTTCGCACGAGAATTTATTAGCAAATCCGCTTAGATGGTGGTGTACAGATGGTATTTGTGGAACTTCCCCCAGCGCCTCGTGTATTCACAACCCACAGGCTCTTTATGTCTTGTGCCCATTAATCTTCCCGTATTTCTCCCCTCTGTTAGTGTACCATTTTCCAAAGGTGTCCCAATTACGGCAAGTGTGAACTTGAGGCTCTCCAATATAGGTTTTGCGATCTCCCTCGCCATATGGTCGCATGGGTACAGGAGCCATATCCCGCACAATGTATAGTCCGTCAAATTTGCTCGAAGCAATGCTCTATCACGAAATCATCGGTCCTGGAAGTTTCCTCCATTTAGACAGATGGCTTACCGTCGTGAACAGTCTTTAATTGTGGGGGCATTTTATGTTTCTCATGAACCGAGTAGTACTCTTGGTGACAATGCAACGAATGCATGACTTCCACTCTAGGACCTTGTGAGCCTTCGCCCTCATGGTCTGGTCAAGTGCACATACTCCGCGACGAAATGGTTAAGTATGGGCACAGGATCGTCAAGTTGCAGCCCATCTTCTCCATCCAGAATGGGATATTAGCCTACAACAATATCAGCTCTGTGGCACTTCTAGTGATGATTCACATACCGCCCAAGAGTTCTTCCCATGCCTGGTCGATCTCTGGACTCGGTGGTACGATACTCTGCGGCCCAGTAAGATCCTGCTCGCGGTAATACGCTTTCGAGGTTTCATTTTATCGGAAAGCCCCTCCAAATTTCACTTTCGAAAGCTCGGTTGATGATTTCGCTGGTTCTAAACTGAGGTTAGCTTCGAGAGGTGACGAATAGGTGGAGTACCCTGCGTCGAAGGCTGTCGGTCCGTTTTCAAGACAAGCACAGTTGGCCTGCAACGATAGATATATTGAATGACGCCCAAAGATTAATGTTGCGATGGAGGGAACGATGGTCGATATATTTGGCCACCATTTTTGTGGATCGCGATCTTGAAGATCATCATTATCGGTTGGGCCATCCTCCTCAGAGCCCAGTGGTCTGCACGTTTGCTTCGTGGTTGCCATGTTTCCAATTTCGAGGTATGAGTTGAGCGGTTCCAATTTCGCGGATCGTAGAAGCGTTAACGTCCGAGTTGTGGTGATTAATTGAAATTTAGGTGGAACAAGAAGTACGAGCGTGAATCATCTGGTTACATTCACCCTCATATGCTCCGTCCACGCAAGCGTAAAGGATTTCTCGTCACACATCGGTCGCTCGGTATTTCGGCTCCCTGATTTTGGGATTCATATGTCGCACGCTTCCAAGTCAGAACGTCTCTCGAAATCTCAATGTGATTGTTTCGTGGGACATGGTACGTCGAAAAGTGAATACAGATAACTTATGATGATCGACGCGTAGTTACGGTAAAATAAACCCTTAAAATTTGCCTGAAGACGAAGTTTCGGCTTGAATAGGATACGATCTGATAAGGGGTAGTCGTTCAGGCAATTTACACAAGGCCCATCTTGTGCGACATAGCTCAAGAGCCAAGACGCGATCATAGGGGCGAATCTTCTGATGGCTATCGCAACGTCCCAGATCCTACTTGTGACATGGACGAAGTTGAGGCAGTGAAAGGGAATGAAATTTCACTGGTTCCATTTTGTACATCAGGAAAAACATTTTGAGATACACCCGAGACAGTCAAGTTACATTTCTGTGTCCTGGAGATGTTCAGGGGAAACCGATAATATTTATATTAATATCCCCATCTTCCATCCATTTCCCCTGCCAATCCTTATTTTTAGTCACTCGTTTTCATACACTCTCTCAACTGCCAAAAACTACTGTCTGCCCTAATATCATGCGTCTCTTATCGATTGCGGTGTTGGCAAGTCTGCCAATTGCCTTCGGCTTGCCGGTTCAGGTACACTATTTTCGATTTCTTGAAATTGATATATGTCTAACTTCTAGAAAGACCGCAGAGATCACAGAGGTTGCAAACGCCAAGCGTAATGAAGAGATTGCAGCCATTTCAAAAGCTCTGATTGCTATTCGAGATGCGGGGTTGCAATCCGTAGGCTCCTGCAAGTCCCTCGGCCTCATCTGAAGTGCTAATATTGCCAAATAGGACGAGAAGGTGAAACGCCAATTTGGTAACTTACTTGGGGGACTTCTTGGTGGATTGGGTGGTTTGACTGGAGGTTTGGGTGGCTCGGGGGGTGCTACACAAGCCCCTCCTTCTCAAGGAAGCGGCAATAGTGCTCCTCCTACTTACGGGGGAGATTCCCAGGGCGGTGGATCTTCCGGCGGTTCCTCGGGAGGGTCGGGTGGCAATTCTGGAGATGGAGACCCCCAGCCCGACGGAGATGGCGATGAGGACGACCAACCTTGGTTCCAAGGAGGTGGTAATGGAGGCAGCCAAGGAGGCAGTCAAGGAGGAAGTCAAGAAGGCAGTCAAGGAAATGGCTATTACGGCGGTGGCCAAAACGGGGGTGGAAATGGAGGTGGGGACGGAGGGAACGGAGGTGGAAATGGGGGTGGAAATGGGGGTGGGAACGGTGGTCCAGGAGGATACGGGTACGGGGGCAGCAATAAAGAGTAATTGCTTCGACGAAGGCGTAATTGGTGGCCGAGTACAGTATTGTAGACTTGTTTGAGAGTTGTTCGTTCGTTTTTCATTTGTGTAATTGGTAATCCGGTAATTATAATTCAAGCAAGTGGCTTGGTCCACACTTCGCAGATCTTAACCGTATCAGATACGTACCAACATAACTGATCCCTCGGTGTGCTGTTATGTCTTTGTGCGACAGGGGGCAAGTGTGAGGCCCTGAGAGGTAAATTCGAAGGCAGTATCGGTCACGTTTGGAAAATCTCGTACCATCCCTCATACTGTTCAATAAAAACGTATCCTTTTATATACTCCCGCCACCCAGTGACTCGGTACCGTACACCTAGATTCGCCCCTGATTATTTCTTAGCTGGAAGCACCCTTGTGCTCATAGCAAAGTTCCTTCTGGAGGTGGACGAGCTCCAGCACGGCCAGAGCCCATCGAGGTTTACAACCGTCCAGAGCCCAGACTATATCAGATTTGTTTCTATTCGTGTGTCTCAGGTAGATCGAAGATGGAAACACAGAATACGTAGGTCTGGGATTGTGGAGGACCAAATCTGCTATTCATTGAAGTTATGGCGGTGTTACGTTCCAGAAGATTGAAACAGGAGAGATGAAAGAGGGTAAAGTCAGACACATGTGCAGAGTCAACTTCGATGACTTCATCAGCCAGTAGTTTCTTGATGTACGAGTCTCTCACCAATGTAGGGTTCTTTTGCCCCTCTGTTTTTGCTCACCGATTGAGAATCTAGCTGCTGTCCAATGCTTCTCGAGGACAAATAGCAATAGCAAGGAGTCGCAGAAGTCAGAGGTCGAGCTTCAGTTCTACCAGACAAAACCACAAAGAGTTTAAAATTCCTCGCTGTCGTCTTGTCAAAATTCCCTACTGCACTCGCAGTTTCCCAAGCACAGCGACAGAAACGGACGTTGTGCAAACTTATGCACCCAAAAATAGGAGGGAAGCGACCTATCAAATAATGCTCACCGCCTCGCAAGAGCAGTACAATTAACCTCGACTCAGGCCCACACTCATCCCTCTTCGCAGTAATCTTACCCACGGTACCAGACCTCCCATTTCCAAATCCAGGCCCCCGACCTCGGATCTCCCGCGCCGCAGTCATGTTCCCGACGTTTGTCGCTGAGCATATATTCAACCCCACTAGCTCACACAATGCATTGTACCCCGCCAAACAAAAAGCCTTGCATCGGTGTTTTCCTTTTCCCCAACGTCGAGATAAATGAGCTGACAACGGGAGGCAAGATTAACGAGGTCAATCAATGAGCAATTCTGGCTATAGGGAGACATCGAAGCTGTTGGTAAGTCGTATAGAATGAGAGAGTTTTTGGGTTTAGGATTAGAGAGAGTTTACGACATTGGTCGGAAAGTGGAGTGGTGTTGGGTAATATTACTGTATTAGATGGCTTGTTAGTGGGTAGTGGGGCTGCTTTTCATCCATAGATAGGGGATTGTTGGGAAGTTCGGTGATTGCCATGCTGTAATGAGGCGGGCCGTGCTATACTACCCAGCAGCCATCACTCACAAGATCCGTGTGGTAATGCTATTGGATCTGTAATCCGTCGGTCAAAAGCAGCAAACGAAGACGTTGGTTGGCCCAGAAATGGTCACGTGGAACGCTATCGCCCCCCTTTAGAAGTGTGCACCAGCCAACCGCCCAAAAAATAGTTTTACTATAACCACACCGCAACCACATCCTAAAATGAAGAAAATAGGTTAATATTCGTGATCTACGACCTCGCTTTAGTCATTCCACATATTTTCTGGATTTTCTGAGCCCTTTGAAAATTTTCCAAAATTTTGCTTGGGCGGTTGAGACCGTTGAGTGATTTGGGCGGTTGGCTGGTGATCCCTTCTACCGGACCGAGCGTGCAGTTTCATTATTTCATTACAACCAATAGTTGGGACTCGTAAAATACTGTGAGTGTAGATAGGTCTTACCTTAAATATGCACGAAGAGCTATGCGGTACGATCATCCTAGAAGAGATCTCACGTATAGATATAAGTCTGCTGCATTTCTACGCGCTTCAAACAGTGGATAGGATGAAACAAAGATTCTCTTCTCCTGTACAATGTGGATTACGAAATATCTCTCTCTATTCTTTACTTGTGTAGGAAATCTTACTTCGCAAGATGGGGGGTTATCAGAGCCGGGAGCGAGCCACACTCGTGGCAACTGAGCGTCGAAACTCGAAGACATCGTTCAGTTTCCCGAAGTCAGAGTCGTCTGGTAGTAGATCTGCTCGGACTTCTATTGGCTGACCGCCATGCTTCATGAAGAAGTTTCCTTGGCTGAGAGGAGCTTTGAAGCGAAGAGTGTGGTTCGGATACCATTGCGCCTGCAGGAAGAACTCAGCGACTTGATCATGGCTGAAGATCAGTCCTCTAGGGGGAAAGAATGCACGCTGTTGTATGCGAACCCCAGAGGGGCAGAGTGACTGACCTGATACCCAAGAGCCAACATGATTCTGTAATCTTCACTCTCATTCGGCATACCTGCATGCCACGTCCTCAAATCTCTCAACATGATGTCCCCCTTTTCGCAACTCGGCTGAATAGGAGGCCTGACCTGACGCCTGGCCTCGACCACATCGGGAAGAACATTGCAGATTGGTTCTCCTACCCGTAATTTCGCATTTGACAGCCTTGATTCTGGGGTCGCGATGACTTGCTGCTGTCCAGAGGTGGAAGCGTGGGAACCGAGCCAAAACTCGGTTGAGCCCGTACTTGGGTTGAAGGAACAAAGGGGAATGTTGGCAATCACGAAGAATGGGCACTGAAAGGTTTAAGAACAGTACTGAGAAGCCTGGAAGATGTGTGTACCTGGGGATGGAAGAAAGTGATGTCTTTGTGCACGGGCTGACGAAGCCCATTCGTTCGCGGCAAAGCATTATTTCCAGTGATGAAGTTGAATATAGGGTTCGCTCCGAGATATCTGGACGTAGGAAGAGATCAAACTCAAAATCGGGGAGACTTAAATCGACGGCAGACTCACGCATTCATGATCTGAATTACGAACGGGTTGAAGAAGACATCATTATAGAGGTACCCCGGATCTTTCAACGGAGGACCTTGGAGGATGTTTGCTGGGAATGATTCAGTGTTGTGTTAAAAGACTAATTATTGTACGTACAATCGACTCCTTGGTTGAAAGGCTTCGCGTTGTTCTTCACCAGGGCGTCTGCCTCTTTCGCCATGAACGAGTTAAGATGGTCAACATGAGCAATATCAACGACCTTTTTCAAGACCACAAATCCATCTTGGCTAAGGGCTTCAAGGACAGCCTCGATATTTAGAGTATCGTAGGAGAAGGCCTTGAGTTCCTCTAAAGTGGGGGTGATGGTTCGAGGTCCGTTGGATCCGCTGGAGACCTGGGTAGAAGCCATTTCGCAGAGAGGAGGAAACTAATGGCTGTGATGCTAATAGTGGAGAATGGGAGTTAACAAGTCCAGGGCTCTGGGTTATGCTCAACTCCGGGTCACTAAAAGATCTCAGTGTCAGCCTTGACATGATTCGGCAGAACTCTGGCCGACGCGGTGGGTCGCGACGGACCATCAGGAGGGAACCATGTTGGAAGGAATTGTCCCCATTGGGAAGCTGCGGGCATGGGTGATCTTCAAGCAGCAGCGGCCAACCCGAGGACTCTGGGGACGCAATCGTTTGCTATCTGCAGGTTTTCGAGTCGATATCTTAAGTGGAGTGACGAACTCTAAAAGAAGTCAAGCCCCGATTAGAGGGCGCGGTGACCCATGCCTTAAAAGCTAGCATTGTTCGGCACCTGAGAAAAGTCCTGTGTTGTTTCTCCCTCCAGGCGATCTTTCTTCTCTCTACGGTGATGACTGAGGTCAGATATCAGTCAAGCTTGTAACTTAGTCTTGGGAGATCCTCTTAGAACTACCCCGCAATCCACCTGCCAAGCTCAGCCACCATGGACGCCACAGGGTTCCGTGCAATGCTTGGCGCAAAAGCCACCACATTCAGGAACGCCTTCCGCAGTCGTGAAGGCTTCAAGTTCTTCATCGAAACCCACGACACCGCATTGGACAAGCATGGCCATCCAGGAACGAAACAGTCATGGAGCAACGAAGATTTGGATCCCACGCCGCCGGAGAAGAGGACGTGGTATGAATTCCATGCGCTCCAGACACACCTCGTTGACATTTTGACAGGAGATGGTGGAATTTCGTGACCTTTTATCTTGGGTTGTCCTTTGGAAATTGGACCTTGGGTAGTACCATGGTTGGAATCGGGCTCAATTGGTGGGAGAGTATACTTGTGATCTTTGCCAGTCAGCTCATATCCTCCGTCGCCATGTTCTTCAACTCGCGTTGCGCAAGCGTCTACCACATTGGATATCCCGTTGTCGCGCGAAGTGTCTTTGGCATGTGGGGAAGTTACTACTTCGTGGGAGCTCGAGCGGCATTAGCGATCATCTGGTACGGAGTACAGCGTAAGCTCGACCTTGGTACTAAGAGTGAAGCTTTGCAGCATACTTAACTGTAGTCAGTGTATTCGGGAGCCTCGTTCATGGCGAATATCCTTCGTTGCATATTTGGTCACAGCTATACCGATATTCCGAATCACATCCCGGACTCAGTGGGCATCACAACCCAGGGGATGTTGGCATTCTTCCTGTTCTGGCTGGTACATTTCCCATTCTGCGCTTTCCGACCATACCAATTGCGGGGTTTTTTCTGGTTCAAGTCCATCATTGTCCTTCCGGCCGTCTGGGGATTATTCATCTTCTGTATGGCCAACACCAAGGGGAACGTCGGATCCGTTTATGCTTCCAAGATTACTGGCAGCAAAGGATGGTTTATCATGTATGCAATCAACAGCGGGATGGGAAATACTGCAACACTGATCACCAATCAGCCAGACATTGCTCGATGGTCCAAGACAGAATCCGGAGCCCAATGGTCGCAACTGGTAACTCAACCCTTGTCTGTTACTCTTTCGGCATCACTGGGTATTCTCGCAACTGCCGCAATCAATAATACCTGGGGCTTGGATCTGTGGAATCCTTGGGACTTACTCGGTGCGATTCTCGATAGATATTGGTCCGCGAGCACCCGATTTGCGGTCTTCCTCTCAGCTTTCGTCTGGATGGTGTCTATTCTTGGAACAAATATCGCTGCAAACATGATTCCGTTCGGCTCGGACAGCAGCATGTTATTCCCTCGATACATTACTATCCCGCGTGGACAGTATATTGTCGAGTTTCTTGCGTTCGCCATCTGCCCATGGAAGATTCTGTCCTCCGCTTCTGTTTTCACGACTTTCCTGTCTGGATATGGTCTGTTTATGGCAAGCGTTGTTGCTATTATGATCTGCGATTGTAAGTTTACTTCTGTCGGAAAATCTATATCGTGGTATACAATCCTAACTTGAGCCGTACAGATTATCTCCTTACCAGAGGTAACGTTTTTATTGGATACCTCTATGATGGAACCAGGTCAAACAAACATTACTATTATCATCGCGGATGGAACATTCAAGGTGTCATTGCCTACCTCTGTGGCATTGCCCTGCCATTTCCAGGCTTTGTCGGTACACTAGGAGCGACGGTTTCAACAGGTGCGACCGATCTTGGCAGGCTCGGATGGCTGTTGTCCTTCGCTGTCAGCTTCGTGGCTTATTATGCTCTTTGCAAGGTTTGGCCGACTAAGAATCAGAAGTTAATTAAAGAGATGGGATTGAGATGGGAAGAGCAGAAAGGTGATACTGTCGTGGCTGCTGATGGGACCCGGATTGTTGAGGAAGGAAAGATTATACGTGTACTGGGAGAAACCTCAGATGGTACCGAAATGGGTCAAGAGGCTTATGTGGTGGATAAGAAGTATTGAAGAACGGGGTACATGTCAGAGAGGGATTCAGGTGTGAGGGTACTTGTTCCGCCACTCGATCTGGGTGAGTGGGACGAGAGTTCTCTGTTGCATCCATTCTTACGGAGAAACTCTCGAAGTACGGCAAATGCAAAACAAAAGCTTGATCTCAAGTATCTCTATTCTATCTTGCGCGATCTCCTGAGATTGCTCTTGACCGACGCGCAGGTGAGAACTTGTTACGCCAAATGCTGTGACGGCTCAGCGATCAATGTCACGTCATGTGATTAGTACTTATTTTGAGGTTGTTTATAATTAAATAAGGCGTTTGTGTTTCAACTCACTGGCTTCGTGGCTGAACGGCACTTTCCCAAGTACGTTAACGACTGTCCGGTGAGTTAGAGCGCTTAAGAGAAGCTCGTTAACATCATCTCTACCTAGAAATCTAGGGCAGACGTAAGCACACTTAACATAAGACCTTTAGAAGAAGGCGGTGTGCCGAACTGTTTTGCCACTCCGAATGATTTTTCTAAGTTCCTATGTAGACATTTTTTGAAGCTTTTGATAAAGTTGTTAAGCGACATGGGCTGGCTGAGAATAAATGGGGCCCTGACCAATTAGACATTGCTGTCAAGCGAAGGAATCGGATGTGCCAAAACCATGACAAGAAAACCACCTGCCTGCACTACCAATTGGTGATCAATTCATTAGATACCGTTTTTAATTAATAGCGGTGATTGGGCGATCAAATTAAGCTACATAACTCTTATGATAATTGTGTGGTTGATTTAGAAAATCTTTATTCGTACCTCCCAAACCTATAGCCTCCTCCTGCACTGTAATTTTAGCGTCAACGGAGCGATTGAATGGGGCTGGGACAATAGTTGATCCGGCCGAGGACCCTTGCCAAGATTTGTAGGTGACTTCATGACATTTTGCTACGCTCGTAGGGGAGAGAGCATTCATTCTTTTTCACTCAACTTCAATCGGTGTATTGATAATATAATGGCTTCAAAGACCTGCGCATCCTGTCTACGGACGTTACACAGACAGTCACAATCAATTCCTCAGGTATTTCTAATGTCCTTACAGGAATATCATTCTAACCTCCTGCCCAGAGAGCTTCCAGCCTTAATGCATCCCGAGCATTCACGGCCACTCCTCGCCGCCATTTGGATCTCAATCCAGGCCCAAATGCGACTCCACGCACATCTATACCTCCAGTCGATCCTGTACGAGCAGAAGGGGAGCCCAAAATTGGCACGCCAATGCCTGCGAGCATAAGAGCTGCAGCCGGCTTGAAGAAGGTTGCGAGTAAAGCAACGGAGACCTACACCGCGTATGGATCTACGGAGGTCTTGTACAAGGAATGCGCGCTGCAGGCAGATTACTCTATACCCCAGGCGGGCAAAGACGATGAGGAAATGCCCAAGACTGAATCTGGGGAAGACTTGGGGGTCGGAGAGGGCTGGTGGCTCAAAGGCAAGTCTGCAGGGGCAACCAAATTCACTTAATGGCCAAAGCTTATGCTGCAACAGAACTGGGGCTCCAGCCAACTTTCAGTACCTGGTCACAAGTGACAATGCTCCACATGTACCTGATCGCCGCCCGCTTCCGATGTTTGCCTCACGGCTCACAAACATGGCAACAGCATCTCCTCGATCACTTCTTCTACGACGCTGAGAACCGGATGATGGTAAATCATAACATGCACGCCCGAGGCACGCGGAACAAATACCTGAAGGATCTCTTTATTCAATGGAGGGGCTTGCTTGCGGCGTATGACGAGGGTCTGGTTAAGGGTGATGCTGTTTTAGCAGCTGCTATTTGGCGGAATGTTTTCAAGGCTAAGGAGGATGTTGATATTAAGGGCTTGGCGCAGATCGTAAGCTATATGAGGAGGGCGCTGAAGGGGCTTGATTCGTTACCTGATGAAAGGCTCATGTCTGCGGAGCTGCAGTTTGGATCACCGAAGGACGAGGCTAGTATCGTTGCATTGAAAAGCAAGATGATGGATCTGCCATTTGAGAAGGCGCCTGGGAAGCCTTTGCCTGCTGAGAAAGCATGATACGGCCCTTGGGAAATGTTTGCTGTATTATACGGGGAATGTTTGATTATATCTGTATTATGACGGATGTACGAATCTTTGCCATTTGGTAGACTTGGGAAGGCAACCAGCAAACATCTCAACTCGAAATGCGATTCTGTAGTTATTTAGACGAAGCCGGCCATTTTTTTGGTCCGTCTGCTCCCCAGGTCCTCTACCGGTATACTGTTTGATACATAGATAATCATGAATCTTTCAATCCAAGCCTCAAGGCAGGCCTCGTTTTTCTTCTTAATCGCCGAGGTCAGAAATAAAATCTTCGGACCTTTTAATCTCCCAATACCATCTATCTGCTTAATCACTCATAAAGTCCTTGGAAATGATCAAGGGATTGTGGCCGTTGGCACTGGATTGTTCAAAAGAAGACATCGAGTGGTGAATAGGTCAAATTTGGCACAGAAATTTAAAGTTTTTTTTTGGGAAATTTCTTGGACCGTTTAAGGAGGCCCTCTTGCCTTCCAGTTTTCCTCAAGACATCGACACCAAAAAACTCAACGTCTTCAGTCCCTGGCCGAACTTGATACCTGCCTCTTTCCCACATTTCCCTCATCACAAAAAGTAAGTACTGCCAGACTATGTTCTAGATCGTTTGCGTTCCAATACCTGTCTCTCCTGCTCGTGGCCCTCATGGCCTTCGCGTTGTTGTCAAGAGTCATGCTGCTGTCAAAATCATCAGAAACTCGCTGATTTGTTTTGACTGAAGCACAAGACAAAAACAATTCCAACCCGCCCCACAATTACTAGATTTAAGATGTCGAACTCGTGAGTTGACCTGCATGTCAGCTAGCGTTGGTCAAATTGCTAATTGTACAGTTCTAATCTCGCATTCTTTACGTCCAACTTTGCGGACTTGAGGCTTGGCAATTACTCGGTGTCTGATTCAGAGTTTACTGTCATTAGCAAGCCAAACCAATCCGAAGCAGATACCAGTTCCGCTGTTGAGGTTGCCTCTGCCAGCGATGGAAGCCAATTCGAGCTCATCTCAACCGTCGATGCCTCCGAGACGGACGAAAACCATCTCGATGCTCCATCCAAAGTGGGTAGCCTATCCGTTCGTGCTTCTAGCCCTGGCTTGGACACTGAGGCTGCGAGTCCAACTCGCCCGTTGACCCTCCAAAACCTCACATGGAAGGCCGTAGAGGATGTTGCAAGAGGAAGCGTCCAGACATATGCCAACATGATGATTGCCGACATAAAGGCTGGAGGTGTCAATTTTCGCCCTGGCGATGGTGTTCCTGCTAAGGGCGAACTTATTGGTGATCAACTTCCTGGCTATGCGGACATGAATTTGGGCGCACAGATTTGGTCATGGTTGACTCGCAAGCAGCGTGCAGTGATTGATGGTCAGATTCTCAAGGAAATCAAGCACCATGACAAGGATCAGGAATGAAAGGATCAGAAGAACTTTGCCGAGAATCTAAACAAAACTTAATCTGTAAGACCGAGTAAGTTGGAATCTCCCATGCTCGCTCAATGGTTGGCTAATTACTCGTTTGACCCAGACCAGAGCTGACCAGCGGGATAGATTAGGATCTAGGCGAGATAAATTGGGAATGGGTCAGATTGTTTCTTTTGGGGGTAGCAGGCTTGGGTTAAGGGTTTCTCCTTTATTTGGGACGGGAGTCCTATCTTTGCATATTGTATGTGTAGTCTGGAAATTAGCCTAGGCACTTTCACAAATGCAAGCGGCGTCATAACATACTCAGAGGCATGAGTCTTGAATCATATGACATGATGAGACCCATTTTGACAGGTCGTGGATACCCGATCCAGATCTTCTTTAGGTGGTAGCTATGGGAGGGCAAGCATCACGCAAACCAAGCCAAACTGCGATTATGCAGCTATATAAAGAAGCTCTCGGACAGGATTGGTAGCTCTGGTGTCAAACCTTCCGGAGCGACGCCAGCCTAGCCTATTCTGATTTATACATAGAGAGTAATAAATTCCTCGGTCGAAATCTCCAGGCCTACCTTTTTTAGTGAGAGAGAATGCTTCGAGATCTTAAACTTCTCTATGCTGGTTGTGTACCACATGTCCCGATTAGCAGGCGTGAGAAATCTGCTTGGAAATCTGCCAATGAGGTGGCAGTGAATTCTAAGATCTCCTTGCTGGAAGTGAGTGGAGCGGAATTTATGAATTTGGTACGGAAACTGGGGGTTCGAAAAATTTCGAGATATATTTAAGGAGCTCTTGCCTCCCTTCCAATTATCACACCAAACATTCAACCAAAATTGATGGCGTCTTTAGTCCTTTACACAAACGAAGCAATAATCTGCCCCCACAGTAAGTTACCAACAATTACATTTCCCTGCTCCTCATTGGGTTTGAAGCCATTTGCCCTCCTGTCAGGGATGTTCTTGTTGTCAAGCTTTCCTTTTCGCCCTTTACTCGAGAGCACAAACCTGACGCCTCATGCCAAGCTAATAGTTCCTCTATAGACACAAGAACTTAATATTTATCCAATTACCAAAGTCAGGATGTCGACCAGGTAGGCTGCTACTCGTCCCAACAGCCTTTCTTAATCAGCTAATCCAGGCTCCAGTACCCACAATTCAGCTGAGACCAACTTCGGGGACATCGGCCTGGAGGCCTTGTCATTGACAGGTAGCGAATTCACGATCATTCAGCCTATGCCTAGTACTTCCGGTACCTCTGAATACGAGATCGTATGGAATCCAGATTCCTCGCCTGAGCGCCCACAAGCCCGCCCAAAGACCCCCGTTGAAGAGAATTCTTCTACCATTCGCCCAAGCACTCCAAGCACCATCGTTGGCAAAGGTCCCTCGCATGCATTGACCCTTGAAAACCTCAGCCTCAAGGAAATCGATGAGGTAGCAGGCGGATCTATCCAGAGGTATCAACAGTTGCTCATTGCAGATCTGAAGCGCAAGAAGGGATTGGCCTTCACGGCTACGTCTGCTATCCCACCCCCGGGCGAACTTATTGGCGATAAGTAGCCTGGCAATGCTACCATGTCGCTAGGAGCCAAGTTCTGGTCCTGGTGGACCAAGAAGGAACTTCATATCTTTGAGGCTCAGGTCATCGGGGAGATCATGGAGGAGCTTGGTGAGCAAAAGGCCAATGCTCAGCCAGCTGGAGTGGTTGGCAAGACTTCGCCCAAGAAGTAAAGCCGAGAACAGAGGGTAAAGAGAGACGCGATAAATAACAGTGAGTATAAGCATCCTACCTCTGGAAGCCAAGAGCTAATGAAATCTTAAGCTACTGAGAAATACGACGAGAGGCGACTAGAGACAATGGCTGGATTCTTTGGATGGATGTTTGGTTGGGGAAATGCATAGTAGTCATGGGAGCATATTAGGATGCGAACAGGAAATTTTCTTTCGGTACGAGAGCCGTCTTTCTTGTATGTTCCACGTGCGTAGCTTGGTTTTACCAAGTAGCTTTCGCAAATACAGTAGGTGTCTTATGAATTGATTCTTTGTGACTTGGATCAAGTGACGATTGAGAAAGTGCCATGAAGGTTTGTGATATTTCCATAAATGGACGAACAATCGGCACTTACAAACACACTAATTTGGTGCCTCATCGTGTCTTTCAAAGTGACAAGGAAAGAGAATGTGCAAGTAAAGCAGTCACGGAAGTAGAGGAAATGTCTAGAGCTATAAAAACAAGACAACATGAATAGGAAAAATTCGGCATAAAAACCCACGTTTGCGGAAAGTACTTGAAGCCCGCCGTTTGCCTTCGAGTTCATCTCCCTACAAACACAAAACAGCTCTTAACATCCGGTGAAGATCTACATCGCCGTGCCAACACCCACCCACAAGGCAGGTTTGATTGCCCGTTGTCATCTCCGTCCGCTTTTCGTTCCTTGCTTGGAGACAACACCCTCAGCTCCTGCAAGCAGGATGCTGCAATACTGTTTTCCGTGTAGCAACAAACGACACTCGATCTGTCGACCCCACCAACCCGAGATGTTGCTGATCAAGTTGCTCTAATAGAGTCTAAACGGCAAACCCATGTCAGCGAACGGAGCCGAATACCTTCGAGATGGATAACTGGTAAACACCTCACTAATTCCGGTACAATTTGATCCGCTGCTGATCCGTCCTTAGGTCAGATGTTTAGTCTGCCGTCTCCGACATCAAGTCCACTGCTGTTGCCTGCGACTCCAACTCCGAATCGGAAAGTCTGACCCCAAAAAATCTCTTTCTGACACTGATTTCATGGACGATCTTGCGACACCCTCTGAACTTGGCAGCCTCGATCCTCTGCTGATACCTAGCAACTCTGATGGCTGTCTAGATAACAACAGTACTTCTAACGGTCTTCTAGAAGACTCTGCCTCGTTTATTCTTCTACCTCCGGTTCCCGACAACCAGTTAACGAATGAAAATGCAAAGATCAATGAAAAGGCTGGCGGCAGCATGAGCGGTACCATGAGATGGCTACACAGAAGATGTATAACGGCCGAAGCGGTATGATCTTTCCTCCCGACACCGCAATCCCAGACGAGGGCGAGTCTGTTGGAGACAAGAAGCCGGGCTATGCAGCCATGACGTTGACCGAGAAGTTTGCTGCTTGGTGGACCAAGAAGCAGTGGAAGATCTGGAATGACCAGGTCCTTAAAGAGGTAAGTTACTACCGAGAAATAAACACGGTATACTTGCTGACAGAGTTCAATATTAGATTCATGAGGCTCGTTAGAGATCGGCTGAGACTGATGCTACTGTACCTGCCGAGGAGACTACCAGCGATGTGTGAGACTCCCAAGGTCACTTGGCCAGGTCTCCTGGAGAGAAGCCGTTGGATGGAGGGTCTCTCTCCCATTTTGGATACTTCGTCATCTCATCCTTAAAACTTTCGAGTATTTGCCATGAATCGAATCAGACAAGGCCCAAACTTCTCATTCTGAGGAATAGAAACCAAAAACTGTGATTGACCAAATGGGGTGAGAACGTTAAGGAATCGCTTCCTTGAAATGCGTATATAGCGGCTGCAAGACATAAGTCCAGCAGTCAGAATGTATGAAAGTTTCGGGATTGAGATATCGACTTCGATCCCTGGTGTTTCTTCGTCGATGCAGGCAGAGGTACTGCCTCAAAGGGAAGGTTTTCAAGAATAAGCATCCAAAATAGAATTCCAAAGTTGGGACACTATTGGGATGTGGCATCATGAATCGGTCTTCTCCCACATCTCAAAAACATATCTTGTCCCGTTCTCTTCCTGTACTCCTTCCGGAACTTGCTCTCCCGTCCATCTATCAAGCTCCTCCTTACTCTTCCTCTCCCACCCCCCAGTCTTCCCAGTCTCATCCAGTTGTACCGGGAAGAACGTATCGCACTCGAAGTCGCTCAGAACCCTCGTAAGAAGTATCCTCTTTGCTTCTTTCCTCTCCAGTGCAGCCTTGTAAATCTGCGCTCCGCCAATGATGAACGCCCTTTGTGCCTCTGCCTTTGCAACTGCTTCTACCGCTCCTTCCACAGACCCAACTAAAGACCCGCCCTCAGCATTCAATCCAGTGGACCGTGTAATGACGACGTTCATTCGGTCCCTCAATGGCCGGAACTTTGGAGGTATGCTCTCCCATGTTTTGCGACCCATAATCACTGCATTCCTACTCTACAAAGCTGTCAGAATTGACAATCCGACTTTGAAAGAAGGACATACTCCAGGACTTGCGCGTTTGGTAACCCGGGCGAAATATGCCATTTCTTTCTTCAGTCCCGTCCAGGGCAATGTACCGCCTCGTCCAATCCCCATTTTGCTCGTTGCTGCGACGATTAAGGTTAGTTCTCTGGGAGTCATGGTAGAATCGCTTTCAAGGGGTGAGGATTCGACGGGCTTGGACATTATGTCAAGAATGAAGAGTAATTACGTCGTGGTTGAGGAGCAATTGAGATGAGATGTCGAGTTTGGAAAGATCATGGCGGGGCAGACGCGTGAAGATTGAAGATCGACGCGACTCTTCCGAGAGAGGCTTAGCGCTTTCTTCCCCCTTTACCAAAGCATTTTACGCAGCGGCAGCTCTCCACACTTCTCTCTTTTCTGATTCGTGGGCTCACAACGACTTCCGAAACATTTCAAACACCCACCACTACTCTACAGTACTTCCTCAGCTAGCTTCTAACAACAAGCTTCGAGTTGAAGATCTAATGGCCGAACTTGACCTTTCTATTTAAAAATCAGGGCTTTCGCGGAGACTTCACGAAGTGTTTCAAGGACCAAATAGCGCCATGCATGGTAAGCGGAGGCTCGTTCAATTGCAGCCATTGGAGCCAGCAGAATTTATCGCAGGTTCAGCGATCTGCAAATCCATGCTGACAGCCTGACACTTGACAAGTTGACATGCGACGAGGCACCCAATAGGCCTGGCGATCCCGACGAGTAGAAGCGGCACAGCCTTCGAAGGCGGGAATGAGTCCCATGGATCCCACTCCTCCGCATCCGTGCTTGTAATTCCAGTCTCAGCCTCCCTGACCCGTTGTTAATAAGTCCCGACATGGCCAACATTTGATTTTAAATTGCCCTGGTCCCTCTCACCGCAGAGAGGCGATTCAAGTCAACTAACATTGCACCTCCACCTCAGATGCAAATCGTTGCAACAAGGTGGAGCTTCTCGCCTTCTTCTCTAATACCATATCGTCACGTTAAGCCAAAAACATGGACCTGCACTCTCCCACCAGCCCCATAATGTCAGAATCCCAAGACTCCACGGAGCTCCAGCCGTCCAAGACGGTTGTCTTCGATGAAGAAGATTTCTCTGAACAACCCACCTCAGAGCCCGATCCCAAAAGTCGCCCGTGGGTCCGCAGAGGGACAACCCTCCACACAGTAGAATCCAGGGTCTTTCATCGTGCCTATATCATCAGACGACCTCGCACTCTTCAGTTCTACCACCCTGAAATCAGCGGATCAACGACACCGCTTGAGAAACAGCTCAGCAGAGAGCCAACCAGTATGAACAGGGAACCTAGCAACATTAGTAATGAAAGCAGCACGGATAGCCAAAAGGAAGAGCGATCCACGGGCGATCCAATCAAGCAGTATGAGCGAGTAGATTTGTTTATCGATCTGATTTGGGTGGGCATTATTGCAAACCTTTCAGCGTCCTTTGGCGAGCAGGCTTTTGGCGAAAACACTGGTCTGACCATTGGAGAGGCCACTGGAGAATTTGTCCTGCTCTTTATTCCTATCTGGCGAATGTGGGACTATCTCCGCGAGTACATTGGCAATTTCTACAAGGACGACTTGACAGACCGAAACTTCATCGTCTGGATTCTTATTCTCTCCGTCCTCTACGGCGTCAATGCACCCTTCGCTTTCAGCCCGGTAGATGAAGGGAATTCTCTCAAGCTACTTATTGCCATCTATCTTGTCGCAAGAGCATCATTCCTCGGAGCTCAACTGATACAGGCTATGTTCATACCCTTTCTACGAAGACAGTTTTTGTTTCAACTCGTCTCAACCGTGGTCACAGGCGGCTTATGGATTGCCGCCATCTACATTCAATACCCCAGCAAATTTGCACTTCTCATCCTAGCCAATGCACTGGAACAGCCACTTGCAATGCTCCATGCCAGTCCAGTTGGTGATAAGTTACTCTCGGGGGGCTGGAAAAGGACTGTCAACGTGGATCGATATGTTGAACGACACGAAGGGTTTTTCATCATCATTCTCGGCGAAGGCGTCTTTCGCCTGATTGAAGGTAGTCCTTCGGGGATGGGGATAAATTCGCACACCGGAACGGTATTGACAGCTCTTCTGCTTTACTATATCCTCCACTGGATTTATTTCAACGGTGACCAGTCGAAATCATTCGTCCATGCAGTGCGTCGGACTTGGTGGAAGCCTTTTCTATGGAAATTGTAAGCTGCCGCTTGCCCAGAGCCATTCGTCCCGAATTAATCAAGCTTAGTCTGCATATAATCATGTTCGGAGCGCTTCTCATCCTCGCAGCATCCGTTTTGTTCATTGTAAAAAGCAACAAGATATCAACTGCCATCGGTGAGGACGGCACTGACCCCGAGGTTGCTATTGAGAGGTCGACTCACTATGCCGTGTGGTCGGCCTCGGCAACCCTCGCACTTACAGTATTCTGCATGACCTGCGTTGCACTCCTCAACCGGGCTCTCGATAAGCCACATACCCTTGTCGTTAGTTCGAGGTGGATACGACTTGCGCCGAGAGTGCCTGCCATCGTTTTGATCATGTGCTTGCCGTTGATGCATCTCACTGGGTCGGCGTGGTGTGGATTGGCGACTATCATAGTCTATGTTGTGTTTTTGTGGGAGTCGTTTGCGGGGTTGGAGAAGGATTGGAGATGGTTCGAGCCCAAAGATGAGGAGGAATAGGTGGGGTCTGAAGTGCATTTGAACCAGAAATCGGAGGATGAGAGGAGAAATTTAGGTTTCAGATCAATGCATTACAGATATCTCAAACATTACTTCCAGTATCATCCACTCCCGCAGTAAAACTACTTTTCCAGTGCCAGGCGTAGAATAATCAATAGATTTCTTCTCATTCAATTCAACTTCAGATTTTTCTCCATCCCATCATCACCAACGGTCAAATCTGAAGCTGTTCTGTTAATACAACCCCTTTAGGACTTGGGCTTTCTGCTCCCTTACCTAAGGTTCCATTTGGATATACACCACGTGACTACCCCCTTTTCCTTCCAATCTCAGCCGAGCCTCGGCTCAAGCTGGACCGGGTTCTTCCGAGTTTCGGCGACAACCCTGCCTGTGTCTTCCCCGCGAAATCACAAGCTGGACGGCGCCGCTGGTGCTGCTGCAAGGCTGCAGCTGCCACCGCACCAAGCTCGGCAGACAAAAAACGTCATGCAGGACCCGGCAAAAATGAGAGAGGGAAAACGAATGAAGGCGTGCTGCAATAGTTTGCAGCAGTGAAGCTTCACTCTCCCTGGTCAAAGTTGAGATCTCCTGGCCTCCATCCGCCCAGCCGCCCAGCTGCATCTTTCAAGGAAGTTGAACATCCAAGCATCCGAAGCGTCATCCGATGTTTGAATGGCGTCCCGCCATACCTCACTTTCGAGACCCCTCCGCTGCGCCGAGCTAAAGGATCTTTGCGGCCACGCGCTGAAGCTCCCGGCTCCACACAAGGCCATCGCCTTCCTAGCTTCCATGTCTGCATCAGGGCAAGTCCCAGACCGACCGTTTCTGGAACCGCGGATCAACTGCTGATCTGGAGCACTCATAAGCTCACCCTGCTCCACTAATTCTTGTTTCCTCTCATCCCGTTTTCTCTCTCACAGTCCTACCTTCTTGCTTTTGGTTCCTAGGTTCCGCTGAATATATGGAAGTGTTTATTACATTTCACTTGTGCTAGAGAGTGTGCGATCGAGGAATTGAGAGTGAGACAGTGGATAGGTCCGTTGACCCGAATCAGCGGCATCACAGGAGCAAACACGCAAACACCACAACCCCCAACACAAGCATTCAGGATGTCTGCGAAGAATGTTGGAGGTTCAAATGGCAAGAAGCCAGCTTCGGCTGCCACGAATTTGATCGGTATGCCCATTTTGCTAACCTTTTCTCTATTTCTGACTCAGGAGCACATGCTAACAAAGCATCACAGCTGGAGGAGCAGCAGGTATGATGGAAGCACTTGCATGCCACCCACTTGGTACCTGAACTCCCTCCAGAATGTATTCCCGAACTTAGTTCTAACAATGGTACCAAGATACCATCAAAGTACGAATGCAGCTCTCCCGGCGAGCACGAGCACCAGGAGCAAAGAAGCGAGGCTTCATCAAAACCGGAGCGGAAATCGTCAAGAAAGAAACACCCCTGGCTTTGTACAAGGGATTGGGTGCTGTGGTTACGGGGATTGTTCCTAAGATGGCAATTCGGTTTACGAGTTTTGAGGCCTACAAGAAGATGCTTGCGAATAAGGAGACTGGAGAGGTGAGTGGGCAGGCCACATTTTTGGGTAAGTAGCGGAATTGGAAACATGAGAAACACTCACTGACAGACGCATCAGCTGGTCTAGGAGCAGGCGTCACCGAAGCCGTCGCCGTCGTAACTCCCATGGAAGTCATCAAAATTCGCCTACAAGCCCAACACCACAGCATGGCCGACCCGCTCGACATCCCAAAATACCGAAACGCTGCCCACGCCCTCTACACCGTATTAAAAGAAGAAGGGCCCGGGGCTCTGTATCGAGGAGTTTCTTTGACTGCGTTACGGCAGGGTTCTAACCAGGCAGTAAACTTCACCGCATATACCGAATTCAAAGAGCTGCTCCAGAAATGGCAACCTCAATACGCCGACTCCCCAATCCCCTCTTATCAAACAACGCTCATCGGTCTCGTATCCGGAGCCATGGGCCCACTCTCCAATGCGCCAATCGATACGATCAAGACGAGGTTACAGAAACAGCCTGCGCAGTATGGTGAGACGGCGTTGAGTAGAATAACGGCCATTGCGCGAGATATGTTCAGGTATGTGAAAGAGGTTCTGGATGCGTTCATTGAGAGTAATTGGCTGATGTGAGAACAGACAAGAAGGATTTCACGCGTTTTATAAGGGTATCACGCCCCGTATTATGCGTGTTGCTCCCGGTCAAGCGGTCACGTTCACAGTGTATGAATTTTTGAAAGAGAAGTTGGAGAATAGTACGATGCCGATTGTGGGTGGGAAGTATGAGGAATGAGCGGATGAATATACCGAAGATATGTGGATTGGAACAATAAAAAAATACGAGGCATATTTCGCTTAGATAGGTAGAATTTGGGCGGTCCAAGTCAGCTATTGAGGAGACAGCAGGCGTTGCATTACTGGATTGGATCATCGAGGTTTGATTTTTTGTTCTCTAGGGGCGAGTTCTGCATAGCGTCCAAATCAAACTCTTTTTACCGCCAAGCCCACCATTTTTCTTTTCCAAATCATGTTTTGTCATTTCATGATAAGTTCAGTCCAAGTCTACTTTCTGCCAGGTCTCTTGGGCCTCTCAAAGGCCTTCTTTACTTCGACCTTGGGATGTAAATCACCACCAATACTCTCTTCGCTGATCTCATCCGGCGAGCTGGCTTCAATCTTCTTCTCAACTTTTAATCCAGCTTCCGCTTCAGCTACCTGGATAGCAGACCGCGACGATGCTGCGTAAAGCATCCGCTCCTTGATCTTGGAGCCAGAGGGACATGTATAGATGAACAGTATTGGGGAGGACGATGTCCCATTATAGGTATGTGTGTAGCGGTAAAACGAATACCGTGGTTCGGTGGATGAAATAGTGGAAGAGAGCGATGAAATAGGTGTGGATGTGCTTGAGGCCAACTCCATCGTCTCTGTCGCTATATTGATTTTCTGCAGAGATTAGCATAACTTATACATCAAAGAAATTAAAAGGAAACCTACCAGTTGGACCAAATCGCTTCCCCCTTCACCAGCGAGGCTTTTCAACGCTTGTAGTGCCTCGTCAGTAATTGGCATGCTCACCCCAGAACTGACATGACCCCTCCTCTCATTCATCCCCCTACCCTCCTCAGCCTCCTTCCTCTTGACATCCCCTAGAGTCTGCTCCTCCTCCGTTAACGGCGCCTCTAACGTAACATGCTTATCATGCTTCTCGAAACCCTGCGGGGTCAGCTCCTCCTTGGTCGTTGCGAATATCGTCTCACGAAACCTCTCGATCCCTAGCTCGCGGACGAGAGTGAGTCGCGTGGATGCGAAAAGCATCTTTTGGCGGACGGGAGCGGAGTCAGGGACATAGGTCACGGCGACGAAAGGGGCTGATTCGGAGCTAGGGTATCGTCGAAGGATGATGTAGAGGGCTACATTTGGTTGCAGGTGGGGAGCCAGGAGCGAGAGATCGTCAGAGAATGAGGATGTGGCCGGGCTGAGGATTGTAAGGGGAGTGAGCGATTCTTTTGTTATAGTGCAAAGGAGGCCTCGCTGGTTCTCGGAGGACACGAGGGTGTTGAACGCGGTGTGCAGTTCTTGCGAGGCTTGGAAGCTGGTTAGAACCGAAGAGCTTCAACAGGAGGCCGAGGAACAAATTATACCTGATATTCCGGACTGCATATTGAGGATTGCCTGTATTCGGAGTGCTTTCTTCTTCTTCTCGTCCTGGATGGGATACTAGAAAGTTGGTACTGCAGTTGAGTTAGAGTTCGGTGGCGGGGTTGCATTCAAGTCCGTGCAGCGGGGCACGAATTCAGCATCTTCACTTGACATTTTTCGTCCTCACCTTCTTATATTCACTGTACGGATTTTTCATTTTTAACCTAGCAATATGGAAGGCGGGCAGCGCACTACGGGCGCTCTTATAGGTAGGCACATTCGCTTTCCGTGACAATATCATCCGCCGCTCTGGGGAGGGAAGAGGAAAGCACCCACGCAAGACTCCTCATCGAGAATCTACAATCACAATGGCTGCGCAATCAAACCCCCTTTCAGATTGGGCTAAGGCCCCTTCCAAAGAAAAGAGCTCCATCAGTTACTTCGAAGAGCCCAAAGCTGAGACTATCAAAGACCGTCAACAGCGCGGCGTAGCTGCCCTCCTGACCCGATTTAAGTACCTTGTCGACCTAGCTGCGACGCCTGCAGAGGATGGAGCCACGAAGGAAGTAGCTGCCGCAAATGCCTTCCGTATGGAAGTTGAGAGCTCTGCTTTGGTACGTCCTGCTGAGTCTTACCCAAGGGTAAATGCTGATTCTCGGCCAGGTTCGCGCCGCCGAGGATCTCCTTCAGTTGACTCGTGAGCTCAAGGAGATGTGGCTTTTTGGTCCACTGAGAGGCATTGGAGAAGGAGAGGGTGAAGGAAAGATGGATGAGGACTCCAAGAAAGTTGGGGAAATGGTCGAGGCGCTTTTAAAGAGAAACTCGGGGGTGTCGCGGCCATGACTGGGAATCTGGTTAAGGCGTTTGGATGCGAATTAGACTATGGATGTGAGGAAAGCATTTCTGGCGTATGGGTGTTTCGGAGGATGCTATGCTTGCGAGTTGCATATGGATATCAACGTTAATCGGTCTTTCAATTCCCCGAGCTCTCATACCAGTGTAGGGTACTTCGAGGGCTTTATTTGACTTGACAAGCGTTACCTTATTCTCGACTTTCATGCAAGTATTCTCCTTTTCTTCTAGAATAAGGCGCCATGCTTCTCATTGACGTACGGCCATGCCATTGCTTCTTTTATTTTCTTATGAAACCCAGCAGGCTCGTCTAAGATACTTCTGTTAAAGGTACCCAGAAAATTGGTTATTTCTGGCCCTAGGCCTATCTACTGTGCCCCTGATATGGATGAACAGGGCGCTACTATGCCAAGAGTATTCTCTAAGGACTAGTCCGTACACCTCTCAGTAGGTTCTCTCCATTCGAGCCCCAATCCGCCGAATACTCTCTTTTCCTTCACCAATAGATCACCATCTCCTTCCTCCAAATCCACCCATTCCCCATCCCCCTGCCTCCTGACACCACTACTGTCGAATTTCAAACCCAGTTTCTCCTTGCAATATCTTCGAAGGTCCCGCTCGAACATCGTCCCGCCTGACCAACCAACGACGGCGCATCCTGCAGTTTTCCAAGGACTAATGATAATGTCTACACGACGGTGAACATTCGGGTTCTTTGCGTCCGGATCGCACGTCAAGTCTTCGGCTTTTGAGGGCCAATTGGGGTCCTGCCAAACTAAGAACGCGTGGTCAAGAGTATCGAAGCCTCCCTTCCCGCGAGGCATACTACCTTTCCAGTTCAGAGTATTTTGGCCCCTATCACTGTTCTTCATCGAAACGTTGAGCTTGTGAGTTATGTATTCATCGTTCTCCAAACTCTCCAAAAGATCCACAAGGAATCTGTGGGTAGCATTCTCATTTGGGTGACTCAAAACGACGTCCACGTCTCCAGAATCGGGTTTTCCTCTTCGGTAACCTCCACATACCACCATCTGGAAGCCGTCTCTGATCTGGTTGGCACGATCCAAAACCACATTACCAATGCTCTCTACCTCTTCTCGCGGGATTCGTTGGAGGAACTCATCGTAATATTTAACGCCAATCTGCTGATCTCTCGAAATGTTATCCCAACCGTGTTCAACAATGTCATCGAGACGTCTCCAACCGTTGTTGAAGAATTCCCGGGCACTAACTTCGCCGACACCATGTATGTTCCAAAATAGGTTCAGCACTTGCATATCAGGATCTGATCGAATCTCATCAGCCTCTTTGACATGGCCAAAGTCTTTCCAATCCTGCCAATGCTTTGCCATCTTATCACCGCATCCGGGAAGTCTATTTATCTCGTATGCCGAGGTCAGAGAATAGGGGTACGATGCTACTGCAGCAACTGCCGCTGAGTATGCACGAATTCCTATTTGATCCCCTTTCAGAGTCCGCGCCTGCTTGATGACGCGGAGTTCAGAAAGAAATCCTTCGTTAGGGCAATGCAATGGAGTTGGGCGCTGACAAGAATACTGAGTGTGCAGATATTCAGGAACTGGTGGGAGCTTAGAATGAGCTTCATCTTCGGATGTGGTTTCATGTATGAGCTTAGCAGGTTGACTGCTGCTGTGACCGGATTGTTGTCCAAATTTCCTAGAGCCATGCCTGGAGTGGCGCTGAGTTGGGGAAGGAATTTTGACTTGGCGACGAGGCTCGACTTTTGCTGACAAGACAGTCGGGTTCGACCTCGTCGGAAGACTTTTCGACTTGACCCTACCCTCGTAGACCAAGTAGTCATCGATGGGGAGTAACTTGCCGGCGTTGATAGAATCGGTATACCAAGCAAGAGATAGCACCTTGATGGTCTCGCCACTAGGTTGAATTGTGGACCCAGGAGATGATACCGGTCTTTTCTCAAGAGGACTACTCTTTGCAGGGGAACTGCCTCGAGCAGCGCTCCTCTTCCTCTGGAAACTGTCTTCGTTGCTAGTATCGGGTTCTAACGCTGTCTCCGAATCCAGGGTGATGACCTCCTTCCCATCAACAGTAATGCCGTCTATCTTGCGGCGCTTATTCGAGTGTGGATTTCGGGCTTTTGCTTGTCCTCCCCCTGCTCCGTGTTTCTGCACCTTCACCACCTCTTCGGTGTCTAGACCGAGTTTTCGAAGCTCGAGAGTCGCTCTACTCTTCGATTTCACTATCCCGAGAACCAATTTTGCCTCCCTGATATCCCACACCACATGGATAGCTTCCTCGAGCCGGTGAAGCTCCTTTGGATCGCGCTCAAGATGAAATTTAAGAAGATAGATGGGTGGAAATGTGAGAGCCATGGCAGCTATTGTGGGTTAGAAAAGATGATCATGGCGGGGTTGCTGATTTCCAGTGATGGCGGGGCAAATCTGGCGAGATAAAGGACGCCTCACGGGAAGAGCGCATATACGTCATGCAACTCGAACGCGAAAATCCGGTGGTTTCCGGAAGATAACTTACTTTGAGGAGTATTCTGAATGAGAAAAGAAAGTTGACGTCGGGCATACTCCAGAATCGCGTCTGCCAAGCAAAGCGCTGACTTCGTCGCACCCATTCAATCATGCATTCATTGAAGTCACAGTTTGCAGTAAATGAGGGTACTTCAAGGCCTTATTTTACAGTCTTGTTGTATTCGCCACCGATGGCAGCCTTTCTATATTTCTCTAGAGCCAAAGGTCTGCAAAACGCTAGAGGTAAAACCGCAACGCCGTGATAGGCACACATCCCAGTGTAACGCCACATAAAAAGGTTTGCTAGAGACTTGCGACGGAGTGGGAGTTTCGGGTTTTAAACATCCTCAAACTCCATATCTTCCTCGCTTTCGTCTTCTTCTTTCGGCGTTGGCTCTTCGATTCGGACTTTCTTCGTTGGCCGGCCGTCTTCATTTGGTGTGCCAGGTCCTGTTACCGGACTTGTTGCGCCTGTGCTGGTCCCACTCCCAGACACACTGCCACTCTTCTTCAACACTCCAGATAAGCCGGATGGAGCCGAGGTGGGTTTGACATCCCCAGCTGAGCTTGCTGGTGTGGCTGCACCTGATCCTGTCCCGGTCGGAACGACGTCCTCAAAACCAAGGTCATCCTCATCCTCGTCATCAGTCTCGTACTCCTCGTCTTGCTCACGTTCTGCCTCCTTTGCCTGTTCAGCCTTTAGACGGGCAAAATAGTCATCGATTTCAGCACCGTCGCCATTGACAGAAGGAGTGTCGAGATCGAGGTTTTTCTTGTCAGCCTCGAGAGACTGGGAAGATTGGAAGTTCGGTTGTGCACTAAATTTGACCTGTTCACCACTGATTGTGCTGTGTGTGAAATGCACTGGCATGGCATTTTGTGCAGCAATCTTTTCCTTTCTCGCGTGCTCTGCGGCAATGTCGGCTTCTGTAGGACCTTCGGAGGTTGTGAGAGTAACGGAGATAGACGTTGGACCAACGTTTGTCATTCCTCGGACTGCAGTCGGCTTTGCAGCCGAGTTATCTACAGGGGCAGTCTCGTTGGCTGGATTAGTCTCATCTCGAACAACCTTCCGTGCCGAAGCAAGCGCCCTCTCGAAAGTGTTCTCGGGGATCACAATCTCATCGATTTTTGGCAACAGATCCGTGATAAATCTGAACTGAGCATGATATCTTGTAGATTGTTCGTGTCCTCCACGATTGTTGTCTGGGTCGTGTTCGAGAATGAAGTCACATTTGTGACAAAGGAATCCCTCGGGTCCTTGCTTGTCTAGCACCTCTAATACCGTCCACTCGGATTTGCATCTCTTACAGAAATACTCCTTTCTTTCGCTCTCGGGGATGGTATTTCCTTGGACCTTCTTATTCATTTGATACACGCGCCACTTGATCGCATCGATAGACGCCCGGTAGTCGATGTAGTAGTAGGTGCGATTCATTGGGCGCTGCTGCCCTTCCTTTGTTTCGGGGCGGGTATGGCTGCAAACCTGCTGTCAAAAATATAGAACAAAATAGCTTAGGTAAGACCTTACACTGCGAGAAAGCGATCTTCCCTCAGCCGCCCACAAAGCTTGTGGAGCTCCTTCGTGTTCATGCCCATGAGATAGGCCATGTCATCATCTCGTAGACTGGCTCTCTGTCAATATTTTTTTTCAGAGTAGCCCTAATAATACATCAGGAGACATACGCTGAATGAATAATCAGGGCATCAACCACCAGGATATGCTTCGTGTCATAGAACGAGCGTACGCAAGAGCGTACGAGACTCTGTGCGAGCTCCATGTCTGTAAGGTTCAAATCCAAAGCCCGATGACTGCTCAAGGATCTGCCAAAGACTTGGCTGTGAGACCAAACGTGAAGTCGAGCTTCGATTTGGATCAGAGGTTGCGTTGGGTAGGCGACAGGCTGGAGAAAGAATCGAGGGTTTGACAAGGGACAAGGAAAGAGCGTTACCGAGCGTTAAAGGCGCCCATTATTCACGCCAGACGTCAGACAGCAGCCGCGTCGGAGGGTGAGTAAGGGTTGTACAGAATGTTAATGGTAAAAGAGCGAGGAACAATGCTTCGGAAGGAGGATGGCTTTTGATATTGTCGGCGAACTTCATAGCTTAGTGACGAGGCTGCGCTAATTTTGGCGCTAGTGCGCACGGTCTCGCGAATAAGCTCGTTGAAAATATGTTTGGAGTCGAGGCTGACAGAATATCAACATCAACTGCCGATTGAGGGCTATGAAAATCCTCCTCCGGCTCCAAACATGGCAGACAACCCTCCTTCAGCATCCACTTCCAATCAGGACAGTGCTGTTTCGGCGACTGGCGACAATTCCAGGAGCCAAAGGGGAGACCGGGATCAAGGCGGTCGAGGCAGAGGCAGAGGCAGAGGAGGCAGGCAGGATAGGGGTAGAGGAAAGGGCTTCGGCTCTAAGGACTCAGGGGAACGTCACAAGAAGCGCGATATGGGCCGAGGCGAGTATTTGTACGTAATCTGGAAGCCATTTCTCTTGCGTAACTAACTAAACAAAGTCGAAACAATCCAGATCGACGCGCTCGAAACGACGAGCAGCATGCTGCAAAGCGGCGGAAGACCGAAGAGGGTGGCCAAATTGCTACATATTCTACAACGTTTACCAAGGAAGAGATCGAGGCCGAGACTCGTAGACCGAAGCGCAAAGTTGCCGTGATGATAGGTTATGCAGGTTCCGGCTACAAGGGTATGCAAATAAATGCTCAAGAAAAGACCATCGAAGGAGATCTTTTCAAAGCGTTTGTGGCTGCAGGTGCTATATCGAAGAACAACAGCGATGACCCGAAAAAGACAAGTCTGGTTCGTTGCGCTAGGACTGACAAAGGTGTGCACGCAGCCGGGAATGTTATATCCTTGAAGCTTATTGTGGAGGAGTCCGATATTGTAGAGACCATCAACAAGCATCTGCCTCCTCAGATTCGGGTGTGGGGGATCGAGCGAACAAATGGTTCTTTCAGTTGCTATCAGACTTGCGATTCCAGATGGTACGAATACCTAATTCCGACTTATTCCTTTCTTCCGCCACACCCACAAAGCTTCCTTGGCAAGAAGTTAGTCGAGTCCGCGGAGCAAGAAGGCGTTTTTGAGACTTATCAATCTCTGCAGGAGGATGCGGCTTCATTTTGGAAGGACGCGGAGGATACTTATGTTAAACCGGTACTCGACAAGCTCGATCCGTCCATGAGAGAAGCCGTGATTGCAACAATCCATAGCTCTGAGGAAGAAGAAGGAGAAGACGGAGGACCCAAGAAACCAACGAAAAAAAAAGTGAAGGAGGACAATAAATCGAGGCTTAAGGAAACCGATAGCATCGAACCTAGCGTTGAAGCCATGAGAGGAGAAGAACCGGCAGTGAAGGAGGAAGAGCCAGCACCCGAGACTGTATCGGTTCTCACGCCACTTGAAATGGCTGCCAAAGAGGTCAAGGCTGCTTACATCACTGCTAAGAAAGCCTACCGCATCTCAGCGTCTCGCCGACAACGAGTCCAAGAAGCTCTCGATTGCTATATCGGAACTCGAAACTTTCACAACTACACGATTCAAAAGCCATTCTCAGACCCCTCCGCCAAGAGAGTCATCCGCTCGTTCAAGGTTGGAGCTGGTCCAATAATCATCAATGACACTGAATGGTTGTCCTTGAAAGTACACGGTCAGTCGTTTATGATGCACCAGATCCGAAAAATGGTAGCAATGGCAGCGCTTGTTGTCAGGTGTGGCACCTCAAAAGACATAATCCGAGAGAGCTATGGTCCAGCCAACATCAGCATTCCGAAAGCCCCCGGTCTAGGGCTGTTGCTTGAAAGACCTGTATTTGACAGTTATAATGAACGAGCGGTCCGAGAGTACAGCAGGGAAAAACTCGACTTTGACAAATATCAAAAGGAAATGGATGAATTCAAGAAAAGGGAGATTTATGACAGGATCTTCAGAGAGGAGGGAAAGGATCACCAGTAAGTTCACGCCTGCCTGATAAATCCTTCAGGGGTTATGGCTAATCTACCAAGATTCCATGCCTTCTTCCACCACATCGATCATTATCGAACAGACTATTTTCTTTGGGTTACTGCAAAGGGAATCTCTGCTGCAGCTCAGAGTAAGAAACCGGCTAGGACAGATGATCCGAGCGATGATGAGGTTGATATCAATGGTGAGGAGGGTTAAAAGACCAAGGCTCATGGTCACTGGAGGTGTATGTGCCCTCACGCGGGAAATACAATCGAGATGGCACATGTTCGCTGTTTAGATTCCCATTAAATGCGACAAGTCAATAGGTTCTATACCAAACCACAACCTCTATACGCCTCCCTAGGACGAGTACTTACTTACACACCAAGAAATTTGTTGCATGGGCTATACTCACAAGAAATCTCTCTGTACCCCAATCCTTGTGGACTGAATTGGTCATAATGAACGAGGCGAAGACTTTCTCGTTCCGTGAGAAGCAAGTTGCTTGGCAGGTGAGAAATCAACTAAAAAGTATTGGGTTATAGTGTAGATTTCAGTTCGAAGTTCCCAATTGAGGGGGGTCACTAATCAGCACCGTGGCCCTCGATTGCGTGCTCTGGAGATCCTGGTTTCAATGCAGGGCCATGCCGAATTTGAGTAAGCATGGGATGTTCCGTGCTGCAGGCCAATGAAATATAAATGGCATGGCTGCCACGGATGTGCAAGAAGCTCTGGTTGCATTCAGACACTGTATGTCGATATCGATGTCGATGCCTCGATGCTGTTGGCGCAATGGCCCGCCTTTCTTCAAGTAAGCAAGGTTGCAAGGAACATGGTGGCGCTGGTTGCGACGTCAATCTTCAGATTCCCAACAGCAAACATCATCATATCCTGCCGACTTCATTCGAACATGCGTCCCGGCTTCGAGTCAGACATTGTCCCGATTACCTTGAGACCTGGAAGTTTCCGTCGCACAACAGGCAGTCGGCAATTAGGTGGCCATGTACACGTGTGGTTGGCGCCGGAGACATTAATTCGGCCTCGGGACATCTTCGTTCCTTCCGTCTCTGCCTTCGAAGCCGTTTCAGAAGCTTCTTTTCAAGCTTTGAGGCCACCCCTCCCTCTTTTCCCAATCTCCATCTCTCAACTTCAACTCTCTCTCCCCCAATTCCTCAGCAAATTAACCAAATCCAAACATCTTCAGCAGAATGGCGACCGTAACCCTTGATCCCGCCTATGGGTAGGCGCTCCGCTTCATTGGTGGCTCGTCGCTAATGAATTTGCAGATGGGTGCTTCTCGCGGCGACCTCTACATTCTTCCTCAATTCATACCACAGTATCAACACTGGCAATTACCGCAAAAAGGCGAAATGCCCATATCCGGCTGCGTACGCACCAGCTGATAGGACTGACGAGGACGCCCACCGTTTCAACTGCGCCCAGAGAGCTCATGCCAACTACATCGAAAATCAGCCATCAGCTGTGGCAGCTTTGTTGCTCGCCGGCCTCCGCTTTCCCATTACTTCCGCGTTGATGGGTGCAGGCTGGACTGTATCGAGATATATGTATATGGTCGGCTATTCACAGGGAGGCGAAGGCGGCAAGGGGTAAGTTCCAATCCCTCGGAGCATGAACTTAGGGCAATTCTGATCGATTCAGACGTTACAAGGGGATTTATTTTTGGTTTTTCCAAGCTGGGCTTGCCGCCTTAGCAAGTTACAATGGTGTGGCTTTGCTAATGGGATGGTAGAGTGAGGGCTGATCCGATTGGGATTATGGATGTGGAATCAATTTGCAATTGTGAATTGCGCATAGTGATCCCTGGAACGGTTGGCGATCGAGGGTTTTGCGCTGGGGATCAATCAACAAATCGAAATCAAAACGCCTGGAAAGTATTGACAACGAAGTATCTTTCTATGTCTTTTCCGAAGCCTGCACCTTAAGCGCCATACGAAATTTGAAAGCGCATTCTTGGGGAAACTTTGTAGTGGCATATTTTAGCAGAATATTGGCCCTTTGACTTCTGGATTTCGTTTCCTTCAACTATGCAGTCAAGCTTTGGTTTTTTTAATGCGTACCTCTCTGGGATTTTCAAGTGGACTCCTAAGGATTTCTGGCTGGTGATAGAAGCACTTGCGATTTGAAGTCGCACATTTTTGCATGTGATAGGAGTTTCGAGACAGATCAGAATTTTTTGGCCTCACTCAAAAGAAGCTTGGAGGAAGGTCCAGGCACTTCATCCATCAATTGAGCACTATTTTGTTACGGTCCTCCACCGCCTATAATCTTTTGATTCCAGCCCCCTATCTATGACGGTCCCGTTCATCAACCAGCCTTCCTCTCTCTTGCCTTAATAATCACAGGTTTGGCCCTTGTTACCATCTGTGCAGCAGAGATCGTATGGATTTACGCAGGTTCCGGGGCTGTAAACGGTCTTCTAGTCATCGTCCGGATCGATAGAGCTAATGTTACAGCAAAGCAGATCACAAGGTCAGTCCTTTTCCGTGTCAGCAAAGGCAACAGCAGGAATTGGTGGTCAATATTACCAGGTAGACTGAACATTCTGCCCAGCAGGACAGCCGGTCTGAGGCCAGGCCAGAGCCGTGACTGATTGAATTGCACCGGCAGCAAGAACAACGAAAACGATGGGATAACGCATAATGAGAAGATATGCGGAGCCTTTGGGATATCAGAAGGTTGATATGGGCTTGAAAAGGGAATTCTCTTGGCGTCAGGAACGTCATTATAAGACTGTTCGTCCTCCTTACATTCTTCTTGCTTTTTCTCTCGGTTGTGCGCCCAATTATCACCCCTAGCTATGTGCCCAGTAGATAGAGGTGCGCCCAGCACCGCTAGGCTCTCTCATCTCAGCTGCAAATGGAACAAGGCTACATCAAAAGCGAAAGCCAGCGGCAGCAACAAAGACACGATTAGTCTCAGTACGCCCATGTCATTCCGACAGTCAATCTCGCCGCCATCATCAGATGGAGACAACTGTCTCGCGTCCCGCCGTTCACTCTCTCGAATGGCCGGAGGTTCCCCAAACCAGCTTCAAACACGAAGAGGTCCACGAACAAGTGCAATCAAATGCACGACAAAGAAACAGCGAGTCTCGTTCAAAAGAAAGAGTAAATTGGGAGGAAGATATTCAGGCAACGAATCAAAGGGCACACCTGGCGTTGGTTACTGTTACTATAGCAGACAAAGTTGTGGACTCTGCGACTCCAGCAGAGATCAACGCTCGGCCCGACATACAGACGCTCCCTCAGGAGCCTTCCTCGAAGACCGTGGAACCTCAATTAGTTCAGCATGGGTGGCTTAGACTTGGACAGCGATTCAAGTCGACAAAGCTATCTTGGCCGAATCCACAACTCTCTCTTGGAACCCAATGCCGTCGTCTGGCTGGCAATGACTGCTGGGTAGCTATTGGCCCAGCACGAGAGCTCTTTGCTCTCATAAAGAAGGAGATAGCCGATCTTCTCGACGAGCGTATTGACGAATTAGAGATAGCGGAGCCTCTGGCGGGGGATATTGTCATGTTTAACATGTACATGATTGGAAAGAGCGCGGCAACTGCGAAACCGATGATTCTCTTCACCTCCCAGAGTCAGAGTCGGCGTCGGAAAGCCATCAAATTTGTCAGAGAAAGTGACATACTCAAAAATTATCCGAAGATAGCTCTTGCCGAGGCCGCCATGTCTCCACTCACGGGCGGTAGTCGAAATATACAGCTTCTGGCAGGGCAAAATATTCCATACCCAAACGAGGAAACCTCAGCGACGACAATATACAAGAGAGCGAGATACTTTGAGTCTACTGGCGCAATTGCTGGGACTACCGTCGGTGCACTGGGCTTAGTCGCTCTCATCATTCTGTCGTTTTGTTTCTTCTTTCGTCGCAGAAAGCTCGCCCGCGGGAAAAGTTACCCCTCTCATTTCCCGACTGGTGATTTGGAGCCCCATCGGACCTATGTTCCAGCTCCACACAATCAGTTTGGCAAGCTTCCAGATAATCCCAATACCACGGGAATCTTTCAGAGCCAGCAGCTATTGGAGCTTGGCCCCGTTCCTCCGGTATACTCTCAATATGGGTCATATGGCGCTGCGTCACCTTTCCAACAGCCTCCCAATATTCATTTACCGCAATTAAAAATATCGGACGATACTGCGGTCTCTAGTAACAAGCCAACAGAACCGCTGATTAATGTGAGATCGCTCATTATATGCCCCTCGACACGCAGACGAGCTACGATTGGTGGCATCATAAGTTTGAACGGTCATCGATATGGACTTACCGTTGCTCATCTGTTTGATGTTGGTCCTCTTCCGATTAGCAATGCTCTTTCCACTGGTCCTGACGCCCAGGATGGCGACTTTGAGTTCGCATTCGATCAGGAGGATGGAGATGACATTGACACCATAAGCGATCTTACCATTGCCATTACCAGCCAAGGTATACTATAATTCCTAAAGTCTACAGCACCGATACTAAATTGTACCTCTATAGCAAGCAATTCCTCCGCAGCGTCATTGTCACAAACGCAGACTACGAACTCAACTAGCTCAAAAGTTCCAAAACAGACCCATTTATTAGGTAATAGCGATCTCGACATACCTATCGAACAGATGGCCAACTCTGAACAACCTCCTCTCAGCCCAATCCCTGTAACTTTGCCATTTGCATCCTCGATCCAAGATACGAAACTAGGATCAGACTGGGCCCTGGTTGAAATTAGGTCACTTGCGCCACCAATTGATATGAACCGTGCATCACTCGAACAACGTATTACTCACCCTAAACGGTTTGTGCAGGCCTTAGTCAATGAGTCTGGTATTATTGTTGGGACAAGTCAAGGTGGATTTATTAGAGGAAAGATACTTTCACATGCTACAATGATGCGACTGTCGCAGCACAGTTATTTCCAAGAAGTGTGGACGATAATACTTGACCGTGTTATAGGTATTTTGGCTCCGATTTTAGCTCAAGATTTAATCTAACAGTACGTAGCTGAAGGTGACTCTGGATCATGGGTTATAGATGGTATCACTGGCGACTTGTATGGACATGTCGTGGCTGGAGTTCCGGGTGGTCGTATTGCATATCTCGTTCCTGCGTCTCAGGTTCTGAAAGATATAGAGCGGGTAACTGGACAGAAAGCCAAACTCGATGGGTAGGCTAACTAGGTCGACCTCACTCTAATACTCGGTATAGTGGGTTGCTAAGATATGATCACGTAGTTTAGAAGCCCGTTTCTTATCCTCCTAGAGTTGTGGTAATTTGTATTTAGAAAAACCCCAGCTTTCGTCATCGACGAACTTGACCATGCTATGCAATACAAGAAAGCGATTCACTCCATAACGAGGCAACATCTAAAACAATCTGCAATCCGCATCTCGAGGCCTTTTAAAAGTTTGGACACTTTGTATGGGCGAGCTATACACGAGTTGGAGCACCTCAGCCTTCCCCTTGCAAGTCGGCGGGCGATTGTTTCCCAGTTCTGGGGAGTCGAGAGTGCACAATCTCAGAAAGTCGAATCCGAAGGTGATCCTTATTTCTCATACTTCGAAAGACAATGCCGAGATGCACGGCAACTAGACGATGCCGTGAGGCCAGTCTGCACGCAGCACAACATCTGCGACATTGTTGAACAACTGAAAACTGGGGAGACTCGAGAAAACATCCGTGAGAAACTTCTTCAGAAGGCAACAGATGACCCTTTTGGTGTGTTGAACACTCGATTTTTCGATCTCGCAATAGACCTGGCCGTGCGGCTCTGGTTGATGGTGCATGCTGAATATGTTTATCGAGGAGTGACGTCGCAAACGTCCATCACGTGGCAGAGCGGCACTCTCAACGAGGCGCTCTATGGACGTTTTCGTCACGAGCTGATTTTAACGGATCAGATAAAGCTCGAAAGAGTCTTCAACGCTATGAATATTGAACGCATAGCTGATGTAAGAATTCAGTGGACGCCGAATTTGGTGGACCATCTTCGCTTCATTGAGGATGGAAAGACTGCTGTTCTCAACATCTTCTACCATGCAACTTTCCTAAAGTACCACACAGACAGGTGAGTTCACTTGGTGCCCTAATTTGATGGAGAAGCTGACTAGTTTTAGTAAGATATATCCTCCCGGACTCATTGAAGAAACTCGCCGCACTCTGGCGCTGCTCTTGCCCCAACACGATAATGCCTGTAAGAAATGGTTTCGTAGTCACCATTCAAAGCTACGTCTCGATCCTGCGGCTATCAATTGTGGACATCTCAAGCTCGAAGAACGGCAGATCACAAGATTCAAGTATTGGCATGACCGTCTTGTCGTTATCAAGCAGTTCTTTGACGAGTCCGAGCCACGGACTATCAAGCAATGGTGGTACGATAATAGGAAAAGGGTGCAGTGGTTCTGGGTCGCTATTGTTCTAGTCATTTGTACCATTTTGTTCGGTATTATACAGTGTTTGAGGGGGGGTGGCAGATCTGGAAAGCGTATCATTCTTAAAAGATGAACAGGGCATATTCGTGATGGTTTACAGGTTCATAGCTATCGGGTTCGGGTGGAGATTTTACTCTCAGTTGTAAAATTTACTCTAATATTCGGGAATTCACTAGGGTATGTAAATCTACTTGCTAAGTTAGGACTATAGCCCTAGCTCCTAGTTTTAATCCGACCAAGCTTGGCGAAATTCCGGACTAATTAATTTGTTCTAATTTGTTCCAGGAATTAGTATTAGTTAGTATAACAGGTATTACCAAAAGGTAGCCAGTCAGGGGGCAATCCAATAGTATTGATCAACTGAAACTTGAAGAAGGAAGTGAGGTATGGGAGGTGCGAAGCCTTAAGGGCTTGCGTACGGACCACCTGCGCACGCACGTACTACCAAGGATGCCCGGGCACTCTTTGATACTGCCCCCCCCTTTTGTAACTCTCTCTTCCGAGAGGTTTCCGGGTCTAAACAAAGAGAATAACCAGTAACTCCACCCCCAAGTCCTTTCGACTTCCATAAACTCCTGCTAAACGAAGTGAATCTTCTCACCCTTGACTTTCCATCCTTCCAGATTACCTAAGACCAGAATTCCGATATTCTATTAAGAGATTATAAAAAATTTTATCCCCCAAAAAATTTTTTATTCTGCTAGAGAATTGAAAAGTTTCAAGGCTTGTTCTTCTCTCTTCTAACTACTTAAAGCCAGAAGCGAAAGTATATAAGCCAGGATATATAATATTATAATTCCGGGGTTATCCGGAGCTTAACTTATACTTGGGCTAGTTTGTCTTCGGATATATTACTATCTAATAAGCTAGATATAAAGGTATTATCTTCTTCTATTTTATTATTATTATTATTTAAATCTATTTCACTTTCTGGTAATAGGCTTTATATATCTTCTATATTAATATTAATAGGCAGGTATCTTAGTTTATTTATTTCCTCTTTATTAATATTAACTATTATTCTTCTGAGTATCTATCTCTCTCTATTATAAATTCGCAGGTCTGCTACTAATCTTACTAGTTCTATAGCTTCCGATTTTCGTATTTCGTTTAATATATTACTATTTGGGTCTAGTACTAGACTATTAGTAACTCGGAAATTTATTAATAATATTAATTTAGATATCTATTATATTATTTATAAAGAATATATAAGTTCGAATATTATTTTATTCGGAATATTATAATATATAATATATTTGTTTTATAGCCTTATTTCTTATATTATATACTATAAATATAGCTAATAGTATACTAATTATACTAGTATATCCTTATTTGTTTACTAATAAAACTTAGTATTTTACTTATTATAATTAGCTAGTATAAATAGTAAGTAGTCTCTAAATACTTGTTTTTTTTTTAGATATATATCTTTATTATTATATTAATATTACTTTTTATAAATAAACTCTAACTTAATATTAAGTTATAATAAAAAGACTTCTAGATAAACTATTACTTCTTTTCTTTATTCTAGTAAAGGCTTATAGCCTAGTTCTTCTAGGGCTTTTCTAGTTCTTTCTATTACTTTTCTTTTTATCTTATTATATATATTATAAATAAATACCCTATATAGAATAACTATATCTGCCGTAATTCTTCTTGCTTTTACTAGTCTATTTATAGGATCTGCTACTATATTCTAGTTACTTGCAAATATCTTTTATAAGAACTTTTACTTATTTAAGTTAGTATATTACTAGGCTAGTTCTATAAGATTATTATTATCTTAGTATAAGTACTCGATATCTTATTAGGTTAATTAAGTAATATCTTTAAAAACGAATCTTCTATAAGTATTATTATATTACTGGAATTATTATCTTGAATTTTTCTTATATTAGAATACCGGATTAACTTCTAGTATCTTATTATTTTCCTATAGCTTTTTATTCTATTTATTAATATCTATTTCTTTTAGAGAATTCCGGATTACTATTTAAAGCTAATCTTATATTCTTATTTTTGCCTTTTTCGGGTTTTTGGGTTTCTTTATTAATAGTTTATTTATCTAGTACTAGATCTTTTTTGCCTTTCTTAATTTATTTAATTCTGCCTATAATAGCTTTTTTATAAAGTTTATTACTTTATCTCGATATAGCTTTTATATTATAGCTTATTAGAGATTAGTTTTCTTAATTATCTTTTTAGTTAAGATTTTTATTATTAGATAACTAGTTATTTTTATTAGAGTTTCTAGTACTAACTTTATAGGTTTAGGCCGGTTTTTAGAGCTTTTATTTATTTTTAGAGATATTTATAAAGTTACTACTTCTGGTATTTTTGGTATTCTTAGTACTTTAGTAGGTATTATTGTCTTTCTAGTCTTTTCTGGGCTATTCTATTAGATTATTTATAGCTATTTTAGTAGTAGTATCTTTTCCTCTTTTTTAACTTCTATTTTATTTTTATTTTTATTATATTCTAATACTACTATTTTATTTATTAGGTTATTTTTCTTTAACTAGTTTTTAAATTATAACTAGCTAATATAATATTTAATTAAATACTAATTATAACTATAATAAATAGCTTTAGTATTTGCTATTAGAGAGTTTATATCTAGTTCTTTATTTCTATTAAACTTTCTTCTCTTTACTAGATATATTAAAAATCTTTAATTATTTTTATTAATAAAGTTCGGGCTTTATAGATTAATTCTTCTATTTACTTTTTATAGAACTTTAATACTAGCTTCTTTTATAGCCTTATTTTTAAAGTCTATATCCGGTTCTAGTTTTCTGAAAGTATTAAATAGATATACTACTATTATAAACTTATTTAATTATATAAAGAATTCGTTTTTAGAGATTGCTTTATATCACGGGTGCGGCATTCAGGGCTTGGAAAGCAAGGTAGAAGGTCCCTTACGAAGACGATTCAAAGCTAAGGAAGGGAAAACTAGAATACAGGAGGCTGCAAGGGAGTATATGCACCCCATAGTACGCTAGTCCTGAAGGGGCTAGCCTTCTAAATATCTCTAGTACATTCCAAGCATATTTCCCTAGCGAGGCGGCCGCGTCACGTGCGCCTAGGAGGCATCTGGGAATCGTGATATTACCCCCCCCCTTCGTAATAAGCTCGTCCCCGAGCTTCGTATAAGCCGTTGATCCATCCAATTTCGTACTATGCTCCTTCCCAAAGTGAAACTAGTATCTCGGATATAGACGTTACGTATGAAAGGCCGGTGCCTTTGCCATGTGACCTAGGAGGGTTTATCGTCATTTCCGCGTGGTTCTGGACTAGTATTATTTTTTGTACAGTCTAGCCAGTATTATAGGTTTTGTGGAGGTCCTGGTACGTCAATATTATTGTTATGGAAACTCTGTAAAACCAGGGGGCTATTGCTTAGTACCGAAGCTGGATACCATACTGGATCTTTATCCTAACCAACCCACTGAATTCTATACTTTAGCCTATTTCTTACTAGCTTGACTGCAATAACCCGTTTAATGCCGTATTCTTGTTTGCTATCCTCTAGTATTAATGGGGGCGGTTCCGGGTTCGCTTAATCTAGCAGAGGATTCTGGGGGTCTTTTCGTAGCTTCTTCGTATGGAAAACTGGGTATATCTTCATGGCTTCCGGCAGTTTTAGGAGGAACGAGTAGCCATGCTATTCTAGAATCTCAAATGGGCCCTCTATTTGGTTCCCTAGCTTCCGGCTCGGATGATCGGATTTCTAGTACTTTATGGTAACCCATACTTTATCCCCTACTTTGAAATCGATTAGATAGCGGTATTTATTAGCTTGTACCATATATTATTCCTGTACTCGCTCTATATGGCCTTAAGCAAGTTACTATAATTTATATAATTAATTTACTAATACTTTAGCTTTATTCCTATTTAGCTTCTCTTTAGGTAAGTTAGCTTTAATAGGAGAGTTCTAGTCTAGAGAGATACGAGGCTCGTAGCCCTTTTTAGTTATAAATAGGGACTGGCTAATAGTTTCGTACTAAAGGAAGGCTTATTAATAATTAATTATAGTAACCTATTTATCCTAGTTATCCTAGTAGTAGTTAATATACAGGTATAATCTCTAATTAAAGTACTAATTAATAATCTCCGTTTGTCTGTCCGTTTAAAAGTAATTAGCTATAAAGAGCTTGAGCTTTATACTAATTCTTATACAGAATTCGCTCTAAAAATCGGATATAAATTAGGGTCCCCGATCTAATATAATTATTTCTGGAATACCTACTTAGTATACTATATAGAGTAAAAACAGAGGTACTAGCTACTTGGCTATAATTATATCTTATACAGGAATTATAATTAGGTACTTGGATAAGTAATCTATAAATATAGTAACTATATTATAGCCCGATTTGCTTTCTAGATAGCTTTTAAAGTCTATAATAATATACTACCAGGAATAATTAGGAACTAGAAGAAAATAAAGCAAACCAGGCTTCTTATTTCTAGATATATATAATCTTTTATAAGTATAGTAATTACTATAGTATTAATTAATATCCTTATTTATAGATAGCCAGTAATATTACTTCTTTAATAGCTATTGGAGCTTTATATATCCAGGATATCCAGAAAGGGGTTTATTATATGCTTTACGGATTAGAGCGGTCTATAAAGGTAATCCGGGAGTTATTTTATTCTCCGTAATATAGAGTTTTCTATAGTATAAAAAGAGGCCATCTTATAGTATCCAGATATTACTTTTGGCTTGGGCTATTATATATAGCTTCTCTAGATCCGGTAATATATAATTATCCTATAGGATCTTATTTATAAGTTATAAACTACTATACTCGGCAGGAGTCTCTAATAGTGCTTTTATAGGGGCCACTATAGCAGAGTCTACCGGTAAAGCTTCTAAGAGAATACCTTCTTCTAGGAGAATTATACCTCTAATAGGAATATTTTCCTCCGGAAAATCTTTAATATATACTTGGTTTTTAGGGCCAAATTCCGGATCAAGTAAGCCGATCTTATAAAGTATTACTATAAGCTATAAGTTATAGATAATCTCCGGATTAATCTTATTTTTAG